GGTTCATAGTCAACCACACGCGTTTGAAGGCTTCCCCGCCAAGGATATTGAAGCAGAGAAGGCAAGAGTAGCAGCTGCAGATGTTATGCTCAGCAAAATATCAGACTGGCTAACAGACACTTTTTCCAACGCCCACAGCGGCTAGCACGTATGGGGTCGAAGCACTGGATCTTGCGAGGGTTTTCGAGGCCTATCGATGTATCTCATTCAAGAAAAAATCAAAAAGAACCACTAAGCTTGTTTGACGTCCCATATCTCAACGAAAATGGGGTTCTCTAGCAACTCGGTTAAGTTGCCTTCTGCCCAGAGCCTCGATATTTCTGGGCAGCAAAAGGTAAAAAAAAAAACATACAACAGCGGGGATTCGCTAGTGGTCACCCACCTAACTACTAATCCGCCGGTACACTGCTTGTATATGGCTGAGCGGACGGGAAGCCTAATTTTCAGTGTCCTATGGTCGTATGTGCAAATTTGGATAGTTTTATAGTAAATATCGGTACGGTGTGATGATAGAGGTGTCTGGGCGAGGATCAGGCTACTTGGTATGCTCCGGCAGACTCCGGGGTGGTCGTGGTCGTTGGCATCGGTCCTATTGTTAAATGGTGGTCTGATGGTTGTTGGGCAGAAATGCGTTCTGCAAGAGGTGGTGTTTGGTCGCTTCATGCCTTCAACATACGTACAGCCTGGATTCCATTTATATTGCCATGAAAAGGTCCAAGGTCATCGACTGGCAACACGTACCTTGTACAACACCAAAACAGGATCTGTGGATACATACGTATCATGATCGCTATATGACTAGCACTCCGCCTGCAGGTAGGGTGATGCAGTCAGCTTACATAGGTAGCGACCGTTGATGACAGGAACCTGGCGATGTACGGGTCGAAACCAACATATATGGGTACATGTCTTAAGCGGAACGCGTTCTCGCAAGTCTGTATGGAAGCCGAGGTTAGGGAGAGCGCGATGGCTGTTAGCACTGGTGGGGTGGACACGTTTCAACCTTCCTACGATGGACAGAAATGTACTGCGAAGATATCAACCCGCCTCAACAAGTCCGTCCAGTCTATTTTAATGTCTAAAGGCAAAGCTTACGCAGAAAAGTCGCGGTTTGCAACTGTCATCGCCCATACGGCGTCTCATCTCCGCGCTTTGCCTAAATCCAAGACAGCTAGCGTCATGACATCACCGCACATGTCGCCTCCACCTTGGCTGGCGCGGCTCACATCCGCATCGTGAAAGCAGCGGTCAGTGAACTGCGCCCATGCCCATTCCACTGATTGCGCGACATTTGGCGCAATCAGGTGCCGTAAATTTCCATGCAAGGGCGATCTTGGGGCTCGGACACCGTTTGAGGCCGCGACTCGCGCATGTTACAGGTTGCGGGTGGACAGAATGCGTCATTGAGGGCGTGCAGAGGGGTGATGGGTTTATTCTCCGCGCTTTTCTTTTCCTACCCTACTCTTCCGTAATATCAGTATTTGAAAACGCGGCTGCTTTTGCTAGATCAAAGTCAAGAGTGGGAAGTTATCATCCTCGAACTTGCTCCAGAGGAAGCAATCTTCTCGGCACTTTCCACGATTCACATCCCGGAACGACGTGTGAGCGTAGTTGCTCACCACCACCAACGCGAAAATGAACTATGCATCATGGATCGAAGAGAAGAAACTCAAGGTAAACATGTGACGGATCTACATGTAGTATACAAGCTCACACAGGCGACTCAGAAAACCTTCATCGTGGCCACATTGGCGTCTACTCTCGTCGGCACATTCACAGCGTCTATGGGGCTATGGGAACGCGTCGCAGATAGGCGCGAACAGCATCGACAGAAACAGCGCGACTCAAAGCAAGATGGCGAGATCAAGGAGCTAAAGCAGCAGTTCGAAGATGCACAGAAGAAAGCCGAGGGCAGACAACAGGAGATTGATCGGCTGAAGAACGGCGGGGGAGGCGGGCAGTGGGGAGGGCGCGACGATGTAGGAAATAACTTTCAGAGAGATGGCATGATGATTCAGAGGATGTATGACCAAGGCTATGGGAGAATGGGCAGCCGGTTTGCCCAAGGCGATGGTAGGTATTCTGAGTACGACAGCAAGTACAATACTGACTCTCCTTACAGCCATCGTCGAGAACCAACTGCAAGCGCAGATCATACAGCTTCAACAAACTGTCATTAACGTCTTGCAAGACGCCCTCTACAACGACCGCCAGCTGACCCGCGCCGACATGGCCAAGCTCATTGCCGCCTCGAACCAAGCCCGAGAAGGCTCCATGGTAGCCCTACAAGAAGCACAACAGCGTCTGGGAGGCTCACAAGCAGGCGGCGGCGAATTCCGTCCCGCATCGCCTGCGCGCTCCTTGGTCCCTTCGCAACGCGCACCTAGTGCGATAATGGATGTCGGGGAGCAACTCTTCTGCCGCTACGCTCTCGACTTACAACATATGCCCGGCAAGCCCCTAGCATCTACTTTTGCACCTGGAGGTAGCTGCGCATGTCCCGCGTGCGGCGTTGTTCTCGATGTCACCAGCGAAGACTTCTGGATGATCGGGAAGCGAACGCCCATTACCATGTACGACAAGACGACCGGATACGAAACTGATATCATGGAGACACGCGAATTTCGTCTTGCCCAGCGCTTCGTTCTCAAATGCCACACCCCAGATGGCGAGTACGCGTGCACAATCTGTAGTAGGGGCAGAGACGTAGATGCGATCTGCCGAACGGTAGACAGCTTAGTGAAGCATGTAGGGACATACCATGATGTAGGCGAGCTGGAGGGAGAAATTGACCTACGAGAGGCCAAGGTCGAGACAACGAGAATGAGCCTTCCTGCTGCGCCACGAGCACCAAGTCCACCAAGAAGCGTGCTGAGAGAAGAGGTGATCTATCGATGATAAAATGGCGGTGACGACGGTGTCAATGCGTTTGAGGGGGATGTTTCTATCGTCACAGCGAGGCGTTTGGATCGCGATTATACCTTTTTGGGGTGGGAGGCTTGCATGGGCGCATGTTACGATTTCTTCCCTCCATGATGTATGAGTAAATGATATAACGAGACCCACCTACCCAACCAGTAGTATACGATTCTCTGAGTTACAGTGCATTTCTTTGCCTTATAAATTCTTTAGCGGGTGTGCATGTACGGAAGCATGTTCAGCGAAGTCCCAGGCCGATATCGAAATTAAGTAGCTGTGGTACCTGGCCTAGCACCCGGCTGACCACCATACCCAGAAATCTAGATTTCAGCCGCACACTACATGTTGATCCACAAAGCTTGTCTAAACGTCAATTGCCACAAAAACGAGGCTCTCTGTTGGGATGAGGCCGTCTGTTCCGAGCAGGGATAGTGGTCTGTGCGTTACAGTACATGAATACGTCATTAGGGTGCTGCAGCTTGAGGTGTAAGGTGTCCACAACTACCTAGGTACAAGCAGTCACACCACACCTGTACCTCAACACCCGATTGTTGTTTTTACCTCGATTGTTTTCGAATGCATGTTGTGCTCTTACGGTCTTGTTTGCTACATTGTTATGGCCAATCTTCCGCTCTGAGCTGCGTTCAGCTGAGGCACCCTTATCTCCATCGCGCCAGTGGACCATTCCATTCAAGCGCTATGCGACCATATGCTTACAACTACATAAGCTCGACCTGGTATTAGCATGCGATCAAACCGAGTTTGGACCTCAGAAATCATCCTCAGGAGGTGTTGAATACCTGGCCGATACCACTACCGGTTATGAGCCCCCTACCACAAGATCCGTGGACAGCAAAAGGAGTCAAAGCGTAGAAGCTCAGCAACAGTATCTTACTTCCACAGTGTTGGTATAAGAACATCCTACTCAGAAAACCTAATGCGTAGTTGGTCACCACTTTGATGCGCGCGCGACTACCTCTCATACTGCGATTTAGGTCTATTCGATAAGCGGCCTACTATGCGAAACATCATAATGGTACATCAAAGGACAGAAGGGTATGGTGCGAACGATCTTGGCTAACGGCTCCTGCAGGTCTTGAACATGAAGTTTGCCGATCTCGTCACCGCCCCGGCCCCACACAACCGCAGGAATTTTCTTTGTCAACCACCAAACCACAACTCAGCAAGGTGGATGAAAGCGACACTTAGAATCTCAAGTCTGAGTGCTGCACTTCAACATCGCTACCGTGGATAATATTGTTGTATTTCCTCTGTCTTCCATCAATCAATAACATCGCCCGGCTAGCTCAATCGGTAGAGCGTGAGACTCTTAGCTTTCACGTCCTAACAAGACTCGATTGGTTATCTCAAGGTTGTGGGTTCGACCCCCACGTCGGGCTCATTGTTTTTGTGCTCCTGTTGACCATGCCGTCGTCGTCGTTGAAGTGGTGGTTGACTTTGGAGCAGGTTTTTTTTTGCCAAGCATTCCTGCCACCCCCATATTCTTCACCAGGCCCTGTGCATGAGGATAGTGTATACCCTATCATGTATGCATCATGCTGCTATCATTATTTTTAATGCCAGTGTCTGCATCTATCAGGAGACCTTCCGGAGGAATTACACACCAACCATACTACAAGTGGGACAAAGACTACAGAGCAAGGTACTGCTACTAGAGACACTACGGATGGAGACAGAGCGCTTGTTCTGTTCTAACATGCTGACTGTATCAAAGACCATATCAAACGTCACGATTAGTAGCCGTCGTAGGAAAGTTGACGAACATCGTTAATATTCCTGTTGAGGAATGGATTCGACAGGGCCTGACAGAGCTAGGCACCCCTACAACTCCTGTTATATCCAGTCCTTCGAGATGATCTTCCTTTGGTTGAGCCCTTGTTCTTCAATACTCCCCCTTTCGACTTTGGAGCCTTTGATGGCATATGGTCTTTATCTATTATGGTGTAGCCATGTTCCGTGGTTTCAACTCGTACGCTCAGGTACGACATGCTGTTGGTCGAATGCTCATGCCTCGAATTCTGGTTTCTAAGGTTTGTGCCAGCACATGACCCCTTGGCTCGTCACACTGCCTTCCAGGATGACTGTAGACCTTGCTTTGTAGCCGAAACTGACACGTCAACTTCCTTCTTGACTGTAATATCCAAACCACGGCCGCTGTGATCACTGTTCTGGGTTGGTGCCCGAGTTGCATAACCAGCGTCTTGCTGTGTTCCGACAATCCTCTCCTGGCTCTCATTTCCTTGCGCCGTATGAAGCACGCTAATGTTATACGGATCCTTTGGCTTGCGGAATCCCAGACGCGATGCCTTTGATCCGTCGCCTCCACTCCCCGATAGCTCGTGAGATTCGTAGCCGTGTGATGGCTTGTTCGATGGGTACGAGTTGGAGCTGTCGTAGTTGCCACTCCAGAACCGGCTGGTAAAAAGAGGACGAATGATGGTGGCTTGACCGATGATGATTGCGACAATATCTTCTCGACAAGACCAGATGGCCGCTGTTTGGCCTTGCTGAAGCTGCAATAACTGTTAGCCGGAAATTGGACCTTTTGCTCGTTAGACACTTACCGCCATGACGAAATAAACCCGCAAGATTGCCGCTATCATGATGAACATAGCTCCGGAGAACATGATCATCAATCCAATCTTGCGGCCCCATGAGATCTTGAGTGGGATGATGATGGGGATGGGGATGAGCATGATGCATACATCCGTCAACAGATTCAACACCAATATGGTCACCAAGAATGCCGGACTCTGCGGCATGCAGTATTCTGGTAAGTTCATTCAGCTTCAACATCGCTCTGAAGTGATGCAGCGTTACTCACTGCCTGGGTCCGGAAGAATCTGCCATATCTTGTGAAAAGGGCGACATGCTGAGCCGAGCAAAATCCAGATAGAGATGCCGGTTACGCCGACGAACACCATGGTGGGGACGATGAACATCTTCACCCATACTACACTGACCACTCGTCTGTAGAGAAACAACATGTTCAACTTCAGAGTCCAGATCAAGCCGATGTAGGTGAACCAACCAACCATGAACCACTGGCTGCCCTTTTGGCGTGCAGCCGCTTGCTCAGGGGTGAACGACAGTCTTTCTTGCATAGTGAGATGCGACGTGTCGCCGGTTCCTCCTACGATGTGAGCAGCTACCGTCATGCCTGTGTAACATGCCTGCGAATGTTAGTGCTTCTTCGCAAGTTCTCTTTGGTTGGATCACTCGACTTACCCACGCAAAGAAGATCAGGTAGTCGTCCGGATGCCACCCAGCGATACCGACCATCCTCGTGCGCGAGAACACTCTCAGCATGATAGCAATGCTTCCAAACGCGTATAGAGTCCATGTCTCGATGAGAGCCTGTTCCAGTGGGCTCACCGCCATGATTCTGGTATGTAGGAGAACAGCGAAGCTTCGCCAATAACGAAAAAAGTAGATTGGAGTTCCACAATCAAGAAATATTACACCACGTCACAGTGGCACATAAAAGAATAGATTGCGAGGTGTACATGCAAATGTCCTCAAACGGATGTTCCCGAACAATGCTTTTGAATCTCTTTGCAGCTCGAAGTACACGTGCATGCCTCATCCAAACAACGTCGCAACACAAGGACCAGTCACCAGCTTTCGGTGCCTGAAGTCTTGCAACGCCGACCACTGAGCACTTTGACCACACTCAAGGCGTTGACCCGGTGGCCCCGATCCATGTCTTCCGCGCCCCTCTCAAAAGAAATCTTGTCCCGCAATAGCCCCATCCAGTACAGTTCCCCCAGTTGCAGCCACAAAGGTCCTTGAATAAGAGCCGTTGCACTGCCGTAGTGCCCGGAACCACTCCCTGACTTGTTACTTGTGCAAGAACTGGCGAGGCTGCATCAGTGACGTCGGGCCTTCTGTACGAACCTACCGCACTTTCGATATCCCTGATATACCCACATCTCCACCCATTCGAGACTTTAAGACCCTCGAATTATCCTCGGATAAATGACTCCGCGAGTATACACATCGTTCTTCACGTATAGACTAGGAAATCGATCCTAGACTTACGGTCATACTCGCGGGCCGTCGTCGGATGCGTCTTGAACTCGAATGGTCTGGAGTAAATACATTCAGTAAGATCTGCCAACTTGTAACACACAGTGGGAACGTCTCCTTCAATAATCGACATGATCACAGAATGAAGCTTTGCAGGTTATCTAGCGCCCGCGTCGCCTTTCCAAAATAACACAAACGGTTTGGTTGCCTCAGCAAAAGGCCCGAACCTTCCGCCCATGCATGCGACGCTGCAGGGCTTCGAATCCTTTGCATGCATTTGTGCAATCAGGCATCCACTCTACGAGCCCAATCCCGCGCCATAGAAAGCAGGTACGGCGAGCGCGTTCTGTTTGCGTCCAGGCAATCTTCACAATATCGTACGGGCTACGTTCAATGAATTTGGTGGTCAGCCAGTTTATAGTTTCGCTAGACAAACTGCCGTTAACTAACAAACGGACGAGCCGTACCGCGCTGAGTCGCGGGGGGCCTAGGTTAAAGCGGGTGGGGCTTGCTGTACTACTTTCTCTGACCATGCTGATTCGGGACTCACAACAAGGATTCGTCCAGGTATCCCCCTAATCAACGATAATCAAAACGTGAATGGTAGTTTGTTCGCGCGTAGTGCGCCGTGCACCAAGGACCGACGATTGACAGCTCAAAGAGTTAAGGTACGCGAGAAGCCCTGGATTCTTAGGTCCAAGCAATCCTCTCCTCCCCACTCATTCGGTGTCCTCCCTGTCTGCTTCCTTTCGGCTACATCTGCAGTGATACTGACTGCACATTTCCTCATAATCTATCTCAGCCAGTGTGTCGGGAGGCAAAATCATATTACAACATGGGTTCTATCGATGATCTCAAGAACTTGTCGTTGAACGACAGATCTAACGGGGCCAATGGCACCAACGGTACTCAGGTAAAAGAACTCGATGCCTTGGTCGTTGGCGCAGGTTTCGGCGGCGTCTACCAACTGAAGGTTATCCGCGATGCAGGCTACAGTGTCAAACTGGTCGAGCATGGATCAGACTACGGAGGTGTGTGGTACTGGAACCGGTACCCTGGCGCACGTGTCGACAGCGCTATTCCCCACTACGAATTCTCCGATCCAGCACTGTGGAAAGACTGGACATGGAAGCAGCGCTTCCCAGGTAGCGAGGAACTCCGGGCTTACTTCAACCACGTGGCCAAGGTATGGGACTTGAGGAAGGATACGCAATTTAATACCTTCGTCTCGTCTGCGGCATGGAGTGATGACGAAACGAAGTGGACTGTGAAGACGAAAGCTGGCGAAACGTACAGAGTGAAGTTCCTGTTGTTGAATACCGGCTTCGCGGCGAAGCGATACATCCCCGACTGGAAAGGCCTTGACTCTTTCAAAGGTTTGTACGTATTGATCTTATTGCAAGCCTCACTGACTCCGTCCAGGAACACTCTTGCACCCATCATACTGGCCCCATGAAGAGCTTAACCTTCGTGGCAAGAAGGTGGCCGTTGTCGGCACAGGGTCCACTGGCATCCAGCTGGCCCAAGAGCTGAGCGATGTTGCTGGCCATCTTACTGTCTTCCAGCGGACGCCAAACATGTCGTTACCGATGGGTCAAGTCGACTATGACCTTCCCAAACAGGCTCTTCCCAAACCAGATTATCCCAAACTCTTTGCTGAGCGCACAGACAGCTTCTCGGGTTTCTCCTTCAACTTCCTCCCTAAGTCAACCTTTGATGATACACCAGAACAACGACTGAAGACGTATGACGGGCTCTGGAACGAGGGCGACTTCAAGTTCTGGCTCGCAACGTACTACGATATGCTCTTCACCAAAGAAGCCAACCGAGAGGCATACAACTTCTGGCGCGACAAGACACGAGCGAAGATCAATGACACTAAGGTCGCAGATATCCTAGCGCCCATGGACCAACCATATGCCTTTGGTTGCAAGCGTATCTCCCTGGAGAACAAGTATTTCGAGATGTACAATAAGCCCAACGTCTCACTTGTCGACATTAGTGAAAAGGGCACACCAATCCAAGAGATTACCGAGAAAGGCATCAGGACCGCGGACAAGGAACACGAGTTCGACTACATCATCAGCGCGACCGGGTACGACGCTGTCACCGGGGGTCTGAAACAGATCGACATCCGTGGCCCGTCAGGCGAAAGCTTGAGCGAGCATTGGAAGGACGGCGCGAAGACGTATCTTGGTATGTCGGTGGCGGGCTTTCCCAACATGTTCTTCACATACGGGCCGCAGGCTCCGACTGCCCTGTGCAATGGTCCCACGTGCGCTGAGCTCCAGGGCAACTGGATCTTGCAGACGATGAACCATATGAAGGAGAAGTCGTTGCGTAAAGTAGTAGCGCAGAAGGAAAGCGAGGATCAGTGGAAGGAGCTCATTTGGAAGCTTGCTAACGCGTCGCTGCTGCCCAGCGTAGATTCAGTAAGTCTCATGAAGCTGCTTCTTTGAGAAAGATGTAATGTACTGACATAGCGACAGTGGTATATGGGTACCAACATTCCTGGAAAGACTCGAGAGCCATTGATCTACCTCGGTGGTGTGCCAACTTACTACAAGACGATCAATGAGACCGCAGCGAATGGGTATAATGGGTTCGATCTGTCATGAAATAACGAGGTGCGATGAAGCATGATGAAGGTGTGGGTGGATAAACACGAGTATGAGGATTCAATGCCTAGATCAGTGGAACGATGAATATTGTTTCAGCCTCCCAAATGATGCAAGATGTGCTTTCTCGTTGCTAATCGTGTAGTCGCGGCTGAGTGAAACGCGCTAAGGGGCCATTACCAGCCCCGTGATTTTCGGACTATGTCGTCATCTTCCAAACGCAACCCTGCCACCGAAACAGTGAGCATCGAACGAGCACCGTCTGCGATAACCATCATAGCGCAATTATGGCGCAAAATATTCCGCTGCGAACAACCTTTCCCACTACCGTTATGTGCATGTGCGTGGTCAGGTGGTAATGTTTTGTCGCAAAAGGAATCATCACGAAGCGAGGAACGGTTTTCTACGCGCAATTGCTTAAATCGCTGTCAAGTATCTCGTTCGTTTGTGTCTTTCTGGCCCTGCGTTGGTTTACGGTTTGTTTCTTTTAACTCTTCACACTGCTAGATATCTTCCCACTCCTCGGATGTCCATGAAGAGTGCGAAGTAGCTTGACTGGCCGTTAGCTTCTCCATCAGAGCTCGAGGCGGGATCTGTAAGAGATCTTCTGGGCGTAAAGCACCTTCTCGACGAGGGGGCAGCTCAAGGCTCAAATAGCTTCGGATAGAATCTTCCCTTTGCGCTGCCACCTCTTCTATCTTCGTCTCAGCCTCAACTTCCGAGTTCTCCGTCTCCATGTAATCACTCGCGGGATGTTTCGATTCGACAAAGCCAAAGAGCGATCCCAACCGAGAACAAATGCGCTCGATTCTATGTAGCAACGGTCGGAGAAGGGGAAGATTAGCACCCGTTACTGCCAGAGAACTCTCGACCATGCTCCATGCAAATACTGGTGTGGTAAAGTCTTACTCCACGATTAGTGATGGCGTCCCGGTTTTTTTGCGGACATCGAACATACAAGTTAAGTCATTCATCTTTGCCATCATACCTCGACCTATTGTAACAAATTGGATGATTTGCATGACGCCTGCTCCACACACACTGCTTGCAGTTAGCAATATCTCCGTGTCAAACGAAGCACGGATACCTACACCACTCCGAGCAGAAGGATGCATGCTGCCGCGATTCGAGTTTTCCAGCGCATCTGCAGCTGATATATCACGGGCAGTGGCGAAGCCAGAATGACTATGTCTGTGATGAACCCACTTATCGACACAGAATAGTAGAAGCGGAGAGTGTCGAAACACTTAACTTGGCGGATTGGCGCGTACTCGAATGTCGTCCAAAGAATCCGCGGGTTTCGGCATTGGAACACCATCGCGAAGAAGAACGATATCATCCATGCCGCCATGACTATCATCAAGATATTGTTGATGAATAGAAACCGTGGATACACGTAGAACACTCGACGGTAGAAGCACAGGACGGAGCACTTGGTGAGACCCAAAGAGATGGCTGCAAGAAGTTGCAGGGTATAATTCGCCTGCGACTATTAGGAATTGAGGATACCTGTAGAACGGGGCTTTACCTGTTCGTATACCCTTAGTTGCGCGGTATATACCGGGCCATCGGGACCTACGACATTCGTTTGGTGTTGAGCCATCTCTCCAAGTTCAGTGCCTGGAATCGAGTTAGGCCAGAGCCGATGCACAGCTCAATATTTACTAACCTACAATTATTGTAGCAGCCATACCAACTACGCATAACTGCCTAAATGTAAGCAATGACTCGAAGGGCGGACTGTTTGAGTGGCGTACCAAAGCTGGGATGATCAGGACATCATCAATACCGACTTTGTTGCGAGACTTCGTATGCGCCCAGAATCTCAATGCCACTGAGATGATAGAGAGCATCGTTAGCGTAACCGCTAAAGCGATGAATTTGGCAGGGCTCCACGCCATGCAGCTCCTACTATACCCAGGTATGCAGACGCAGTAGTCAGCTTCGCTTAGGCAGGAATGAGGCACGGGTCTTCAGCTCGTGAGCCGCAAGGGCACGTGGTGAGTCGTACGTGGATTGCGATAGCGAAAACGTTCTGATGAATTGAGATACTGTGTAACAAGCGCGAGACACGTAGCAAGAGGCTCGCAGAAGGTACCTATGAATTTTCCTCATGTAGGCTCGTGCATCAGCTGTGCCGCAGCCATCTGGAAGCTGCCCATACCGCCTACGGCCAAGAGCAAGGGCTTGCTATCTTCATCAATCCCGCGGAGGACAGAGCTTTGCCTTCATTCCGGTGCTGCTTTACTCAACATGCCGCCATAGGATGCCCATAAGATTGACAAATTGTAAAAGCACAGTCGAATCGAATACAGGACAGCTTCGTAAACAGTCTCGCATCTTGATTCAAACGAAATCATGTATCAGAATAGAGAAGAAGAAAACACCGGTTTTACATACGTTCTCTCCAATGACGAAACCATGCCTTTTCGGGGAAAGAAGAGTAACGACAATCAAATTAAGTCTTTTCGACCCCTTGCTATTGTCGTTGTCATCACGGTTGGATATGTGCTTCTAGGAGCGCTATACATCCGTCTTCAAATTCAGTACTTGCACTTAGAGTCTGATGCTCGCATCTGGAGACCTGAGCTGTTCCCTTGTATGTTTGCCAAACCTCCGCTCTTGCTGTTATTAAAATCATCACCAGCCTTGGCTACATCAACTGCATACCGAAAACAAAGTCGCGTATTTTCTTTAACAGCAGCTGAAACACCTTTTGTGGGGTTTCCGAGCGCAGAGCTCGATGGCGCATGGCATAGACTTCTGGAAGGTCCGCATCAACATTTATTCCAAACGCAGAGTCGTAGCCAGCTAAATCAACCTGACAGATACCGTCATTAGAGTCTCCGAAGAGGACTTACAATACTACAACGTCACGTCTTTACCGTTAGCTGACGGCTCCGGTTTCGCATCACAAATCTTCATGGCTCACGAATTACACTGCCTTGTAAGCATAGCTTCAAGCAAACATCTTGAGATCGTTATACTGATATCGTCGTAGAAGAAGATCAGACAATGGATATACAAAGAGACTTACTTTGAGGATGTGCAAGGACTTGCTCGTAGCGAATTAGAGCGACACGTCAGTAAGATAACGCAGAAATCATATCAATCTCGAAATACAGGCTGATGTACCCACAGATCACTGCATCGAAACCTTGCGACAGGGCATCATGTGCAGAGGTGACGTGTCGCTCGGTACCTACACATATCTCTCTGGAGGAAATGATGTGACGGCGCGAAGTTGGGCGTCGCACCGATGTGTGGATTTCGATGCACTCATGGAATGGACTAGATCTCGCGCTATCGACATATTTGCAGACGGAATCCTGGTGAAGCCTGAAGATGTTGGCCCGGAGCACATCACGGAAAGAACAGAGCCACATGCATAGTCTCATATGTAGTCATATCTCGATGCTGTTTTATTCTGACTAGCTACTGTAGTGTTCGTGTTTGGTTTACAAAGTTGACTTGGAGGTCATGGGTGTGGAGGGCCTCCGCCCGTGAGATACCCCATTCATCAGCCCATTCAGTCAACTCATCATAATTCCTGCACGTCCTCTCGGATTGCCATCCGGAGATTCCGCGTGCTGTGTAATTCATCATCTCCAGATTGGAGTCGGCGAGGCAAATGAGTGACTGCCTGAGGTATTCGAAGCAGTGTCGGACGTGGTGATGGCTGGTTCGATGGTTTTTCTCGCGCGACTCGTCACCCATCTCCTCGAGATTCCCATCCACTGAAGCCCAGAAAGCCTGACGTAACATGTTCTAGATTGTCTTCAGCCATACAACTCTAAAACGTACAGAGTTGGGGAGATTTACAAGGCAGTGCAATTCATGAAAAACAGCAATACCAGCTACGCCCGGTGCAAGAACTGGATGCCGAATAAAACCGAGTTTCTCTGGAAAGAGAGAAGCCCACGCTGCATCACTCTCCTCGTTTGGTCTTTGAGGAAATGTCTCATTAAATTGCATATAATAGTGGACATCGCCAGCCGGAACTAGGTTCTCGTGAGCATGAATTCGGTAGCTTTACACGATGATACTTACGTGTAGTAGTCGCTGCAATGGCTCCCTTCGACGAGCCCAGCACATAACCAGTACCCAGTGCTCCGAGAACGCCCAAGACGATGACAGAGCCTTTGACAACCTTTTGCAGACGTGATTCCAATGTGTAGACAGCTTCATTGGCATTGATGCCGTCTTCGGAGAAGGATAGGGGGACGTAGCCTTCGAATCTCGCCATATTAAAAATCTTGAAAATGTACGCTCGAAGTCTTGTGGCTGTCACGCAGCAAGTAAGTTGCTATCCACGCCAACATGATTATCCAGACACCGTTTCAATCGTACGAGTTCTAAGTGACGTGTAATGCGCACAAATTCTCCGAGAAGTTTCCACTAGAAGCAGTAAAAGCAGCAAGCATGCGTTCGGTACGCTACCGCCAACCTGGAATTGACATGTAAAGGGATTTCCGTAACGGGACGAGCCAGCGTCTACAGTCCGCAAACCGTTGGTCAGTCCTGCAGGCGGATTCGGGTGGTAGCCTACGCGAGTAAGGGAGATAAAGTTCGGCTGTTGTGTTACTGGCTGATCGGTCAGCCGATCGGTTACAGTGCCCGTGCGTCAGTTGAGCACCAACGCTAGTTAAGCACCTCCACCAGCTTAACAACAAAACTTTAACGCGTTATAACTTAACTAATATAGATCTAATTTAAGAAGTAATTATAGAAATTAAATTACAAGAACTAGGAGATAATTTCTTATACTAAGTAATCACAAAAAAGTATAGTATAGCATAGATAACGTTAATAAGATAATACCGCGGCGAAACTAAAGCCTATAGCGTACGCTACCTCTCCCTCTATCTATAATATAAAAAAGAGCTTCTACAATACATTAATACGCTTACTAAATAACGTTTACTACCTTTAAAGGAGATAATATAACGCTTTACTATAAACTTAGCTAGAAAAGAGGTTTTAGAAACCTAGGTTACCTAGTTTCTCTAGCGTTATTCTAACTCTCTTATCTTAGCGTATAGTAAGAGGTTAAGTAAACTTTATTATAATACTAATTTAGGAGCTAAGTATAGCTTATACTTTAAGCTTTTAATTAAAAAGATAGAAGAGTATAATATCTAGCTATCCTATATATTTAATATAGATAAAAAGAGGTTTTAACTTAAAAAGATTAGTAAAATAAAGTATATCTTCTCTAAGGTATATTATATAAAAAAAGAGGTACGCTAACTACTTAAAAATAGCTTAAGTAAGTAGATTACTATTATAGCTTATATTTATTTAGATAAGAGCGTTTTAAGTCCTTCTCTTATTTTTAAAGCAGCTAATAGAGCTATATAAACTAGCTAAGTTAATACTATATAAGTAAGAAACTACTTAGTCTTTACTACGTTGTTACCCTCTAGCTAAAGTAATAATAATATTAGATTATATTAGCTTAAAGAGGTGTTTAAAAGAGAAACTTAGTAGTATACTTTAACTAAGTATTAATTACTACTTCTTAACAGCTATAGATCTTATATTATAATAGACTTTATTAATTATTATTATAATTATAAGATCTTATTAGCTGTATACCTACTTTACGCTACTTATACGCTTTAACTACTTAATATAGTAATATTTAAACCTTTAGTAAACGCTTACTTAAAAGAGCTAATCTAATACCTTTAAAACTACTAAGGATTACTTAATATAACTAAAGGAGACTTCTTCCTACTTTTCTAGAGGTTCTAGGTTAAAGTTTTTAAACCTCTTTTTATTAAGAAGTCCTTTAAAGTAACTAGTATACACCTATCTAACTTAGTAGTTATACTTAATAAGTTTACTAAAGAGGGGTTAGATTTAGAAGCTAATTTAAGCTCTATACTTTCTACTAAGGATTAGCTTAAGCTAAAGTTAATTATACGTTAAGAGGTAAGAAATTAAAGTAGTAAAGAAGTTAAGAAGCTTTAATAAAGTTTATACTACTTTATAGCTTAAAATATACTCTTTTATAGTAAACTTTAAGGCCTTAAGTAGTCTCTAGCTATTAAAAAGAAGTAAGAAACTAAATCTTATACTCTATAGCTTAAGAATTATCCTAAGTATTATAGTAGAGCTATTTAGTAGTTACTAATAAGCGTTAAATAAGTTTAGAATAATAAAATATAATAATAATAATAAGCTAAGCTTAAAAAGCTTTAAAAAGCTAAGTAAGCTAAAGTAAGTAAAGTAGCTTACAATTATAAGGCAAAGCTTAAAGCTATAAAGCGTATAGAGTAAGAGAAAAGTTAAGAGGAGACTAGAAAGTAGAAGGCTATAAAAAAAGCTAAAAAGGAGTATTATAGAAGCCTCTATAACGCTGCTAAAGCTATATAATTACTTAAATTAAGTAAGTATAAAGCTTTAAAAGCTTATAAGCTAGCTATAAAGCGTTAAAAGTATAGTAGTATTACTATAACTATAGTAAAAGCCGCACAGGTTATACTAGCTACTCTACTGCGTAGTTAATAAGACTACCCTATAACGCTATCTAAAAAAATATCTAAATAAGCTAAAAGTTTTGTAGGCCTATATATAGTATAAATCTACTTTTACGCAATTTTATTATAATTTATAGTAGCTCTACAACTTTATTTTATTAACTATATTAAGTTGTTAAGGGTGCTTAACTGGCGTTGGTGCTCAACTGACGCACGGGCACTGTAGTAGCTTGCTCCTCCGTTGCGGCACAGCAAAATCACGTCAAGATACGATACGGTATGAGCAAGATAGCCCAGTTCTCGCTTCTATACAAAATTCGAGACGAAGGAACAGTTGCAGCAGCCCGTTGACGTGTACAATATTATGCAATGCAATGCAATGCTATGTGACGCCGAAGTAGGAAGACCGGAAGAGACCTTGAGACGTTCGTATGAATCGTGATCAAGTATCAGTATAGAAGTTCGACGAATTCCACGTTGACAAGGTATCCTGGTATGAAGCCTTAGTCGAACAATCCACCTGCATTATTTCATTCTCAAAACATCAAGTATGCGTTTCACTTGCCTCCTCCTCACCAGCCTGGTTGCCTTCGGCTTCCACGCCAATAGCTTACCTGTAGAGCCAAAGCGGCGTAAGTTAATGTCTAAAATCGACTATAGGGACAGTTCGCTGATACATGACATAGATGCTGCTGCTGCATCCGAAGCAAAATCCGACCCAGGCTTCAAGCCTGTCATCTCATGGGAACACACGAACGATGACGACGATGATGGCATGGTATATCAGTGGCGTCGCTAGGAACAGATATGCGACGACGAACGATGAAGGTGTTGAGACAATTTGGTCCTGGGGGAGATTTAACAAGAGTGAGAGGACTATGGTACTTAGAATCGGTACTTTACGCGCTATATGATATGCACTCAACGTTAGCATTGTTTCTTGGATGTATTGGATATAATGGTGAATTTTGCATCCCTTTTGATTCATTCACTCCATACCACCTCAATGATCGATAACGTCGAACCTGGAGGTTGATGCACATCTTTCAATTGGAACCTCACGTCAGTTTCCTCGAGCAAGCTTCTCCATTCGTCCAGGTCGCGCTCTTTGGCATTTCCAACTTCTAGCATAGTCAAATCCATGGCCCTATGAGCTCTTAGTAAGACGCATGTCAGATGAACAAGATGCGCAAACATACCTTAGTTTGCGGTCAATATCATTTGGAAGCGCGCCAGGCGGAGGCATTACCATGTCCATAATCAATAACCTGGCACCTGGCTTCAGAGCTGGTATCAACGCTCTTAACGTCTTAGCACAATATTTGTCTGGCCAATTGTGTAATGTATGTCGATAGTAGTACACCTCAGCGCCCTTCATTGGTTGCTCATCGAAGAAGTCATGTGCCATGAATTCCACATTCAGGCCAATCTCTGGTCTCGCGTTCTTGATCACTTCAGGGAGATCCTGCACGATGAAGTGATGGTTTGGGTACTTTCGTGCAAGCGCAAATGCAGTGTCGCCATGAGAACCACCTAGGTCGACGACCGTACCAGGTGGCGTCGCGGCCCAGGTATATCCGTCTGTAAAGTGATGGAGGGAATACCCATCTCCCTTGGCGAGGGAACTCATAGCCCCGCCAAAGCGGCGTGCGCGATGCGGGCTTTGCGCCAAAACCATATGGAACGGAAGGTCGGTATTGTTGGCGATCGAGAATCCCTAAGATCCTACTAAGCGCCATGTGACAAATCTATCATGCATTCGCTTACAGTCTGATTAGGTTCCGCGGCATCAGGCCACCTTGCCAGCGCATCTACTACTTTCTCCGCTGCAGGCCACAGATCGCCCGACGACGCGCCAACCCAGTCTGCCACGCGAGCATCATCCGCGATCTGTCTGGATGCTGCAGAGTGTGCTATGACCCCTTGCCGAGGCTCTCTGAAGATGCGGAAGGCAATGCCGAGACGAAGGATGCGAGCCATCGCCCCTTCGTCTATCCCAACAGCAGCTGCCAGCCGGCTAAAAGTAACTTCTCCATCTACCGGTACTTTGCTAGCAATCTCGAATCGAGAAATGAGCTGGAGGTATACTTGAACATTGTGCTGTGAGGACGTTAACACTGGACTGGAGTCTGGAGATTTGGGTGGTGCCAATACGGACATGGTGATTGAATAACAGATCTCGAGGATGCTGTAGGAGATCGTTCAGTTCCTGGCTTGCGCGAAGAACAGTAGTGCGTGAATGCTCGAGATCAGAGGATAGCCCAAGATCCGTAGGACTATCAGCATGGAACGAAGGACTGGGTAAGCCGTTACTGTTGAGGTATTCGTCGATTCTTTGGGTATGATATGCCACCTTGGCGGCCAGCTCTGATATGCGGCTCTGGGATGTAGTCATGGCGCTTGGTATAACCGTAAGATTGTCACTCAACCAGAGAGTCGACCAGCTTTATAGCTTGTATAAACAACGCATGGAGCTACACGCTTTGTATCTAGCTCATGCGGACATGATACGCTGCTCCACTACCCGCGATAGATGTGCTTACGTAGGTAAGTAATAGAGGTAAATCTCCCGTACTTGTCAGCGTCATGTTAGTGTGCACTTCCAGAAAATGACCGGCTATATCGGCATCTGACCGATAGCTCTATGTTGCTGTTTGTGTAATGCCAACAAGTTTCTTGGTTGCATGGGTGTCAAGAATAGCAGCTGGGACAAGAGACACCCGGTCACTAGGAAGATGACCGAAGTGGGGTAATTCAATCGGCTAGCGTTGGAATTCCATTGGCTGTCTGCTTTGGCTGCCGCAATAGCTGTCATTGCTGCAAGCGCAACTGTACGGTCTGATTGATGTAATCTACAAGAGAGCTGATCAGACTTCACATATCATCTTCCCCCGACTGTAATTGGCAAAAAAGAAAATGATGGGAATTCCAGTATCCCGAGAATTTCAGAGCATTCGTTCACCTCGTCTAAGTATGCTAAAAAATGCCTACGTGGTGGCCTGAGCAATGCACAGTGTGCAGTGCAGTGTCGGACATACATACGATCCATGTGTTCGTTTCTTGGTGTACATATGGTCCACAAATCTGTTTTCTTAGTGCAGCTCTACTTCTACCTGCCGTGCCGCGTTATTTAACCCAGGGGTCCCTCACCCCTCCATTTTCTGCGGCACGGCTGTCGAGATGGAACACGAAACCCTTTTATCTGCCTACATTGAATCATTGAAACACGACAATGATTTGGATCACAAAAATGGTGATACGGAGGCAAGTACGAAAGCTTGCAAGAAGGACAAGAGATGGACAAGAAAGTACCTTGGGCTATGCATCAGTCTCTGCGTGGTTAGCGTACTCATTGGCTTCTTAGGTAGCCGGTTGTTGCAAAGAACGATATCAAACGCGCTGAAGACGAATTCTGAGTCCGCAACAGAGATCTGTCAAGCGCCATCTATACGACGCGAATGGCGCAGTCTGAGCGAATTTGAGAAAGACACTTATACAGATGCTGTCCTCTGTCTACGAACGAAGCCTTCGCGGATCGGAATGAACCATACCCTCTGGGATGACTTTCCATATGTACACTTCCAGTCTAACGACGATAGTAGGTACGAGATGTTGAGTCGTACTCACTCTATGACTTACGTGTATCATTAGTACATTTTGCGGCACCGTTTCTCACTTGGCACCGTTATCTCATTCACACATATCATCAGGCGTTGGTGACGGAATGTGGTTATAATGGAGAGCTCCCGTAAGTACAGATGTTTCAACTGCGTATCTTTACCAACCTAATCCAGGTACTGGGACTGGACGCTGGACTGGCAGAACCTCTCTGCCGCGCCAGTTTGGGATCTCGAACATGGTTTCTCCGGCAATGGCCACGAGAGCTCAGAACCCAGCGCCTTGTTTCCACGTTCGCATTGCATCGAAGATGGTCCATTCGCTAACGTCAATGTTTCACTCGCTGGTGCTACATACGCGCCTCATTGTCTGACTCGCGACTTCGGGTCCTTTAGACATGAGCCCGTTGCGAGCCTATCGCAGCACCTTCGGCCGAGCGCAATTGAGGCTCTTATGGAAGAAGACGACTACTACAAGTTTCTCCTAAAATTTGAAGATGGTGCGCATATAGCGATACCGAAGTTCATTATGGGAGATTTTCACCTGTTCACATCGCCTAATGGTAGGTGCTTCCAATTCTTCTTGACCGTTTTGCTCACATTCCTGAAAATGGAGAACAGCTCCACTGATGCATTGGTAGACCCAATATTCTTTCTCCATCATGGGCAAATTGACAGGATTTGGTGGCGGTGGCAGCAACATAATCTACAACAGCGACAATACAGGTACACAGGTAGCTTCAAGCCCAGGTCGAAAGAGCAGGCAAATTTCGATGATATTGTCTCGATTGGAGGTCTTGCTCCGGATATCAAGGCTTCAGAACTCTTGAATGTACGATCGGGTATATTTTGCTATACATACTAGGAAGAAAGGCGACTGAATCAGTCAAGCTTACAATTAATTGTTTCCTCACACCTGCATCGTTGCAGCAGCTTTCAGATCGCGGCTGCTAGCTCCAACATGCATCTTGTACTCCCCCTTCACAACCGCCCACTCTTGCGCAACGACATCCCATACACTCAGGTCCCTTCTGCGAAGCTGAAACTGCACTTTCTCGGTCTGACCAGGCTTGATCGTGACCTTCTGGAAGCCGCGCAATTGTTTGACTGGCTCATCAGCTGCAGCAGGGAACTCGACGTACAGCTGTGCGACTTCCGCGCCGGCGACATGGCCCGTGTTGGTAACGGTAGTGCTTACAGTGGCAACGAGATCCCAAAGATCTTCACGGCCACCAACAGCGAGTGCACCAGATGCGTAGGTCTCGGATAACTTCTCGGTGTCCGAAGTGACGGTGATGTTAGATGCGTACTCGAAATTGGTGTAGCTCAATCCAAACCCGAATTCGTAACCAACTGTCTTATTCTGCTGATCAAAGTACTTGTAGTCGATGAAGTTGCCTTCGGTAAAGTCAATCTCGGATGCTTCGCTGATCTGGAAGTTGGAATCGTAATCAGACTCGTTCTTGGCGAGCGTGTGGACAAGCTTGCCGGAAGGGTTGACGTCGCCAAACAATACTTCGTTGATCGCATGACCGGAAGATTGACCGAGTGGGCCACCGTATAGGATCGCCGTAACATTCTCATGGTCGTTCCACTGTGAAAGTAGGCGCGGACCGACAGTATTGACAACCACGATAGTGTTGTTGCAGTTGTCCGCCACATAGTTGACTAGATGATCTTGCTCCGCATTTGCAAGCTCACTCCTGTCACCTCCTTCGCCAGCCCAAGCGTTGATGAAGACGATACACGCATCAGAGCCGTCTGCCATACCAAGAGTGGTTTCCTGAATCTCCGTCCCAGCGCCATCGCTGATTATCATACCTCCACCTGAGCTCTCGACGACTGTGTTGTTCAACCACCACTTGAGCATGAACCCATCTGATTCGGCTCGTTCGTTGAAGGCCTGGAATGGAGTCACCAAAAACGCGTTTGATGACATTGCACTACCGCCGTTCTGAGTCATATGGCCTTCCATGATATCGGCCACACCAGACTGGACGGTGAGAGCAGTGTTTGGTCCGACGTTGCGTGGAGCGGCATGGCTGCCAAAGATGGATATAACACGCTGAGCTTTGGTAAGTGGAAGAGCACCATCGGTGTTCTTCAAAAGCACCAATGACTCTGCTGCGTACTTGCGTGCCAATTCGCCATGTTTGCCACGCACGTCAACATGATCTGTATAACCTGCATGTGTCGGGTAGTTCATATTTTGCTCTTGGCGGAAATAACCAATGAGGTTACGAATGACCATATCGTTTAGGCGATCTTCGGTGAAGGTCCCATTGGCTATGCCAGCAATGAGAGTGGCATTGCTCCAGTATGACGAAGAACCGTAGTCAAGCCCGGCATTTGCGGAGTCAACACCTGTTTTCTGAGCGCCTGCATCTGGGTTGACAAAGCCAGGGAAGCCCATCTCAGTTTTGAGAAGCCTTGAAAGTGTGTCCTGGTTCTCGCATCCGTAAGTGCCGTTGATACGGTTCATTGCGCACATGACAGCACCCACACCGTTCTTGACTGTATCGTAAAACGGTGCGAGGTAGGTCTCGTGGAGAGCTTTGTCGTCGACTACAACACTATAGGCTTCGGAGGAAGCTGCCGTGGAATTGTCCGTGAGGTCCTGGCGACGTCGCATGCTGGGAGGTGCGCCACCAGCGTTACCATCTGTGGAGTTGCCTCCGGGGCCACCAAAGCCTCCAGCCATTCCACCACCCATACTGTTCGAGCCTTGACGATTGGTCTCCTGCTCATTCAGTACGTAGTGCTTCGCGCCAGGGATAACACCACTAGCCAACATTCCTTTGGCTAATGCGCCGCCCATGATGCCGGAGAAATAGGAGTCAGGACCATAACTCTCACCGCCTCGTCCATCCCAGGGCGAACGTCCAAGAGGCTGTACAGTGGGAGCATAACCGACATTGACTCCCTTTCCTTTGAACTCTGCCCCCAACGCTTGACCTTGGCCCTCGAGTATGGCTTTGTCCCAGGTCATGGCCATTGCAATACCTGCTGGCCAAGCGGTAACATAGTAGTAATTGATGGGGTTGGCGGACGAATCGAGGATCTCAAGACCGGAGAAATTGCCAGCACTACCTCCGGTAATTATGGAGAGCTTGTCGGAGGAGCTAAGGGTATCAACGAATGCGGAAGCCTTATCGTAGGCGCTCTGCCAGCTACCGAGCTTGACTGTAGCACATCATCAGTAGATATTGAGAATGGTTGGAGGGGCACGTACTGGTACCAGAACTAAGTCTAGCTTCAGTGTAGTTCGAAGAGACGGCAGCTTCAGCAGCACCGAAAAAGATAGCGGCAAGAAGCCAAAGATCGATCTTCATGGTCATGGTAAGGTGTTTTCCTATGTTTTGAGCGATACAAGGTGTTCAGAACCAAGATTGAAGAACAGAGGGATGAGAAAAAGAGAGTATGGCAATAAGCGAATGTAAGAGACGAGCGAATGATTGGCAATGTGGTAGGAAAGGCTCAAGATCTGAGCACCGTCTACGATCTTAAGCAACATCGTCAAATTTGCATTGTAACTGTAGGACAAGCTTCATGGCGCATTCACGCTTTCCGGCTAAAGGCTTATCAACGTGCTGACGAGTGCTACAACAGCTTGGCTAGGTTTTCCGTGCATTGCGGAGTATCTGATACCGAAAAAGCTAGTCGACTAGGACGATGCCTTTCCAGGTCCCATAATGGCAGGGCATCTCTAGATTGATGCCTCGATGTTGTTGGATTAGCGTTGTGGCGCCGCGTATGCATCGTTGCGAATGCTTGGCCTGTGCTCAGATGAAGACTGAAGCTAGCATCGCTCACCAATCACGGATGACACTCAGCACCAGGACCTCGTCATCACTGGATGGGCAGTTACGTGGTGACGGACGGGGTTCTCAGACTTCCATGCGGCATTTGCGATATGGAAGTTGCTGGTTGTTGAGCGGATGTGCCAAGATCGCGGTGCACATCAGATACCATCTGACGTACAGTCAGGAAAACATGAGAAGCTGGGACGCGCTTGTAGAACGCCAGACATACTTTTACGCGTTTAAACATGCGTTCTCTAATGGGCAGAGACAAATGTCGGGCTTGCGTATCGCGGGCAGGAAGACACGCACGAGAGTCGCGAGCCCAGCCTCCACTCCCCATGCCAGACCTGAGCTAGACGTGGCAATGTCCGCCGTAACTTAAATGGCGTTGTCGTGAATCATGCCCCTAAGCGCAGTGACGCGGATTAGAGAAAATTCGCAAGTTCAGGGTCCACAGGCACAGATGCGACCAGAAACATAGAAGAACAAGTTTCCGTTGATGGTTCTAATGGTAACATATTCGGAACTAACACTTTTGCGCATGAAGACGAAGTGAAATGTTGGTGTTCTTGCAGTCAAAGCCGATGAATGCGCGCACGTACCAGCGTTGACGTCAAATCGCTTGGCTGTGCGGAACCCAAATCGAGTCCTCAGGTTTGACAGACTTCCTGCAACCATATCACAGCTTTTTCTAGACTTGCTCCCGACAAACCTGCTCTTGACTCTCAGATACCTCTTTCCTATCCTTGAGCCTCACCCATCTCCCCAAGTCTTTTGATGATCTCCTCAGCGATTCATAGCGATGACCGTCAATGAGGATGTCGTCTTGACCCTGGAGGTGTAGATACCAGTAGAGAACTCCGACAAACAAGCCGCCACCCACAATATTCCCAAGCAGCGCAGGGGCGATGCCTTTCCCAATGTACATGCTGATGGTGATGTCGGGTGAGCCATGGAAGATGGCATTGGGTATCAGGAACATGTTGGCTACAACGTGATCTAGTACATACAGTCAGCTTATCTCTGAGCGTAGGAACAAAGGTGCGGTGCTTACCGAAGCCTAATGACACGAATGCAAATGTCGGCCACCATATGCCCACCACCTTGGACACGTAGTCCCGACCCGAACACCCAAGGAAGCATGCTAGACACACCAACCAATTCGCGCCGATGCCTCTCAGGAAGATTTGGTACCACTCTGGTTCAACTTGTTTCTTGTACGCAAAGTGCAACGACTCTTCTCGATATAACTTTCCATCGAACAGTCCACCATCTATACCAAGTCAGCCTCCCATCTTTCAAATAACGGTCACTGTCGGAGACTTACACCCAACGACGACACAACACACAAATAGACTTCCGGCAAGGTTTCCAAAGAAGGTCACAACCCAGTGTCTCAACATCCGCCATATGCTGAGTCGTCTGTGCAGTGCTGCAACAGTCGTGTACATGAAGCTGCCTGTACACAGGTCGCTTCCTGTCATCTGCACAATGACCAAGCCGTATGGGAACACGAGCGCCGCAATTGTCTTGAGGAGACCTGGTGCATTCTCCTGATACCACGGTGCTGTGTTGGTTGAAATGAGCGTTGCGCATGCGAAGGACAATATCATGCCAGCCGAGCAGGCACTGAGGAAGCTCTTGTCGATGCGCATGTACGCCTTCTTGACACCCATGCGCGAGACGAGCTCGAAGGACTCCTGTGGGGTGTATGCATTATTCGGTGACTGGTGCATGCTGTAAGCTTGTTGTTGAGTTGGTATCGATGAAAGAGTCGTCGGGACAGCATTAATAGGGGTTGCTGTCCCAGAGGAAGGGGTCGATTGCAGATGCATTGGCAAGAGGGTATGAGGCAGTACATGTCTTGGTGATGTTGATCTGTGGGCCATATTTGTTGTCGTGGCTGTGATGATTCGTAAGGAGACGCACGACGAAGCTGCGCAGCAGGACCGAAGCAAAGAGATCAAACTTTCAACACCGACGATCAAATGGAAGTCTCCATCGAATTAAATACAGTAAGTACCACAAGACTGTCCTGCTTCAACTTTCCGACATGTACCCGCGCGATCCCCAGCACATGTCCGAAAACCGAATTACCTACGGATGTTCTGTCTTTCAATTTCGTCGCGCCCAAGAAGGAAACTATCGGGCATACCCCCGTCTAAGCAACAATGTGTTGCGGCTCTTTCTCGCGCTTCGTTGCGCCCAGGCAGCTTGGCGAGGAACTTTTCGGCCTCATTGACGCTGGTTGAACTGCCAAGGGCTTGGGCCGAGTCGCAAGCGTGCGGTACCGCATTCCATAATTGGAACTTTTTCTCATCGTCGCGATAAGAAACTGTGGTGTTGTTTTCGATTTTGAGGCATGGCTAAGGGACTGCGCATACTCTGTATGTACAGAACCGGCGTGGCTGTACGGGTACACGACACTTCATTGGCGTGTGCAGCAAGGTGAAGTAATCATCGACCTCCTCTCGACTGTCGTTTCACACGTCTATCACAGAAAGGCCGTACAATCACGCTACGCTCTTTCTAGCGGACCAAGGGTACTAGGTACAACGTAAGCAGCAGTTCACAGAGGAGTGTCACACGTGGTACGAAGCTCAATCCCACCGACTTCTCCAGTCGTAGCAGATGGTTCGCGAATCGCATCCCAGTTGCAAATGACTGTATCCCATTAGGTGCGCGAATTTATGGCGACAAGACCTTGACTACGATGGACCCAAAGCCCAAGGCTCCGTCATAGACTTCCGCCTTTTCCTGTGAACCAAAAGTCTTGCCAAGGTCGAGGTATGCCAATGCCGACATGTTTCGTCGTTATATAATTTGAGGTCCTGCAGTGGTTTCCGTCATCCTGAGATTGCATCTAGTCAGACCCTATCAAGGGTCGTTTCTCTTGGACATTGAATCGTCCGACTTCAAAACATTCCTAAGAGTGTTAATGTACGGATCTGAGAAGTCTTTCAGCATGTTGAAAGTGGATGCGTATGCTGTTGGCATAAGAAGTAACAAGCATCGAGACGAACCAAGACAATCGCATGTAAGTTGTATAGAGTCTTGATAATGATGTGCGGAGAGAGGATGATGGGATCAGCAAGGGCCATGGCGTTATCGATAGGAACTAGCGCGAGCTTTACGCGTTCTGAGACGCGCCTCCATCAATTAACGGAAAGCGCGCCCAATCATCTCAGCTTTCACTCTTTCCCTCCACATCACAACCTCACGTCGGTCCTCACAGCATATCGACATGGCATCCCGACCAGAAATCAAGGAGGAGGACGAGTCAGGCTTCTGCAAGTTCTTCCGCAACTTGCCTGACAAAGATGACGAGACGGTGCGCATCTTCGACCGGGGTGACTACTACAGCGCCCATGGCGAAGATGCCAAGTTCATCGCAAACACAGTAAGGACACACAGCTCAATTGAGGAAGCGTCAAAATACTAACATGCATCCAGGTTTACAAAACCACAGCCGTCATCCGTAAGCTGGGACGGGAACCGGGCCTCGAGTCGGTCACCATGACCATCACCGTTTTCCGCAACTTCCTCCGCGACGCACTCTTCAGACTTAGCAAGCGTATCGAGATATGGCAATCTACAGGCAAGCGGATGGACTGGAAGGTGGTCAAGCAGGCCTCACCCGGTAATCTGCAGGACCTAGAAGACGAACTGGGTGGTCAGATGGAGAATGCACCAATAATATTAGCAGTCAAAGTGTCAGCAAAAGCATCAGAAGCGCGCAATGTGGGCGTGTGCTTCGCAGACGCAAGTGTACGAGAGCTTGGCGTCACAGAGTTCCTCGACAACGACCTCTACTCCAACTTCGAATCGCTTCTGATTCAGCTGGGCGTGAAAGAGTGCCTGATACAGGTCGATACATCCAAGAAGGATGTGGAGCTGGGCAAACTTCGGACCATCGCCGACAACTGCGGTTGTGCGGTAGCAGAGCGGTCGGCGACGGACTTTGGCACAAAGGACATTGAACAGGATCTCCCGCGGCTACTGAAGGACGAACGGGCAGCCGGCTCGTTGCCATTGACAGATCTGAAGCTGGCCATGGGCTCGGCTGCATGCTTGATCCGGTACCTGGGACTCATGTCAGACTCTTCCAACTTCGGACAATACCAGCTCTACCAACACGACCTCTCACAATACATGAAGCTCGACGCTGCGGCGCTGAAGGCACTCAACCTCATGCCTGGACCACGAGACGGCGCAAAGAATATGAGCCTGTACGGGCTGCTTAATCACTGCAAGACACCTACTGGTAGCCGACTACTAGCACAATGGTTGAAGCAGCCTCTGATGAACGTCAAGGACATTGAGCGACGGCAGCAGCTGGTTGAGGCCTTCGTCAATGACACTGAGCTGAGACAGACGATGCAAGAAGAACACTTACGTTCAATACCAGATCTGTACCGACTTGCAAAGAAGTTTCAACGCAAGGCCGCAAATTTGGAAGACGTTGTGCGAGCATATCAAGTCGTCATCCGGTTACCCGGCTTTCTCAGCTCCCTTGAGGCGGTGATGGACGAGCAGTACAAGGAACCGCTCGATGCGGAGTACACAGACAAGCTTCGCCAATACATGACGGCATTCGCGGGACTACAAGACATGGTGGAGACGACAGTGGATCTCGAAGCGCTCGACAACCACGAGTTTATCATCAAGCCTGAGTTCGATGAATCGTTAAAGACTATCCGGAAGCGTCTGGATAAGCTCAAGCGCGACATGGAGTCAGAGCATATGCGTGTGGGCGATGACCTCAATCAAGACACTGATAAGAAGCTTTTCCTGGAAAACCACAAGGTCAATGGCTGGTGCTTCCGACTTACTCGTAACGAAGCCGGCTGTATCAGACAAAAGAAGCAATACCAGGAGATCTCGACACAGAAGAACGGTGTGTACTTCACCACTAACACACTACAAGAAAAGCGACGAGAGTTCGACCAGCTCTCCGAGAACTACAACCGCACTCAATCCGGTCTTGTCAACGAGGTCGTCTCAGTAGCATCATCCTACGTTCCCGTCGTCGAGAAACTCGCCGCCGTGCTCGCACACCTCGATGTCATCGTCTCCTTCGCCCACGTCTCTGTTCACGCACCGACCTCCTATGTTAGACCCACAATGCATGCGCGCGGCACTGGCAACACCGTCTTGACAGAGGCACGTCACCCTTGCATGGAGCAGCAAGACGACATATCCTTCATTACAAATGATGTTTCACTCGTACGCGACTCCAGCGAATTCCTAATCATCACTGGTCCCAACATGGGTGGAAAATCTACATATATCCGCCAGATTGGCGTCATCGCCCTCATGGCACAGATTGGCTGTTTCGTCCCATGTTCAGAAGCTGAGCTGACCATCTTTGACTGTATACTTGCTCGTGTCGGTGCAAGCGACAGCCAGATCAAGGGCGTGTCAACCTTCATGGCCGAGATGTTGGAAACAGCAAACATTCTCAAGTCTGCCACAAAAGAGTCCCTCATCATCATCGACGAGCTTGGTCGCGGAACAAGTACGTATGATGGTTTTGGTCTTGCCTGGGCGATTTCCGAATACATCGTGAAGGAAATTGGTGCTTTCGCGTTGTTCGCCACACATTTCCATGAGTTGACCGCGCTTGTGGACACATATCCACAGGTGCAGAATTTACACGTCGTAGCCCACATCTCAGAAGGCACTGCTCCTGCCAATGGTGATGCAGATGCAGATGTCGACATGGACGCCACCGCTGTGCAGAAGAAACGCGAAGTCACTCTCCTATACAAAGTCGAACCTGGCTTCTCAGATCAGTCTTTTGGTATCCACGTCGCAGAACTCGTCCGTTTCCCACAAAAGGTCATTAACATGGCGAAGCGGAAGGCAGATGAACTGGAAGACTTTGCAGGCAAACATGAGGAAGGTTACGTGCAAGCGAGTAAGGAGGAGGTGGAGGACGGAAGTCGCATGCTGAAAGAAGTATTGGAGAAGTGGAAGGAAGAGGTACAGAGCAAGGGGCTAACGAAGAAGCAACAAGTAGAGAGGATGAGGGAGCTGGTCAAGGAGAACCCGAAGCTCATGGCGAATGGATTTTTCAAAGGCATTCAGGCCTTGTGAGTGGCAGGTACATACCTGACCGGCGTTTCGGCATGTAACAACATTCTTGCACCCAACCTACGGAAGGTTGATCTCAACAATACTTCAATAGTGAGCGCATTTGCACGATACCAGTAATTCATACATATAACATATTATCGAGGTTCCATAAACATGTGGTTTCCATGCTATTGCACATTCTTCTGTAAATGAATGTCGTGAAGAGTAAAAGATGAAGACTTGATAAGTTAATGCTTTGCGCTTTTCTCATCCCCAAGCGCATGGCCATGATGGTGTATCATAGTATCTGCCTCCAGTACAGACTGCCTGAACCCGGAGGCGCGCATCCCGATGCGGCAGTCCTGGAGCAAGGTGTGAAGAGCACTGGATTGTAACTCAACCAGGCTCGATCAATAAGAACCAAATTCTCGTCTCTATTTGTTTCATCGCTTCAGCTCGGCAAACCGCTTAGCAAGCTCGTCCACATCGGGGATTCTGCCTAGCCCATCCTCCTTCTTTGCCGGCTTCTTCGTATTCGCCTCGCTCTTTGCTACCTTGGCCGCCGCACTTCCTGGTAACTTCAACCTAGGCGCTACATTATCGGTACTAGGACTCGGCGGTACGACGCGCAGCGGACTTTGTGGACCCAGCTTCTTGGGTGTCGAGGCCTTTGCTAGCGCCTCCCTTTCCTCTGCCTTCTTGCTTGTACTGGGGTCCGCATCGTCGGTTGGTAGAGGTTCTTGGAGCTCCGCCTTTTGGCCTACACCACCTGATGGCTCATCGTCGTTGTCGTCGTCTTCTTCATCCTCACTCTTGGCTGTGCCATACGGTACCCCGTAGAATCTTGCAATCTCCGTCATGTATGCCTCGACCAACTCCTCCTTGGGTGTCTCAACCTTTAGCTTCTTCATGACTCTTTCTGCCACGCCTTCTCCTTCCATACTGGCCACTGCAACATCCTTGCCGAACTTGTCTACTAACAGCGCCCTGACGGTGTGTAGTTCCTTGATCTCGGTTCGTGGTGCGGCGTATATTATGCTGCGGACGGCTTCTTCTAGGGCTGGGTCGAGGAGTGTCGACGTGGAAGCGGATGAGGTGGTGTTTGAAGAGGATACTTGCGATTCAAGCAACTGTGAGCGCGCGAGTAGAAGCTCACAGTAGAGTTCGAGGATCTCGTGTAGCTCGGTGGTGATGTCGGTGCGGATTATGTTCTCCACGCGTATGCGCGCCGATTGTACTTTGCCAACCTGTCAGAATGTCAATACAAGTAACACGGAACAGAATCCAATCATGTCTGGAAATGCGCTGTTGCCTTGCGCTCACGCAACGAAATGCGCATCGGACCAAGATAACATGACAACGTACCTCGATCAATTGCGCCATCTCTCTTCTTTGCTGTTTTACTTTTGCGCTATCCTTCTGCTGCACCATACGTAGCCGCGATATCGACAGCTTGAGCTGCACCTTGAGCTTGTTCTGCCCCGCATTAGGTTCCTGGCGCGACAACGGGTCCCTTGATGGACGTGGAAGGGACGTACGACTAATGACATTGCGGGCGCCATCTTGTTCTGTTCCGTGCGAATACTGGTTATTTGGCGATTGGGTGAATGGCGTCGTGGTTTGTTGCGCAGGCGTCTGGTGTAGGTTGAAGCTAGTGGTTGGGCTGGAAGCTGGAGGCGGGACACGCGTAGGCATGTCTTGGTGGGGTTCATCGGTTGTGGCGGTGGCGGTGCAGGAGAGGCGGCCCGTTCCCACTAACATGACTACAGCACCAGCGTATCTGCGCACATCTTTTGGAAGAAGAGACCCTCCTTCTCATGCAACGTCGACAAACGTTTGTCCTGTGCATGGGGCCGTCAAACTAAGCGTGAAGAACGCGTAACATGTTGTCTTTCTGGTGTCTTTAATATCCAGCTGCCGGTGTCGTAGGGGGAAAGGAGAGGAAAGCCTTGATCCGGCTACAGAAAGCTATTCAGGGCATATCTACTTACCTCCACAACGTCCATTATTATATCCGCCACGCCATCTTTCTTCCAGCAACAGCTACCATCATCCCAGACACAGTCAGATATGGTGAGTCTTTCGGCTCTAAACTATCGAGCAGCCCGACTGGAGTCCGGTCTACAAGCAGGTAAGCGATCGATACAAACAGTAACGTCTGGTAGCATGATCAACATCGCATAACCGAGGCATAGTTGGCGAACGTGGACAGAGGGTCGGACACCCAGTTTTGAGCTGATTTGGCATCGCATGCCAATCTGCTGACCGACATCAGAGATGCTGTTCCTGAATCTGCTTGTCTTGATCCGAATCAGTTATTTGCGGATCGTGCATGTGGTAAAAGAACAAAGCTGAGTGGTTTCACTTCCCTCTGGCTTATCCAGAAGCGGCGCACATGCACAACAGTGGGGAAATTAGATTGGACGAATACGGTGTATTTTCAAATCTCAGGTATGAAGTAAGGGATCGGCATGTAAGCCAGCCTGATTAAACGAAGTTTCAGGCTGACCATGCAGCCATCTAGGCTCAATGAGTTGCGCCACCAGCATACAACTCCAATCACAGAAACCACTGCTATCACCATGCATGACGGCAGCATGTTGCCAAGACATCTCTTTGGGGGCCGTCTCACGACGCACAACTCACGGCCTGCTTACCTCGCGCTTTCTAGTCCCTTTGTCTGCTTACTTCTCCTTCTCTGCCCAACGAACTCACCTCGATACTCCTGTAAGACGAGTCAATTGGGCACGCGCATGTTTTTGCCCACATCAACGCCATGGCTCCATCATGGCGCATACTGAGTAGCTTTACGTTCAGCCTTGCAGCTCTCTTCATCGTACAGCCTTGTCTCGTAGGTGCGCAATGCGATATCCCGCCTCTTACGCTTACCTGGGCCAATCTGAGCGTCACGCAAGATGGTCTTGGTGTCGCGCGCGGTATCGAACTTGGTATTGGAACTCCACACCAGATCTTCGCTTTCCGGCCGTCGACTACGCTCAACAACACGCGCATTAATAATGTTGTTAACTGCGGTTCTGCGAGCAATGATAGCTGTATTGGAGGTCTCGGCGGTGCTTTCGACTCGACTAAGTCAACATCATATGCCGTATCGATTAAGAGTCAATGGAATGGTAGCCAGATCGACGATGAAGACGACACAGGTGGCTATGTCTACTTTAACGATGACGTCGCGTTTCAAGAAAATGGTCATGTTGATGGATTTCCGTTAGTGATGGATAGTGAGGTATGGGGAGGTAAGAATTCCATGAATGCGCCTTGTCCGATCTGACTTGCGGACAAGTGACGCTGACTCAGTATACAGGTATACAGTCCGGTCTGCCACTCGGCACGAACTCGTCATTCCTTCGCGCGGCGGTCGCAGGTGGTGTCGCGCCATCACAAGTCTTCGGTCTTTGGAGCGGCAGCAGAGGCATCGATCCACATGACGGTCTGCTCGTTGTAGGTGGATATGATCGCGCGCGGGTCGATCCAGCGTCGAACTTCACCACTTTCCCAATTGGCGAATGGAGTCTCGAACGAGCTTGTCCTTTACAGGTCACAGTCACGAATCTGACGTACCAGGACCGGCCACTCATACCAGATGGTAGCGATGAGCTGATCGCATGTATTGAGCCGTCGACACAACGTTTCGTGTTCCCTCCGGCGATTGCGCAGGCGTTCGGCGTATATACTGGGCAAAATGAGACTGCGTATCCGGGTAAGATGCATTATAATGTGTCGAACCGTCCCATGGGCGACCTCGTTGTGACATTGGCAGGCGGCTACCAGTCAACCATACCCAATAAGGAGTTGTTCGCGCCACTACGTGGGTCTGATCAGTACGGTCGTTATGCCATCACCAACGACAGCACGCTCGAAGCCTCGATATCGGATACCCGAGCAAGCGACCCGGGGGATGTGGATAATACTCTTGGGGGCCTCTTCTTAACTTTTAATTACCTTCTTGTAGACTACGCGAAGAGCGAGTTCCAACTCGCTCCAGCTGTCGCAGCCGACGCGAAAGACGTGTCGCCGGACCCTACGGTGATCTGCACGCCTACTAACACGACGCCGGCGAGTCCTACCCTAACACCTAAGAAGTCCACGAATACAGGTGCCATAGCAGGCGGTGTGGTTGGAGGTGTTGCGGGACTTGCTCTGCTTGGTACGATCGGCTTTCTGTTATTCAGGCGGAATCGCCGCGCTAAGGAGCGTCCTCCCGTCAGCGAGATCGACGGGCAGCCACATTCACCTGTGCAACAAGTGTCGCGACAACCGTCGGAGATGATGACGCACGAAGCTGCACCCGTGCACGAGATGCCTGCGACTCGATACCCGAGCTTTCGAAAACCTGAAAGTAGAGGATGGCGTTAGGATACGCGTCAAAGAGGAATGCTGGAGGCTGGTAGATTCGCTTCCGTTATGCGATGACGGAGTTTTGTACTAAAACTGTAGGCACTACGCTAAGTAATCCATTATGAGCTCGACTTCCCTTTCACAACTCTCTCACCTTTCTCCAATCGCTACCCAGTAGGCTACGATAACAGTTTCGCTCGCATGGTTGGTTCATACACCGGAACATCCATAGGCAAAACTTCCTCGTCGCGACAACAACTCACTTCTGCCCACCGTAACCAACCAGCGTACGTTCCATCTTTACAGTCGCTGCCAGGGTGCTTCCTCCAAAGCATGCCCAACGTATCACCACCAAAAAGCTTTGCCGAGAACCCGTGTCCAAGTTTGAGACACCAGCTATCGGCGACCAGTTTCTCTACGATACTCTTTGCAAATGCTTGATCGCCGGTCTCAACCTCACCTGGCTTAGGCAATGGAAGGCTCAGAAGATCGAATTGTCGTTGTCCGCTCCAGCCCGTCATTTGCTCGTGTGCGAAAGCGCCGTCCATCATGCTCAACAGCCAGCACTTTTCTCTGACGTACTTTGGTCCATCCCAGCCATCTCCTTCATCAACCCAGCCTTGCGCCGATCGCATGCACTGGATCTGAACTGCGTAGTCCGTCATCGCTTCGTCGTTTATGACCATCTTTCCTTGGCCTTCTTCTTCTACAATAACCTCTTGTGGCACACGCATAAGAGGGACATGTGACACCATTGGGTGGGTGTGCGCATCAGTCGTGTTTGTCTTGCCTTTCCAGACCTGAAGTAGGATATGATGTGCGCGTTGTACGAGCGGGTTATTCGCACTACACATGAGCGCAAAATTTACGATCTGCAAATCTGAACCCATTGTGAAACCGGCGAAATCGTATGGGGAGTCCGGATTGAAAATGTGTTTAGTCCATAGCTGGTCCAGGTCCCCAAATTGCAGGATACCGACATCGAGATATACGCCACCGTACTTCAGCAGGAGTGGATACCGGATGAGATCTGAGGTGTGTTGTGCAGCATAGTGTCCGTTCAGGGTGCCGCGCGTGAACGCTGCTGGTACCACTAAAGGCGACTCGGTATCAATGTAGTTGGCTACATTGAGTGGGGAATCCGGCACGACGTCAAGTACGTAGATGGTCCATCCTAGTGGTGAGAAGCGACGGTACCAAGCGATGACATTGCGTAGGAGATTGGGAGGTAGATTATGGATACCAGAGTTCCAAAAAGCAAATATAGACTTAGAGCCTGAACTAGGAGGTTTTGGTGAAGTCAGTGCTTCTGGTAGCGGTCCATCTGTTGGTATGGTAGGTAGAATTGTGTAAGGAAGTGCTGAGGTTCCCTGTATCTGTGGGTACCCCATAATTCGGCTCGATTGCTGACAGAAATCCGTGGACTGGGAGAAAACCCTGTGCTGTGAGAAGACTTTGTATGGTATAACATACACACAGCTTACGTGATATTCAGCTTGACGGTAGTTCACTCACTATGAACGTCCAATAGTCATTTCGACTCATTCGCGCTAGTAAGTCGCGTGACGTCACTACGCGAATCAGCCTCACCAGCCTCCTGGGAGGAGTTGAAGTGACATCCCGCAACCCTTTCTACCATTCTCTACTTCTGAGAAAGGGTTGTCAACAGAATGCAACCTTGTTTTCCCCTATCCAGTTGCCATGTACCAAGATGAGTCAACAAACCTTTACAGCTAAGTCACAGCCAAGCTGTCAACGTCCATCGCGTTAACATGATCACCGTTTCTGGTAGGATACGAATGGAAGAAACCCTGGACTCTTGAGTTCTGTCTAGAAAGCTACTGCACTATGGAGATTAAGCTCAAAGTGCTTCTCGCAAGGGCTACCTCTCGTGATCTCGCGAGGGGTCGCAGATCCGATTGCTGATAGCCTATTCGCACACGAAGTCTTGAGCAGTATACTCCGAGGAATTACCTCTGAACACGGCTTTCTTTGGGTACAAACAAAGTAGACGCTCTTTGTTTTCCGCGTTTCGGGCAGTGAGTGTCTCGGGTGCAACACCTTTTTCAACCCAATCAACTAAAGCTTGGAATGTCTCGTGTGGAGAACCGCCTTGTCCGTCTATGCAGTGACGAGCGCCTGGTGCTTCAAAATAGCGGTAGTAATCTCTTAACTCAGGATCGAGAACAGATACTCGATCGAAGTAATCGCGCGTTCCTCCATACGGTATTGCCGCATCTGCCTTTACAAGAAATGTCAGTCGTTTGTACAGTCCAGACGTTCGAACAGTACTTACAAGTCCATGCCACGTAAGGAGCTTCCCTCCCGACCTTCGAAGTCTGCTAAGATCCGGAAAATCGGTATTAATGATAGATTTGTACTCCCGCTCTCCTGCAACAAAATCATCAACCCACTCAGCGCGGGTCATATTGTTCAAATTGTGGTCTGGATTTTTCTCGACAAAATACTTGATCCAATCCGTAAACAGTGTGGGTCTCTGGGGGGTACACGTGCCGTTATTGCAGGTGCTTCCGATGATTGCGGTACTAGCAGCTGCTAATGTACCACCGTTTGCCTCGTAACCTGCTGGGTACCAAAGAGAGGACCCATTCTGTCTACGAGGCCCTTCCCAAACTGCTTCCATGATTATGGCAGCGTTGGCCGATATCGTCGAAGGCCCACCAGTCGCACTACAATTGACTGCGGATCCAACCAGGGTTCGTGGATTGACGTAGCACTTGTCTGGATCCGAGATCAACCCGTCAATCAACCCATCAAGTCCATCGCAAGTTGCTATAGCAGCTTTTGTAAGAGCTTCAAACTCGCAGGGGTGGGGAAAGCTGGTTGTGTTGAGTTCGTAGAAGACTTGGTGAGGATATGTTCCAGCAAAGAAGAATGGACTCCAATTAATAGCGGGTGCTGCTGCTGCGATTCCATCAAAGACGTCTGGAAATCTTTGTGCGAAAAGATAACCCTGTCTACCGCCTTGAGAGCAGCCGTCCCAATATGAGTACGACGGGGGAGAATGGTAGAAAGCTTTAATGATGCTTTTTGCAATCAATGCACCGTCGATAAGTCCGTTAAATGCGAAGTCCTGGAGTGCGTTATAATCGACGTTGCCAGGGCTAGTGAGAGCCCACTCTGCTACAGATAATCCATTCTCATGTTCTACTCCCCCATCGATGGTCGCACTTGCGTAGCCTCCAGTCACTTGACTGAAGGTGGGTGTACGAAGTTAGTAAGAGTCTCATATGCGATTCGTACATGGGAAAAACTAACCCGTACATGTTAGCGAATGATGAACTGAATCCCGCAGACCAACCACCGCCACCAGCCATTGTGAAACGACCATTCCAGTCAGGATTCAAAGGAAGCCATATCTGAGTGCGCAGCGTATCATTTTTTCCGGGGTGCGTATGAGTAACTGTAACATTACAAAAGTCGACCTTGATATCGGTGGGAAGTGGGCCGTGATTTGGCCAATGTGAAGTGACACCATCAGGGACATAGTCCAAGGCTAAGTGAGCTTCAAGTCCGATGATGCTGGCACCAAAAATCTCGGGAGTTGGGATGGATCGTGTTGTGCAGTTGCTAGCTGCTGAAGATAAAGCCATGATAGCAGATATACGCAGCGAGAACAAGCTCAAATACAGCAAGCGATGTTTTCTCATTCTCCAATCCACTTTGCTCTTGGTATAAATGTGTAAGTACTATCTGCAGTACCTGCGCGCACGAAAATTTGCGGACCTGCCGTCGTCGGAGAGAGATCAACAAAGACGGACCTCGGTAACAATAGGCCGGCCGCGTTCGAGTATCTAGAGCAATGAGCGTGAGTGAAATAGCAGTTTATTTCGGCACACGGAGAGTGCTCCTCATCTTTGGAATACCATGGACCTCTCTAGTGTCTGATATTCTGTGACGTAATGGTGTCGATGTTTTGTTGATCATACAGCATCCAGTATGTTCTCGACATGACCTCGCTAGATGCCTGTAGTAGTTACATGCCTAAAAAAGATGACACCATGGAAGAGCGTGATTGGACAGAGTTTGATAAGATTCTCCTGATGAAATCGACGATAATGGCTATTCTGTGCTGCTTTACAGCATTGTTTCGTTATGATCAGGCGTTAAGGTGATTGACTGCGTGGCACGCACGTGAACACGGTAGATCTTTAAGACTAAGCACTAATCCAGCTGGACGGGCTCGACAACCCTAGAGTTTGGAGTACTAGAGCTTTACCCACGCGTCCGAAGCTTGGCTCAATGCTAGAAGGAAACCCCCATATTGCTTCTTCTAGCCGACCCGAGGAAAGGTACAACCTTGGAACTTTCTCCCGCCTCGGGCTCACGGCGTGTGCAACTTCGCGTTGAAGTCAAACTCCAGCCATGGTCATACGAGCAGTAATGAGGGTCTTGCCCTGCTCAGTGACCACAGCAGCGTGCCCACGTTTTGAGCGCCACCCTCGGGTTTCAACACTTGGCACCCGGGGCACGGCCTTGGCATAGCCCTTAGTAACCTTCCTCTACTCCTCATTGATGGCTTGGCTCAGTAGCTTCCACAGGGAGATCGGGTATCTATAAAAATCTGTTGTTAAACGACTTGCTGTGCCCTGTTGGTGGAACTGTACCATACGTTGAAGCCTTCTTTCATCCTGCTCTTCCAAGTTACTCGCCACGAAGCTCAGAGTTATCGAAAATGGAGAATACAGATATCAAACCACGTTCTATCGATATGACACGGATAGAGAAAATTGACGTTGCAGAACCGCCGGACCAGACTGTCGCTTTCACGACGATGGAGACGAGGCGCCTCCTCCGGAAGTTGGACATCGCCATCCTTCCTCTAGTCTCTACGATGTATCTACTTTCGTTTCTCGATCGGTCCAACATTGGGAATGCTAGACTAGCTGGTCTTGAGCAAGATTTAGGGATGACTGGCTGGGATTATGCTGTGAGTCAACTCTACTATCCTCCCGTGGTCTTACAGTTCAAGAAATTAACTCATACATATGCGAAACGATAGACTGCAGTTTCAGTCTTCTTCCCTTTCTACATTATATCCGAGGTACCGTCCAATCTCGCCATGAAAAGGTTCCGGCCGTCGATCTGGATTCCCTCGATCATGGTTGCTTGGGGCATAGTCATGACCCTCATGGGCCTAGTGCACAACTTTGGAGGTCTGTTGGCTGCACGTATGGCACTTGGTCTTGCTGAAGGTGGCTTGTTTCCTGGTGTTGCTTATTAGTGAGGACAAAAAATGTCTCGCTGTTTCGGTTTTTGTTAATAGACCATAGCATCACCTTATGGTACCGTCGCCATGAATGCGGTTCCAGAATTGCGATCTTCTTCTCCGCCGCAACTGCTGCAGGTGCCTTTGGAGGCCTGCTTGCGCGTGGCATCATGGAAATGGATGGGATTGCTGGGCTCAATGGTTGGGCATGGATCTTCATCCTTGAAGGTATCCTGACCGTCATAGTTGGTTAGAACGATTTTCTTCATCGATATCTCCAAGTTTGACAAGTCCGCTGACTAAGATTAGCTGGAATCTCCTACAAGTATCTAAACGATTACCCCGACACCGCCAAGTTCCTGACCGAGAAGGAAAAGACTGAAGTCATACGACGCCTGAAAGACGACAGCACGGCTTTATCGAACGAATTCCGCACTCAATTCATCAAGGATGCTTTCAGTGACTGGAGAGTTCTTGTGCACTGTCTAATCACCTTCACAAACTTCTTACCACTCTATTCCATCTCGATCTTTCTGCCAACCATAATTCGGGGAATGGGATACACAAATGAGACTGCTCAGTTGCTTACAGTACCGCTTTATTTCCTTGCTTGTTTTGGCACTGTTGGCATTGGCTTTGCTGCCGACAGACTTAGAATACGTGGCCTATTCGTCATCGGACTTGCTGCACTGGCGTAAGTCTCCTACAGGAAATGTGATCTTGATCATCCTGTACTCCACATCGTAGCGAAGCTAACTTAGTGACAGCATCGTCGGATTCATCATTCTCCTTACTGTCGACACAAATGGCGTCAAATACTTCGCCTGTTTCCTAGTATTGCTCGGAATCTATCCAAACGTGCCACAGATTACCTCTTGGAACAGTAACAACGTTGGCGGATCTGTAAAGCGAGGTGTAGCCATTGCTATGCAGATCGGAACGGTACGTTAATTCCTTGTTGAATGTTAATACTTTACTGATATGTATCAGGGCAACATGGGCGGCGCAGTCTCGGGATTCATCTTCCAGGCCCGCGATGCTCCTCATTACCGTACTGGCCATGGCATTCTCCTCGCATTGTGCTGTTTGACTGTGTTGCTGGCTTCATTCATGACGTGGTATTTGCGGAGAGAAAACAGCATAAGAGATTCCAAACATAAGCCTCCTCACGAGTACACTCTTTTTGAACAAGAAGCGGAGGCAGATAAAGGTGATAATGCTTCTTTCTTCCGATACACCGTCTGAGATTGCTAGAACTATAATCCAAGACATCTTCGAAGCACAAATACTCCATCATCATGGCATTCGCACAACAATCTACTTTATTTCCAAAAAGAGAATAACAAATCCCATACATGAGTGAGCGAGGCAATCTTTATAAAACGCACGTGTATCCATAATGCGGCTCATTGAGATGAACATTGATGATGTTTTACTCCACATAAGTGAAACGTTGATCTACAATTTATTCTTGAGTTTGTGTTTCTCTTCCTGCTCAATCTTGAACTGCTGGACTGCTTTCATGTATTCCACCGAACCAAATCTTTCTTGCTGAGTAACCTGACACTCGCGATCGTTTGCATCAAGTAGCTGTTGAAGTACGGGTTGCTTCAAGAGTATCTTTGTAGTTCGAAGTGCTCCAGAAGGAGATTGTGCGACCCGGCGTGCGATTTCAATGACTTTGTCAAGAAACCTTTCTTTGGGCAAAATCTTTGTGACAAGATGTAATTTCTCTGCCTCCTCGGCTGAGATGGTTTCTCCAGCTAGACACAGTGCTGAAGCTTTCTGGCGACCCATAAGCCGCGGAAACGTAAAGCTCGATGCTCCCTCTGTAGTCATTCCCCACTTGACAAATGGTGTAAAGAAGTATGCGTCAGGGACGCAATATACGAGATCGAAGAGAGCGAGACTGCTCACGCCATAGCCTGCGGCTGGGCCATTGACAGCGGCTATCAGGATCTTCTCGGTAGAGATGAACGTCTTCGTTAACTGATGGAAGTCTGAGCCAAGAGCGAACGTCATAGGAGCCTTCGTGTCCGCCAATTCCATACCAGTGCAGAAGAACTTGCCTTCTCCCGTCAGAAGGATGACTTGAACTTCGGGCTGACTATCTGCCCACCGCAGGGCAGATAAACTGTCCGCTAAGAGCTTGGGATGCAAAGAGTTGCCCGACTTGGGCCGGTTATATTTGATGATGGCAATTCGTCCTGCTTCTCTTAGTTCAACTTTGACATAGCTGTATGAAGGTGGCGCCATGTCGGTCTGATCGTGTGTATCCCCCCTGGCTATTATCTGGCAAATTATGAAGAGAAATACAAATGATGCAGTGGTCAGAACAGGCGACTCAGCGCGAGATAGGTGACTTTTGTGTGTATAAATTAATGGAGTATGGCTTTTGTAGTGCCACAAGATGCTCCTATAGCGCTCTGTACTCGAAGCGAATTATACCTAGGTAGTCTTATCTCGAACTGAATCTATGCTCCTAGAGCATTAGAGCACCCACCCCACCCCCCCTCATTTTTCTCAAGAGACTAACTTTGTCAGTCGCAGGTTAGCTGACGTCTGAATTGAAGCCGTCCACGGACACACCTCGGGCCGCGCCAAGCCCGTCCCCACATAGCCGCATTTCGAGGCTCCGTTACCCCGCAAAACTTTATCTGAACTCGGGTTAGGTCTCCAAACCCGAGGCTGCATAGACCTGCTCCTTCTAGAGTGATGCATCGAGAATGCCGTGCCACTCTCGCCAACCGGCCGGGTATGTAGCGCATGTGTCCAGTTATTCTTTTGAAACCATGTTGTTCAGCTTCATCAATCTTGGATTGTCGAAATCATATACCTTCAAACAAATTTCTGTATCACTGTACCCATGGCGACACTTGATTCGAAGTCTAGCGAGATGCCGCACAGATTCAACTTTGCGGTCGATGTAATCGACAAATGGGCAGATCAGCGGAGTGATTTGCAGGCCATGCACTGGGTATCGCAAGACGAATCGAACACCAGGCACATGACCTTCAAATACTTTTCCAAGCAATCCCATAGAATTGCTCTCCTCCTTGACCGATTGGGGTTCGGTAAAGGGGATACTATGACGATGGTTCTCCCAAGGGTGCCTGCATGGTTAGTATGCGATCCATGAGTCTACAAGAAATTCGACTGACCATCTGAAGGTGGGAGGTCGCGCTTGCGGCCATTCGCAGCGGAATCATTCTATCACCAGGGCCGAATCTCCTGACCGAGAAGGAGATTCAATATCGGTGCAATAAAACCAAATCGAGACTGTTTGTCGGCGACGAAACGAGCGTGTCGAAGTTTCTTACCGTGCGCCAATATTGTCCGACAGTGGAGCATATCATAAGAGTCGGGGATGGTACTAGGAATCACGATGTTTCTTCTCTGTATGCCGCACTAGAGAATATCGAGATTGATGCCAGATTCGACTCGTTGTACCAAGAATGGAGCAGTCCAGCCATGATCTATTTCACTTCTGGAACGTCTGGTCACCCGAAAATGGTAAGACATAATCAGGTCATGCTCTCTCTAGGTAAGGTTCCGAGCACTTCGCATATGAGTGAGTTACTGAATAGAGTAGCAGGAGGAAGCGCATTCGGACAATGGTATCAATTAGCTCCAGGCAAAGTCCTTTGGAACACTGCGGACCAAGGTTTGTCAAATCGTTCACCAGGGAAGTTCAGAGCGACGTCGTTGACCCGTTGGCAGGTTGGGCAAAGGCTGCATGGTCTTTCTTCGGAGCTTGGAACTCTGGCGCAACGCTCTTCGTGCACGATGATCGCGGAGCGTTCAATGCAAAGCGCACCGTGGATATACTATGCCGGTACCCGATAACTACCCTTTGCGCCGCTCCGCTCATCTTTCGACAACTCGTGTCACCCGAACTAGAAGACCACTTCAAGCGAAACCCTCCCGCTGCGCTAGCTCATTGTACAACGGCTGGAGAAGCGCTGAACGCTATAGTCACCCAGCGATGGCGTCAACTTACCGGTCTCGACATCTACGAAGGATATGGCCAAACAGAAACCGCATTATTATGTGCCAATCTGAAAGGCTCCACGATCCGCCCAGGCTCCATGGGGAAACCAGCACCTGGGGTACCCCTCCGCATCATAACGGCAACCGGAGCGGAGGCTGCTCATAACGAGGAAGGAGATATAGCAGTGCTGTTGAGTGACCGGAAGGGTAGCAGTAACTTCTTCGGTATCTTCGATGGCTACGTGCAGGAAGATAATACGTGCACCCGCAATGAAAGAACCGTTACGGTGGACGGGGAAGTCAAGTCCTATTACCTAACCGGTGACAGAGCAACTCGTGATCAAGATGGCTACTTCTGGTTTGTGGGGCGAGCGGATGATGTTATAAACTCCTCTGGATACCGAATAGGTTTGCTCTAGCCCCAACGCCTTGGGGGGTTTTTTTTTCTGACAACTTCCTAGGTCCTTTCGAAGTAGAATCCACGCTCAAGCTACACCCTGCCGTCGCAGAAGCTGCCGTCATATCCTCACCAGATCCAGGAAGAGGAGAAGTTGTGAAGGCATTCGTCGTTCGTACGACAGAGTACGAGAATGCTCCATCTCAAGAACTTGAACAGGAGCTACAAACGTTCTGCAAAAAGAACGCAGCACCATACAAATATCCACGAAAACTGGAGTTTGTAGAAGGCAGTTTCCTCCCTAGGACTACGAGCGGCAAGATTCAGCGGGCCTTGCTAAGGAAATTAGAATGGCGGAAGGAAGTAGGCTCGAAACTCTAATCACCTGTCAGCCTGTACCTTGACTATATCCTGTTTCCGACACCTCTATGTTCGCGCTCGATGTTCGCCCTTTGTTCCCTTTGCTAGCTCAAAGCAGTAGCGTATTTGCCACTGAGGCCGTCCAGACACCTTGATATAGGTAGAAGTCGATGAAGAGTATAATGGTTCGTATAACACTACAAGCGCCACACATAATTTGTACCGCTGATATTTTCCTCATTCTCGCCATGATCTCTGAGAGCAAATGAAAAGTTGTCGATCATAGTTCCGGTGTTCGTAGGCCCAAAGATCTGAGGTAGGATCCCGTCAATGTGCCCACTATAGCCCTCAAGATCCAATCTGGGACTTTGTTCTCGTTCAGTTGGGATATTTTCAGACTCGATGTTTGTAGCAGGCGTATTGATGGAGCTCAAAGTCTTGGTTGTGGACAGTGTGCCGTAGTCACAGAGTGCGTATAGTTGATCGATGTCGGCAAGTTCGAGGGGGACACTTTGGAGGGCAGGATCGATCAAGTCAGAACAACGCATCGAATCAACAGCGAACTGAGTGAGCTTTGCGACCTGCGAATACCATTTTGTTAGTTAATGATAGAGCTATATCCAGTATTCACATACCATGCGCCCTGACGTCTTCCAAAACCTAGTTTTTCCGCTGATGTGCATTATACTGCTTTGTAAAGCTTCCACGGATTGTATGCGAGTAAGGCAATCTAGCGAGTGCTGGAACAAACAGTGTATTGAGCCTGCTACAGTGGAAGCATAGCTCAAAAACGTTGCTGACACTTTGTATTGCGCGCGGGCCGCGTTTTCCAAAGTGCGTGTGAGTTCCTGAGCATGTGTGAAGCAGCTGACGATCGTGCGAGACAGAAAGCCGGCGGGTATCTTGGATTGAGTCCTCTCAAGTCGACGCCTTATCAGAAACGGATGCTGAAGCAAGCAGTAGCAAAGATGATACAGGACATAAGTCAAGATGGTGGACTCGGTGATCGGCACGTTGGGCTCGGACTGACAAAGAGGTGCGTTCAGAATTGTCGCTTGTATGTCCCCATAGCAGTCAAAGAGTGTTTCGAATTGGGCGAGCTGAGAGCAAATGGTTTGATACTCGGATGTGTGGTCCCAGGGCGCCTTCCGATCGCCAGTAATGTCTCGTTGGAAAGTGTAGTTGGCCACTTGACTCAGGAGAGAAGCGACAACAACAGTTGGTGCGAGTGTCTCCATATGATCGACTCTGAAGTCGACGAAACGCAGGAACTCTTCCAAACTTACCACTTGCTGCGATGTGGATGTTCGGAAGTTTCCGTCACTGCAGGGCAACTGAATACGAATTGACTGGTCCTGGAATAAGGACGGTCTATGTCTGCCACAAGTAGCCAGCTTGTCTAGAAGGTAGATCGACCATAACGTGCGACGACGTTCCTCTTGAGCGGAGAAGGGTAATTCAGTGGGCGGTTCAGTCATCATGTGCATAGCTTGTGCAACATTGACAGCTACACCAATTTTGATCCATGCAGTTCTATGCTTACACTCTGAAGCAGTCAGCCTTGTCTCTGTCTGTGAATAAAGAGCAGAAATACCTGTGAAGTCGTACAGCGCGAGTAAAGTCGCCGCTTGAACCACATAGTGGTCTAAGACTTCATCAGAGTCGAAAATCCGCCTAAAAGTCTCTTTCCATGCTGCGGATGCGTTCGCTGCAGCTATGCGATCTTTGTCGGCAAAGAATGGGTCATCTGAAAAGCGTATCGCTATTCCTAGTACAGCTCGTATCAGGTAGTTCGGCAATCTACCATTGCGTAGCTGTTGCTGAAATGTCTGTTCATGAAAGAAGCAGTATGGCTGCCCGTGCCAATGATGAAAAAATAACTCGATAGTTGATGATAAGATGTGAGATGGAGGCATCTGCGGTTCGAGACTATGAGCATTGATCGACGCATCGTTTATATTGGAAGTTGGAAGGTGCTGCCTGCCTGTGAAATCTAAAGTAGCTGCTGCATCGATACTGCGCAAAGAGTTCAGCATACAACCTGAGATATGCTTAGCAATGGGGGGTGCGGTACCTTTCAAGCATGGAACTGAAATCGGATTGGGGATCGCCGCTCATATCCAATGAAGTCAGACCTTTCTATGGCGCAGTCAATATATGATTTTTGAAAGTAGGACAAGAAGGAAATACGTTATTTGGGTTCATGTCTTGAGGATGGTTTGACGTTGGGCGGCTGTCTTGTGTCGTTGTCCATCTGCGGCTGCGGTAGACGCATTTCTGGAGCAACCGAGCGCAGAAGCTGCATGAAGGCTGCTCGCCATCACATTTGACTTTCTTTCGTCTATGTCGCCATGTTCAGTCGCCACGATTTGTATTTTGTAATCGTTTGCGAACCCGATATGTTGGACGCGCATGTGGTTACGCAGAATAATGGGCGAGAGCTTACCGGCAATTCAGGCAAGCCTGGCGAGACCGACGGCTGTTTCGGGGTTCCGCGCCTTGATCATCCATTGGAGAAGACAATGGGTCTCGAAAAAGGACGGGTGTGTGATCGAACAAGAAGAGCGTCAGCAGACGGTGATGGTAAGGCCAAGGCGAGCTCTCTTGACACTAAACATAGCGCCATTCCAACCCCGCACTGGGGTGCCGTGTCGTACCGCTCTTCAGCGACTCGTTCCTTCGTTCCCGCATAAAGCCTTCTCTTGACTCTGATCTGCAGAGGAGCTCTGGATGACTAAGTAGCGAACAGTAGTATCACAACGCTAGTGAAGCAACAAACAAGACGTCAAGAACTAACGAAGGCATGAGACAATCCGAGCGCGGCAGTATGCTAGGATTTGGGCGAAAAAAGGGCTTGTCTGTTTTCACGATCATCATTCACACAGTGCGTTGCGATGGTCGTTTACCGCCAAGGGCGCGCAAGCAATATCTTATACCTGACCAGTGATACCTAAATACTGCTTCCTCTGTACCATCATCTTCTATCGTAATACTGTTAGCATGCAGCGAACTCAGAGATTTGCGCTCTCCCCACTTCCTGATATCACCCGTAATCCTTCCGCACCACTGCGTCCTGCACATCGTCCTACTCCAGAATTCCTCATAATTGGTCTTTTTGCGCTACGTCTCACAAAACGCCTCATTGTGAGTCTCGATTATTACCCAGGTCGCGATGCCGACATCATCTGGCTTGTCAACTTCCTTGCGCCTTACCCGGAAGATTGTAAACTAGCGAAGATCTCAGGCAGTCGAAGGGATGACTATCTTGCGATGTATCAAAACGTAGTGTCGCGGATGAAGAAGCAGCCAAAGTACCCCGTGCGATTCATGCAGATGAATCCGGATTCATCGATTCAACAGGCACGGCGAGGGCGCGAGATAGAACGGCCGAGGGAGATGACTGATTGTGAGTAAAATGATGAAACGATCATACGCAGAAGCTAAACCTGAACAGCAGAAAGATTAGACATCATTGACTTCTGTGATGCGGCAGCCGAATGGGGCTCCATGCTTCCGATTCCAGTGCATGAAGCGGAGAAGATGGTCGAATTGGCCGACAGGAGGAAGGTCGCAGACGTCGACGAACCTTATCGGCAGCAATCGCACTATAGCAATTGGGAGGAGTCGCACGGTCAAAGACAGTCACGTTTCAACGACAGGGACAATATGCAAGATCAGAGGCAATCGCAATTCGCGCCGAATGCCTTACCACGCGATATGGAAAGGCCAGTCCATGAACCAAGGCAACCAGAACGCGAGGATAGATATCAGCCACACAACGCTGGAACGTGGCGTGGCGACGAGTATCTCATTGCAGAAGGAAGGCAGCTTGCGGAAGACAGGCGACGGAGACGTCGTGTGTCGTTTGCAGATGAAGAATCATATCTTGATGCAAGAGGCATGCGCCGGTGAGAAGAAGGCATGCTCAAGATTGCTCTGAAAGGTCAAGTTTTAACAGATTCAAATGAAGATGGAAAGACTTCGACGAACGGCCGGCCAATGTATTGAACATCATGTAACTCTTCTCAACGTGATCTGGTTGCATACTACTCGAATTACAATGTGTCAGAAGCCTGATGTATCCTCACAGTCTTCAGTGACCGAAGCCATGATCGCTTTAGTGTATCCCAAGACCCCCGGAACTGGTCTTAATCTTCGAGTACTTCTCCTGGTCACCTAAGCTCTATGCTCGCTCGTAATGTGAATTTGATTCTGCTTTGCTGTGCATATCTTCCAGTACTGATTCAGCCACGCTCGCGCCTTCGTCGTAATCGCAAAAGTAACAATTAAAGCAGGCAGCGCCGTAACCCAGAAGATCTACCCTTTCGTCTTCCCAGGCAAAGACTTTTCATCCATTGAGAAGGTCGCTGTAGTAGTCGAAAGAGGTATGAGCAGCATCGTTAGGTTGGTGATATGAGCAAGGTTCGAGGCATTCTTATTGGCAGCTTGTGCTTCTTGCATGGTAGTGAACTACATGTAGGACTGCAAGAGAGCATCTGCAATGCCGATGATCTTGCCGCAGTGATGTTGTACCGAAAGCCACCCGTCTCGTTCCCATTGCAGTTCGTCAGTTATACCGGGACGGTATAATCCCAAAGTTTCAAGGTTTTCTTTCAATTCGATGAGCAAGATGCTCATAACAAACTTTACGTCGACAATAAAAACGAAGACCTCGTGTTGCCAGTTGCCCAATACTCCCTGATAAGAATTACGAAGATAGTACCATCGATTGACATGTGACTTTTCTGCAAGGGAATCTGTCTGCAATCGTAGTAGAGTCAGGATTCGCCTTTGGACATACGAAAGAGACGAGCAGATCGCGAGCTTGCGAGCGGTGTCGGTGCATGTACGTGGACTTGTCGTTCTGGATGGCGTGCCTTGCTGGATAGCGACTATGTCGTCAAACATAGAAGTATACTGTGGGCGCTGTTCCCCTTAATCCCAGTCGTCTGGGTTCGATGTAGTATTGTGAAGTCATGGAGATCGGGATCCAGTGAATGCAATCGGGAGTACGCGTAATCTTCTGAACAGTAATCAACTTCGAGCATGACATTCTCCGAGATAGATTTGACCAATTTACCAACTGGCGGATCTACTATGAGAACCACTACCCAGAGAGGTTAGTGGTGTCGAACAAAGCTGAAAGTCGAATCTTACAATCCCATGAGCCATCTTCCCGGGCAGCAGATGTCCAGACGACAAAGCATGATAGCTCTTAGGTTGGTCGATGATCGGCCGTTTTGGGTCGTAGCATTGTATGTGACGGTCGATGTTGAAGTCGCATTTGAAGGTATGCCCATGAACCGCAGGATCAGCATCAATGCGAATCGGCTGTGTAAAAGGATACCTTTTGACGAAGTTGTTTTCGGAGTAACGACGGAAAGGTTTGCGGTGATTGAATGAAGGAGCTGCGGGATCGGTCCAGTGGGCGCCAAAAACACTTGGGGAATGCGTAGGTGTGAACTGAGAACTTGAACGTAGTTCAGAGGTAGATTTTCAAGTATGAACAGTCTTCGCCAAGGATGCGTCGGCTTCACATCAGCGGTCTCATCAAGATAGCATTGCAGCTCTCGAGAACTCTTGAACATTCTCGGCGGCATTGACAACTCGTCCAAATACTCGATGACTGCCACTCTGCCCATCTCACTTTGGTACAGGGATTGCGCGTGTAAGTTCCGAACAAAATCCGGAAATAGCCAATATAGCTGCAAGCTCAACAATGCGAGGTAGGCCTCGCAAGCACTATGTTGAAGCAATGTCGCCGGCCTACAGTTCCGAGCAAGGGATGGGATCTGAAAGCTGTGCATGATCTTGAACGAGGACAACAGTCGCAAGATCGATCATGTTGCCCGTCGTTGATAATGATTATACCGCCCCATGCTTGTATGTCAGCCCCATGCAGGGATCCAGGTATGTTGAGTAGTTAGAGTAAGCTTATTAGACAATAGGAAAGCGTGGTTGGCTTTGCCCGGTGAAACTGCTGCGAATGGTGTGCCAGCGCAGCCCCTAGCACTGGTGATGCATGGATTTCATCAACCCTTGAATGGAAGAACGCGACCTTTACAGCCACTTCAAGGAGATTGACGAAAGAGCTCATTCCCCATGTTTGCTCCCACTTCCAATAGCCATATTAGCCAGGCTGCGATGTTTATTCTTAACCACCTACCGCCTCCAGAGCTGTGGCAGAGGTGAAAAAATGAGAGCATCTTGTATACAGCGTATAACCGGTCTATATCCGCGACTTCTCCGCGTGTGTAAGATACGATGTAATCGTCGTCCCCCTAACGCCGAGCCATGCAATCGTCAATCGTATCATGCAACCTTTTACTGTGTCGCACACTGAGGGCCCTCTGCCTCCTCATCATCGTCTTCCCACTCGGCGCCTCCAGCACGTGGGTCACCGCTACCAGCGCCGTACTCTTCCATGTCTGCATCCCACTCAACGTCTACTTCCTCCTCTTCTTCATGCTTCTCCTCGCTCTTTTCGTCCTTGGGTAGTGCGTCACGGAGCTTCTGTACTGCGGCGTCGTTCTTCAACCATCCATCCTCTGGGAACTCAACATCAACTACTAGGTAGAGATCGCCCCTCGCGTCGCTGCGCTTCATGGGCATACCCTCTCCTTCGATCTTGAGGATCTGTCCTGGTCGCAAGACGTTGCCGTTTGGTTGTTGCACGTTGAGCTTAAGACCACGTCCATCGAGATGAGTGATGACCACGCGGTCGAAGCCTGTTAGTGCCTCCACTAAGCTAACCTTCAACTCGGCCCTCAGATCAGCGCCTGCGCGTTCGAAGACATCGTGTGGCGTCTCGGTGAGCGTGAAAATGATATCGCCTGGCTCCTGGTCGGGTAGTTGATCTGCCTCTCCTGCAAGTACAATGCGCTCGCCTTGTCGCGCACCGCGGGGAATGTAGAGTTCTAGCACGTTCTTGGTCTCGACGACCTTCTTGCCCTTGCACTTCTTACAACGCTGCTTCTCTGGGATGACTTGGCCAGAGCCTTGACAGTTACCGCAAGGAACAGTTTCCTGGGTGACGAGGCCAGGACCGACCTGGCGGAGGACTTGCTTTGCACCTTGGAAAGTCAGTATAGTCGTCAAGTGCAAGGTGAGAAATTGACATACCCCGCCCGCCACAGGAAGCACAAGAATTCGCCTTTGCGCCCTTCTTTCCACCGCTGCCTTCGCACAGGTTACAGATGATGTTCTTTGTGTTTGAGAACTTTGTCGTCTTGCCCTTGTACAGCTCTTCCAAGCTGACCTCGTACTCCTGCTCTACTGAGCGTCCCTTCCGTGGCACGTTTCGTCCACCAGGCATGCCGCCCATGCCACCCATACCTGGCATTCCGCCGAATCCGCCCATGCCGCCGAACATCTGCGCAAAGATGTCGTCGATGTCGGGCCCCTCGCCGCCCATGCCGCCCTTGGAGGGGTCAAAGGCAGACATGCCGTGGGTATCATACAGATGTCGCTTATCATCGTCGGAGAGGATTTCGTAGGCTTGTTTCGCGGCCTTGAAGCGCACCTCGGCTTCTGCACGGTCTTCTTCTGCGACCTTGTCGGGGTGATGTGCTAACGCGGCCTATTGTATGTCAGTATGAGGCGTGGATGCACTGCTGTTGCCTGCGGACCTTGTGGTATGCTTTCTTGATCTCGATCTTGCTCGCGCCCTTCTCGATCTCGAGGACCTCTGTTTTGGTCAGTGCAGTTCGCAGTCTCTAGACTTGTGTATCTACCGTAAAGATCGATTTCCTCATCCACTGGCATGGCGTTAGCAGAGAGTGGTGATGTCGTCGATTGGGAATACCTACTTTTGGGCTACTTTGGGGTATGAGTCGGAAAGTGAGGAACAAGACACACTCTTAGGAGTATGTACAAGAAATAAGGCGGGCGCAACGAAGTAAGATGCGTCCTGTCCAGTGGGAGTGAAGGCAACAAACTTTCTCCAGATTTGTCGATCACTTGCAATGCGGGCCAAATTCCTGAGGAGCGGCCCCCACTAACGTCGGGCGAATCCCTGCACGTCATTTTCAACCGCGAACTCGAACCCTTTGCGTCGCATCAACACCCAAATGTCGTTTTCACTACTTGTCCGCCCGCAACTATCCACCTACACATGCCGGTCATGTCTAGTTCGCCTTTCGCGATCCTCGCACCGCTCAATCGCCTCTAAAGGAAATCCTCAGCTCGCTAAAGAAGGAAAGGACAAGGCTAGTACTGCCGTACCGACATCTCCCGCACGGACGCGTTTTGCGCCTTCGCCGACGGGCTACCTACATCTTGGATCACTGCGGACGGCGCTGTTCAATTACCTCCTCGCAAAACGAACGGGTGGCCAATTTCTGCTACGGATAGAAGACACAGACCAAAAGCGCACGATACCAGACGCCGAACAACGACTCTTCGATGACTTACGATGGGCGGGACTGCAATGGGATGAAGGGCCAGAAGTCGGGGGTCCGTATGGGCCGTACAAACAGTCAGAGAGAAGTGAGATATACAGAGAATATGCGCACAAACTTCTGGAATCAGGACATGCATACCGCTGCTTCTGTTCTTCCGAGCGCTTGAACGTCTTGGCCGAACACAGACACAAGCTGGGCATCGCAACCGACTACGACCGCACATGCGCCCCACCTGCTATATCCAAAGAAGAGAGCGACGACAGAGCATCCAAAGGGGAATCGCATACCGTACGCCTCAGGGTTCCAGATCAATACCCGACATACAAGGACCTCATCTATGGCACCTTCCGACCCCTTAAGAGACGCGGCCATGTCACCGAATCTGCTTACGAAGACCCCATCTTGTTGAAATCTGACGGCCTCCCTACGTACCACCTCGCGAATGTAGTAGACGACCACCTCATGAAGATCACTCACGTAATACGAGGAAGCGAATGGATGCCCAGCACCCCCAAGCACATCGCCATGTACCAAGCATTCGGCTGGACACCTCCTGAATTCGCCCATGTCGGCCTCCTCGTCGACGAGAACGGCAACAAGCTCAGCAAGCGAAACTTCGACACCGACATCACTGCCTTCAAGGAGATGGAAATCTTCCCTGAGACCCTGACAAACTTCGCTGCGTTGCTAGGATGGAGCCACAAGGAAAAGAGCGATGTCATGGACCTGAAGACATTGATTGAGAAGTTCAGTTTGAAGTTCACAAAGGGTAACACCACAGTGACATTCGGTAAAATGCAATTCCTCCAGCGCAAACATGCCCTGCAACGTGCTTCTGTCGGCGGACCCAAACTCGAAGAACTGGTTCGCAACGCCTCCAAACTCCTCACTTCAGAAGACGGCCCCTATCAAGATTGGCAATCCATCATTGGCACGCCCTTCCCCGAATCCCACATCCGCTCCATCATCCTTGCCGACGCAGAAAACTACACAAACGCAAACGAGTTTCTGTACCGCAACTCCTTCTTCTTCACACCCATCCGTCCATTCGACAAGCAACCGCCCATGTCGACTACATCCGACATACCCATGCGCGCGCAAATGTTGGCAGATATCAAAGAGGAAGATTGGAATAAGGAAAATCTGATGAAGAAGGTGCACGAGATCATTGATGGTAGGACAGAAGGCAAGAAGGGAAGCAAGGATGTGTATCACTACTTGAGGAAGACGATTACTGGGCAGGAGCAGGGGATGCGGTTGTATGACATCTTCACAATTCTTGGGAGGACTGAGACGCTCAAACGGTTGGGGTTGCTGATCAATAATTAGTGTGATGTATGATAGTATGTGCAAGGCAGAGACATGAATGTAACAATAGCATAGAGAGCATAGATCACGAAGATAGAGATCATTTTTGTTCGATTCATTTCGCGTGGTATCCCATCCCATGATCTATCCGATGTACGCCCTACATACCCTGAACGCCATACCATGCTATCCACGATACTTCATCGTACACCTAGGAAGTCTCCATCTCGACCTCCTGGCTCTTGACCTCCTGCCCGTTGGTAAGGTTGAAGACCTTATCTTTGACGTTTGCAGCCAGCAGACCCATATCCTCTTCACGCGCAATCTTGCTCCCAGCCGCACCCAGCTTGGTCAACTGGTTCTTACTCTCGTTATTCGTCGCGTATCCTGCCCCGCCTTTGAAGCGCTTGCTACTGTTGTTCTCTTGCTGCATTTTACGGGCGAGGTCTGAAATCTGTTTGGTGCCGTAGTCGCGGTTGGAGATGAGAGGAGAGGATGACAGCGTTTGTACCCAGTACTTGTTCCACAGCGCTTCTAGTAGCTTAGCGTCGAGTGACGACTTGTAGTGCGAGACTTCGAGGGGGTAGTAGTGGTTGGCGTGTGCGCCAAAGTCCTCAATCTTGCCGAGCGGAATGGTTTCGAAGCCGTCGCTCTCAGCGCCACTTGTGTTTTTGGAGCCGCCACCTGCCTTGGCCTGGTTCTCAACATACTCTGTTGAATAGGTACGGAAGGCACCGATTTCAACTTTGCCCGCAGAGACGGTTCGGTCGGGATCGATGACGATGGCGCAGAAGGGGTCTTGGAACTGTTGTTGAGTCTTCTGTGTGTTGACGTCGATGCCCGAGAGCCAGCAGCCGTAGCCAGGATGCGAGTGGTACCAGCCGACGGCGTTCTCCATCTGTCCCTGTTCTCGTGCGCGCTGTAGAAACTCTACCATGTACTCGTTTGCCTCGTCTTGTGCATTGACTCGTGTCTCTGTACCCTCGACTGGTAACCGGAATGCGTCGGTCACGACGAATGTGTGTGCTTCAATCTTGCCTAGCATCAGGCCCATGACTTCGATTGAGCCGCCGGATCGCGCGTGCATGACCATCTTGAGGAGGGCGATGGCCGAAATGCGGACAGACGTGAAGTAGTTGGGGTCGGTTCGCCATGGATGCGCGTTGTTGATGGCTTTCTGCTCTGAGGAAGAATAGTTGTAGAGAGCGTCTTTCTGGGGATCTACAAGCTTGACGGAGTTCTCCAGCTCTGAGATGTTTATTAGCACGCAACGGCAAGCGGGGTATCATAGTATTGTGATGGACGGGACATGGTCGGAGGAGGGATAAGACTTACCCCACGTCTTCAAAGCGGTCCCCATGGTTGAAGACGGCGTCGAGATTGTTTGGGTGAGTTTGATGCTGTTTGGTGGGGAGGCAAGGCGGGAGCTGTATGCTTATTGCGGGGAGCTCTAGCGCCAAGACATACAAGGCATCAGCGAGCAAGCCGGCAGTCCTTGGAAAGTGAAGTCGAGTGTAATTCAAGACACTGCAAATACGGCCATGTTATGATTTACTGTCAACAGCGTAAAACAGAGCGAGATCAAAAAAGTCTGTTTTGTCTCTACTTCTTCCTCCGTGACTGATCTTCCCACCCTGACCTTTCATTCATCTTCCGTGCCTCTTCCTCCATCTTCTTGACCCACCTCTGAGTCAACTCCTCATTCTCTTTGCGCAATTTCTCCTTCTCCTGCTCCGCCATGTTCAGTTGTAGGTTCAGCGCAACCATTTCGTCGTGTACCTCCTCCACAAGCCTCCCCTTGCCCTTGAGCTCCTCCGTTCTGTCCTTGCTTCGCCTCTCCAGTTGTGTCCGGACCTTTTCGAGCTGTTCTATGCGCTGCTTTTGTTGCGTGTCTGAGGCTTTGAGGGTGCTCAGCTCGGCAGTAAGGGCGCTCAGTTGACTTTCTAGATCACCCCGCGTGCGCTGAGTGACGGCTAATTCGGAGCGAAGTTGCGCAATAGCAGATGGCGAGGAGACATCGGTCGTTGCTGGTCCTTTACCCTTTGATGCGCTGGCCGCGGGGGCTGACTCTTCCGCGGAGGGTGTCTGGTTCGCAAACTGCGCCATGTTATCGGCGAGCTTGGTATCTAGACATCTGAGCATGATTCCGTGACATGGCGCACTCGACTCTGCAACTTACAGGCGTTCACGTATTCCTCATGCGCCTTCTCTCTTGCGTCACGCGCATCGAGTGCAGACAAATATTCCGCCAGGGGATCACTCATGGCGGCAGGCAGAGTCGCGAGAGATCAAGGGAGATACGAGCCGTCTGTATCGCTATCATGGTGGTGTGCTACGTGGGAGTAGGCTGAAGGTGGGCACCATGGACGATTGCGGGTGCGGAGGTCGTCACTGCTCCGATTCGACTCCACCCCTGCTAGTGCCGACAGGAAAGTTCCATCTCCAGCTGTCCCACGTCACTACTCAAACTTCTTCACTCCCGTTCACTCGTTTCCCACGACTTGCACAAAGTAGTCCAGCATGCCGCCTACGCACCACATCTCCGGTACCTCTCGTGCCCTCTACCGTGTCTTCATCGCTCCGAATCTGCGCAACACGACATCAATCCCACTCCTCTACGCCCCAGCTTTTGCGCCAACTCCGTCTCCGAACTCTCTCTCCTCGTCCACGCCCACGCTCACGAGCCGAACCACAACCCGCGGGATAAAGTACACAAAAGATACCCGCCGCCATGCCATCTCAGACTACTACGTCATCGACAAAGCCATCGAAGCTGACTTTATAAACCTCGTCGACGAAGAGGGTGCCATTCACAAGAACGTCCCTCTACAGGAGGCGCTGTCAAGCATAAACAAAGTCACCCACCACGTTGTACAAATGGTACCTGGAAAGTACGATCAAGATGGCTTCCTAGATCCAGAGAGCTTGCCAACATGCCGCGTTATTTCCAAAATTAACCTACGCGCCCAACACCAAAAGAAACTGGACACAATGCGACGGCAAGCCAAGGGGCTGAGTGCGGGGTCAGGACTTTCTTCAAAAACGTTGGAATTGAATTGGGCAATTGCGCCGGGGGATCTGAAGCATAGGCTGGCTGCCATGAAGAAGTTTCTGAAGGAAGGGCGCAAGGTGGAGGTTATGCTTGGGCCGAAGAAGGCTGGTAGGAAAGCGACGCTGGAAGAGGCGGATGCGGTGATAACGGCCATTGACGAAGCGGTGGAAGAGTGCAAGGGATCGCGAGAGACTAAGCGCGAGGGACAGGTTGGGGGTATCCTGAAGGTTACATACGAGGGCAAGAAGATTGAGAAGGAGAACAAGTAGAAAGATGCAGAGGCGTGAGAATAGTCCAACGTGATCTGGACAAACGAATCTTCAGAAAGAGTACCGTAGGTGCACGAGCAAAATGCCGAGCCGCGGACAGCACAACTCAATACGAAAGTAGCGAAGATGGAGATCGAAGAAGGAACGTGAATAGTTCCCGTGCATGTAGCATACTGTACAACATACAACATCACAGGCGGTGTAACGATTCATGAACATCTATAGATACATTGTATAATATCACACATCAAAAACCTCATGACTTGTTCACTTCCTTGGCCGGCTCAGCCATGGTCTCAACTCCAGTCGCAACATCCACCTCCTGCACGTCCTCACCCTCGATCGCCTCGCGTTCGGCCATGTCAGCCGCTACTTCCGCACTCTTGGCCTGAAGCTTCTCCTCACAAAGCCTAACCTCTTCCCTCGTCTTCTGCTGGCCAGCGAAGTGGCCTTTGAGAGTGGCAACGACATTCTTCTGCTTGGCGAATTCAAGCCTAGACTCCAAAAGTAGTAGTTCTGCATTGTCGACATTGGTCCTTTCGCCGCTAGCCAATTCCAACTGTTCTTCAGCACTCACTTCATTTCCAGTCAAACGGAAAGCCTCAGAGCGGTGCTCATGGATTTGCGCTGCGAGTAACGCCGCCTCATACTCTACTTCTGCCTTCCGTACTTGAAGCTCCCCCAATTCGACCATGATCTCTTCAGACTCCAGTCTGTTGGTGTTCAAAGCTCTGCCAGCAAGGTCATGTTTCGTGTTGATCTGGTAAGTTATAGTCTGGATGCGAGGCCACTCGTCACTCTCCGGGGAAATGAGATAGTCGCTGAAAGAACGGCCGGTCTTCTCGGCGAATTGCAGTTCCTTGGCTTCGGAAAGGAGGTTGTAGGCGGATATCGTGAGTTCGGAACGTTTGGGTCCTTGAGGCAGAGATTCAGCATAGGCGTAGCGTGTACCTGCCACATTTTCGTAGACTCCAGCGCGCATGACATCTTTCTCCTTGGGGTCGGAGAGTGACAGTCCGCGGAATTCTTCCCAGCCAATGGTCGATTCGAGCTCGGTGGGTGGCGATGATCGGACAAGGCTCTTGTGCCAGGGCGTGATGGCCTTGTGTGTGATGTCCTCCTCATGAGAAAGGAGGATGTTGTGCAATGCGTCACGCTCGATGATGACGCGCGACAGTTCGAGGAGGTTTTTGACGTCGACTTCCTCCCATGTGAGCGTTTGCTCACCACGATCCATCTCTACCAACGCCTGCTCCAATAACGGTCGCTCTTCCAACGTGACCATCAAACTCCTGCCCCTACCGTGTAGCTTTTCGTGGTACTTGAGGATATCACTTAGTAGCTTTGTTGACGGGCTTTCAATCTCCATGGCATTGTCCACAATGATCAGTTCGCCCTTCCTGAACCGGTACGAGAGTGCTGTCCGCCATGCGAGGTCGTAAACCTTCTTGGGCAGTTCAGTCGCGAAGTCGCGGGGCTTGGGGCCATGAGCGACACCTCCACCTTTCAGCATGGGCGACTTCTTGTCTCCCAGACGAGCGCGACCGGTTCCCTTCTGCGGCCGGATCTTTCTTGCTGAACCTCGTACTTCATATCTTGTCTTTGTCGAAGCAGTACCTAACCGGGTACTATCTCCTTCGTAGATGACAGCGCGATGTAGTATGTCTCGTCGGGTAGGCAGGTATAGGTGATTTGCAGGGTATTGTTCGAATCGGAGCGGTTCCAGAGAAGGGAATTGGTGGATAGTCGCGAGGACTGTCTGCTGCTCAAAAGGCTTGACAGGTACATATCCGGAGTCATGGGCCTTGGCATTTATCGACGATAGCGTGGCCTTGGAGGGGGCAGATGTGGTTATTGAGCGGCTGGTGGGCGTGCATAGAGATTTCTTAACGACGTTAGCATGTCGCATACAATGACGGCGAAACAACATACGGCGCAGCGCGTGCACAGCGCATTCGGCCGTATCGACAGACTTCTCAATTGATGTGTGACGCCACGCATGGGCGCGGATATCCTTGTGGAAGCCATGCCGGTCGGGGTGGTTCAACTGTTGAAGTCGTCGGAGTTGGAGGCGGAGGTCTACGAAAAGCGCTAACGTGAGGATCACCACATTTTCCAGCGGGCACCATCGTTCTTGAACACCGTCCAAGCCATCAACACCATGGCCTCCACGCCAACACTGCGCCAATTCAGCGCATGTCTACGATGCGTGCGACAATTGCCAGCCGCCAATGGCACCCGTCGCCTCCTCTCCACCTCGGCCGTAGCTCGTGAAGAGGTGCAGACACAACCCACGAATGCGACACCACCACCACCGCCCTCGAACCCACCGGAAGGCGCTGCCCAGAAGGCTGGCTCTCAAGAAACCCCAGAATACATGCAGAAATGGGGTACTCTAGACCCTCAGATGGTTGAGAACAAGAAGCAGGAACGCCGACTTTTGCGGAGAGAACATGTTCAACCCGTTGGATCCCGTCGTCGCCGTGCTGCTCTTCGTCGATCGACCATGCAGAAGGCCGATGAGGTTCCTTTCGAACAATTGCCGTACCAGTGTTTCCAGGAGGCGAGAAAGGTCTTGTTAGAAGACAGACAGGAAAAGATCAAGGAAATCGAGACCCAGCAATTGCGGATAAAGAACCTGGAGGCCCAAGATCCAAGCACCAGTGGAGGTCCGGCAGCCAAGGAGCATAGACTGCGGAGCATGAAGCAGCATCTTCAAGACTTGATTATCCTGGCCGATATCAACGACCCGGTTGTGAAGCGGAAGTTTGAGGACGGACTGGGTAGGTCGTGTCAATTTAGATGCTACCAACTTGACTAACCTGTGAAGGTAACATGAACAAGCCAATCTACCGCCATCTTGCCGAAAAGAAGTGGCGCCAGTTCAAGCGCCGTGTGCTGGAACAACGTATCACACAACTTGCCATCGTTCCCGACCTTCTCCCCTCCTTGAATCTGGTAGCAGACGTTGACCTCGGTTTCGGACGAAAACCAGTGGCGCCCGGAGACTTTGTGGATTCTGCCATCAGTGAGAAGATGCCTCGTCTCAACGTTCAGACCTTCACCCCCGGTGAGAAGCTGGTTACTGTGGTGGTGGTAGACGCAGATGTGCCAGTCACAGAAAAGGACGGCTTCACTTACCGATGCCACCTCATCGCCTCCAACATATCAATCTCGCCAAGCAACACTTCGATACCTCTCCAGCGCATCGCTCAAGAAGATCAGAAAACTGAAGACCCCAGTGCCAAGAAGATTGCGCTACCCTGGGCTGCTCCCTGGGCTCACAAGGGTGCGCCATACCACCGCCTAGGCATTTTTGTCTTTGAGCAAAACGAAGGCAAGGCGCTCGATGTCACCAAGTTCAACAAGACTCAGCGTATGGGGTTCAACCTCCGCAGCTTTGCTGATTCGAACAAGCTGAGCGCAATCACAGCTACGCTGTTCAGGACAAAATGGGACGAGAGCATGGCTGGTGTCATGGAGCGCGCAGGTCTGAAGGACCAGATTGCTGTAGAGTTCAAGAGGAAGAGGGTCGAGCCGCTGCCTTACAAGAGGCGAACGGAGCGCATGCGCTGAGGGCACAAGAGACGCATATAGTGGATGTATTAGTCATGTAAGCCATATGTACAATACAAGATGAACACAGCTGCAGCCTCGATCTGTCGTGCTTGGACTCTACGAGTGCCGCACGGCCGAGTGTAGCAGAAGTAATATACCACAGCAACGAAAGCGACTGCATTCAGCTCGAGACGAACGGCATAGACTTTCACTGTGGTTCCTTCACTATCATCCAGAATCGAAGACAGTGACAGAGAGATTGCTCGATGTGACATTCGTTCTTTCCACTCGCAGTCGCGGGGGTTGTCTCCTCCCTGCCCTTGTCATCTCACCTCTCAAGGCCGTCACTTCTATTTTCCGTCGATCTGCCTCGTCTTCTTATCCTTACCTCTCTTTCCTATGTCATAGCAACCACCGTATACAGTTTTTTTCGTCGACTCCTGAAGTAGGTCACTGCCACCTGTTTGACTTCCTTTCAGCATCACCATCGTCATGACGCAGGACGCGCTCTCGCGCCCGCCCTTCCTTCCGTCTGAGCAACAGATGGCACTTGCTCTTGCCATTGTTCGGACCAAACCAGTCGGGATGCAAGTACGAGGTAAATTCAAACTTTCGGGAAAAAAAAGCCTCCAAACTTTCTGATATTGTTAGATTACGTTCTACAGCTACGTGCCCAGATTAAGCCCGGTCTCGGCCTCAGAAAGCGAAAAAATCCTACATACTATGTTGACGAAGTCGCCTACTGGAAGAACCGATGTCAAAAGGCCGAAGATGAATGTGAGAAACTTCGAGGTGTCAACATTAAGCTCGAAAGATCGAACCACTTACTGTCGAGCCTGTGCGGTCCCGTCTTGGATGTTGATGCAGCCGCCTACACCAACAAGCGCAAAGCACCATCAGCGTCACCCACGAGATCTAAACCGTCGAGACAAGCACAAAAGCAATCACCAACGGCCGCTGCTCAAGAAGCCATCGATAATGACCTGGATTTCTTGGAAGTGCTCGGCAGGGATGGTTCCAAACTCATGGAAGCTTTATACACTACGCACTCATTGTGCCGGTCCGACGAGCCTGACACTGAGGTTCTCTGCTTCAGTCTTGTACAAATCGCTTCAGGCATTGGCAAGGTAATACACATTGTCGCTCAGAACTACGAGCTGCTCTCTCGTCAAGGGCGGAGAAGCGCTGGAGCCATGTCGTTCGATAAGGACAAATCTGACTTCGCTGTTGCTCTCTCTGTCTGTGCTAGAGCTTTCATGTCGTTACTCGTTGGTACAAATAAGCTCGTGGAGTGCAAAGCCGATGTGCGACTTGATAGTTTGGTTGTCTGTGAGGTAGCAGGGATGTTCAAGGCCGCGTTGCAATCGATCGAGATATCAGCTCGACGTACAGCGGAGACTTCCTTGTCGCCACCCTCTTCAACAAATAAAACGAAGACGAAAGCGCCGCCTCCGGTCGTGAGAGAGTCTGCTCCGGCTAGAGCAGTTGCTCACTTGTTAATCAGCTTTCTCGGATTCCTCGAGAAAACTGATCCTGTGCATCAAAAGATCTTCGATGGCTTCGTCTTCGTCCTGTTCGAACGCGTGGGAAAGAAGTTGTATTATTTTACGTTCGGACAACATCGCAGTACATCTATCGAAGGTAACATCTTGCCACCGCCCGAGCCGAGAGATGCTGCTGAGGCGACAAGACTGGATAGTGACGCCCTAGCAACCCGTCTTGAAGTGAAGGCCCTCGTATTGATTCTTGAACGAGCGATGGGTTTAGCTCCAAACCACATGAACCCCCAGAACGCTCGCCCTAGCTCGGCATCTAACCGACCCGCCCGTACAATGAGCACCAAAACTCCTGTGACGAGCACCAGGGCGCGCTTGAGCCCTCTGGCAAGAGACCGCTTGCAACGAACACTTGTTGCGTGCATGTATGGGAACAACACAAACGACGAGTTCCTGGATGTTCTCACAAAGCCTGTTCCAGCTATGCGACTTGGTTCCATGCAAAACGTAGCCAAAGTCGACGACAAAGATGTGCAGACATGGTACAAGGAGGAGATTTGGCGACTCATAGGGTGGGATATCCTGGCAAGGGAGGGCGCGTGGTGAAACAAAGGAATAGGTTACGACGAATTCGAAAAGATTTAAATTAGGTCAAGATACAGGGAAGTCCGCCAAGTCTAGTTGCTGGCTTCTTGCGCCAACTGGAACTGACTGACAAACCTCCGCTCTACCGCCGACCTTTTCGCGCTTTCTAATACATTTGTATCTGTCTTCGTTTCATCTTTTGTTCCCCATCCCCCTCCACCAGGCGTGTCGATCACAAAGCAATCGCCCTTCTGTACAGCAAAATCCTTACGTCCACCTAACCTACACCACCTTCCACCGACTTTCTTGACGATATAGTTAACTCCGCTACTTCCGTCCTCCCCACCAAACATACCATAAGGTCTAGTAACCCGCCTTTCACTGACGATACTCGCATTCATGTCGCGATAAAACTCGTACACCCTCCGGATACCATTCCCACCACTCCAACGCCCTTTGCCACCTGACCCATCCCGTATACTGAACTCGCGAAGAAGCACAGGATACCTCTTCTCAAGTAGTTCTGGGTCCGTGATACGGGTGTTCGTCATATGAATATGTACTCCGGAAGTTCCGTGCCAGCCAGGTCCCGCGCCACTACCTCCGCATATCGTTTCTCCGAAGCCGAAACCGGAGTTTGGAATAGGGTTGCCGGTGTCGTCATTGTCACCGTTTATGCCAAAGGAGAAGACGTTGCAGTCACCTTGGCTTGCGGCACATGCTTCGAAGGCGCGGATCACGACGTCTGTTACGCGTTGGGATGTGATCGGATTTCCAGCGCATACTGCGGCATATGGTGAGGGGTTGAGAATACTTCCTTCTGGAATTGTGAACGTGAGAGGGCGAAGGCAGCCTTCGTTGAGCGGAATGTCTTGATTGATGAGGCACCGGAGCACGTAAAGTGTTGCGGATCTGGCAATTGCTTGTGGAGCGTTGAAACTGTGGTAGCCTTCTTCGCCTGTTCCAGTGAAGTCGAAGTGGGCAGACCCGTCGTCTGGGTTGATGGTTATGGCGAGTTTGATGGGGGTGCCGTCATCCATGTAGTCAAGTGCGGTGAGGATCTTACCGCCAGTTTCATGATAAGTACGCTTCATGAATTCCCGTACACACGACTCGGCGTTCGAGGTGATGGCATGCATGTTGAGGTGTACAATGGCGAGACCTCTTTCAGCGATGAGATCGGCTACCAGTGCGGCACCCTTGGCGTTGGCTGATACCTGTGCTTTGAGGTCGTTGATATTATCGGCTAGCTTACGTGTTCCTGAGCATCCTACGTATTGTGCTGGATCATGGAGTAGCACTCTTGTAACTAGCTCTTCATCGAAGACTCCATCGCGAACAAGATACTCTGAGACTATCATAGCGCCTTCTTCGTGTAGCTCAACGCTACCAGCTGGCATTGAGCCTGGGAGTATTCCACCAATCTCTTGATGATGACCTCTCGAAGCTGTGTAGAATATGATAGTCTCTCCCGCATGGTCGAAGACAGGTGTTACGCAAGTGATATCAGGAAGGTGCGTGCCACCGGAGATTGGGTGGTTAGCGACGATAACGTCACCTGGTCGAAGTTGGCCAAAGTACTTCTTGTGCTGGTACATGACCGCCTGCTCCATCGAGCCAAGATGTACTGGCACATGTGGAGCATTAGCTACAAGACGGCCCTCAGGACTGAAAAGTGCACAGCTGAAGTCAAGGCGTTCCTTGATGTTGACCGAAACGCTTGTCTTTTGGAGTGCGAGGCCCATCTGTTCAGCGATACTCATGAAACGGTGAGCCATGACAGAGAGCTCCACAGGATCAACAGTTCGTGGTGCAACTACCTCGGTGCTGGTCAATGTAGTTGTACGTTCGAGCTCAATCATTACGTGGCGCTCTAGAATAGTTGCCTTTGAGCGCGGGGCGACGACGATGGTTTGTGTGTTGTCCAGAATGATAGCAGGTCCATCTACAACATCACCCTTGGCCAGCTTTGTCAAGTGGTACAAAGGGGAGGTAGTCCAGCGATTTTCGAAAAAGACAGGAACGTGATCTGAAATCTTCTTAGTAGACACAGGGGACGGAGAACATCCAGTGAGTTGTTCTTCCAAGACAAACTCAGGTTCGACTGATGGGCTCCGAGCTGTGGCTCGTACTCGTACATTCTCAACGAGGATGTCTCTTCCAGGCATAACGAAAGAAAATTGACGTTTGTGCTCTGCTACGAAAGCTTCGTCCCACGATCCCCGGTCAGGTCGCGAGACCATGAAGGTGGTGTCAGAACCCTCGTAGCGAAGGTTCAAGAAGTGCTCGAAGCCAATTGTTTGGCCAGAAAATCCGTCGTTGGCCAATTGCTCAGCCGCGTTCTTCTCAAGTGATGACAGCCTTTCGTCAAGTTCATCGAGAGAGGATCGGAGTAGTGCTGAGCATGGTTCTTGAACATCACGAACGACATCTGCCAACGCCATACCGTATGCCGACAAGACGGATGAATAGCGATGAACCAAGATGCGGTCGATTCCTAGGTTAGCTGCAATAGCACAGGCAGCCTGTCCACCCGCACCGCCAAAGACTGCAAGATCATGGTCGGATGTCCGGTAGCCCTTGGCTTCAGTGAGCGAACGAATGGGCCGGCACATCGTCTCATTCGCAACTTCCAAGAAGCCGAGAGCAAGTTCTTCAACGGTCTTCGTTTTCCCAGTGGTCTGAGACAAATCGCGGTTGACGGTAACAAGTAGCTCTTCAAAGGCTCTCTTGGCGCCTTCATAGTCTAGCGGCTCGTTCTCGTGCTTGCCAAAGATCTTCGGGAAATACTCGACTTGTAGACGTCCCAGCACAAGATTCGCATCTGTAACTGTCAAGGGTCCACCTTTACGATACGCCGCTGGTCCGGGATGTGCGCTCGCTGATTCGGGGCCTGCCAGAAAGAGGCCGTTACGATAGGCAAGAATACTTCCACCGCCTGAGGATGTTAATGGCAACTCGCGGTTCGGCATCAGGGATATCACATACCAGCAGCTACAGTATCTATTCCAAGTTGTGGTGATTGGATTGTCACACCCGCTGTGATCGACTCGAACGTGTGCTCCAAAGTTCCCGCATACCGGGAAACATCAGTGCTAGTTCCGCCCACTGTGTCAGTGTTAACATGCATTTAGCGTTTGAAAAATCCCACGGGCTTACTGTCGAAACCTATTACCGGCTTTTTCCGTTTCGTATCGAAGCACGTCTTGCTAAAGCCAACAACACCCCCAGCCGGACCGGATAGGATGGCTTTGAGACCGCTGAAATGTTGCCATCCCACTAGACCGCCGTCACTCTGCATAAATTCGCAACGAGCACCACGAGAGTCTTCGAGACCGCCTATGAATCCCTCACGAAAGCCATCGATGTAACTACGCGTCAAGGGCGTGAGGTATGCATCTGCTGTTGCCGAATAGCCTCTCGATATTGCTCTAATCATAGGAAAGATTTGTGAAGATACAGATATCTGTGTGAAGCCAATCTCTTTGGCAATGTCGGCAACTTGAAGCTCGTGGTTTGGGAAAGTGTAGCTATTGATAAGCGTTATGGCTAAAGACCGCACGCCTTTGTCGAACAAACTTTGGAGACCCTCATGGGCGTGGTTGCGATCTATGATGATGTTAGCGTGAACATTGCGTCTGGATGTAGGACTGACCAACTGCTCGCAACACGCGAATAGCTTCCCCGCCAACACCCTTCTCCAGATCATGAGAGTCGCGTTTTGGATCTCTAAGCGTTGATTTGTCTTCGGTCGAATCGTGAAGTGTAACGCGCTCGTCAATCTCCAGCACATCATCGAAAAGAGTCTCTGGCCTCCTAATGTTAAGATCAAACAATTTTGGTCTTGTTTGATCACCTATGCGAAGCAAATCTCTGAAACCCTTGGTAACGACCAGCGCGCACTTCGTGGAATTCCGTTCCAACAAGGCATTCGTAGCTACTGTCGTTCCCATCTTTATCGACTCAATGTCGCTCGTGTTGATCTTCTCCCCGCGTGGTATCGATACGCCTGTAGCCTGTTCGAGTATTCTGCGGATGCCCTCGGTAGGCGCGTCAGAATAGTTCGTCGGATCATTGCTCAGAAGTTTGACGAGTATATCTGGTTTTCCTGGAACAATGCCCAGGCAGTCGGTGAAAGTACCACCACGATCAATGGCAATGCGAATGCCTGCACCTTGTAGCGGCTGCTCAACGAATGGCATCTTTGGTGTGAGATTCGTGGAGAAAAGCGACCAGAAAACAGCTAATGGTGAGTTTGAGTAATGAGCAACCTCTGCTTCCTTCAATGGATTCGAAGACTCGAGTGAGTTGCGACAGTGTCAGTATCGAGAGAACAGGGCTTGAAGATATCAAGCAGCGGCCGCTTGATTAGCCGCCACTTGCTGCATGCCATTGGCGGCAGCCATGCCAAAGCCGCAGGCCATATCGCTCCGAACCCATCGCATGGCGGGTTCGCGATGCCTATCGCGTCACGTTGAGAGTGGAGTAGGTTGGGATGCCGACACAGGACGCGGATGACGCGCGATTGCCGATCCCTTCCAAGGTGACACGCTAGTCATGCCTAGCGTGGCATGAACGAACCCCTCACACTGACACCCGACACTCCTTTCTATCGGACTCTGAAGTCCGATAGAACGACAGGGATCCAATATACGTTCTCCACATCATGCTAATCATTTGCGTGCTCACGGGCATGGACTCGCGACGCGCGTGCCGAAGGCGCAGTGTGAATTGGATACTATCCATAGCCGCTCCGATATAGTTTGGCTGTGAGGATCATGGTCATCGTTGCATCCGAAACTATCTACCATGACGGGAAGCATCAACCTACAGTTGGGGTGGCCATCGCCGACTCTGTTCCCTTCAGCTCAACTGCTCGATGGCGCGACCGACGTACTCAATTCGAAAGCCAAGACTGCAGCTTCACTGATATATGGACCAGACGCTGGCTACGAACCACTTCGACATAGTATCGCGAAATGGCTGACTCCCACGTATGGACGGGGTTCGGTGATCTCGTTGGATCGTATCTGCGTTACTAATGGGGCGTCGGGAAACCTGGACAACATTCTTGCGCGCTTCACCGAGCCCGGATACACTCAAAACATATGGATGGTCGAGCCGTGCTACTTTCTAGCCTGCCCAATTTTTATGGATAATGGATTCCAAGGGATGATGAGGGGCGTACCCGAAGACGATGAAGGGTTAGACCTAGAGTTTCTACGACGAAGTCTTGAAGAAGCAAGTGCATCGCCAACTTCAAGTTTACCAACACGAAAGACAGGCGACAGATACAAGAAGCTCTACCGACATGTCATCTACTGCGTCCCAACCTTCTCGAACCCGAGCGCGAAAACCATGTCATTACGGCGAAGACAGGACCTCATACGCCTAGCGCGAAAATACGACGCCCTGGTTGTTACCGACGATGTGTACGACATCTTACGCTGGCCAACAGACAAACAAAACAATCTAGAAGACCTCGGTTACGTACCTCCACGGCTTGTTGATATTGATCGCGTCCTAGAAGGAGGGCCTAAAGACGAGTGGGGGAATGCTGTGAGCAACGGTTCGTTCTCGAAGATTATAGCGCCGGGCGTCAGAGTCGGTTGGGCCGAAGCAACTCCCGCGTTCACATTGGCACTGTCGCAAGTAGGTGCTACGAGATCTGGTGGCTGTCCTACACACCTTTCCGCGTCGTTCGTACACGAAATGTTGGAGTCTGGGCTGTTGCAAAAGCATCTTGAGACGAATGTCATTCCCACTTTTCGAGCTCGCTATTACGCTATGCTAGAGGCGATAGACGCTCATTTGACCCCACTCGGAATCACCATCTCTACTGGAAAACCCTATACTGAAATCTTCGGTCAAACGGATGGCGTCGGAGATGACCACAATAAAAATTCCACTCAGGCTGGTGGATATTTCATTTGGTTGTTGCTGCCGGAAAGCCTCATTGGCAAGGGTGCAGCTCTGGCTGCCAAAGCTCTGGAGCAGTGGGATCTGAAATTTGCATACGGTGATATGATGCAAGTGCAGGGTGAGCCTGAATCCGCTGTCCGAGCTGCAAAGGGCTATGGGAATGGTATTCGTCTATCATGGGCATGGCATACAGAGGCGGAGATCGTTGAAGGTGTCAGAAGACTAGGTGCGTTGATTGAGGGAACCGACTAGGAACTTCAACCGTTAGACATGTAGTTGATACACATCGAAACGTTTACTATCTACATGTTTACTCTCGAGATGGTGGTGTAAGCAAGCCCCCGTTAACAGTGTGTGATTGGCCATGCTTCCTAATGCTGCCCTCAAGAAAGAACTTCAGGACCATATTAGCTGCCATTACAGAATCGTCGTCTGCATCAATATCATCAAGTGTCTCTTCCAAGACTTTTGGTTGCCAACCCGGGAAGAAATATTTGACCGTCTCACTATTGATGAAACGATCAAACTCGAAGTGGCCTTGAAATGTAAGGACACGACCTGATTCGTATATTCCCTGTACCGCGCAGTGCTGAGTATTTCCCACTGTCATCCAGGACTGTGGCAGGGCATCCATGTCTGGCACAACCACGTGGTCATGGTGTACAAACTGCAACCTCATTTTCTCCAAGCCACCCGCTTCAACACATTTGTCGTTTCCAAAGAATTTGCCCCGGAACTGTTGATGTAGTGTGATCTCCTTGACTCCTAGCTCCCAGCCTTTTGGATCTTTCTCTACCTTGACGCCATAGTCTTTCAGCAAAGCTTGACATACTAATTGATGACCAAAACAGCTCCCAAATATCTTCAAACTGGGTTCGTTTTCATACACTTCCTTCACCCATCGTTCGAGTTTGCATATCCAGGGCAAATCATCATATGCAGAGTTCGCTGAGCCAGAAATGATGATGGCATCGAATTCTGTTATCGAGACTGGGTATTCGTTTACCACGACATTGAAATCGGTGGACGTAATGCGGACGGTATTATTCGATGGATGTCGCGATGATTTGGTATTGTTGGCGGCGGAAGAGAGGAGATCGTGGAAGATGCGTCCGTAGGTGGGGGCACGTTTGCCAGCCACCACCGGCACCGGTGCGTCGGCGTTCAGCATGCAAATGCGAAGAACTTGTGCCATGATTTTACCAAGCGAGTATATGGATCTCAAGTTGGCTGTCTACTGTCAAGTAAGTCTTTCGATACTGATTCATCTATCTTGGTCTATGTCACTTTCGATATATGGGTCTAAATTCGGCCGTGCACGTGACAGCCGCCGATAAGCGGTTGACGCTTGTCGCGACCTTCTCGCGACTCGCCACGTCTTTCCACCACGGTCTACTCACTTGGTCTACCTTGACCAAACACAAAGCTGTCTCAGTCCTGGTCACCTGGATACCTCTGTCGCCTGAATACATGACGGTCGCGCTATTGTGCGGACGGGAAACAATCGGACATTGCGCGCCGATGTAGTCACGGTATCAGCATGCCCGGCACTCCCCAGACCATGACCTTGCCGCATGCGTACTTCATAGCATATCTATGTCGTCTACCCATACAGATTCCAGCTCTCGGGATTTGAGAACCTTGGAGCTAGCACTATTGAGGCATAGTGGGATGGCCTGGTAGTCCACGCTCGGCCGTGACCCACTGGCGGAGTCGAGAGTCCGAAGCGTCAGCTCTTTGTTCCCTCAACGCTAAGCAACGTACGTGCACATGCGAACCGGTTGATCATTGCCGTCGCCAAAACGCGGAGAAAACGAGCGCCCACGAGTCAAGGATGTAGTGATAGTCTTATCGAGCTGGCCTCTAATGGCCCATATCACGTTCAACCGCTGTCTAGCTGGAGATAGTGACACCCAACGAGATACCAAGATACACATTCGTGATATGGTTCTTGGTCGTGGCTCAGCTCTTGTATAAATCACAAGCCTGGTGAACGTGTTCGAAACACCTCACAGGAATTTCTTTTTGCGTCCCAATCTTCACCCATCTACCAATATCATGGCCGACGATAGCAAGGTCATGTCGTCTGCCGACGTCGAAGATACGCACTCCGTCAAGATCGGCAAAGTCGCTTCAGCCAATGTTGATGTCGCTGCTGCCTACGCCCATCACCTTGAGGGCGAGAATGCGTACATCAGAAAGGAAGCAACACGTCTACGATGGAAGCTGGATTTGCGTCTCGTGCCATTGTTGTGGTGTGAGTGCTCGAGGCAGGAGACCAGGGCAAACATGAACTAATGGACGTCTCAGTCAATATCACGCTGGGCGCTATGGACAAAGTTACGACAGCTACGGCTGCCCTGTATGGCTTCCGGGCTGACACTGGGTTGACTGGGGATCGTTATAGCTGGGTCGGCAGTGCCTTCTATGTAAGCAAGTCCAGTCAGCGTCGCATTTGTACTGCTAACGGTAATGAACAGTTTGGCTATCTGGTATGGTGCCTTCCCAGCGGCAGCCTCCTTCAGCGCTTTCCGATCGCGAAGCTCATGTTCGTCGTTCAAATCCTTTGGGGCTGTATACTCATTGCGACCGGCTTCGCAAACAACTTCCCAACTCTCATTGCACTACGTGTGCTGCTTGGAGCCCTTGAAGCGCCGATCGTACCGGGAAATTTCCTTATCATCGGCATGTGGTATCCTCGACGTGAGCAACCACTTCGAACAGGTCTAATGTATACTGGACTCTCAGTATGCTTCACTGGTCCGATTGGTTATGGAATCGGTTTCCTCGCAGGCGAACACCAATGGCGTGCCATGTTTTGGATTACAGGTGCGATGACCATTGTGTGGGCTTGTGTGATCGGCGTCTTCTTGCCTGACAATCCTGTCAAAGCGAAGTTTGTTACGGAACGGCAAAAGGCAATTGTGATCGACAAAATCCGGCAAGATCAGACCGGAGTGGAAAACAAGACGTTCAAGAAGGAACAGATGATCGAAGCCTTCCTTGACCCGAAGACCTGGCTAATGTTCTTCTTTCACATTTGGATTAGCAGTAAGGAAACCTGAGGTACCAGCACTACAGACATGAGCTAACATCCCCAAGTTCCGAACGGTGGTCTAACGAACTTCACGCCTCTTATCATCAAAGGCCTCGGTTATACATCACAGCGCTCGACGCTCCTCACGATGCCTACCGGTATCTTACAAACCGTGGCATCGTACGTATGTAACGGTGGGGTCTTCTTGACCGCGAAATACTTCCCTGCGAAGCAGCTGCGAACTGCTTGGGTTATGTTTGGTATCATCGTCGGCATGATATCCGCAGTCTTCCTCTACGTCTTGCCCCTCGACAACTATAACGGACGTCTCGCGGCACTATACTGCTCATACTTTTACCTTGGTCCATACATTGTTTCACTTGGTATCAACACGGCAAATACCGCGGGCCATACCAAGAAAGTCACAGTCAATGCGCTGGTCTTCATCGCCTACTGTGTTAGCAATATCATCGCCCCACAGTTCTTCAAGGCTGATCAAGCCCCGCTGTACCCACTTGGTATGGGTGCCGTTCTGGGTAGTTACGTGCTATCGATCATCACCATCGCCATGTACGCAACGTACTGTTGGTACGAGAACCGGAGGCGTGATCGGATTGATTCCGACAAGGGTGGAAGGGTGCATGCAGATACCGACTTCCGCGACCTGACTGATAAGCAGAATGTGCATTTCCGATATGTATGGTAGGTGCGAAAGAAGATGAGGTGGAATATATACAGGTTTGCAGGATCATAATACAACCGACTGCGCAATGCCTCCAAAACTTTCGCCATGTTTGTGTCATCGATTCGTGTTAGATGCTAGTTGTGATATAAAGACTTCTCACATTGTGGTCAAGATCAGTACAGCCAATAACATATGTAACCATTTGCTACAGCAAAACTACTCAATAATCTGCTTGTCAAATGTCTATCCCAGTGGATGAAACTGTGTCCGCGTTGATCGGAAGTCGCGAACCGATCAGGCATACATCCCCGCACGTCAAAAGTGGAGCGCCTCGTGGATTGGCTTGTCCTTTGATAACGGGGTGTGTCGGACTTCAAAGTGCGACGCTGCGACAGCACCCGGCTCATGCAACTTTGCGTAGTGGGGGAGCTACACACCCTGCATATGCTAGGTAACAAGGGTAGCAATCGTTTTCGTGCATCGCACGTTAAGAAAGCTACCATAGGGAGACGAAATTTTATGGATAAATGGTCGTCATTACCCTTTCGATGTAGACAAATCATTCCCCAAGCTGCGAAACTCAATAAACATAATCATATATCATCGCAACATATCTAACACAATGCCAGAACTTCAGATATCAGTTGAAGATGAGCAAAAGGCTTTCGAGGCTGATGTAGCTGCGATTGAGAAGCAATGGAGCTCCGCAAGACAATCCCACTTGAAGCGGTATGTAAGCTTCGCAAGTTATTACAAACCGATTCACAGTAGAGTTGAGCTAATTTTCATACATAGACCATACTCTGCAAGCACTATAGCCGCGCTTCGAACGTCCATTGCCGCACCCTCAGATGCCTCTTCGACCCAGGCCATCAAGCTCTGGAATCAACTGCACGCCCACAACAAAGCTGGCACATGCGAGTTGACATTCGGTACTACAGATCCCGTTGCGGTTTCGCAGATGGCCAAGCACCAGCAAACCGTCTACGTGTCTGGTGCTCTATGTGGGTTCTCAGAAGTCGCACTTCCGGGAATGGACCACGCCGACTACCCTTGGGATACCGTGCCGAAGGTTGTGTCAAAGATCTTCAAGAGCCAACTTTGGCATGACCAGCGACAACGACAGTACCGATTGCGACATCCGATCGAAGAGCGACAAGGATTGGAGAACTGGGATTATATGGCGCCTATCGTCGCGGATGGCGATATGGGCTTTGGTAGCCTTACTAGTACAATGAAAATGGCACGCGAGTTCGTGGACGCTGGTGTGGCCATGATACACATCGACGACCTAGCCATCGGCATGAAAAAGTTTACAATTGGTCAAGGGCGGACTATCGTACCCACTCAGGAATACCTGGATCGTCTGACAGCTGTGCGGATGCAATTTGATGTCATGGGTGCGGAGACGCTACTGTTGTGCCGCTGCGATACAGATCATGCCGAGTTCATCACCAGTGTCGTCGATGAGCGTGACCATGAATACGTGCAGGGGGCAACGAAGGAAGTTGAGCCACTGCAAAAGTGCCTTCAGGCCGCACAGATCGAAGGTAAAGATTTGAAGGTTGCACGAGACGAATGGAAGGCCAAAGCGGGGATCAAGACATTCGACGAAGCTGTGGAGGCCGTTGCGACGGAAGAGGAGTTTGCCGCATATAAGGCAGAGCTGTCGAAACAGAAATTCGCGTCCTTGTCCGATCGTCGCAATATCGCAACCAAGACCGTCCAGCACGAAGTGTTTTTCGACTGGGAGCTATCGAGATCAGCCATGGGTCAATATATGCTGAAAAGCTGCGTCAAAGGCATCGTCGAGCGTGCCGTCGCTGCTGCACCGCTTGGAGACGTAACGTGGGCACGTATGGATTCACCTAACTGGGGAGACATCGTTGAATTTCACACAGAAGTTCGGAAGGTGTACCCGGACAGACTTTTCGCCTTTGGCTACACCGGCGACTACGACTTTGGGAAAGCCGGCTTCAGTGAGAACCATGTTAAGAACCTACATCTTGACCTTGCCAAGCTAGGTATCGTGTGGCAGGTCCAACCGATCTGGAGTCTGCAAGGCCTGAACATGGTGACGGAACAATTCGCAAAGATGTGGCAGGAGCAAGGTATTGCTGGCTACTTGAAGGCGATTCAAGGTCCAGCTCTTAATTCAAAGCCTATGACGGACGGCTTTGAGAAATTGAGCTATTGCGGTGGGTACCTGGCAGATGCATTCTTTGAGACAATCGCAGGAGAGTCAATTGTAGACAAAGGAAAGGCCGCCAACTTCCAGAGACACTGATAGCTGTAATATCTTAAACAAATCATGGTTGATAAATCTCGTCCTTGATTGGTGCCTTATGTCCAGCCGTCGAAATCGAAAACGCCAGGAAATGAGAGCAGCCCCTCGACATCCAAATCTTGAAGCCCAGGTTCTGCTATCCCATACTCGAACGGTTGTTGCATGGCGAATGGCATCTGAAAGTTTGCATTGATCTGGTGTAGCTGAGAGTTGAAATGATCCTCAGATTCCTGCTGGGTTGGGCCGAGCATGCCAGCGACTGACGGAGGCTGAGAAGGTTGAATAGAGCGAGGAAAGTCTTCGTGTATCATCTCGTCGATCATGCGTAACACGGGGCGATGCACCACTAGTGCACGAACCTGTGGGAGGTGCGCTTGAATCGCCGTGACCGTTTTGTCTGATAATCGGGTCGGCGGCTTGTTGGGTCGGTCGACTAGCGGTATTTCGCGCGCCAGTAATTCAAAGACGTCTCGCAGACATTCCGCCTTGGCCCATCGGTCTGCCATTATCGCCAGAATATTGGAGCAGGCACGCAACGCGTCGGGAACGTCAAGGGAAAAGTAATTTTCAGTTCTTTGTTCTGGTGGAGTAGCCCAGAAACAGTACAACAGTGTGATGCCGGACTGGAACTGAACGAGAAGCTGCTCACATTAGCGGGAGTATCATCGGACGTGGATCATACTCACTGCAAGCCATGGTTGAGCAATCTGACGATCAATCTGGGTTCTTCGAAACATTAAACAAGCTTGACTGCTGGCTTGGACTGACTGCAGAAGCGAGAACACAAAGTCAGTGTGTGATTGATGTGCATTCCGTGCAGTAATGGCTTACCCAGTCGCCAGCAGACCCGACTACATTGGCTTTTGTTGGCCGATAGAGCATGAGCAACGTGTAGTGATAAATCATAGCTTGCCAACGTTGCGACGTGTAGCCTTTCGACTGTGGATCTGAGAAATTCTTTACACGGGACTTAAAGCTGTCCAATTCCGTAAGAATTCTTATTCGCCAATCCGAAGTGTTCTCGAACTGAGTATCATAATCCCATCGAAGTGTAACGGCACTAATCTCGGATTGTATGCGCCTGCACTGGAGTATGTGGAGCGCTGAAGAGTTACACGTATAATGCTGAGAGTCAGGTAAGTCATGACTGGGCGGAGTAATCGCAGCGGTTTCCCACAGGTCATGGTCCTCGATATTAGCAAATGGTCTTACAGTTATCATATAGTCTGGTATCGATGGAGGCAGATCGAATGATGACATGACCAGTCGATCAAGCAAATACGCACACCAAAAGCACCGTCGACGGACTTGAATCATAAGCCTCGTTTGAACGTTCGCTGATGGCGGCTCCATCTCACCAAGATGTAGTTGTTGCTGAACGCATTGTCGCATAGCCGTGGACGCAAGAGAGATAATACGTTCCGTGGAGCTCTGATGCAGTGCATGAATGGATAGCAGGAGATAGGCTTGCACCTGAAGAATTCTATCTGGCTGACGTAACACAGCCGGTAGCAGCGAGATTCCACTATTGTAAAACTCTCGCGCATTATGTGCTGCCGCATACGGTTGACGCAGAAGCACTAAAGATGTTGCGTACACTAGGTTGACGAAAAAGCCTTGCCATGCTCGTTCTTTGAGGTCGCAGGAGAGGCAATGCTTCCATTCCAAATGCCATGTGAGGAATGTGTCCCAATGGAAGAAGGGATACTGAGCTTGAGCACGCTCGCGATACGCGTCAAGCAATGCCTCCTCTAGCTCTGGAGACATGGTAGCCATCAGTGCGTGTGCGCTGTTCACAGTGGCTGGTGCCGGTCCCGGGTTGGTTGGACTGATAGCAGCATCGTGAGTCGAGAACTGAGCTGATGGCGAGGCAATCAGTCCGAAGACGAGATGATTTAGGTCGGGCTCATCATCGAGACCATGAGCTATAGCGTAACCTGGCGATGAGCCAGAAAGAACGGACGAGCGTCGCGGTGGGACGGTTCGCTGAACCGGTGGACTGGCAATCGCACCCATGATACCGCCATTTCGAATCCCACTGCTCGCCGGCGATGTGTCGGGATTATTTTCTTGATCAGGCCTGTCAGAAGGTCTCTCGAGGTGGTCGAGACTGTGCTGTGGGTCTAAAGACTCGAGCTCAGCAACGCGTCGTTCCAGAATGCGCACATATTCGCTTTCGATGTGTGGACGAGGCGCAGGTTGGGTGGGCAGACAATCCTCATCTCCTTTGATACAGTTCTGGCATGGTCGACGGTCCTCGCACTTCTGTTTCCGGGAGCGACATCGTTGGCAAGCCAAGGTCCGTTGCTTTTTGGGTGCCGGCTCATGTGAGGGACTGGCAGGTTCATGCTCCATCGCTTGTGCTCTTCGGTTTTCCTTCCATGCTTGAATCACACTATCAGTCGCAATTCGTTTGGTATAGTGATAGCGCACTTCGAGGCAGTGCAGGGTGTCACGGTGATAGTAATGCCGGTTGCCGGATCAGCACGCGATAGGGATGGGAAACGATGCCGAAAGAGGCTACGCGTCCACGTGACTGACCTGCAATCTCCACTTCCAAGGTCATGCCCCGGTCATCAAATCTCCTGGTCTCAAGTCGCTCCAATGTGACACCACCCTTCATCAAGAAGACGAACAACTACTTCTCATTCTAATTCCAAGTACTGTAGTCTCATGCATGATCTCCAATTGCCAGGTACAGCTCGCCGCACGCGCCAGCATGACATACAGGCGGCTGACGCCATCCGAAGAAGCTTGTTTATCAGAGCCGAAGGGTCTGTGCGGATTTCCGGGCTTCTTCATACTAAGTTCCACTACACCCGCACGGCCCGCGCTGGGGAAACTGTTCGTGTCTATTAACCGGTGCCGTCGAGAGCTGTGAAGCTGGCAGCACATGTGTCGGCACGTTACTATGTGCTAGGAGCTCCTCACTATATCTTTGAAGGCTTGGTCCATGAATGACCGCCATCACAACGTCGTTCACACTGCTACATGACGTCCGCGCCACGCTATGTTACGAAGCCTCAGCCTCATTTCGGTCCGCGAACAAGTTCTAAAGGACCGAAAACCGAACATAGCTGGAACAATTCCGCGATTACTCAAGCAGAACAGGAGACAGTGATCGTAATCAATCTGTAGTGATAGCATCGTTAGCGTAAGGGTCTGTGAGTAGAGTTTTCTTCAGTATAAGATGTAGGTATGCTGTGCCTCGATTGTGACTGCGCCACCACTTCAGCAATCGACCGACGCAAACCATCATGCGCTCTACATTCTCCAGCCTGGCACTCTTTGCCGGAGCCTCTCTAGCAGCTTATGCCCCAAACAAGACTTTCGAGCGTGAAACACGCAGCATTGATGAGATCTACAAAGCAGCTCTTGCCGAAGGTGGCGTCGTTACTCTTTGGCATGGCGGTGATGAGAAAACCCAACAGAATGGGTTGAAAACCGCCTTCGAAACAAGGTTCCCCAACATGACGCTCAACGTCACTGTCGATCTATCCAAGTACCACGACGGCAATCTTGATGATCAGCTAGCAGCCGACAATGTTTACGTTGATAGCATTATCCTGCAAACGCTGCACGATTATCCACGCTGGAAAAAAGAAGGTGCTTTGATGAACTACGCGCCATTGAACTTCGACAAGGTATACCCTGTGTTCAAGGACGCGGATGCAGCCTACAGTGGATTGCTCATCTTCAACTGGGGGTAGGATACTCTCCAAACTACCATCTGTTCCACGAGCTGATACAACAATAGAATCTCCGCCAACATGAACAAGACTAGTACGCTCCCGACATCGTACCAAGACTTTACCAAGCCCGAGTTCAAGGACAAGATTGTTCTGACCTACCCCAACGATGATGATGCAGTACTATACCAGTTCGAGCTCATGTAAGTTTATTCCCTCCTACTTCGTATACAAATCAAGTAATAACATCTCTAGCCTACAGGAGCTTGGCCAGGAATGGTTTGACGCGCTGCTTGCCAACAACCCTCGCTGGGTACGCGGCACAGCAACCCCTGGAGCGCTCGTTCGTGCCGCCAACAGCAGCAGCGCAGTAACCTTTACTGGAGGCTCTTCATTCACAGACCAGCTACCAATTAGATATTCACTACCCAACGATGCCAACTTTACCTCTTGGGCTCAGACCGGCGCCATCTTGAAGAAGGCACCACATCCCGAAGGCGCAAAGCTGCTGCATAGTTTCATGCTCAGCGACGAACACCAAACCGGTGGCAGTTGGAGTGTTCGCGAGGACATCCCAGCGGGTAAGGGTGCGGAGCCCATCCTCCAGCAGCCTGGCACAGATGCTCCTGCGTTCGCGACGTGGATGGCAGATCGTAACAATGTCGAAAGGCGAAGGTTCTTTTACGAAGATAAGATCGGCACTGCCCAAGGTCTTAGCCCGCTCATTGACGACTTGTGAGCGTACTTTCACATTAGGGATCGAGAAAGCCGCGCATTCAAGTGTCAAGTGAGTTGAAAAGTCGTGTAGACCTCCAAGCGACGCAGGGCCTGGTATGCGTCCGTCCAGCAATCGGTCGAATTCGAGTAGTATATATTATCATAGTGTTCTATACCAATTTGCCCCTACTTTGAAGAATTTCGGCTTTCATCTTCTTAATTCTGAGTCTCTTTTCGAGTTCGATGACACCCGCTTTGTATACTGACATTGCCTTTCATTCAGGGCTACCTTACTTGGCGGCTACTCTGACACCATAGGAAGCGTTCGTGGTTCATCAGGATACCTCACGCGTGTCAGGTTTCAAAAAAGCACGCCTCAGACATGGAAAGGTCTTGTGAGGGCAATCTACACTGAGTGATTTGGTTCGGCAATAGCATGGTGCGCCACAATGTCACATTTACATGCTCAATCGCCGCTTGTGTACATTATGGGCTTGGCAGAGACTACTAGCACTATCGAGGTACCTTTGATCATTCTTTCCTTCGACCTGCATCACTCTGCTCCAAGGTCTTTCTGGATCATAATACTCTGGGGGTTGCAGACTAGTACTATCCTGGACGATACGTACAGCAGGTCTTCAGCGATGTAAGTAACCAGCGCTAGTTAAGGCTATCATCTCATTGATTCTGCGAAGACTGTACAACAACCCTGCACTCTCTGACCTCAAGATCAAGCAGATTGATAGCGGTGACGATGAAGTGCGCGAATACTATGTGCATACAGCGATTCTGGGCAAGGAGTCTTGATCTTTTCTCAACGCGTTTACGGGCAATCTCAAGATATTCCGTGGCCACGCCATTGTCACACCTGCTCATCGACCGACTGCATTTCTAGGAGACAACCGATAGCTTCATCGAGCTACATGATGATTGCTTCCATGTCTTTGAGTTCATGCTCAAGTCCACATACTCTGAACACTACGGCAAGACTGCCTTCGACAAGCTTGCTGCTAATGATATGATTCCTGCTGGAGATATGACCGAACGCAGTCTTCTTGCCATCAATATTATTCATATTCTCGCCGATAAGTATGACGTCCCGAGACTCTACATGGCCGTATATGAGGGTCCAAAGAGGCCTCTTCTCGACCCCAGGGCCGACTGGGGTCTTGTCTACACGATCGTCTGTCGATATTACGACTACGAACCTGAAATCAATACACAAACGGGCCGCCTCATTGCATCTATGTTTGTTGAGCCCAAATACGTCAATCGTATTCGCACAGACGTGTTCGAAACTACCATGCTGCATTACCCTACACTCGCTGCTGCGACGCTGCAGATATCGCGCTCCACCTACAACGCAAGAAGCATTTCGCTTCGACTTTAGGGTCCACCATCGTCACATGCCACCAATTCCAGGTAAAGTCAGCCGCCAATCTTGAGGCCATTCGCAGAAAGGGGTCTCGCTTCGCTTACTGGATGGACTGTAAGGAGAGTATCCGTATCTCCAGACTGTAAGGCCGAGCATCCATGCGCGAGCTACAGACGGCTATCTGACATCTTACAATGGCTTGGCTAGCTTATTGGGGACTTTTGCGTGCTTTGGGCTTCCCACAGCGCATACCACTAGACCAACAGATGCTGTGGTAAATGGAGCATCTTTCTCATAGTTGAAGAACAAACGACTCGCTTTCGGGGAATAACTCCGGATATAGACAGCAAGCTGCAGGCGGCATGAGGTCAGGTTTCTTGAGGCAGAATCAGTCTCTCCAAACGTTTTGTGGCTATTCTCTCATTTTCATCATTCACTCACTCATCGGATGCATTAATCTACCGCGCTTACACCGCGACAGTCTCCGCTAACCTATTTGGTGCAAGTGCTCGATTATCTAGGTGCAAATTTCGTTTTGTGCACACAAATTATCCAATTATTGCAACCCTTAGCTGTGACTCTTCCTGGTCAACTACTCGCCATGGCTGGATCAACACGAGCAACCGCTAAGTAAGCAAAACCTGCTAGCTCTCCGAGCGCCGAAAAATAACTTGACTACAGGATGTTCAACAACCCCACTCTCTCAGATGTCAAGATCAAGCAAGTATATGAAGGCAAGACGCGCGAGTACCATGCCCATAAAGCTGTACTGTGCCTCGAATCTGGCTACTTTCTCAATGCCTTTACCGGTAGTTTTAAGGTCAGAAAATGTCTTATGATCACTCAAGACAACATACTTATTGTCTCAGGAAGCATCCGAGGGCACTATAGAACTACACGAGGACAATCCTGAATGCTTCGAATTCCTCCTCAAGTTCATCTACACCGGTATCTACGATAAAGGCCAGATCGCTAAGCTGGCAGGCAGCGACCACAACAAGCGCGTTCTTATCCCGTTCGGAATTTACGCGGTCGCTGATAAGTACGATGTCGGAAAACTCTTCGAATCGGCAGCAGAAGATGTCAAGATCGTTCTCATGTGCGCTGTCAAAAACCGAGGAGACATACTCGCCACTTCGATCAAGGCTCACTACGGTACTGAGGTCGAAGCTGATGAACCTATGGGATGCCTCATCACCGCTGTCATCTTCGAACAGCACAACGACCTCCTCGACACCAAAAATTTCGAAAAATGGCTCCTTGCTTACCCGACCTTCGCCGCAGACGTTGCACTTCACTCTCAGCGTGGCAAGTTATTCGGGAAGAAAGATCGTGCTAGGTGTTCCAACTGCACTAAAAAGAGTATCGAGAAAAACTTCCAGTATCTGAGTGAGAGCTAGGGGTGCTACTCTGGTTATCTGAATGAAATATTATGCTCAGCAACTCGAGACGATACAGAGTGGATACGATGGGATAACATCTTGAGAGCTGGTTTTCTGCAAAACATCAACAGTACATACAGAGAGTTGGCTCTTCGGAATTCCGCTTGATAAAATGGGAGAAACCCCAGACATTACAGTTTGACCCAAACTTTGTGACTCCTCAACATGTTCCTTCCATCGTCACTCCTCTTGACTACATTACCTACTTGAATATCTGTGAGAACCCCCATACCATCATCTGGATAGGGTAACCATTCCTCCACTGGATCCGTTGGTGCATTTGCTGGTGGAGATGGCGCCCATTCAACGGCGAAGAGTAAATTAGGCATTTCTGTCATCGCGTCTCCACGGAAAATGCGGATGGTCTTGACGCAACGATTGCCACCTATCTGTGCTTTATGTTGAGCAAGAAAGTAACCTACTGCTCTACCGTTTGGACTTCCTAAGAGTACATTGTTAGTTCAATTCAGAACTCGAGGCACGCGAGACCTTGAAAAGAAGTATCGGAAAGAGGTGTAACACGCGAACGTACCCAGAAGAGCCATATACTGCGGGGTGTTCATATTGACGTCGATTCCCGGCCAGAGGGGTACCCTGTCTAATTCTTGCTCCCTCAGTATCCTATCGATGATTCTCCGCGTCTCGCCGTTGGTTATGAGCATGGACACAAAGCCATGAATTTCTGCCAGCTTATCGCGCCTTACTCGATTCCAGAACCCCCATGCTAGGTCTGAACTCGCACGTAAAGCTGGCAACTCATCGGACGGAACTGGGTCTCCTTTGCGTATACGCCATAGATCACGGGCCTCTTTGACGGCAGAGCCGCGCCGAAGGAAGTAGATTAGACCAGCTTGCGGGTTGATGATGATGGTAGCATAGGCCGTTGTGACCTAGATGTGGGAAGGTGTCAGTAGAGAGACAACAGAAGAACTTCGAGAATAAGCTCACCCTGTATCTACGACCATTGGCAGTATAGTACTGCTTCTTTCGAGGTGGCATTCTCCCTTGTGGATCTTTTTCCACGATATCGCTTTCGGCGTGAAATACAGAGAAACAATGGTTTGGTCCGCCGTGAAGATTATTGACTTTGGAAAGTTTTAGCTCATCGAGCATTGGCTGGAGTGCACCGATTTCACATTCGCCATCAGGGTCAGAAACATCTTCTTTGTAACCCCATGTCGCAAGCTCGTGCTTCATATCACCATCCCAGGGAGACGTCAAAGGACTCACGAATCGAATAGCTTCCGGCGGATTTTGAGTAGACGCAAACATAAGCTTTGCTCCTCGACATTGTGATTCAAACCAGACTTTGTCGGTAGCAGGGTTTGTGTAGCCATCATCATTATCATCATCCTCGTCTTCGTCATCGGAGTCGGAGTCGTCAGAATCATCAGAATCGTCGTCGGGGTCGGAGTCTGTACCGCCTCTAAAGGCAAGCTTCTGGTGCCCAAGAGCCTTGACGTCACCGTCAATGACGGCGTTGTCATTAGTGAGATTCTGTAGATACTCAGTCGCGCCGAGTACAATGAGACTTGCGATCAATAGAATCCAAGAGAGCTTCATTCTGTCTACTCGGAGTGTTGTAGGTGAGTGTGTAAGTCCGAGCTGGTAAGAAAAGGAACGAGCGGACGCGGTGCTAGCTGTAACTTTCACCAGACATGCGAATATGATAGAGCTCGACCAACAGAATAATGCTAGTCATGCAAGGGAGAGGTGAGAAGTCGTAGTGCGTCATCATTTAGGCTACAACTGAACATATTCACCGCGGAATTTGGGTAGCTGTGTATCCGAGGTGAGAGTGAGAGGCGCGTTGAGATGCTAAGGCAGGCGCGCTCTGGAATATTGAGGTGTCAAACACGTCGATATTCATCAAGGTACAACATGAAGGTCGACTCCGTGTAAGCTGAGACGTAGCAGTAATATACACAAATCTCATTGTATATTCGAAATGGTGAACATGATATCGTATGAGGTGGAGTGTCTCGTGGCTTTGAGAGAACCGATTGGTTACGGTACTTATACCCATGTAAGCATACAACCGCAGTGTAACAGCGTTGAACGTCAGCTTCCTGATGAACGAGCAAGAATATCGTGAAATCATCTACACCGCTTCGTATGATTTTCATGGATATTAATCGTCGTTACACTAGATTACCAGTACTGCATCGTTGGATGCACGGAAATCGGTGTAGAGTGAGCGCTGGACAGGTTGAATGGGTTACTTGACAGTTGGGGTTTGGCAAGGGTGTCGAGAGAGGTATATAAGAACAAGAAGAAAGCAAGAGAATCATACAGCAACTATCACTGCTTTGTCCTTCAGAAGCATACGAATCAACATTCCAAACCTTACCCTAGGTACAAGATCATCGACACCCTCAAAGTAGTAAGTGCCGCTCCTAGACATTCAAAACGCTTCAACGTCCAAGTCATGACTGATGCTGTCAACAGACCAACCGAAGCCATGAGATTCACCGCTATCATCGCATCTCTTGGTGCTGCCGCCACCATCCAGGCTCTCGAGCAGCCCCATCCTCTCGCAGATGTCAGCGCGCAATCCTGCGCTGTGCGCAACTACGGTTGCGAGAACGGCTATTGCTGGAACGGGCAGTGTGGAAGCAAAGGAGAGTGGTGCTGGCTGGCCAAGAATGGGGGTTCGGGTGGTTGGTTGACGTGTGGAAGCGATGCGGCTTGTGCGCCGAATGTTGCTGTGGATGCTGGGTGTGCCGACTGTAACGTCTATCCTGTGGGCACCTGTGGGTGTTCATGCTGAGACTTGAAGATTGCGCGCTAGGGTGGTAGCATAAAGCCGGCATATCAGCTCACCCCTCATTTGAGCTCTTGTTCCATAGGAAAGGTTTCCAGGTAGTGTTCGAGAACATCAACAACCTCTGCTTTTGGATCTTCGGCGCCACCTTTTCGCATCTTTGAAGCGTTCTCTTGCTTCTTTCTCATACCTACTGCTCGTCGATGGGCGCGGCTTTGGCGGTGTAAATTCCAGTCATTCTCGGTAATAGATGTTGTACCGCATGTTTCGCAGACCTTCTTTTGCCAAAGGTCTGGTCGCTGTCCCAAATCGTACTCGCGTTTTGGCGTCAGCATTTCAGCTGCAACTGGTGATAGTGATGAGGGCGGTGGCAGTGGCTGGCCAGAGAGGAATTGTTCGGTGATGGCTGTGGCAGGCTTTACGACCTTATCCTCCCATTGCGATATGTCAGAACCATCAACTAGGAATGTGTTGTCCTTCTGGCCTGCGCCAAACAACGCATTAAGGAGCTTGATCCGAATCCATTTGATCTGCCGGTTGGCATATTGGCGGGTGGCAGCCTGTGTCTTCTCGACGGCTAGGCTCTTAAGCTTCTCTAGCTCAGGGGCCATCTTCGCATCATCGGAAAGAGCGCTTTGGTATTCCAAAAACTCCTTGTATCCTATAGATACCCAAATGCCGCGAGTCTGGTCGATAGTGGCGCCCGTACTGGATTCGTGGCGTTCGCGGAAGCTGCTCAGTTCCTCAACCTCAGACAGAAGGCCTCGTGCGATCATCTTATCAACACGGCCATCAAGACGACGATGCAGCACATCCTTGTTTGCGTGCACCCAGAATATCAGGGTCTCGAAGCGAAGACTGTCAGATGCCGCGCCATCTGTTTGAGCAGCAAGAATGTCGCGTTGAAGCTTTTGTTCCTTGTAGAGTTGCGACGCTGGTTTGCCTGTTCTCAAGTATATCTCAAGTGACCGCTGAATCTTGCGCCGCTCGTTGGGATGCCACCTGTCGGCCATGATAGGATCAACTTCCCTAAGCTTCTCATGCAGGACATCGGTAGGCTCTTCTAGTATCGGAAGAGCCTGGCTATTCTCGTTCAAGTTCAGCTCCGGCTCATCTGCCAGCGCATCTTGGAACAAGAGTGATTGTGTGTAGTAATGAGTGCCACCGACCAAGACCGGTAGTTTGCCTCGACTTCGAATTTCGTCGATCTAGATACGTCAGTGTTCTTCCGGAAAAGAGTTCTCTCTGATCATACTGTTCTTAAAGCCTCGCCCACGAATTTCCCTACAGTCCAAGTTTCTTCTTCAAGACTTATGCAGCCGAGGAGATGGTGAGGCACACCTTTCGTCTCATCCTGCGTTATCTTATTGGTGATGATAGGTAACCCGCGGTACAGTTGCATAGCATCTCCGTTGATAATTTCGCCATTGTATTTTCGCGCAATCTCCACAGCCAACTACCTACTGTGGTCAGCAAGACATGGTCTAAATGAGCAACATAGGCTTTACATCTGATTTGCCAGTACCTGTCGCACCCACAATAGTGATTAGGGGTTTGCGCGGCGTTTGGGCCATGTTGTACCTACTGAATGCTCTTGCGAACCGTAACATGCATTCGAAGGGTTGGTTGAAAGCGTCTCGAATGACTGAGTTGCCGAAAATGCTGGTTAGCGTAGAGCGGGGATGCGCTTTTCCTCTTCGACGCTAGCACAACCATCCAGGAAGCCGATCCCTTGGAAATCTCCCGTTTAGACAGATCGAAGCACAGCACGACTACTGAAGGGATTCAGAAGTTGAAAAGCAAGAAAATGTACAAGGTTGCCAGAAACTTGAATTCATGGATTTGTTCAGATATCTTTGGAATATTGGTACGAATGAATTGTCGTTGTTGAATCTGATGGGGTATCATCGTTGAGTGCCGCCCGAACGCCTGTTGAAACTCCGTCGACGCGCATTGTTGAAGCGCGTCGAGAATATGTTCTTTTCCACTTCTTTCTCACTTGTCTTCCACCCTCTTCTCAGCTCCATAACCGCCCTTACCCTCTAGACTCTGGTATGCCGCTCCCTCACCCTTTCCATTTCTTGGTCCTCTCTCTGTCAGGTCTTCCTGTAGCCACTTCAACACCAGCTCACCCAATTGACTGTTTCCAGTGTACATGCGCTCGCCCTGCTCGACCTTGACGTCCATCTCCTCGACGCTACCCCACTTCTTGACCTTGCCTAAGCTCATATGCACGAGATGTGTAGGCCATGTGGCGAGATTGTCCAATATGTGAGTCGCATACACGATAGTGCATGGACGCTCCATTGTCTCCTTCTTCAGGAAGTTGAGGAAGTTGCTACGCGACAGCAGATCTAGATCAACTGTGATTTCATCCAACAGCAAGATGGTCCACGGTCGCAGCAGACCCATGGCGAGTTGTACACGTCTCCTCTCGCCATCTGATACGGCGTGCATGCGCCAGCTGAGGTCGATATCAAGTATGCGTACGAGCTCGTCGCGGCGCTCGGTGTAGTGATCGCCGCCAATGGAGGACAGAAGTGTGGGCACGTCGATATCGGTACGGACAATGGGGTTGAGTACCCACTCAAGACCAAGATAGGTCACACCCTCAAGGCCCATCTTGAAGGGGTCGATGCCCGCGATGTGGACGGTACCGGAGGGGGCCATGCGCTTGCCGGAGAGGAGGCGGAGAAGTGTGGTTTTACCCGCACCGTTGGCTGGAACTGTCAGCTGAACCCTTTTGAGATCCATTCTTGTTGTTGCATACCTCCGATCAGAAGTGTCCTGCTACCAGGTGGTAGGTCTAGGAAAACATCCTTCAGCCCACTTGAGCCATCTGGGAAGGCATAGCTGAGGTTTTTCACGTCGATTGACGGCGCGACTTCCTTGCCGTTGATTGTGTTTGACATTGTGACTATGATTTGCGTGTGAATAGCTGTCACACTGTTGGTGGGAGGGGACTACATTTTGTAGGCCGGTTGCGGTGGAGTCATCTCGGTGGGCTAGATCGGTAAGTCGACATGAGTGATGCCATCATTCCGCCAATGAGCACGCTAGCCCAGGATAGGCAGGCAATATTCTGGACCTTAAACGGCACTTCTTCCCAAACTCAAGTTTCTCAACATCGTCGTACTAAGTCGCCCCGTCATTCGTGGCTTTAGTGGACTCGGGCCAGCTATGCGTTGTGAGTCAATGCGGTCCGCGGTGCCATATTATCACAATGCCGGGGATCTCCGATACTGCGACACGAGCCTGGGCAACCTCGATACCTCGACATAGGAAAGCAACGATGTCTGGAAAAGGACCACAAATTGAGAGAGATGTTCCGTAATGTGTACTGCACATCTGACGAAGAAATGAATTCCATGCGATTCAATCAGGCCACAGACCGCGCAAACTAAAACCACACGGATATGTACGAGGTTCACTTCCCACTATATACAACCACTATTCAACCCCACCAATGCATCTGCGTCTGACAGTGCACTTAGAGCGAAACACAGCCGTTGATAGAGTCCTCAAGGAATAGACCACCGTAGATCTGGCCCTCGTCAAGGTTGGCCTCCTGGAAACCAGCGTTGGCAACATCAGATGTGCCAGTGGGCTTCTTGAGTATGCCCATCTGGTATTGGCCGCCACCCTGAAGGTTGACAGTGAGGGGACCAGCGACCTGCTTCAGTGGGGCCTGGCCGGCAGAGTAGAAGATGGTGGTTTTGCTAAAGGTCTTGTTAGTACCACAATGATCAATTTGTAGTAGGTGAATAAACGTACTTGGCGTTGAAGTCGAGCTTCAGGGCAAAGTTTTGCCACTGAGTCTGGTCGATCGGGACGCTCCAGAGGAACTTGCTGTCGCGGTCAAGAATCTTGAACTGGTTCTTGTCGGCGTCGCTCTTTCCGATGAGAGATCCAGTCTGGAACTGAATCTGGTTGTTGCTGAAGTCAGCAGCCTCGTGCCAGACGTTGAGGTACTCGTGGGTGAGGTTCAAGGGCCTGGCAGGGTCCTGCTTGACGCTGAAGTGGAGGGTCTTGACACCCTTGCCTCCCTCGCCATCAGCGGCATCCTTGAGGAACTGGAGGCCTGCACGGCGGAAACCCTGCTGCTTCTGGAAGATGGACTCGTCGGAGATGGTGACCTCTACAGCCTTGAACTTGTCGCCGTCGAAGCGCGATGATTCGTTGGGGAACTTGAGAATTTGCGACCAGGTCAGGTTGTTACCCTTGACGAAGTCGGCGTTGAAGATGGTGTTGGTAGAAGCCGAGTCGAAGAAGGTGGGTGTGGTGTTGACAGGGACACGACCATCGAAAACGATAGGGCACTTGGGCTCAGCGCGAACGGCATTGGCGTGGGGGTGGGGGTGAAGGTATGGCGCAGCCAGTGCGCCAGAGGCAACTGAGGCCAGAGTAAGGAACGACTGAGTGAACATGGCGATGGTTAGAGAATGTCGTCGAGACTGTGGATGCGCTTGAAGTGGATGAGACACCAAATGGCAGGTGGAGACAACTCTTTATACAACTCTAAAACGTATGACTGAACATGTATCTACCCCAACGCCATCCCAGCCCGTTCGCGTATTAGATGGACACTGCGGTGCCAACGCGTCCGGCATTTCCCACGCTCCGAAATAAGGGATGTTTGCGCCCTTCATTTGGGTCACTGCAAAGAATGGGCCAGTTAACCAATAGCAGGGGAAGGGGAAGAACGATGGAATATTCTATAGTAGGCCCGACGACGTCAGGGTAAGGCCGCATCAATATAGGTGAAATATAGCTGGGACACTACTGTCATGAGGCTCCTCAACCAGGATGTGGGGTAAAGTGCACGGCTGCTATGTAGTTAACTACCGGACGGTCCGGCATCCCGATACCTTCGTCAATCAAGAGGATTAAAGGCAGTAAGCAAAGCATTTCGCCGACAAACGACAGGGTCGATCTTCTGTAGTCATTGTTCTTCAGCCCAACTTTTCTTTGTACCGTTTTCCATCTCGACTACTACGTGCAGTCTTCGTTGCTCGCAGCGCAATTTCATGCGCGGACCAAAAGCGCACTCCGACATTTCCAAAAAGCGACCGAATGGCGCCGTCAAACACACCATTGCAGCCAAGTTTCATCAACACCGGGAATGCGACCGAGTCGCAATGATCTGAACCAGCATTGAGGGACGGCGATGTAATCGACGTGGCTCTAGAGTCGTTCGCGATGCTGGGCGTGATCTTAACATGGTAGTATCCTGTCTTGTCAGGGTGTGTGAGAAGTGCAAACGGCCGTTCAGCGGCGATCAGCTGGCCCAAGCGGAAGAAGTTTATTTCTTTACCTGCGGTATTGCGGGACGTTGATACTCCGGCCACCGCCTGAACTTTTGTACCGGCTTGGTCAAAATCGTCATCAACTCCATGGCTTGACGAATATCCATTGTACATGCAAGGGACATCGGGCTCGGTGAGAAGATGTGTGCTATTATCCTTTGCAGTACAGTTCTAACACCCGCGGTATCATTGCGCCTGGTGAATTTATGCCCTGAGTCCATGCTCAAACTCTGTTCATATTATGGTCGCCCAAGAGGTCCATCAGCATTATTCCCATCTTCCTGTCAACATGGCGCTTCCTCAACGCGCTGCTCTCGACACTCCACGTATCCAAAATGTTGTGCCAACCCAGAACGCCATGCATGAACGTGGTGACAAGCAAACGCAACCGCAACGCCTCCCTATGTGCCACTGGTCTTGAATGCAAGCTCGCCTTTATACACTGCCGACCAATTACATGTCTACACTTGCTGCGGGGTCAGCCATGTGGCTTCGATGCAACCCTCGTAGAATTGTCTCTGGCCGTTTTCGCTCTCAACACCGAAGCCCATGTTACGTAGCTTTCCGGTATCCCAACCACTGACAAACTCTCCTTGGCCGCCGTTCTCCCTGTCTACAGCATCCCCAAGCCTGATGTAGTCGGCATGACGGCACACGGTTTGAGAGTAAGACCATTGCAGGCAGTTGCCATCATTAGCACATTCTGATCCGCACGAGCCAGCATTGCGGTGCGCGGGGCGGTCGTTGGGGACGGGCGCTTGCGAGAGGTTGTCCCACCATTCCTTCGAGGGACCCTGTGACAGGAAGTTGTGCGTGTAGGATAGGAACGACGAGTATGTGAATGGTTTCTGCGCAGTAGTGTTAGCCGAGTTGCATACCAAAACTTGGAGCCCGCGGGATACTTACAGTATTGTATGGCCGTGTCCTCTCCCATCTCCACAAGTCTTCCATTTGCTGGGGTTTGAGCTGATGCAGCGAGAGCATGGGGACGCACCACTTGTCACGTGTGGTCGTGACATCCTTGGGCTTGTCGCTTGCAAAGGTCGGGTACATGGCCTCGAGCTTGTGTCCAGTAGCGTTTTGGATGGCGTAGGAAAGCACAGCGTCGCCGCGCTGCTCCTCCTTGACCCACTGCTCGTACCTGACGCCTAGTCGGTTCTCACGCGGGATATCATTCGAGCCTGGGCTCTTGGCTGGAATCAATTGCTTGAGGAGACCCTGGGAGAGAACAAAGCCTGCGCCCCCATAGGCAAACTGACGGCCCTCGGATCCCTTGTGCGGTTCACCCAGATAGTGTGGTTGCGAGGCGTCGAGCTGGCTAAGCAGACGGAACAGGGTATCCCAGAAGAAGTAGACGTCCGACTCAATGAAGACGAACCACTTTGCCGAGGGGTTTGTCATGTATGCCTTATCTACCATGGGCAGGTACTTGAAGCGATCGAGCTTGAAGGACCGCTGCTGCTCCTTGACCGTCTCCCCACCTTCGTGTGCCTTCTTGTGCTCGACATAGATTTGGAAGTCGACGTTGTCCTTTTGGTAGCTCTTGGGGAGTTCGGCAAGGATGTCGATAACATGGCGGTCGCCCAATCGCTCTTCCCGATCACCCACGATGATGAGGTTTGTGATGCAGCTCGATACGGTGCTGAGGTGTGCTTTGGTCTCGTGTGCGCCGTCTGAGGCCACCTTGAGGACGACCTGCACCTCTTCGAGCAGCTTTGTAGGGAAATTCTGGCAGTAGTCGAGCTCGATGGAATTGGCGGCTTTGGTCTCGAGGGGCGGGAAAAACGACTTTGTCTTTGCTTTGTGGACGGGCGCCTGCGGATGTGATGCTCTCCGATGCGAGAGGGTGTATATGAAGAAGAAGATCAGGAGGCCGGGGAAGAGGAATCTCCATGGCCGCCGTGCCAAACGGCCAGCCAGCGGTTTCAACATGGTGCCGTCGCTGCGGCCGTGGGGGGGGTCTGCGGTCGCCCGGGGGGTCAGGAGAGTCACTGTCAGCAGAGACGACGACGAGGGCAGGCGAATTGCAATGGGCAGGTGGGCGACGTCACCGGCACATTAAGTAGTCCGTTCGTGTTGGGTGGAGGTGTCGACAACGACGATGGCGCGCATTGGCCCTGAACCGTCGTACTGCGCGAGTCCAGCCCAGCTCCTGACCACAACGCGAATCCGCTAGTGGCCAAATCTGGAATAGTCGCCGTCTTGGTATCCCACGACTCCTCTGATGAGCTTCCTTCCTGCTCTGACCCTGTTCTCGACGTGACTTCATCGCCCTCTGCGACACCTGGAATTCAACATGGCAAGTATACTGCAGGCATAATCAAATCTGGCACGCCTTTTGCACTACTGGGGTCGCTGGCAAACGACTGCTTTTCGGCTTTGTTGTATTCTGCTTCATCTTCCAAGTCCGACCAATCTGGCAGCGCCTCTTCGTCACTCATCATGTGCTGCGGACATCGTACAAGCTCGTCGTTCGCACCTTTCAGTTCTGCAGTGAAATTAGACGATGTTGCGCTTTCTGACCGCTGATACCCCGGCTTCTCGATGAACACGTTGTATTCTGGATCGTCCTCTACATCAGACCAGTCTGGCAGATTGTCGAAATCTTCGTCACCAACCGTTTCACGATCATTCTTGGCGGCCAGAAGACCAATAGACTCCAGAAAGAGATCACAGGAGTCAAACGACCGTCTTGTAAAGGAAGGGGTGCGATCCATGTGCGCTTGCGGTCTAAATGAAAGATCAACGTTGCGGTATTGCGGACCCGAAGAATCCGCCTCTGCCTTTATACTGAAGTCTTCTTGGTGAATGAGCCAATATTCGACTCTATCGCGGTGCGTTGGACCAGCAAGCCCACCAAACGGATTCTCGTCGTTGTTACGTTTCCGTTGCGTACACTCCTGCTCTGATTGTCGCACTGAATGGATTGCCAACGGATTGACCATGCTGTTTTTCACACTAGTGACATTCAGCGCCCTTGATCTGGCGAACGATCCTTCGGCGGACTCTGGAAATACGCGATTGAGTTGTTCGTGCGCGACGCCCCCATCGTGTCCACGTCGGCGGGCTGCATGGTCGCGTTCGACTTCCCTTGCTGAGCGACATGCGAAAGACAAGCTTGAGTCACTAGTTATCGTGTCGTTGTCGTTGGGGGAAAAGGAGACCGTAGACCCTCGACCAACGAGTTGCAGCTCATCAAATGGTAACCTCTCGACGAAACGCAGTATGGTAATATTGACTTGGAGAGCGACCCGTGCGTCCAGGTGAACTGTGTCCCCATTGGCCTGATCTCCGAAGGAAACAAAGTTGCTCAGCGTTCTGTCCAGTGTCGCAGTGATGGAGCAGAGAGGTTCCTCGGATACCAAGTTGGAGATCATTGTTATTTGTGATCCGCTGCAGACCGTTGCGTCGGCCTCGGAAGTTGATCTTGATCTGCTCCTCACACTAGGTATGGACGAATCCGTGGAATCATCGCTCCTTCCAAAGCTTGATGTTGTTAGCCGAGCACGCATTGAGCGGATAATCTTCTTGACTTTGCCCATGTTAACGTTTGCGACGCGGTTGAGATGTAAACTGAGGGTTAAGACGTTGTGGTTCCTACGGGAGAGTATAGCGGTGTAGAGGAAGAAGTACTGCGTCGAATTCCTGAGTTGTTTTCACGGACGCAGCGGTACGTACTCGTTAACAGTCTTTCACTACACATTAGAGAATATCTCGTCGCGTCGCGATTATGGTACTCTGCCAGCGACTCGCGCAATGAATGGTTTCTGGGGGCTCAGTCATCGAGGCTGATGCACATCATGCTCAAGTAACGCTATGAACTATGTTGAAGTATGTAAAGGAGCGTATGTTTGCAGAAGGTCATAGCGTACCACTCTGTGACAGTACAGTCAGAGTGTGACATGCATAGCGTATATAACGACAGCTCCACTGCTGCACTGATCCGCGTACGCCGAATACCAAGCTTTCATACTACGACCACTGATCTGGCTAGCAAGAAATATATACATCTTGCTGAACGACCAGAAAACCGTCTAAGCAGTCGAAGATACAGCTCAAAGACGCCGATATGAAGTATCAACACTTCGTAAAATCGCTTCTTTTGGGCCTGGCCTCCTCTGCACCCGCCGTACCACCGATCAATGACCTAGACGTAGCCATGATGCAGTCCTGCTCTGATAAGCCCCACCCAACTCTAGTAGACTACAACATAGCCGGAGTCGCATGGTGTGAAAAGCACGTCCGCGCCAACGCTCCAAACCCCCCTATGCTCCCCAAACCCGTCATCGATCCCAAGAATCCTCCGGTCATGCCGCCTCTCCGCGCCCCGTACACATTCATGGTGGCCAACCCGGACAAGAAGAAGCCTGGATTTGCTCTGCAGCCGACATTCGAAATCCTTGGATTTGCGCCTATCACGCGAGAAATGTGTCTTTGGGGTTGGGTTGTGGGTCGCCAGAGTTATGAGATTCAGTCGGAGCAAGTCAAGAAAGGCAACATTTGTCGTGGAAAAGGAGGTATTGCTATGGTTCAGGGGTGGAATCAATCTATATGGTGGAATGAGTTCGGCATAGTTTTCTAACTCAACGTACAGACAACTACTAGGATGTATATTTGTAAACGCGCGTACTTCCTATTGCAACCTGGGTATCTTCGTCTACTTCTGCCATTACATTCGCTGTTCAGATAGTGCAGCCAGATGTATACATCCCTCACCATCATTTCTACTATGCGCCGTAGACCCTCATGTAGTCTGCAAACGTCCTCACTCGCCACGTGATATAACATTCAACTCAGTCTGTAGTAGGCTTCGGGGCGATGATCGGGGCCGGCTCGGTTGACTGGGCGACATGGTGGGTACGAACGAAAGCCTCATCAGGGAAGCCATCTTCGCATGCGCTTGCAGTCTTTCCCAAGGTACTTGCACGGCTAGCATGGGGAATCACTGTCGCACCGCTTGTGGAGCTTGGACTTGAAGCACTCGACGCATACGACAATCGCTTGTTTGGATTTCTTAGCAGGACCATCTGAGTTCCTGTCTTCCTGTTAGTGGCATCTCTAGGATCTGTGAAGTCCGACGTACTCAGAAAGCTCCTGTTTGCGTTTTTGTGGCAACAGCGTCGCGCTACCAGACGCAACCTCAACCATCTGTTTCGTGATCTGGAGGATCAGCGCATCTGACGCGGTCTTGTGCAACCTCTTTTCAACCTCCAGCCTCTTCTCTGCGTATACTGCGCGAAGATGTGTAGCGGCGACCTGTTTCTCAGCCGCCTCAAGTCTCAGGGCGAAAGCTGGATCCATCGCGTTCGCTGCCTGCTCGTCGAGATTGGCCCAGTCGTGCGCGTCCTTCTCCTCTTTCAAGAGAGCGTTGCTGAGTTCATACACGAAGGCAGCACTGTTTCTCTAGCTCTGAAAAGTCAGAACGGCCCAAAGTATCCATTTTTGTCTTTTGCTTTCCGTTTGTAGATTCCCCCTTCACCTCGCCGTCACCAATACCGGCGATTAGCCAGGGAACGGACGTCACGTGCTTGTTAGTGTGCGAAGCTCCTAGCGGCCCTGGGAACCTATATCAACTTGGCCTGCCCTTCCAGCTTGCTCTTTTTCCCTCCAACTGTCACTAGCTTTTCCGCAATCGACCAGCTTTGGGATCACTCAAGGGTCTCTTCGAACTCTTAGGATGACTCCTTCGATGCCAATTCAACTGCCTTACTTGGTTCTTTTGGTTGGACATCGATGCGCTGGAGGTTGGTGTGAGGAACTACCTTCTTGGTACGTCCTGCCAGAGATGTCTCGATGTTGGTCTGACAGCCTTCACAATGCCTTCTCGCATGCAGTACAGTCCGTTCGACCTGCGATTGTTTGTGTTATCTCGATAACGCACTCAACGTCTGGTGGCTTGGTGGCAATGCTGATGTGTCTGGTCCACGCAGGCGATGGTTGCGACCACGCAAGCGAGTAACAGGCACACTGACTTAGACACCGCCGTACACGTGCAGCTTGGTGTTAGACAAGTATGTATCGTGAATACGGGACATTTTCATTGAGTATTTTTCCCTTGTGGAAAGGCTTGAGGAAGGTGATTGCTTCTTGTCTGGTACGTGATAAATAGCTTCCGAGTCTGTAATAGGACACGACATGGCACTTAGTTGCTCGCTTTGAGTATTGAACAGTAATGTTTACTAAAGCTGTGTCAGTAACAGTCAATCATGTTTAACAGCTGAGCTGCACCGATCTTGACGCCTCTGTTGTATCGCCTTCTTACTATAAGACATCTCGAAATGATTCCTCAGAGCTATCTGGATGCTTCTATTGCATTCGAATACGCATATTGAAGCCCATGAACCTGTCCTAGCGTACAAAATATCGCATCTCGAAGAGCTCGTAGACTCCTAAAAATCCTCTCAAAGAGCTGAAATAGCAGAAAAGCTTGAGTTTCCCAGGAAGGATAGTGGCAACGACCTTACCCTTACACCAAGCATCAGTAGCCAAGTGTAGTCCGCTAGATTCTGCCCCTGGCGGTGACACACCGCAAGAGCCAGAACATATGTTGAGCTTGTGGAGCCCGGACCCATTCTGTTTGGCAGCCTTGTGTCAAGATTCTATCTCCCTCTCTCACCATTGTCGCAACTTCAATTTTTCCAACGCCGCCCAAGCTCGCTATGACTAGATCCAGGTTCCAGTCGCCCTCGCGCACACCTCTCGGCCGATCTGCCTCGCCGCGACACTCGGCGTCGATGTCGCCAACACAGTCTTACTCAGCACATCAAGGTTATCATGAAGACTACAAGAAGGATCAAGATGGTGAGAAGTAGGAGACAGATCGTGGCAACACGCTAGGCCGCTTCATCGCCGACTCGCCCTCACCGGTGGGTAGTCCCATGGAAGGAGATGAGTAAGTGCCCGTATATGGCAGTCAATATTACCAGCCTGTCACTAATCTTACAGTGCTCTTTTCAACATGGATCAGCTGCGAGAACAGCTTTCTCAGGTTCGGAGTACCGCGAGTAACGAGTACCTCTACCGATTACAGACCCAGGAGCAGCTGCGTAGCGAAAGCGCGCGCGCTGACAGCTGTGCCGAGCAGGCCGAAAGACACGAGCAGCGCGTACGAGAAGTCGAGGCGAGCGTCATTAAGTTTAAGGCGGAGGTTGTCAGGCTCGGGGCTGCTCTCGTTGACGCCCGGGCGGAAGCACGTCAAAAGGATGTCGAGATAGCTGCACTGGCAGCTAGGCTGACCACTGTCGGTCTGAGCAGTGCTACCACCATCGCTTCGTATGTAAAACCTTCTTAGTGTCTCTCGTATTGTTCGGCTGACTGTTTAGTGTGACCTCCAACCCAGCCGCGCACGTCGTCAAGTGCGACAACTGCCGCCGTCAAGGCCTACCTTGTGATAACGGTCACCCATGCAGCTCTTGTACTTCAACCGACGACTGTATCCGTTGCAAGTGCGGCAACTACTTGCAGCGCCGCGCCGTTTGTGGTCAGAACTGCGATCGTATCCACGTGGATGATGGTGTCGAGAGCGCCAAGACTGGAAGGGAGACCAGAGAGCTAATGTAGATTTTGTGGATGTCTCTTGGCGTATTACAAAGCCAAGAGTCTTTCGTAGACTGTCATGCTGAATTGTCGTTCAGTGAATGAGTTCTATGAGCTCAGTGTGGCATGATGGGACGGGATTCGGAAAGGAACACTTTGCGGAATGAGGGCGCTAGGAGCCTCTGGGCTCAGCTCAGTATAGACACCTGGGAATCTTAAACCCGAGGATGACGAATAAAGCCGTATGTATGTCGCTGACCCGAAGACTGTGACCAGTGCATAAGGTACCTAGGTAGATTGATGTCTTGGTGAGGTTGGTAAGCATCCGGCTATTCCTGCCCTACCGCGCGGCCCCGCTTCCGGCACAGTAGCCTACATCATCACACCAGACCTCCGCATGTGTTCATGATATCTTTTCTACCACTTTCCAAAATAGATTCGTTCTAAAATCGACCACCGTTCCAAATAAAGCCAAAACCGTTCGATATGGCGAGCACTAGCGAGTTGCGTCTCCACCTGCTTACCCATCTCATCTGGGAACAATCAGCTAACGAAAGCAGTCTCGTGAGACTAGCACAGAAGCTTGTTCGAGACGGACCTTGCAAGATGGAACACACAGCACGTCGTGTGCGAGGTCTTTTCAATGGAAAATATGCATTCGATACACTCAACGCGCATCATGTCTGGGAACTGGAACTGCGCTTCCCACAGTACTTATTGATAAACTTCTTGGAGGGCCCTCATGATACTGACCGTGCTCAAGATACTATGTACCGATATCAAGCTTCACTTCCAACGCTAAGCTATTGCGTGGCTCTGCCGTTGACGGAACGAATGGAGGCGCAGACCTTGGGGTTCTGACGGTCGGTAACCGCGACAGCAACCGGATTTTGATTTTCAACACCGGCGAACTGAAGGATCTTGTGAAAGTCGACTTCAGAGCTGTCGATCAATGGTTTGAAGAAGACATGGAGATCTATGGCCATCCCAAAGACCCCTACAAGCGCATCGACATCCTGCCTTCTTCTCGTAGTGTCAGGGTAGCCATCGATGGTGTTACACTCGCGGAAAGTTCAAGTCCTCTATTCCTTTTGGAGACCACTCTAAGAACGAGGCATTATCTGCCACCCACGAGCGTGAATTGGGAATATCTCACACCCAGCAATACAGTAACGCTCTGTCCGTACAAGGGACGCGCGGAGTACTACAACGTCAACATTGGTGGAAAATTGTACAGAGATCTGGTATGGTACTATCGATATCCGACTTCCGAAAGCGCTCCAATTGCCGGGTACATGTGCTTTTACAACGAGCTGGTGGAAGTTTATGTCGATGGCGTGAAGGAGGCGTCGTAGTCGTGGCTCTGCACTGGCTGTTAAGATCTCCAATCTGGGCGCATAGTCAAATCTCATCATGCTTTGAACAACGTGTCACACCCTGGTGCAAATTTGTAAGCTCGGTGTTACGAACGAGGTCTCTGAACTCTACTTCGCGCTTGTTACCGTCTGTCTACCACAGAGCGCGGCCGATCGTACAACGGTGACTGGAACATAGACTCCAAGTTCTGCTGTGTTGAACTGTAGGAAATCTTATGTTGGAAGACATTCGTCCATATTCCATGAGGGAGTATAGGCTTTAGTGCCCCTTGCGGTGGTCGGAGTGGTGCAGCTACATGCTGCGATGCTGTATACAGTGTACTGTTGGTTCGGTCCTTTGTCATTGTCCGCCTCGGCCAGATCAAGATTATCAACTCTTTTCTTGCTCGGCTTATCTACCAGGAATGCGCGTGAAGGATACAAAGCCGATGACGCGCATGGTGTGTGTGAAAGACATGGCGGACCAGACGGCGGCGGCTCTCGGTCGACCTGCATTAGGGATGCTGATGGTCATTGCGACTTCTGTTGAGTAATCTGAGATTGTGGGATAGCTTCCGGAGGTGCCATCGTCATTGATACACAAATCTATATTGCTAGGGAAGCAGTGACCTAATGTACCATAGAATGGAAATCGAGACGAAGAATCGGGACAGTTGGGGCTCGCAGGATGCACCGGTCTCAGAAGCGTGCAATAGCCTCTCCGCCAGAAAAGCAAACACTAGTCATGTAAAGCCAAGACACACCCTAGCGTGATCCCGATATATCGCTCGCTGTCAGTTAATGCTAGCTACTTTGAGGTGTGTCTGGTAAACACGAAACAATCCGTGGCGGCCTGAAAGCGCGACGTCTTGGCAGGGGGACGGAGGGGGAGATTGCATCTATAACGCCACAGGGTCATCAGCAGTAACTAGGTACGGATCCCAGCGGCAGCTGCCAGTAACAGATTTTTATGTTGACATGTAACATGGATGCTGTGTTGCGACAATATGATCCTGCTGGATGAACATGGTTGGAGTTCGACTGCTTTTCTTCCAAGGTTGGTGTAGGCCGTCAATCTCCGTTGTGCCCGCGTCACGCATGAATCCGACTCGCAGTAAGCCGCATGAATCCCATCCTACCAGCATCGCCGGTGCATGTCACCACAACAGGAAAAAAACTGTGCGCTGTCCCACTTCATACCGTATATGCGGCCTCAGGCCATCTGCTCTCATGTCATGCGACTTTCACTGCTGCATTCAACACCACCAGAAAAACCAACCATATTTCGACGACTGGCAGCGTTGACTGCGTCGGCTGCGTCATGGTCTAGAACTGCGTAACTGACTCCTCATCTCGAGTTTCTTCTTCTTTCCGATAGACTGAGCCGGGAAAACCGAGGCTGTAGTTCTAAGGGCTGCGGCAGTGGCAAGGCTGGTGGTGTGCGTTGGGACCTGATTCTTTTTTCTTCTGGGGCGCACGCCGTCACTCGGTTCCTGCAGCCACCAGCAAACTCTCCTCACGCAACCCCGCTGTTGTAGTCTGCACGGCACACTCGGCATAGCCAATGGCCAAGTACGCCTTCGCACTCTTCGCGAGGCCAAGTATTGATGCTCGTATCTTGTAGGATGCCTATTATCAAACTGAGCCAAAGGCGTTGAGTAGAATTGCAGTATACTTGGTCGTTTCAGCCGAGCCCCAAGTACACTCATTGCGTGGAAAAATCACGAAACCATGCTTCGTCGTCCATCGACATCATAACGGCGATACTCGGGTCTGAGATCACTGATCGCGGAAACGAAAGTCGCACCGTTGTCGGGTGGTAACAAAGTACATCCACTGATACCACCTAGCTCAAGTAGCTTGTGGGAAACGTACCATGTGGATGCCGTGCTCCACAAACGCCCAGAAAACGATGCATCGCGCTCAGGGGTTGCCTTGCCCTAACCGCTCCCCGAGCCGAACAGTAAGCAAGCCTATCCCTCATGCAGTTCAAGCGCTCCGGTGATCTGCCAATGCCCAGAGTCTGGCAAACCGAAATAGACTGTGTGGCTTCCCAAGCGACAGGGCTGTCGCGCGAAGACGTGCACGCCGAGGCCGCTAAACTAATCTCGCCCGTGTCATGCCTGGCGCCGCTGTGTCGGAGCGGAAGATATATCTAGGGAGGACCTCTGCACATGGGAGGATCTCCACGAGTTATCGCCTGTCACTCATCGCCCTATCGTCAACTCGCGGGGTGTCGAGACTCATCAGTTTTGGAGGTCATAGACTTCTGTACATTCGCTTTTGCACCACACTCGCTTTACTACGTTTAACATGCGTATTACTACTCTAATAGGCCTCGTGGCCGGACTCGCCAGCCAGACTGTGAACGCAGCCTGCAGCGCACCCCTCAAGATCGATGACTTCTCCAAGCAGTCCTCTAACCAGAACAGCTTGGGCGAATGGACTAGCGGTAGGTCTTATGTATGCCTCTGACCAGAATATGGCTAATTTAACCCAGACGATGGATCTATGAGCTCCATCTCCGCCAGCGCCGGTGTACTTTCTTTCAAGCCCAAGGCGGGATCTTACTTCTACGAGACTTTCCCTTGCCAGGCGGCTAGCACCAATGGATACAATTCCGTCAGCTTCCAGATGAAGGGACCTGCCGGTGGCTCTGCCACTCTTGAGATCCAGACCAAGACCAGCTGCTCGGCTACTACGTACACTTCCAAGTACGTTTCGATCACTGGATTGACTGGTAACACCCAGACCATCAACATCCCTCTTTCCCAGTTCTCTGGTGCCAATGTCAATGCTGTTACTGGTTTCGTATGGGCTGGATTCTCTTCAACCACCGCCACATGGCAGATGAGCAACATCGCCTTTGGTTGCGGTAGCAGTGCAGGTGGCAGTACCTCTGCCTCCGCCACCAAGGGAGCTACCACCACCTCGGCTCGCAGCACGATGTCAACTATTGCGACTCCCACAGCTTCCGCTGCCCCTGGATCTTGCTCTCCTTTGTTGATCGATGACTGGATTTCTCAATCTCGTTTGACTTTCTTGTACTACAACGCCATGGGTTACCCTACCTCCGATGATGCTTCCATGACTTCCATCACTGTTGGAAAGCCTGCTACTAACCGTGTGGAGTTTGTTCCCAAGGCCGACTCGTACTTCTACAGCCAGTTCCCATGCGTCGACGCGAAGAAGAACAAGTACACCGGAATCTCCCTTCGCATCAAGGCTCCCAAGGGCGCCACTTTGGCCCTTCAGCTTGACTCCTCGGACAGCTGCGACGCTACCAACCCCAAGTCTACCTATGCGTCTTCCACTGACCTTGGCTGGACTTTCGATGGCACCGAGAAGCTGTACACCATTCCCTTCAGCAAGTTCGCTGGCCTCAACACCGAGAAGCTTACTACCATCCTCTTCTCTGGCTTCTCTGGTACCACTTCCTTCGGCCCCATGGCTTTCTACTGTGGCAACTCCGGAGAATACGTCGTTCCTCCCACCTCCGCTGACCCTGGCGCCACTGCCACCGTCCCTGCTCCCAGCAACCCGTCAGCTACTGCTCTTGTGATTGACAAGTTCGCCAACGCCAACACCAACGCTATGGGTAACTGGCACGGTGGTGACGAGGGCATGAGTCTCAAGTACGCCAGCAACAAGCTCACCATCACCTCTCCCGATGCCGACTACGCTTTCTACACCCAGGTATCCGCTGGATGTTCCGATTTCACCAAGTACAAGGGATCTTACCTCCACATTGCCTACACCGGTACCACTGCCTTCACCGTTGCTTTCCAGCAGCACAACAGCCAGTGCAAGACTGAGATTGCTCCTTACCCTGAGACCTGGGATTCTGCTGAGGCCAGCCGTTACGCCAAGAACGGACACATCTACATCCCGATCAACCACTTCAACATTGAGCTCTCTCGCGTTGTCGGTTTCGCACTCAAGGGTTTCCACACCACTGAGTCTGTCACTCTCTCCGTCATTGAGATCGTCTCCTCGGTCCCCGCTGGCACGACGATCCCCAAGAAGGATGAGACTGGTAACCTGGTTTTCGCCTGCAAGCGCCCCAACTCCTTCGCTTTCGCCATCGATGACGGTCAACCCGACCTTGCCCAGGAGGTTCTCAAGATCATCCGCGAGGAAGACGTCAAGGTCACCTTCTTCACCGTCGGTGCTCCCCTTCTCGACGCCTCCACCAACTTGACCAACGTCTACAAGGAGATGATGGCCGCCGGTCACCAGCTCGCTCTCCACTCTTTCACTCACCCCAAGATGGAGGGTCTTCCTGACTACGCATCCATCGACTGGGAGTACAACGAGGACGTCAAGGCCATGAAGTCTCAGTTCAACGGCTACACCTCCACCTACTTCCGTCCTCCCTTCGGTACCGAGGGTGCCCGTATGCGTTCGCGTCTCACAAAGGCTGTTGGCAACAGTGCCAGCATTGTCAACTGGAGCGTCGATGTAGAGGACTGGTTGTGGGCTGAGACCGACACCCCTGAGCAACAAAAGGTCGCTTTCCAGCGTGACGTTGACAAGGGTGGTAACCTAGTGGTTCTCCACTACCTCTACCCCAGCACTGTCAGCTACCTTAGGGAGTTCATCCAGATTGCTAAGGCCACCGGCAAGCAGCTTATGCGTGTCGACCAGTGCATGATGGACCCTAACGCCCCTCCTCTATAGATTGACAATCTTTAGTGAAAGTTGGAGTGGTATTGAGGTGTTTATAGGGGAGTGATACCCGGAGATGAGGGCGTTGTTGCATGTAGAGTTCAGACGCGTTTAGCACATCCTGTTAATCGTAATTACATCGTTGAGAATAACTTCGTTTCCTGACTGCCAGTACCTTGTGACCCTCGTTGTTCCACCGATACACCAACATAGTTTCCGCTTCCCTACTGCAGTTGAGATTGCCGGTTTTATCACTGTGCGTAAGCTGACGGTTTCGAGCTAAAGGTCCCAAGCATCTTGGGAACAAAGTGAGCTCGCTGAGAGCCGATAAGTCCCAGACCATCCTAAGCTTACCTACCTTACCCACAGACATGTTTTGCAAGTCTCCATGTACATGATGGACCACAGCGGTCCGGCCGATGTCGGTAAGGCTGGATCACTTGAATGAGCATGGCCGTTAGGCGAGAAGTCTAATGATTCATGGTACTAGCTTTGTACAGGAGCTCGCACAAAGACGCAAGGTCGATGAAGCAGTGACGTCAATCTTCATCGGAGACCCCTACGTGCATTTTTCGCGGAATTGCGGCTCTGGTAGATGCCGACGCTTAGACTTTCACTTTCTGTTCTGCAATCAGCACGTCTCGATGCATCTTCATCGCGATTCATATTCATGTCGCTGCATCCGACTCAGTTCATTTCTCTGGTTGTACTCCGAATCCTTGATCAGGTCGTCGCACCTGCTCCATGAGATGATCCCCATTGCCGTCCAGAAAGACCGTCGTGCACACATTATGCACTCTACATTCTGACTCCTTTCGAAACCGCCTCAGCTTTCTTACGCTGACGCTCATCCTCTGCCTCCTTGGCCTCTTTCTGGATGATGCCGATATCCTCAGGGTGCCTCTGGATCTGCGCCCTGATAATGCCAATCTGAGAGCTGATAGTAACAGCTTGATTGTCGTGAAGGTAGGTCATAGACTGGAGCGCCTTTGCTGTGCGGGAATGAGCGGCTTTCTCTTGGGCGAGTTCCGCTTCGAGGCGAGCGACTGGATCGTCTGCGTTGTTGGGGAGAGACATCATGAAACGCGAAGCTTGGTGTTGGTATTAGCGATCGCCTCCGAATGGAGTGCTGACGGAAGAGGTACATGAAGTTTTGTACGGGGTCTGGGCAGCGGCGGGCAACTCGTTGCTGGCAAGAGCGGTTGCGGTGACTCTGGCAATTGTGGCCAAGGATGAGATGGCGGAGAAGAGCGAGAGAAGTGGGGGGTGCAGACTGTGCTTGTGGTATAGCGAGGTAAAATCCAATGATCTTAATCGGCAGGCGCGGGACTGCTTATTTGTTTGTTTGTTTGCTCGCAGGTGTGACCTGGGTATGCGAGTGAAGCAGCATTCGGAAGGGGCGTGTGTGCATTGTCCGAGCTGCTCTAGACATTTGACGAGGCGCAGAATATCCTTGTCTCGAAGTCGGGGGAGGGTGATGCTGATCTAGACAAAGACTTTTACCATGTCTCATTCCACGTAGTGTTTCCCAAGAAACAAACTTCTCTGTTTGTCATGGGGATATAAAACTGACAAGTAGATAGGCTCCAGCACTCTGCAGATACACGGTCAACTCCTTGTAATGCCTCTCAAAATGCGCCCTTTTTCTCTGATCGCAAAGAAATGGTGCAAATCAGAAATCAACACACCAGATAGTCAGGTTGCTTTAACTAGAGCGTCACTAAAGCTGTCCATCAGCTCGTCAGTTGCCCTAAGCATCAACTGGACTACGTATGCTTGATCTTAAGCATATTGAAACTAACAATACTCGTTTGCTAGATTATTCAGGAACAACTTCTTGTCAAATACAGTTCGTTCTGAGATCCCCAAGGTTACAATGAACAGTCTTCAACAACTACACGAGATTTTCAACCCCGGCAGCCCAAAAGCTATGCAATCGAGTCTCTCAGATATCGTCCTCATTGCGATCGATTTTGAGAACACACAGGTCATGAAGGACGCATGTACTGTCGAAAAAAACTGGCAAGCAGGTGTCGCCATTCTTGACACAAAGAATATTAAGCAGCAGCAACTCGACAAGCTCTTGAGAACTCACATGTTTGTTACAGGTACAACAGCCTACGTTACAAAGGCTTCGAATAGATACTGGTTCGGAAAGACTGACAGCGCTTCGCCGCTAAAGCTAGTGAACTTCATTCGATCTGTTGTTCCTCCGGAGCGAAAGGTAGCCTTTGTGGGCCATGGAGTAATGAACGACCTTCTCGTCTTGCAAGCACTAGGCTTCCAGTTTCCCGACAGTTACGTGGCATTCATAGACACTCTCCATGTTGCTAATGAGGTGTTTGGCTGCTGGGCAGGGCCTTTGCGTAATCTATTGAGAAAACTGGACTGTCCACATAGCAGACTTCACTGCGCGGGTAACGACGCGAACTTCACAATGAAAGCGCTACTGCTTCTAGCTGCGAAAAAGCTTGAGAAAGAGGACGGGGATAGAAGCATGATAGATTTATTGCGGCGGCTTGGGCGAAGAGAGCTACCACGTCGCATACTCTCGCAGGTAGAAGAAAAACCAACAAAGCAGTAGAAACGATATTCTCAGAACTGGGAAAATGACCTGTGTCAGCGGTCACGGCTATGCTTATAAGTGCCTTCTTTGTATTATGTTATCTAGGCGACCACCTCCGGAAGCTTTTTCGGACAGCCATCGTGTTTAGAAAGAAAGCCGGCAGGAGCAGGGGTGGTCAGATCATTGATCTTGCATTGTAAAACAGCAATAGATGGAACAATATAAGGAGAATCGATATCAGCAAAAAGTTGAAGTGATTGATCTGCGCACAGATTTTGCAAACCGGATGTTACATAGTGAGCTTAAGGAATACATGAGGGCATTCAATCTTTCCATTGAACATGCCAATCCGATATTATAGTAAATTATCGACAGCACTTATCACCAATTGGCTTATGGCGTCGAAGCTCTCGGTGCAACAGCAAAGAGCTTGTTGAACATATTACGCGGGTCATACTTGGCCTTCAACTCCTGCAAGCGCTCGTAGTTGTTACCGAAGACGTCCCTAGATTTTTCTTCATATTCTGTCTGATGTCAGCATGTCTCTTAAGAGTGATGAATATAGAAGAATAGACTGTAACAGATACTTACGATCATAGTTACCATACACCATCGTCGCCCCATGACTGCCTCTTTTTCCAATCCAACCATCCTTATTCTCGCTTGTCTCTGCGCCGCTGCGCTGAAGTTCCTTCTTGAACAATAGCGCCACATCTCTTGACCACTGCCTGCACTTTGGATCATTCTTCTCATCCCACCATAACGGCGCAACAGCTACATTGAAATGTCGCCCGCGGTTTGCGAAGGCCGTGTCAGAGTTGGTGACAGCAACAAGCTTGGCTGGGTCGACCAGCTCCCACATGATCTGGGAACCCATCGCATCAGGTGTCTCGTCAGTAAACTTGGCGTACGCTTCTAGAACAGAAACAACAAAATCACCTCGAACGGGGAGCTCAAAACCAGCGCCTTTGATTGAGACACGTGCGCCAATAGGGAGGTCCATCAATTTGTTTGCCTTGGCGTAGGGCATCGTTGCCATGGTGCTCATCAGAGGCTCTAGTGCGATGATGTCCTTGAACAGCTCTTTGCCGTCTTCTTCCGATCCATGGTACAACGCTGCAACGAAAAACAAGACCTGGCCACCAGCAGGTGGGGGCCTGACGAAGCCGAAAGCACTCGCAGCTTTGCCGGTCGCTTTTGAGTTGCCATCTGCATCAGGTGTGAAGATCTCATTGCAGGCTTCTACAGCCTTCTTGATGATGTCCGGTGTTGGCGCAAACATCATGAAGCCGGCCCACAGGTCTCCTGTTTCGTGGGTACGGAATTCGAATTCAACGCCGACGCCAAAGTTCTGTCCTGCACCACGCAGAGCCCAGAAAAGGTCTTGGTACTTGTCATTGGAGGCTTTGACAATGCTGCCGTCCGCCAAGACGACAGTACAAGAAATGAGGTTGTCAACAACCAAGCCGTGTTTGACTGTGAGCCAGCCATAGCCGCCCCCAAACGTGAGACCACCGACGCCAGTATCCGAGACGGTGCCGCCGACCGTTGCAAGGCCATAGGGTGCGAGAGCTTCATCAACATCACCCCATACCGCACCTCCACCAACTTTGATGGTCTTTCCCTCAACATCGACCTCAGTGGTTCGCATGTACGTATTTAGATCGATGAGTAGTCCACCGTCCGTTGACGACGCGCCAGCAGTAGAGTGGCCACCTCCCTTCACAGCAATATCTAGACCCTGCTCCGATGCATATTTTAGCGTAATCGAAATTGCTTCTGCAGATTTTGGGATGAGACATGCTCCCGCGGGTTTCTCGGCGGCCTTTGACCAGCGTCGTACAGATTTCGTATATGCTTCAGTTTCCTTCGATGTCACCAACTGTGCGTCAGTATCTTTGAGCAAGCCTCGAAGCTCTGCGACATCTGCTTCGTTGATCGAGCGTTTGGCTGCCATCTTGAGACGGTTTGAGGTCGAATATGGTTGCGATTAGATAAGACGACGACCAGATGAAGATGCAAGATGCATACTTATACCATCGAATATAATGGTACGCATACGCCGAGCAGTAATCTAGATAGTCTGGTCTTGAACAGTCCAGAGCGCGTCGATGCGGTTTAGGGCGTAAGCTTACCAACAAGGCAGCCGTCAGCAAAGTAGAGACATGGCGAATGGCTGACACTCACGCTCAGTTAGTGTTTAAGCTAGCAGCGCCAGCTGCTTTGGCAAGAAGCTGAAATAAAATAGTCTTGATGAATGGATGTTCTCCGTAACGTCGGACGGAACCTCGTCCACACGTATAGTCAACCACGATTGGTTGTGGTTCCTACCCCGATCTCTCATGATCTGAAACATGTGAGCTGTTCTTGCGCGTAATACTCGGCTGGCGTTCTATCGGCAAGGCTATATCATACATCCTCACACCCGGTGGCCTAGTGGTCAATGCAGTGCGCTCAGAAGGTGTATCTTTCCCATTCTGACGTGTGATTTGAATTTGCGTTATCGGTAGGTTGCGATGCACGAAGCTTCAATTCGGTGCAGTGATAACCGAAGTCTAGTAAGCACGCTTTCTGTAAAGGTTGAGCGAGGTGACCGGTCATGAAAGTACGCATGAAGGACGAAATGGATGTCAAGAGTGGCAGGGGGCCCAGTTCTGCCAATCGCGGAGTGTTTCGCAGAGATGACGCGCATTTGTGGGGTAGCAAACAGATCGGCAAACCTTGTTTCGTCGCGTCGTCGCGTTCGCTGCACGCGTCTCTTCCTGCCTTCTTCTCTCAAACTCCTCTGTTGCATTAGGCATCGTACCCATTCTTTGACTTTGCTGTGTCGTTTTGCTCTTGTCGCCTCAAAATCACGGCACTTCGCTGTGTAGAATACCGATAATTCCAAAGTCTTGTACTATCCCCACCCGCGAAACTTCCTCAAAGATTTCGCAAATGACCAACGACCTCTCACACGCCCATAACGAATGATTATGCGATGCGAATTTGTTCTGCTTTGATCATGGATATACACAATACTGCAATGCAAGCTTCGTACGCCTCCAGGTTCGCGCGTTGTATGTCAGCTCAGCGTAAGGATATGAACCGACCGGAGCTTTCTGTTTGTATCTATCATGCGCGGACTGACCATGACTGATGGATGCTTACAATGCGTTGAACATGAAAACATTACACATATGTTCCTGATGGTGGGCTAGGAATCTAGAACGGAACCATGGCTGTGCAAAGACGATGTCTTCCCGCACATTTAATGCTTCGAGCGCCTGTCGAAATTCTGCGAGTCTCTCCGAGAATACTAAGTATGACCGTCGTTCTAGAATGACTCGACGATTTGGAGTATCTCGTCTCGTGTCAAGGACAATGCACAGCCAGCCTAGGAAAGCCCGATTCAAACTGATCCCCAGATTTTCTTTTGGCATCCATTGGCGACGATAACTCTACTGTATGTTCAAGTCAATGTCCAAGAGACAGCAGAACTACGTGTATGGCGACATCATCTCCATAAGTCTAGAATCATGCGGCAAGCTTTTGCAGGCCTGCCTCCAGTTAGCTGTTTTGCGACGCCTTCAAGACAAATTTGCTTTACGCACAACCACTGGAGGCTTCCTCAATCGATCCCTCGAATTAGGATTTCTACCATAGCATTTACCATATGTAGGAAAGACAGAGCTTGTTGCTATCCGCGTATTGCAATTTCGAGGGCCGCATGCCGCCTCTACCCACCGTTGCCCACGACATCTCAACCAGACTTCCGACTTATCGCTTCCGCTCGCAACGACGAACCCTCATAGCTCTGCCAGCGACTTAGAAGGCACATCGGATTATTTCGCGACCCAGGGATATCTATGCATGACATTAAACCCCGCAGCCCTATCTCAGTGTTCTAACTGTCTTCACCTTCACCCGACGCGCCCGACTCGATATTCACTGCGAATTCGGCTATAATATTGAGACTAGCGCCAAGACTACAGTCATTCCTACCTCTACTCGCATTTACATCACCGCTACATATCGCACCTTGTCTACTCGACAAATCACTATCTTGCGATATTATAGCAAACATTGCACATCATTCTCCCGCACATTGGTCGCGCACCATTATTTCATCCTGATTTCCACATACCCACAGCGCCTCTACAGTCATGTCCCCCATAGATAGCTCATCGCAGGATACTATCTCAAGCGCCATACCCGCGGAGCTATCAGTTCCGACGCCAGAAATTACTCAAGAGGCTACATCGCCGCAGGTATCATTGTCCGATGAGAACATTGCCCTTAAGCGGCGCATTGCCGCGCTCGAATCGGCAGAGGAGCGCCTTACGAAAAGAGTCACCACCGCCGAACAGCTTGCTGTAGATGCGAAATTCGAGACGAACGCAGCGGTAGCGCGCGCCCAAAAAAGGTATACAGAGATGCTACACGCCAACAACGAGACAAGACATCTTAGGATAGTGCTAGCAAAGGAGAAGAAAGAGCGCGCAGACTACCTAGTTGGCTCCAAGAGCGTCTTCCAAGGTTTGCAAGCCGAAATCTGTCGCCTGAATGAGGACAAGGCGGCGGGAGCTTGGGCGAAAGAGCTCACAGAGCAGATAGATACATTTGAAGCTGGCTATCTTGCAGTTAAGAAAGACAAAGAGGCATTGGAAAAGATTATCAGCGATCTGAATAAGACCATTACCCAGCTTAAAGGCGAGAAGGATGTTTCCGACAAGATGCTGAACGATTTCAAAAAGCTTATCACGGACTTACGACAAGAGCTTGACACAGAGAAGTCGAAATCGAAAGCCGCGCCTGACGCACTCACCAAAGAGCAAATCGAGGCTCATATAGCGACTGCCAGAGACGAAGCGAATAAGGAAGCTGCAACAAAAGCACAAGGTAGTATCGACACGATCAAGACGAGTATGAAAGAACAATTCGAAACAGCCATCAAGAACCGTCAGATGCAGATGCAGGCGCAGGTGCAGCAGTACATAAAGACACAAATGAAAGAATGGCGCATGACGGAGCAACGCTACAAAGATGACATAGCAGCATTGGAATCAAAACTGTCCGCCGCCACTAAGCAGATCGAATGGCATGGGCAACTCCTGGCGGCAGCACCGAATGCTATTCAACACAGTCATCAGAGGCCTATCAAACATGCCCAGGAAGTCTCGCCACAAGAGATGTTCAAGCCCAGCAAGCGTAGGAGGCTTGATTCCTTCGGGTGAGCTAAGTACTACATACAAGAGTGAAACTGTAACTGACATAGACAGTGCTGCCGGTATCACCACGCCGGATTTCCAACATACACGCTCGGCTTCTCTCCTCTCCGATACCAACGCTATAAGCCCAGGACTAGCGGCGGATACGAACGATGATGCTATGATGGGTGGCGCGCACGTTCGGGCACAGACTCAGACACCAAACAACATCCACAGACGACAGTTGTCGCAGCACTCAAATGGCTCAGCAGCTCGGATGACGCCCACAAAACGCCTCTCACAGCAGCAGAACGGCAAATCGTCTCCTCAGCAGCTACTGAACATGATGTCACCTCAGCAAGAACAGCAACTCTTTCAACAGAGAGCTTCGAACGATGCGAGCCGCCAGTCGCCTACATTCGGTTCATATGGCCCCGACCCGACGAATGCATCTCCTCGTCTCTCGCAACAAATGAGATATAATCAGCAATCGATTAACCAGCCCGGAAGCTTAGGCTTGTTTAAGGCACAAGACTTCGAGACACATCAGTCGCGACGGATGCGCCAACAATTTCAGACACAAGCCCAAGCACAGAACTCAGATTCAATGCAGCAACACATGCAACCTAGGCAGACTTATGGTTCAGCCTCTATGATGCCGCCGCCCCAGCCTCGCATCATGCAGGTCCCTTCGAAGCGCTCAATGTCATTCGATGGGCAACCTCCATGCATGAACCAGGAGGCGAGTAGGCGACACGCTCCCACCATCAAGGACACGCAAGCCATTACTGCTTTCAACGGCGGAGCCTCTTTTTTGGGAGAGACATACTCTGGAGATGATTGGTTTTCTGCTGGGGGCGAGTCTGCCATGCGAACTCATATCCCGAGGGCCTACACTCCGACCCTCCCTTCAAACGCGACGCCCAACTTGCAGGAGATCAATCACCAACAACCCCAGCAACGCAACTTTCAGTACTACACTGTCGACCCTTCTCAACTACAGATAGGCAATGAGAGGGACCTGTCTTACGAGTCCAACACCACCCCAAATGAGCCTAACAATTACATGAATGATTCGCGACAGCCTTCAGTTTCAGGACGCACGACTCGGACTTCTTCTCGCTCTACACCCGCACCCGCTGGACGCTCGCGTGGACGGACTCCAGGTCCCTCTGAGCCAACCAGTGTTCCGTGTGTAAACTGTTACCGTCACTGGTGGGAGAACGAGTGTGATGAGGGTGAACCATGCTCGAACTGTGCCGCAGAAGGCGTTGACTGTGTGCGGCAGAAATGCTTCAACTTTGCTGCTGGCACTTGTGATAAGGGCAACAGATGTCCAAACATCCACGAGGGCGATGAGCGATATCAAGATAACAATCGACTGGTTGACCAAACCAAGGCAGGTAAGCGGCCTCAACGGGTTGGAAAGAAGGCGGATGCGGTGCCGGCGCCGATCATGAGGGAGCAGAATTAGGAAGCTGTAGAGCTATTTGCGTTGATGTATGGTTAGAATGTGTTGGCTTACAGCTGCATATTGTGGGATCCAGGGAGCTCAGGGCGCTCGGCTTCTCTCATCGTCCATCTTGATAGTTGTCGCGCTTGCTTACTCTTACGGCAATCACGAGTAGGATATACACGACTTTTGAAATATAACCAGTATTACTGAATTACCCTACACAACTATCCGCTGGAAGCTGTCTGGGCTACAAGCATGAGTCCAGGATTACCAACAAAAACATTGAAGTGGACCTTAGTAGCTGGGCAACGGAGCTACAAAGTGGATATGAACGTGCTCGATGAAATAGCGAAGAGATAGATAAAGAGAAAAAGGATCGTAATAACGAAGCTATTGACTACCTAGTCGATTAGGTGTATATGACCACACTTGATTCGCAGAATCATTTCCTGGATCTGGACTTCCTTGGAGTCAGTACGGACAGTGGGGTGACAGCATTCTCAAGTAGAATGGGGGATGTAGTTCTGGAGACTGTTCGATGTCGTAGGACGGGTCAAGACTCCGTTCCCGGTCACGTGCTGGTGATAAGCATCTCCAGTGGTGCAGGCCAAGTGGCGGTACTGCGGATATTACGGCTTCGGCCACGGCAAGCGCTCCTGGCGAGATGAACAGTTTTCCTCGTTCTTTTGTGGAGTCAGAAAAGATCCAAAAGCAATTTCTCTCACCGCACTTGTATTACAACGCTTGTGTCAAACCTCGATATGCGTGTGGAGTTCGCGCACTCGGGCGGGGCCGCGAGATGGGGACTATGCCAGTGGCGCAAAAACACCAATCCATATATATCCTAGTTTATCGCGCATTCAGGGTTTTCTAGCTCCACTCCACATTATTCTTTCACCAAGCTCCGCTTGGCTATAGCTTGCATATCTTATCCAGGTATCTCCCCAATCATTGGTACTTTGATTCACGCGGCACATCCATCGCGACCATGATCCCTCCGACCTTTCACACCATTGGAGGCCTAGGCTCGAGGCGCACCCTCTTTGCATCCATTGCTGGGAAGTTATCTCCGACCATGACGAATCCCTACGGCACGCTAAGCGACTACTACCTGGCTGATAAAAGCTTTGAGTCGCGCAATGCTCGATACTGAGTTTCTCGTGCCTTTTTAGTCGTTGCCTCTAATCGGTTGCTCAAATATGGCATCGAACGAGCCTGGCCTTGCGCCTCTCAGCGCGCCGGCTGGAGACCCCATCAAAGGTGCTATTGGCGTACCTGTCGATACCGACACCCCTGTTGCACCCGACCAGTTCGACGAACGTTACGAAACATCGAAGTGGGAGATATGGTCGTATTACTGGTAGGCTGATGTTCCAGCGCACAAAGTCATTCGAAGTGCAGTCTGTCAACTGTGCCATAGCTGACATTGAAACCCGCGTCTAGCTACTACGTCGGAGACAATGGCCTCACGCTCTTCAACTTCGGCCCTACAGCTTTTCAGAACCTTATGTACGAAGCGGCAGGAGACTCTGAGGTGTTGCATTTCTTGGGTCGAGATCGCAATATCAATTCGATCGTGCTTCTCTCCAACGGAATCAGTTTCGCCATTCAGGTTGTCGTTTTCCTCATCCTGGGCTCTTTCGCAGATTTTGGTACATGGCGTCCCAACATTCTCATAGGACTGTCCATCATCGCCTTTGGAATTGGATTTGGCTGGCTCGGAGTTCATACTGAAGACAAGTGGCATGCTGGTGTTGGTCTCTACATTGTGGGCCTCATCGCATACCAAACGACAATCACATTCTGGACCGCTGCATTCCCTGGCTTGGCGAGGAACACCAAGGACCTACGGGACAAGGCCGAACAGTTTGCCGATGGAACGATTACTCGCTCGGAGTATGATTTCGCGGATATGATGAAGCGAAACGAGCTGTCCAATACAGCGTTCTATGTTCAGTCGGTCTTCGAAATCCTCATTCTGGCAGTAATTGTTGGCATTATGTTCGGTCTGAAAGTCAATGACAGCGCAGAGAATAACAACTGGGGTCTTTCAGTCCTTATCGCCTTCGCAACAGGTGTTTGGGTTTTGTGCGCTCTTCCTTGGTTTATCCTGGAGAAGAGACGGCCCGGCCAGGATCCAGGACGCGCAAACATAATACTGGCAGGTCTCAAACAACTCGGCTACGCGATGCGTCAAATTTGGCAACTGAGACAAAGTTTGGCATATCTAGCCGGCTACTTCCTCCTCGGCGACAGTCTTAACACAACCGTGACAGTCATCGGAACCCTACAAAATGAGATCGTTGCGTACAACAGTCTTCAGCTTACTTACCTTCTCATCGTCGGTATCGCTGCACAGGCGGTTGGTATCGGCGCCTTTTGGCAGATCCAAAAACACTATGGTCTCTCCACCAAGACCATGTTCATGGTTGTCGCTATATGTATTGTTCTGCTTGACGGCTGGGGCATGATTGGCATTTGGACGCAAAAGTTTGGCTTCCACAACAAATGGGAAGTATGGCTGTATCAAGTCTTTTATGGCTTGCTTGTCTGCCCATGGTACAGCTATTCGCAGACCATGATCTCTGAAGTCACACCAAGGGGCAAAGAATTTCTTTTCTTCAGCTTGTTCTCCATCGTCGGCAAGACGAGCGCTTTTATTGGGCCACTGGTGAGCTCTGCCATTATCGATGATACCGGCAACAACAGTAGCCCGTTCTATTTCTTGTTCGCGTTGAGTTTATTCAGCTGCGCATGGCTGTTCTTCTTCGTTGATGTTAAAAAGAGTCGAATTGAGCAAGAAATTTTCCTGGAGAAGGAAAAGAACGCAAGAATGCAAAACGAGAATGTTGGGGATCTTAGCTAAATCTTCCCTAGAATAATGGGACATGTTGCTAGAGAGAAAGGCTACTTCTTCGGTCACTTTTGCGTAAGCTTGTTCGCAAGCAGTACCACCAATGACACATATGCTCATTTCTCATGTCTGTAAATTCAGCTAAACACAACATTCGGTAATCTCTCAAGGGCGTGGGCGAATACGCGCTAGCGATGAAGTAAGTATCTCACATTGCGTTGTGTGATTATATCTTCGCCCTAGCGGAAAGACATTGTCCGTTCACAACGCCGCGTCGCAACCCTACAATTAGTCGGAATTGGACTACATGCTACAAACGCATATTTCTCCTCTTTTCACAAACATTGATCCCTTACCTCATTCTCACATCTGGATCAGATAAAGATACTGCACTGGTCAAACATAGCACTGACAATTAAGTAATAGCCATAAGTCAAGATGGCTATCAAAGTCTCTTCCTGGTTCAAGGGTCACTTCGGCCCATCATCGGATACTGATATCACCGATGAAGACGAGATTAGTGGTCTTGATGAGAGCATGGATCTTGAACATGCAAATGCGGAAGAGAAGATGTACAAAAAGAAGTACTGTCAAGTCCGTAAGCAGGTCGACGAAGACGAGATCTGCAACAATATCCGAGCTGATAATGCTTCCCTTCGCAACGATAAGAAGGAGCTGGAGAATAAGCTTATACGGATTGAGAATGCGAAGCTAAGCGCAGAGGTACAACTCATGAGGCGCGAGAAAGAACTTAACGATGTCAAAGCAAACAACAGCATCGAGAGGGGCGCCAGCAACGAACGAAACAAAAGGCTCAAACTAGACAACAGAGTGCTCAGGAACAATGAGGAACATATGAAGTTTCTGCTTCTTTCTCACGATATCCGAACGCCAACGCTACCCATTACATCGAGGGCTACACCACCCACTACCCCGGGGCTCACAGACGATGATTCTGATATGGACGATGCAGACGATCTTAGCGTCTGTCCAGAGTGGTATAATCGCCGCAATTGCAGCCGAGGTGTTGGCACTAGGTCTAAAAAGTGCGAGCGCGGTGCACATCCTCATTTTATCAACTTCCGTACACCGCTGAGAGCGGCCTTCTAGTGTGATCAAATGCGATAGCAAAAGCAGAGGTAGTTACTTTTTCCAACGACTTCTTTCAATGATGTGTGAGAAATCCTTATGTGCCATGTGTCTTGCAACTTGTGCAATGTAGGAAAAACATCCTTAGAGAGCTCAAGATCTGCCCTGCATTCGGCAGGATAGATTGTTCTATTTCTCGTAGAACAGCCACAGTAACAAGTGACTAGCCATCCTCTCGCTGCTCTAATACCTCTCTAATCCGATCTTCACTTGGAAAACGAACTTCCTTCTCCGCAACCATATCGAGCAACCCTTGCACCTGTCCAATTTCGTCTTCAGTCACTTCCTCCAATCGACGATTGATTTCCGCGCCGAATTGGTCCTTGAACTCTATGAAAGTCAAGGACTTTTCTTGAAGATACTGGCTTTTGTTGATTTTTAGAAAGCTGATGAAGCCGTTCCACCAGGTCGACGAACGCTTCGGTGTACTGGTGTCTTCCAATTCATGGGCTCTTTGTTATGATGCTCTGCCAGTACTGTCGAGCATGTGTATAAGCTCGTACACGAATGAACGGTCTGCACCTTTCTGCTTTTCATTAGGATTTAAGCTCGCACGGTTGAAATCAATCAAGACAATGGTAGGCATTGTGAAGCCAGGCCCATTGTGCCAGCTAGACAAGTCGAGCATAACGTTCCCACCAAAGACGTCGTTATGAGCGATGTTGGCGATGTCGTGCAGCCACTCGACTGCTCCTGTCAACTGCTTCGCAATGTGCAACACGAGAACTTCCGGTATCGCAGGAAACGAGAGGCTGTAAGTGACATAGTTCGCTGAAGAAGGCTGTACTATATGGCTAATTACGACGCAGAGTCGCTCAAGGTCGAAGCCACGGATAGGATGAACCGCTAGCCAGCGCGACCCGCCGTCTATGATTGGGTCAAAGTCGACGAGGTCAGGCAAGTGTTTTGCAATAGTTCCGTCATCAGCTGCGGCGAAGAAGCTGTGTATGCGCTGTAGGACAATAATCTCAGTGGCTATCATGTCGCTGAGCATTTCTCGACTAGCTATCTTCATAGCTAAAAGGCCTGGGCCTTGCGCTGTGAGATTCGTCATAGAAGGGCTTGCGACTAAAGAGGGCCTGCGTGCGCAGAATGTGACTTGTCCAATAGTACCCTTACCTGCTTCCTGGAGTGGAATGTACTTATTGTTTGAGTTTTCATAAGTCGAATCAGGACCCATCTCGCCGCTGGATAGCACCGTAGAGGTATCTGATCGCTCGTCATCTGCGTCGGTAGAAGACCCGCTCGAAAGTAGAACTTGAAGCCAACACATTGGGGGACGTTGTTAAGTGACTCAACAAGCATGGGCGCTACGACAAGTTCTAGACTTAAGACGATGAAAGAAAAGAAATCATGTGATGAGACACGTAGCAAACAGCATCGGAAAGTCTTCTGACTTGGGACAATGAAATCATTAAGATTGTCTGTAGAGCGTTTGGACGCATCAGCATCATATCACTTGGTCCCAATGCGCCTTATACCAATTGAACCATCGATGTACATCCAGCAGTGTTGTGAGGAGAGAATTGCAGAAATGATCGAATCAGGATTGGAAGAGACAATACTCTATCGCTCTGTAAGACCCAATACGTCCTGATAGTATCCTCTTATGCTGTACTGTACACATCGCATCACGGGCGATCATTTTGTACTAATACACACTGTTGACTTGCTTGCGGTAAGCACTGTCTAGCTCTGAAAAATGTGATATCGAAGCGAAAGAATCGAACTACCGCCGTGAACGTGACGTCGCGTTACTAATCGAGAAAAGTCGCAATACTCTCTAGAAGACGTTATTGGAGTCTCTAACATCCGAATTGAGCGAAATGTTTCGTGTAATCCAGTGGCCAACGGATGGTGGATGAAGCAGCCAATGCGCTTGCCTCATCATCCGAAATATTCAGTTCGTGTTCCTTGCAGCTGGCTCTCTCAAGGGAATTTTGGGTCGAACTCCGTAGTATCCAAACCCCAGATCTCGATATCCTTTACGTCCTCCCTTCTCAAGACATCGATTTTCCTTTTTGGTCCAGCTCTTTTAGCATTCATGCTCTTCTCGTTATCATTTGGCACCGGTTCCTTGCCCTTCGGAGGGAAATAGACACCGCCTAATTTGAACACAATATTATCGCCGTAACCAATGTACTTGACGTTCTTGTACTCCGGTCGCCAAAATTCTGTTGCAAGCGCAAACGCATGCATCATGGGATCATCATCGTCTCCCATCGGGTCGTTTGTGTCGTAAGTGGGGCGGGCTAGGAAACGGACAGCCCATAGCTTGGGAACTAGGGTAAAGACTTGGCGTAACGACTCGAGGGGTGGGACACCGCAGGCGAAACCGAGTTGCTCCAGGTTAGGACATAGCTGACAAAGTCTGAAGAGGGCATCATCAGACAGTACCCAACGTTCATTAAGAAGCAGATGCCGGATGGTCTTATTATGATTGGTTTGAATCACTGCAAGGAACTCGCTTCCGAGGCTGCGGCAGCGTTGCTGGGTCATACTGTTAGGGGTGTTGCTTGCGCTGGTATTGCAGTTCACGCCTGGCGTCATAGTGGACGGTGTCGTAGGCGTCGCGGCTGTGCTGTTTGACTTGGGAGATGCTTCCTTGCCTCGCCTGTTATTCACGATGTACAGACGCTCCAGACCCTTGAACTTCCCCAGCATGATAACACCCTCTTTGTCCGTGTTATCGATGCGTATCATCTTCAGGTTACGAGGTGTCGGATGGTTGTTGTGTACCCTCCAAGAATCGTCAGCAAAAACCGTCATAGGGTCGGAACTGCCCATGGAGTTGATCACGGTGATCTCTGTTTGGCAGTCGTGATTCATAACGTTGTGAAAGTCGTCGCCAGAGAATCGAGTATATACGTTGTATATGGCCAAGCGCTTAATGGAAATCGCATATCTCGCAGCGAGGCACCGACCGAACATCGAGTGCAGGCTGACTGACTCTTCGCCTTCAGCCCGCATACGCGGACTCCAGTGTAGCTTTAGGTTCTCGAGCTTCTTGGAACCGGCTAGAAGCAGCGATATGTCGTCGGGATAGCATAGTGGATCGATGTCGTACACAACCAGTGTAGTCAAATTCGGAAGCGGAGGTATAATGGTAGTCGGTCGCGGTGTTCGTCGTGACGGGCATCGAATGGTGAGCGACGCTAGCAATGTTCTTGTCGTAATGCCTTGGTATACCGTACTCAACGGAGGGGTGCTCAGCTCCCAACTATGCACATCAGCAACTGTCCTATATGGCTCTGACACGTGACGTACGCGAAAGCCTTGAGATTCTTCATCTTGTCAAGCGCGGCACGCATGACGATTTGCAGTATCATGCTGTTGTCTGGCACGCGACCCTGTTTATAGTCGTCGACATCATGATCTCGCCAGTCGCCTATGACACGAAACGACTGTATGTAGTCGCTGAAGTTCCGCGACACCAGTGTGTTGAGACCCATGGCAAAAGGGCTGCCATTGCCGTATCCCTCCGGTCTGCCATCGACGTATCGTATGTCGGCGTATGAACGTAGCGTAACTTTCTCGTAGAGTCGCGGGAGCGTCATGTAGTAGAAGAGACGCGATGTGCGCGTGATGCGCGCAAGGTCACCGACATCGTCCAGCTTTCATGATTGTCAGCATAGCTCCCTGAGGGCCGTGGTCGCATGCAAACTGGTGGCATGTGAATGTACAGGGCTACGTACATGTGTGAGGATCAGCTGAATCAGATGCAGCGGGAGCTCTTTCGCTTGCGCAAGGTTGCTATGCGATCTTGCGGGCGAAGTGAACCATGTATGAAGGGGAGCGGTTATAGGTCTATCTTTTGGTAGCAGCGCGTCGGCGGAGAGGTGCGCGCGCTTTGAGTCCGACATGAGGCTAAAGGAAGGGAACACATGCGTGATACGAGTAGAGATTGGGTCGCATTCTCATGGTGGAACTCGCAACATCATGGTGTATCATCCGCTGTCATCATCGCTCATCGGTCGTGTTCGCGAAGCGCATCGGAACTTTGGCTGGCAGAGCCTCCGTACCTCCGTTTCGTCCACCGAACGGCCGCATTGGTCCGGCTGCCTCCGGGAGGCTTCGGTAAACAAATGGCAGGATGATTGGCAGCAGGCATTTTATCGAGTCACATTTACTTCTATACGGCATATACGGTCTGATTCCGAGATCTCGCAAAACCCTACAGAGTTGGACGCTCATTTTGGGCCCTGCTCAATTCCTCCCCGTTATGATGTGCGTGGGCGCCTATGCACCGGCAGAAAGGCTACAAAAGCATACTGTGTGCGGAGTTGTCTCCGCTCGTTCGCTCGTTCACTACGGAACCAAAACCGCATGTCCAGCGCCCTTCTGTCCCGCACCCTTTTGTCCAGCGGTTCCGCCGGAAAGTTGGACGTCTTTGGAGTCACCGCCAGCGACCACCATCATGGCGATCTGAGTGCCGCCTATCACGGACTGAAGAACCAGGGTCGTTTACCGTCGTACTTGTCCGCGGGAAGTCTGAAGGGAATTTCGACCGTGCCTGCAAACACGTCCATGGATGGTAGTCCGCCCTGTTCGAGACTCTGGAGCTTGGCGTCTGGTACAGGCATGACGACACCACACTCCCAGTTTCTGATGTTCAGACTCCCTATTCGTCCGCTTTTCAGTACTTTCTGCCCTCCCCACGCTGATTCAGAAATGTTGGCGGAGCCAACGTAAACCCATGCGAAAGGCTTCCCGTCCTTCTTGCGACCACGCGCAAACAGCAGTTTATTGTGCGATAGTATACCCCGTCGCATAGAGTCGTAGTCACGCATGCACTCTTTTGGGAATGTTGGTGCATTGTAACAATGAGGACTCAACGTGATGATACCCGCACATCCCGGACCTCCAATACTTTTCTCGACCGTGTCGTGGGTAGGAAAGTATATTCTAATGCTATTGCGCACATCGGCAACGAGCGCATTGTCTTTCGTAAACGATTCGCCGCGTGCAGCATGGTGGATGCGTGACAGGAAGTTATCGTCGATGGCACCGAGGGAGGAAGCTGCGTAGTCCAGCTCAATGTGTTCGACATCATCTAAATGCAGCTCTCGTATAGCCTGTGCAAGGCCAGGGAGACCTGTTGGATGATCTGTTTCGATCTTATGTGAACCACCACTATTTCGAATCAGTACGTACAACTAGCAAGCATACTGGGGCCTTACATGGAGTGAACGAAGGCCAGATGGCTAGTCTGCGCGAAATCAAACTTTAGTAATCCATCAACCACTTGTGGCCCAACTTCCTGTTTCTCTAAGAAATATAGCAATTCGCGACCAAAAGCCGACAAGTCTCCCTTCTTGGTAGCAGTATCGTCGGGTCTTCGCGGAAGGTCAATCAAGAATACTGAGTTCTCCATGATACCGGGTTGCCAGTCATTCGCAACTTCGCCCCAGTCGGTCTGGGTCATGTTCGCGGTTGGTATAGCAATGCGTAACTTGTGTTTCCCAAACAATAGCATGAACTTGCTATGCATGCTAGCAATCATGCCACCCATTGGTGGGAAATGCAGCTTCATGTTTGGCACACCAGATTCCTTCCATTCCTGAATGCGCTTTGCCTGTACGTCTTCGCCTCTATATTTACCATTCATCAACCATATTTGTTTCACCTTCAATGGGTCAAGTTTCTCATACAACCACTCCGAGTCATATTGAAACGAGCTGATGACTGCGATGTTGACCGTTGACGCTTCTAATAATTCATCAATGGTGATGTCGTCGGTCCGTGGATATTTCGACGCGAATGTGCGCTTGATCGTCCCTCTGGGATATTGCAGTGGTGTTCCATCGGAGGCCGCTTTGACTGCAGGGGGCCTCGCAACCTGCTTAGAAGGTCTTTCGGGCGATACGTCGCGCTTTCGTTTACCAAGTCTTGCCAAGCGCTCCTGTTCCATGGCCTTTCGATCCATGCCCATGAGACCCGAAGTGTTGTTTAGACCGGCTGCCTTTGGAACAGTTGTCGCTGATGACTGTTGAACGTCTTTATTGCCGCTTTCCTGGAGTGACAGGGCAATCGCACGTCGGAGATCCCCATCCTCATTGTCATCGCTGTCAGATATGAGGTCGATAGGTTCGTTCTTAGCGATTGCTGTGGCGTCGCGAGTGGCCCGAGGCGAAACCTCTTGTAGTGACATTGCCATCGCCAGCTTGAGATCTTCATCATCGGACTCCATCCTTGTGGCCAAAAAAAGCGGTCGTCGTGAGGGTGTTGCTGATTGAGTAAACAACAAGATCAATGCACGAATGTAGCCGCGGAAGCGAACGGGCATGCGGGACCCTGGAAACGCGCTTTCACGTCAGCATGTGATCAAAGCTTGGCGATCTCGACGCGTTGTAAGCACTGGCACAGCAGCAGTGAGAACGCGTCATGCATGGAAAATGTCTTATGTGATATTGAACATGAACTTTGCTACGTTAAGATTCCTGTAGCATGCACTACTCCTCATTTGCTCTTGTCTTCCACAGCATTGTGCACTCGCGGCACCTTACAAAGCACCACGAAGTATCCCAGATCAGCCAGTATCCAAGTAACCATCATAACAATGTTGATGGGGGTGGTATAGTATCCATGCGCCTCCGGCCATACCCACCAGCAGTACCCATAGTTCAGAGTTAGCCCCGCCAGACTACCAATGAACCTCAACGCCCAAATCGTGTAGGACGACCCGCGACTGCTTTGTCTAACCATGATTTGTGCCAGCGACATGACGCTCAGAACAAGCTGCGCGACCAAGGCCGTCATGAAGCCCAGCTCATCGGTGTCAATGCCCTTGACACCACGATATGCCTTTCCGACTTTCGGATTGACCGGGTTGACTGGATCAACCCACCAACTGCTCACAGCGTACAGTGCAATGCACCACCACGCAAGCATGCCTGCAAATATCTTGCCCACGTTCCTGCCCACTGCAGGCGCATGTTTCCATTCATTCGCCCCGTACTTGACAGCCGCGTAGACAAGACCGAGGTCTATGAGCATCCATATCGTAAACATAGTCTTCTCTCGAGGTTCTTCGGCAACGTAGAGGGCGAATACGATCTCCCAGGCGAAGTTGAAAGCGAGCGAAAAGAGAGGCATGGAGTATGTGCGGTCGCGAATGGATTGACGTGCCATCAGGACATAGCAGATGGTGTAGGTGATACCACCAGTGCCCAGGAGTACATCGTTGACTTCGCGGATCGAGGGGTCGACATGAGGAGGTAGGACGTCGCTGCGGGCCATGGTTGCGGTTTGCTATCTGGAGAGAAAGGAGGGATAGCTATGCGACGGTCAGTTCTTCTTATGAGGGGTCAGGCCACCCTGTCAGCATAAGCTCTCATAGTGCGCACGGTTAGTTCATTAAAGTAAGATGCCATTCGGAAGGGGCTTTCCGATTCCGAGCCTGCGCACACGAACATAAGTCAACTCTTATTCCCCGTCTTCCCATGTCAGATACGCAAGAACAAGACACGCATCGTGTGAGTATAATCGTGGCTAGGGCTGGTCGCATTTTATTTTCCAAACACGCCCTCTGATTCTTCCTTGTTCGTATAGGTCCTGGCTATCCTCCATGAAGCGTAGACACGAACATGATGTGATCACCTTTTTGAACTTCGTACTTGTCTTCGCCTTCCAACTCCCAGTCTGCCTCGTTAATGAGAACTAGTATCCCAGGTCGCCTGGGGCCTTTGTTAATATGCTGTCGTAGTCTCAAAGTATAAACATACACCGTATCGTCGAGGACGAAGAGCTCTTTCCGCGGGTCTTTCATGACCTTGTCACAGAGATGTCTGACAAGGAACGCAACATTTGCTGGCTCCCCAGACTCGTCCTTAGCTGGTAAGTCGAGGTCATACTTTTTCTGGTTGGCGAACAGGATCTCGAGCCCTCCACTGTAAAAACGTTAGTGAGGGGATATTGGCAAATATCGATTTCACCACTTGCCTAAATTCGATCGTTATCGGAACAGTGGCATCGTTCGACATCTCTGACTTCGATCACCTTTTAGATGATAAATGTTGCAAGATGCTTGGCTACTATTGAGACCGGATGCGCCTGCTCTGCAGTCCCCTCAGCCTAACGCAGCTAAGCGAGACTAGCGCCAAAGAAATCCTTACGGCGATGACTAGATGTGGTGCACGCGCATACACAACGCCTAAGCCGAACAATGAATGTGTCGTCTGAATTCATCTCTGTAGGCGGAAACCGTAACCCCGCGGCCGCTGATTGGGACGAAGCTGGGTCGCAACTCCTAGCGTTCGGCGCAGACAACTGCATCGCACTATGGGACCCTCAGGTAAGTCGATACTGGCGTATGACGTACCCTCCACTCACCAAGATAGGATGAAAGTCTTCATGGCGTTCAGGCGATTTTGAATGGACATACTAAGGCTGTCAACGCTGTCAGATTCTTTCCTACACAATTGCCCAATACCTCGATCCTACTTAGTGGATCAGCAGACAGTACCATTCGGATATGGCGAAGCCGAAGAGGTGAACCCTTCGATTGCGTTAAGACAGTGTCCGATCACACCCAGCCTGTTACTAGGATAGCCGTTTTGCCTGGTTCAGACACTCTTGCTACAGGATCTTCAGATGGCAGCGTCAAAATCTGGAAACTCGTTCACGATGCAGACTTCAACGACATCGATATCGAAATCGTGCAGACCATCACGCTTTCCCCTAAGTACTTCCCTCTAAATCTAGCACTTGCAGTCCTGGACGACACATCCGTGGTGCTAGCAGTTGCGGGCACTCGCGCTACCATTCAGATTTTCGTATCGCAAGAAGGCCAATTCCAGCTTTCAGCAACTCTAAGCGGACATGAAGGATGGATACGCGCGCTTGCATTCATCCGAGAGACATCCGATCCCAACAGCGATCTACTGCTAGCATCAGCAAGCCAGGACAAGTATGTCCGTCTTTGGCGACTTCATCGTGGCAACGAGCTTCCCGCTGCTAGTAGTGCACTCAACGATCCGGCTTTGGGTGGACTGGGTAAGGCGTTATCGAACAAGGCACATTGGATAAGTTCAGCTATGTCGAAGCACTCTATCACATTTGAAGCTTTGCTACTCGGGCATGAAGATTGGATTTACCAGGCCTCGTGGCGACATCGCGAAGGAAAGCTGCAGCTTCTCACTGCTTCCGAAGATAACTCAGTTGCCATCTGGGAGTCCGATCCAAACTCTGGTGTATGGGTCTGTATCACTAGACTAGGCGAGATCAGCGCACAGAAGGGCTCAACGAGTGCTACGGGAAGTGCGGGTGGATTCTGGATCGGTCTATGGTCACCGAATGGCAACACAGTGGTGTCTCTGGGACGAACAGGAAGCTGGAGGAAATGGACTTACTCATCCACAGAAGATATGTGGACACAGCAAGTAGCGATCACAGGCCATGTACGCGAGGTCAAAGGCGTAAGTTGGTCAAGAGACGGATCTTATATGCTCTCCACTGGTTCCGATCAAACGAGTCGGCTCTACTCGCAGTGGAAACGGGAAGGCGCGTCAGCTTCTTGGCACGAGTTCTCGCGACCCCAAATCCATGGCTACGATCTAAACTGTGTTGATGCCATATCCAACTCTCAATTCGTTTCCGGTGCCGACGAAAAGTTGCTACGCATTTTCGATGAACCCAGAGGTGTGGCAGATATGCTTGAGAAGCTCTCTGGTATCACGGCATCAACCACCGCCGAACTCCCAGATGCCGCCAACATTCCTGTTCTCGGCCTCTCGAACAAAGCTATTCAAGCTGTCGGGGATGATGATCCGGTGGAGAACGGCGATGAAGACGAGCGCGAAGCCGTTGACCCTGCTTCCGTAATTCGCAAATCTACACTGGAATTCTCTCACCCGCCATTCGAAGACCATCTTGCCCGCCATCTGCTATGGCCGGAGACAGAGAAGCTCTACGGACACGGATACGAAATCTCCGCAGTTGCCGTAAGCCGAGACGGAAGTCTTGTCGCAACAGCTTGTAGAGCTAGTTCCATCGACCACGCCGTTATACGTTTGTACGACACGAAAGAATGGCTAGAAGTAAAACCCGCACTCAAGGCACATTCACTCACCGTCACCGCTCTGCAATTCTCGCCGGACGACAAATATCTTCTTAGCGTTGGACGAGACCGACAATGGGTGATCTGGGAGCGCAGTGATGAGCCATCGCTGTACACGCTCAAGTACTCGAATCCAAAGGGCCATTCGCGTATGATACTAGGTGCTGCCTGGACGCCTCTCGAAGTACCCACATTCATGACTGCTGGAAGAGACAAAAGTGTCAAGATATGGCAGATCGTTGACAATGATGTGCAACTCAAGGCTACGGTTCCAGCTAATGCCGCCGTTACTGCTGTGTCATGTAACAACGTGCTACCTAGTGGTAAGATTATGTTTGCCTATGGTACGGAGAATGGAGAGATAGGCATTGCGAACACCCCATCAGATGCTTTGGACAAGGTAGAAGTGTCTATGGTCAAAGCAGAGTTGGTGCCCGCGAAGACTATCAACCAGATCGTCTGGCGGCCTGGAAGGGCCGAGGGCGAGCAACAGCAGATTGCGGTAGCGAGTGATGATACCTCGTTGCGTGTCTTCAACGTCTCACAAGAGGTATCGTAGCACTAGCAGAAGATTGCAGGAACGTGCTACATGTCGACAGTTGAATTTGATCAAAACTTTACACTATTACGCATGTTTTGCTGGGGTATCTCGCCAAAGAAAATCATTTCCTCCAATTGTTCTGCAAACAATACTGTATCTCGTGCTTGATGTTCAAGCGTAACGTGCCCCCGCACTCTTCTCATTGACCGGTGCCACAGGAGGCATTCCAGGCTGGGCCATCGGGTACTGTCCAGGCGACATGCGCTGTTGCTGCTGCATCATCTGTGGATGTTGTCCGAATTGCTGCATCTGTCCCGGTCCTTGCTGCATATACTGGGGTTGCATCGGATATCCCTGCTGGTTCGGTGGCATCTGATAGTACATGACTTGTCCTGGTTGCGGCTTCATATGGGCCTGCCCTGGTGGGGGCACAATAGCGCCATTGGTGATCATAGTCTGTACGATGTTGGCAGCAATCTTCTCTGCGTCCTTGCTGGTCTTGCTGCGGTTGTGGTGATGGCAGTCGACGCAAGCCCACACGAAGAGCGCGAAGTGAATAACCAATCCGAAGAATTGGCATACAACACCTGTCAACGTAGTGTTTGCGCGTGCCCCTTTCTCCGCCCAAAGCTTGTTAACATAGGCGTCCTGCTCTTCGCAGTTGTTGAATCCATAGTAATCACAGTCTCGCGGAGAGTTGACATAGCTCGTGTCTTGTTCCCATACCCACGTGCCGTTGGAGGCCAGAACATAGTCTCCACCGCCAGAACCATAACTATATCCATCAGGTCCACCATATAAACCGTAATCCAACACGTCCCGGAATGCGAGAATAGCAAACATTGCTGTTATAATGAAGGCAAGCCACAGCAGAAGATCCATTGTTACGCGAACACCAGGGTGCACAGGCCGTTTGCGTACAATAAAGACGATCATGCAAAGCGCGACAAAAGCTACTGAGACGGACCAGGTAATTAGACCGGGCCATACTGCGTAGCTGTTGTAACCGAGATAGTAGTAGTCGTTGTTGGTGTAGAGGTCCGTGGTCATCAAATAAGCAAAGCAGCCTATGCCGACCAAGCCGGTTATGATGGCAATGGCTCCAAGACCAAACTTGAACTTCCAGTACCGGTCGCCGGCATTGAGCTTGTCATTGAAAGAAAGGTGTTCTTCGGTCTCGGTCTCGGTCGCCTGTGGAGCTGCCGTATTCGGGATCGACGCCGTAAGACCCGTGGTGGGAACACCCGGCGCAGGGCTACTCGAGGCTTGGGTTCTGGGGGAGTTCGCGTTCGCAGTTGACGTGGCATTGGCATTTGTCGCGTCGGATAGTCTAGCAACAGACTTTGGAGGAGGCGTCGGAACAGGAGAAGGAGGCGCAGCTGAAGTCGCGTCGGGCGCGTGCGGCATGGCCTGAGGCTGCGAAGTAGAAGAAGACATTATTAAGTATTAACTAAAGTAAAAAGCGAGTGGATGCGCAGAGATATGCGCGTGGTATATGGTCAGACGGGGCCTTCGAAAACACAAAGAACAGCAAGAAGGCCAGGCAACAGGAGAGAACTCTGCCTGCCTACAGACATCGTGGCGCCACGGGGTGCCTGAAGCTAGTCGTATCGGTGCTGGATAGAACTTAATTTAGATGAGCTGGAGCGGAACAACCATGATGCGGCCGGATAAATCTCAGTCATCAATGCACGACGCTTAGCACCCTACTACTGCAACCTTAATTGAGGCTTGGTCCTTTGTCATTTCACAACACCCAGCGAACTGCCTTGGACCATGGATCGTGAGAAAGATTTGGATTCGATATTAAGTACCTCACAGATAAGTCGTATACGGACGCCATCGCTTGCATCGCTGAAGTCCGCCTGAAAAAACATTACGTCATAAAAAACCTTCTTACACAAGCCGTACTTTCCAAAGTTTAAGCCATCAAGCTCCATCCTTGGGCTCTAGCACGAAGAAAAAGAAGGAACGGAAATGTGCTGGTGCCCAATCTCAGTCATCTCAGCCATCGCACTCTATGGTGTGTGTTTAGTACATTGGGTCTCCGATAGCGGTGATGGAAGCAACACAAACACCATCCTTGCAGTATCCAGCAGGTGTGAGCCATCCCCAGAGTTCTAAGACATGTTAGTGCAGTTCTCGGAGAATGACATATCCGGCTGAACTTACCAACTTGTTGACCGTTGGTGAAGATGGCGCTGGCGGCTCCCGAAATGGTGGCTGAGCACGCGTGTGTGCCTGTAAGTTGGTCGCAAGTGATTGTGAACGGGGCAGTAGCCGTAAGAGGGATATCGGCAGAGCCGTAGCAGCGACCTTTATCGCACCATGCTGAGACACTGCTGCTCGCGGTGTACTTGTCGCCATCGACAAGTAGAGACTGAATGGATCCTGCAACCGTGATGGTGCACTTGAAGTCGGTGTTGCAAACTCCAGACACTGAAATCACACGTTAGCAACTTCCAGGATAGTGGTATGGGAGTGCGTTATCGAATAGACCTACAGAGACCGTAAACAGCGCCAAGAACGCCCGAGAGGGTCTTGTCAATGACGGCTGGCATAGCAGGCAAGTTGTCGAGAGTGAGAATGCCGGAGCCCTGAACTGGGGCAGAAAAGCTCGAAGGCATAGTCGGGTTTACATTAGTAGCGGTTGGCACTGCGGTGATGGTGGATGTCTTGGTAGCAGCGGCAGCGACAACGGCAACAGAAGACGATTTAGCTGCACCCAGGTTCACATCCAGAAGAGCGCTGGAAGTGCCAACACCGACGCTGACACCGCCGAGTTTGACTCCGAGGAGAGGGGAGGCAGTTGCAGAAACAACAAAGAGAGCGAGAGTAGTGAACTGCATTGTGAAATCGGAGGCTGTTAAGCGATTGATAGCACGAAGACACAGAAGAGTGTGATGGCTGAGATGACCGGAGATGAGAAGCTGATGGAAGAGCTGGAGATGAACGAAGCTGATGGCTCTAAAATGATAGGAATCCGTGGACCCTTTGTACTCATCAAAGGTGGCTCGTAGTGCGGTGTGTTGTCAAATCTCTTGTTGTTGAACCCCCTGCCGAGCTGCGTGTCCGACTCAGTGCTATCCCATCCGGTTCGCGCTCCGAAGCGCCTCGATTGCCAGAACTCTGCGCCTTGCACTCCACATCATGAGTTTCAGTTTTGCAAGGCTTCCAGGCCCTGTTACAGATTCGCGATCCCTAGGCAGTTACACTAAGATTGTTGCTGCCCAGCCGATAAGCGAGCAACTACGTCGGTGGAGACCGACAGGCACAAAGGGTACTGGTACCGGTACCGAAGACCAGCAACATCGCTTGTTTAAGGTTTCGCACTAGCTGGACGGAGAGCTTTCCGCACGTTGTGGAATCTATGCCCAGACCAATAAGAAGACATTACAGTTTGTGTCGACCAAGCCGAGGAAATTCTTGGGCTGATTCCAGAATTGATCGCTAAGACATGCCTTTTGGTTCCGTTTTGGGCCAGAACACACGTTTTCCAGAACGTTTTCCAGACTCCCTGGACCCTTTTTCGGTTACTTCCCCAAGCTTATTGGCCGGCAGACACCTCCGCTGTGTGTGTGCCAAGGCCCAACTAGCCACTCCTTATAGTGTAGCTGGTACTTACTATCGTAGTATACATCGTGGCTAACTTATCCAGTCCAAATCAGGTTTATGGCGATAGAACGCCACGAAGAATGTATTCAAATCATGACAATGTACCTGAAGTCCTGGATCGGTTCAAGACCCTAATGCAACAAATTCACCAGATGGCTTTCTATCACGCTGTGTGATATGCTAGCGGCATCGACCTCTCTCAACGAAAAGGGTGGAAATCACACGACTGCTGAGATCTGGACAACTTGCACAAAGCAGAAGCCGACGTGTCATGATAACATGTGGTAGGAAGAGGGTAGCAGTGCGCAGATTGAAGTCATGGTAGGTGGTGTGCATAGTGAAAAGATTGCTCGAAGAAAAAAACATGTTACTCAGGAATATTAGATACTATGTCTCTGTCGTTACTGAAATCAGCTCCTCCAGGCCATCAGTTCCGTCATCGCAAACACCAAAATGATCCGCCAAACTCATGCCAGGTACACCATCGCGGAAACATGCAGTGTTCTTCGTTGCATAATCTCTAAGCGAGGTCCAGTCCCTACATTGGTGCATCTGTCCGTTGCCAGCCATGCCATCACCGTGCCCATAGAGCGGAGTATTATCCGCATGACACATAATGTGTTGACGGAGGGCGTCAAAACAATGCAAGGCGTGATGCGTGGGAAAGGGAGGTACCTCTTGGCGGTGTAGGGCTACATACGAGGCGCGAACAATGCGCTACATTGTCATGGTCAGAAAGTTGTATAGATCGAAGTGAAAGTGTTGGAAGAAAGGAGTGTGACGTACGAGGCAGTGAAGCTGATGGTAGGCTTGGAGAAGATACATCCCTTTGCCAGGCATTCCAGGTATGTCCATAGAAGGAGGCCACTATTGCAACTGTTAACACCCACTCTTTGACCCACGCTGTCATCCTTTCCAAGAACCCGGCTCAGGGTAACTCACGTGATTTTCCGCTGCGAACTCATGGTCCACTGCGATATGTCCATGCGCAGTGTTGATGTTGTCCCACAGCGGATCAGCATCCGAAGCATTGGGCGCACCCCATGGCGTATTCCAGTGGAAGGGAACGAACGCGATGGGAAGGGAATCTACCCTAGCAAGTTCGCTGGGTTGTGGATCGAGGGCGTTGGGCAATGCAAGGCTGGTGGGGTTGGGTGTGGAAGAAACCTCCGGGGTGACCGTGGCGGCCACACCCGCAGTGCGCCATATGGCGATAGACAAGCCCAGTACACAGACATTGGCAACTGTAAGCAATACAAGTGCTATCGTCGGGTAGAGTCGTCTGTGCGTCGAGGGAGGAAGCGGGCCATGTTCCGAAGCCTGGTCACTTGACGCTACGAGCTTGTATCGAGCGAACATGGTGTTGACGAACGCGAGAGGTAACGATCGAGAAACATTGCAGCAACCTGCATGTCAAATAGTCACGATGGCCTGCAGCGCGGAGGATGCACGAGGCAAGTCCTAACGAAACGGCGTATAGTTAAGGTTTGCGGCCGTGCCCCCCAAGACAGTAGCGTGATAGGCCGCTACCGCGCGTGGAGCTGAGTCCGACTGCGGTCCGTTGCGATCGAAAATCATTTTGTCTCACGATCTAGGTGGGCCTGCGAATCAACGCTCTTCCCCAGCCTCGCATCAGGGGCCAAATCTAGACCGAGGTGCGGGAGATCTTCCGCTCGTGGTTGATGGACGTTTTCCAGGTCGTTGGGCCTCTGTACGTCACTTTGCCTGTCAACGGGCAGCCTCACGCACGCCCAACAACCTGGAATCAACTAGGTCCCCTGACCAGAGCTGGGAGGGTGTGTACCAGAGTACCTAGACTTACATATGCATTTTTGTGACAAGGAGTTGACTCCGCTCATCACACCTGAGAATGCCATATGGTACATAATCCAGGGCGAATACCACCGGTTATTATCACTCCACTCACTTCAGTCACATCATTCTATCAAGTACCCAGTCTCTTTGGCTGCATCATCGGCAAAATGGGTTACGAATACATCAACGTTACTTCGTGCTTGGTCACTGGTATCGTCCTCACAGCCGCGACTGTCATTGCAGTCGCCCTTCGAGTGAGTGTAGCAGCAGAGAAGGCCGTCAAATCCAGAGATAGGCGATTCAACAAGCATCTCGACGACTTCTTCTGTCTCCTTGCTCTTCTCCCAACCATTGGTGTCTCTACCGTTATGATCTATGGTAAGACACAACCCGACCAACACCAAGCTTATCTTTTGGCTAACGATCGTTGTAGGTGCAGCCAAGGGAATCATTGGCGGACACAACGGCCCGGATAATATCGAGGGTTGGATCTACAGCACCACACCAGAACTGGTAATTCTCGAAAAAGTGGGCCCACCTGTTCCTCCATGGCATATTCATCCAACTAACGCTTTGCCAGTGTGTGTACATGATTTTTATCATGCAGCCGCTCGCTATTGGTCTCACGAAACTCGCTTTCTTGTTCCTCTACCGTCGCATCTTCACATGGCCTGGCTTCCAGTGGACTTCTCTGGTCTTTATCGTCCTCACTGTCGCTTTCACAATTGCCTTCTTCTTCGGCTTCATCTTCGACTGCCGTCTGAACTTTGCCGCCAATTGGGGCTCTCTGGCAAGCATCGCCGAGAATTGTCCTTTTGGTTTCGAGGCAACAATCGCGTTTACGGTTCTCGATGCCGTTTTTGATCTGTGCATCTTGCTTCTGCCCCTTCCTTGGATCTGGCGTCTGCAAATGCCCACTGTTCGCAAGATCCAGTTGTGCGGTATCTTCCTACTCGGAGGATTTGCTGTCGCTTCTGCCATCGTTCGCATGGTCATCTGTATCAAGCAGAACACACCCTCTGCTGCACTTGATCAGCAGTTCATCATGGGCATGCCCACTTACGATATCACTGGCATCACCTCGCACGGTCTCTTCTGGACTGTCGTTGAGACCAATGTCGCCCTCATTGCCTGCTGCCTTCCCAAGCTACGACCCGTGCTCAGCATGGCCGGCCTGGGAAGTCTCATGGTTTCCATGGGCTCTCTCCTTCAGAGAATGGGCTCCAGCATGGGTACTCAGAACTCTAACAGTGCCAGCAACGGCAGTGGCCAGTTCAGCAAGATCTCAGCTGCTACTGTCGTCACAGTTGGCAGCAAACCCCGCAGCCAGTTGGGCCATTACCGCTCGCAGGAGAAGGACCGCACTGGTAGCGATATCAGCCTCGTCGAGATGGGCAACAAAGTCGAAGCAGCGGCTGTGGTAGAGAAGCAGGTGTCGCCTGACCCTTACGACACATACGAGGTCGATCTTGAGGACAGGAAGTACCTGGGTAGGAATTCACCAAGCAGGTTTTCCCAGTGAACTTGCGCTATAGCGATACGACGATACCTCTCTGGGGGACACGACCTCGAATATACCCACCTAATGATTTTTCAAGCGTAGCGAAGCGAAGTGTAGCGTTTAGTTTTAGTTTTAATCAAATCCAAATTTTACCATGAGTTTCTTCGCCTGATGCTTGATGTGCTCTTGGCTCCCAATATCACCAATGCTCACACTCAACTATGTCTGCCTGCGTGTCTCAAAACCACTTCTTTCAGCCGACCGGCTCCAGTCAGAGACGCCATCAGTTAATCTTTCTGCTCTACATCCCACGGAAAATGTAGCCGAGGTGATTTGCCATTGACTGCTTACTGACATATTCAGTCAAGTGGCGCTACTAACAGATCTGATGGCTCGTGGCTACCTAGTCGTTAGTACGCATTAGGGTCTTGAGAGGCGGAAAGGCACCGTATGGTCGACATGCAATACGCCGAGTCAGCCGACCAATCTTCACCTCCAGATTGTAATGGCCATACACTGCAAGAACACTTGATAGAGATGTGAGATAGATGGCGAGACATAGCAACGTGGATTGATTGCAGGCATCTGCTATTTCCCGATATTTCCGTTCAATGCATCTGATACTCATCCAAAGCCATGCCTTTTGCAATCTTCTTGACCAGCGCTTTTTTCAAGAATTGCTCACGAGCGAGACTTCTGGTTTGCTGTAGTCATGTCAGCTACATCTTCTTTGCGAAAATTTCGCCATGGATACACTTACCTTGACAAATACATCAGTACTAACGCGCCCCTTGTCCAAAGCGCGACCTAGAACGAATAGGGCATCTGCAATACCCTTTTCTTCTGCGGCAAGCATGTAAAGTTGCCCTCCGACTATCGTAGGCGCTACTAGCACGTCGTCAACATCTGGTGCCTTTCTTCTTCGTGCATCCTCCATGACTCGGTCCGCTTCTACCATGGCGCCTTTCAGCACTTGTTCGTTGTTCGCAAGCGCCGCGTCAAGCTGCTGGAGCTCGCCAAGTTCTGATTGTAGTCGAGAGTAGGCAGCCTGGAGAGCAGCTTGTTGCGCGCGAAGTGGCGCTACCGCAGCCATGTTGGAAGAGACTGTCTGTCGAATCTGCGAAACCAGTGTTTGACTCAAAGCCCGGAGAAGCGCATCTTTTTCAGGGTTTGGAGGAACAGGTGGTACCGGTAAGGGAATCTGGTTGCCAGACTGTGATGGCAAGGTAACTTCGAGCGAGTCATCGAGAAGGTCGATTGGGGGCTTAGGGGCTGGTGGCGCCTGCTGAGGTTGTTGTTGATACTGCTGAAACTGATGATGCTGTTGTGGCGGGTAACCCTGCGGCGGCGGCTGATATTGTTGTGGCGGTTGGGATTGTCTGTACTGCTGTTGAGATTGCGGGGGTGCTTGGTACTGTTGCGCTTGCTGGAAATTGGGAGGTTGTGGAGGCCCTGATCTCGAGAACTGGGCAGCTGTTGGCTGGCCATTAGGTGCCATGGGGCTCATAGGACTGCTACTTTGTACTGATTGCGGAGGGAAGCCATGCGCATGGGTTTGAGGATGCTGAGGCCCTGAGCCTTGATTGTAACCACCCTGTCGACTCGGCGCATATTGCTGGCTCGAAGGCTGCTGTTGCCATTGTTGCGGCGCATCATATCTGCTGTTCTGGTTCTGCTGGTATGGCTGCTGCGACTGTGGATGTTGCGGAGGGTGGGGTGGTAGAGGAGGGGGTTGCGAGTACCGACCCTGTGGCGTCTGAGGTGTGGAGCGGCCCTGTTCATGAGGTTTCGGTGGCTTTGGAGGAGGCGCTGGAGCTTGATTCGGTGGAACAGGGGACGAGGATGCGCCTGGCATGCCTTGTACTGAGCGACGCCATTCAGCTGGCGGAGGGGGTACTGGAGGCGGTGCTTGTTGCGCAGGCGCATTGTACTGAGGCTGCTGTTGCCTCGATCGCACGGGCGGCTCTTTCGCGAAGACGCCTCTTAGCACGGCCAGGAAGTCGAAGAGCGTAGACTTCTGTGCGATTATCAGCTGTCGTGCCCGCAGGTGGAGCGTTCGGCCCATCGGCTCTCACAGCTCATGCAGTACTCACATCCCAGTATTTTGCCCATTGTGCCAGGTACGGGTGGTAGATTCTACCGTCGGTGCTCACATGTTGTCCAGGTCGCAAGACCATGTCCTGCGCGGGCGTGACGTATACGATGGGTGGTTCTCGAGGGTATGAGTGAGGCACCCATATCGCTACCGGAAAGCCGTATGTTGCGCCGCGAAACGTGACGGGCAGCGTGCCGCTGAGAAGCAGTAGGAGCGCTGAAGACCCATTCTCGTATGTGTATGGCTCTGTCTTGGGCGCAAGCGACGGGTCTGGACGTTGGTGTCAAGTCAGTCTGCATGTCGCGAAGTTGCAACACATGTGACATACAGTTGGACAGTGCCTCGGCCGCGTCGTGATATGTACGATTTACGTCTGAGTATTCCTGACTGTCATTAGGCCATGTACAATGTAGCTTCACCGACTAACCTACATTAATGAGTACGCTGTACAGCCAGTTGAGTACTTTGTCGCTGGCCATGTTGTAACTGATCGATGATGGCATACTGGTTAGATGATGGCCATAGAGCACGGTCCATGCCTCTCCCAACATGAACCCCTCAACACCTTGGCAATCCTTCAGTGAAATGTGCCTCCATTTGTTACAAAGTCCCAAGGTTGTACGCCATATGCCTTTGCACTCCGTACATCACTCAAGTGTGTGGACCATGTCAGGTATGTGAATAAACTCAAATGTTTCGCAAATCGTTATATATGCTCAATACAATTTACATGTAGAGCTATTGCGTATGTTACAAAGCTATGTAATCGTGTTTCTCGTAACCGCTTCAGCGAGCGTGGGCAGAATATGTGCCAAAGAATGTACGTCATTATACTATACAAGATCCTCCAGGGTATCAAACAACTACTACGCTCAATGTTGACTCCACTCAATCGTGTTGAGGTCAACACCCTCCTGCACAAGTTCCCATAACGGACTCAGCTCGCGGAGGAATGTGACTCGCTCCTGGACCGCCTTCAACACGTAGTCAATCTCAGAGTCTGTAGTGAAGCGTCCGATACCGAAGCGGATACTGCTATGCGCACTCTCATCGCTACTGCCAAGCGCTCGGAGCACGTAGCTAGGCTCAAGCGACGCCGAAGTACAGGCGCTACCCGAAGAGAGGGCGATGTCTTTCAGTGCCATGAGGAGCGATTCACCCTCAACGTAGGCGAAAGAAACGTTAACACACCCGGGGTAATGTCGCTCCCTGTCACCGTTAAGTGTGGTGTGCTCGAGTGATAGCAGGCCTTCGAGGAGACGGTTCGACAGCGCCGAAATGCGCTTGGTGTCGTACTAGTTGTGGTCAGCAAGGCCCAGACTGGTGAATGATGTGACCAAAATAATGCGTAACAAAGAACTCATAACCCCTGCACATTTGTCAACATGGCGCGTCGACGGCCGAAGCCGCCTAACACTCTGAAAGCCATGCATGTCGGAAGCAAATAATCATAGTGTTCATGAAAGTGAAAAAAGAGTGTACGTACCTCCATCTCTTCGTTGCAAATCCGTGCGGCTTCGCCCATGCCGATGACAAGAGGAGGTGCGATTGTTCCACTTCGCAGTCCTCGCTCTTGACCACCGCCACTGATGATGGGGTCGAGCCTGACCCTAGGCCTTCTTCGTACATAGCACGCGCCAATGCCTTTGGGTCCGTAGATCTTGTGGCCTGATATCGACATCAAGTCGACATTCATCTTGTTGACGTCAAGGGGGATCTTGCCGACAGCTTGCGCCGCATCGGTGTGGAAGAAGACCTTCTTCGATCGGCAGAGCTTTCCAATCTCCTCGACAGGTTGTACAACACCAATCTCGTTGTTGACGGTCATGATGCTGACAATGGCGGTATCGGGACGGATCGCGGCCTCGAGCTGGGCCATGTCGATGAGACCGTTGTTTCCTACTGGCAGGTAAGTAACGGAGAAGCCTTCATCTTGCAAATGTCTACAGCTGTCAAGCACACACTTGTGCTCTGTCTGTGCTGTGATGATGTGCTTCTTCTTGCCGCTTCGCCCAAAAAAGCGAGCAACACCCTTGATACTCATGTTGTTACTCTCAGTAGCCCCGCTGGTGAAAATGATCTCCTTTGGGTCTGCGCCGATGAGGTTGGCAATGTTGGCGCGGGCGTCCTCTACGGCTTTGTCGGTCTCCCACCCATACGCGTGGGTTCGCGAATGGGGGTTACCGTACATGCCGGTCATGTAGGGCATCATCTTGTCTACTACGCGCGGGTCCATGGGGGTTGTGGCTTGCATGTCTAGGTAGATGGGCCGTGAGCCCTGATCCATGACGGTTGCCTGCTTGAGAATGCCTGGATTTGGTCAGCTTCGCGGAAAGCGGGGTGGCGTGGACATTGGAGCTCACCAGCAGAAGGACTCATCATGGCATCAGCGCCCATGCCTGTTGTTGGCATGGTTGCATCCTCTGCTCTTTCTCCCGTCTCCTTGAGGAAACTGCGCTGCTCCTTCTTGATGGCGGACTCAAGAGGAGAGGCGTTTGAGACGGTAGCCTGTGCCGGCTTGGACTCTGAGACATAGTGCCGGCGGATGCTAGAAACACGAGAAAACGCAGACGAAGGGTATCGACGAGAGGCAATGCGCAGGGCCTGCCTCGCGACGGTGGGTGCAATAGTAGACATGATGGAAAGGTAGTGGGAAAATTAAGAACGCAAATTGCCTCCCGAGGTATTAGAAGCTATGAAGTTTTAGCGCCTAGATCTGCTGCTTAGCTAAGCCCACCATCGCTCACCATCACCCACCACCTCCACTCGTCATCGTTCATTGTCTGCATCCAGAAAGAGATAGTCATTCACGTGTCAGCGCATTGTTTGCAGCGTTTAGTTTTGCCCTGCCGTTTCTTTCCCTGCAGCCAACTGTTCACTCTTGGCGTGAGATAATCGTACTCGCTTTCGTACTTGCTCGGCGCTCCGTGACATCCGGCAGATTCTAGGGAGTGCTGCATAGCCACACGCGACGTCATCGTCGAGGTTTAGCAGCCACGCCGGCGCCCGCATCGTTCGGTCGCTTCCTGCTGGTCTACAACTACAGTCCCCACGGCCTCTCCTAATCCCTACTGTGTATCAATCTCGAGCAGACTTACGGAATATACCCCCACCATGAGTTGGAAAGGCCTAACAAAGACCGTCACCCGGGTACGACAGGCAACCTCACATGCCATTTGGGCATCAACACCCGCTAACATCTCGGATTAGGCGCCGCAAACCTTCAAGCAAAGGTTCAACCTCGTATGTATCCTGCAAGCGTTTCTAGAGGATTCCCCGTCTACGCGCCTGCTTCCGAGCGAGATTGAGCATCGCTAAAGCGCGTACACAGGGCGAAATCACAAAGGACCCCATCTACATCGATGCAGAACGCCGCTTCCAAGAGCTGGAGAAGGAGACGAAAAAGCTCCACGAGGAGTCTAAGAAGTATGCGCATTTGCGACACCGCTGTACTCGATGTCTTGACTAACATGCGACAGGTATTTTGAAGCCATAAATGGTGCGTAGACTAGATGTAACCCTTTCGTCGTTCGACCTAACCCACCTTCCAGGCATGCTCTCACATCAGATGGAGTTCTCCAAGGCCATCGCCGAAATCTATAAGCCCATTTCCGGCCGAATGTCAGATCCCGATTCATTCCACGACGAAGGCAACACGGCAGGCATAGAAGCATGCGAAGAATACGAGTCGGTCGTTAAGGAACTACAAGAGACTCTTAAGCCCGAGCTTGAGATGATAGAGTCCCGAGTCATTCGTCCGGCGGACGAGCTGCTAGTCATTATCAAGGCCGTACGAAAGATCGCCGCCAAGCGCGATCACAAGCAACTCGATTACGACAGGCATCGCGCTACGTACAAGAAGCTCGAGGAGAAGAAAGACAAGACACTCAAGGACGAGAAGGCCATGTACAAAGCTGAGAACGACGTAGAACTCGCGACGCAGGACTACAACTACTTCAACGATTTGCTAAAAGACGAGCTACCGAAGCTGTTCGCACTGGAGAGAGAGTTCATCAAGCCTCTGTTCCAGTCGTTCTACTATATGCAGCTGAACGTTTTCTACACGTTACACGAGCGCATGCAACGGCTTGATATCGGCTACTTCGACCTTACACTAGATATTGAGGCCGCCTACCAGAAGAAGCGCGGCGACACACAGGAGGAAGCAGAGAAGATTTCTATCGTCAAGTTCAAGACTACAGGTGGCGCTCGTGTCGCTGGTGCACGACCGGGGCAGTCAAAGTACGCAACGAAAGCACTTGAAGCCAAGGCAGGCCGAAGCTCGATATCGGAAGACACAGAAACACCCCCACCACCTTACTCTGCTGGGCCTTCTGCAGCTGCTGTTGGAGATGTTAAGTCGCCAACTCTGTCGACAGGATCATGGGGTTCTGCTGCCAAAGCCAAAGGCGCTCCTCCGCCACCCAAGCCTAAGCCTTCGCGCCTCAGCGGCGTACCCGCGACAGAAACTGTTACAGCTCTCTACGACTACGAGGCACAAGCGGAAGGCGATCTTAGTTTCTTGACTGGCGACGTAATAGAAATCGTCTCAAGGACGCAAAACGACAATGAATGGTGGATTGGAAAGGTACGGGGGAAGCAGGGACAATTCCCAGGTATGTATTCACACCTCTTTGAAAGAGAGTTTACCCTAACCGTTCTACAGGCAACTACGTCAAACTGAACCAATAGTCGAGGCTCAGCCCGCTGTCTCCTACCTTTCGCTTGCGAGGTCATACATGTTGAAGCATGGTGATACCATTGTTGCGTTTACAGCATCTTCTGGGGTTTTACGTTAGAGTTTTGTGCTATGCTGATTTGAGCGATCGGCGGTTTAGCACATTGGCTTGCATTGATCAATCTAATCTTCAATCCTATTCTCGGTACCATCTTCTTCAAGCCACCAATCCACTTGGTTCATACATTCGCGCTTTGTGTTCGTATCTCTGGCATGCAATGTATAAGATGATTAGCGTACTCGGTGCGGGGCCTGCTCCGCCGCACCCCGCATGACGTTGATCGGAGATATGGAACTCTAGAAACCTTGCAATCATCCGAACGTGCTCAGGAGTGTCGAGACGTCACTAATACTACTAATCAATTCCATCTTTTTGACCACGTCTCCAATGCATTGGTAGAAACATCATCCATTTTATATATAATACATCCACGATGCCTTACGAATCGGCGATAACCTTTACACTCGATACGATATGTCCCTGGTATGTTCACTTCTCTTCATGACTGATGAATCCTAACTGTAGTGTGGGACATATCTTGGCTTCATCCGCCTCACCAAAGCACTTGAAGCATACCGCGCAACGAAACCCGACTCATCAGCAACTTTCACCCTCAAACTAGCTCCGTACCAACTCTACCCTGACGCCACCCAAGAAGGCGTCGACAAGTATGAATGGTACAAGAACGAAAAATACCAAGGCAGTGAAGAGCGGATGAAAATGTACATGGCCGCCATGGAGGATCTAGGTAAAGCTGAGAACATCAAGTTTGACTTTGGAGGTGGCATGCTAGCGAATACTCTGCATGCCCATCGTGTGTTGCAGTATTTGCAGAACAACAAAGAGCAGGGACTTCAGCTAGAGGTTTTGAAATCGCTGTACAAACAATACTTTGAGCAGCGCGCTCATCCGAGCAGTACTGAGACACTGAAGAAGGCGTGTGTAGCAGCTGGGATCAGTCAAGATGAAGCGGAGAAGTTGGTGGAAGACGGTGATGAAGAGTTGAGGGAGACAAAGGCAGCGATTCAGGAGCAGGCTGGCAATGGTGTGGATAGTGTGCCGTATGTTATATTCGAGGGGAGGAAGAGGGATTTCACGCTGATTGGGGCGAAGAGTGTGGCGGAGTATGAAAAGGTGTTAGGGCAGGTTGCTAAGGAGTGTGCGTAAAAGGAATGACGCCTTCGATCGCTTGTGGATAGACTCTACAAATATGCTGTTCTTCCATCTGCGCATGCATTTCTTCTAGGCGTACGTATCCTTTCGAACTTCCCCTCACCAATCTACTCAAGCACAACCTCCAATCTTAGTAGCTCAGGGCCTCAACGGCCTCTTCTAACCTATTCATCAGGATGACTGCCTGTTATATATAAAAAGATAGACCTGACGAGTGATAAAACTCAATCCATCTCCTTACAATGCGGACCATCAAGGAACCAAACCTAGTTTCAAGAAGGAACTCGATACACTTCTCGATACATTTCTTTACCGCACCTATACACTTCTTTACCACGCCTATGCACTTTCTCGCCGCGCGAACTAATGGAGGTTCGAACTCGTATAGAAAGAGAGAAAGCGTGATGACCAAAGAGAAGATTTGGTCCATTTCTCTGATGCTTTGTGACGCACATGGAACGAAACAACATCTTGTCCTTGAGCACAAATCTCCATTGAGGAGCGAATTTCCGGGGTTACGGAAGTGTAACCGCGGTTCAATCCAACAGCGAAGTGCCCAATTGAGAATTGCACCGAAGACGCAAATTCTGGTTAAACGTGGAACGTGTTCGACATTGTTGTACTTCCACGACCAAAGGATATTGACCCAACTGCGGATTAGCGTCGTGAGGCCTGGCAAAAGACTTCCCGGTAGCACGATGAATCCGAGTCGATGACAGCTGATCGAAATACTTGCGTACCAGATTGCTCCTATCGGAAGCACTAATCCGACAGATACTATGAAACGGCGTCGCTTGATAGGTTCCTTGGGATCGAAATTTCGTTGTCGCTCTTTGTAGAAGCACGCAATGATCTGCATCGTGGCCATTTGGATACCCACATGTACTACCGCAATAGCAGCTGCCAGCATTTGTCGCGTAGCTTCGTCCACTTCAAGTGGAGTCTTTTCCAAGTCTATCTTATAACTTGGAACACCAGGGTTGAGTCGATCCACAGAGATTTCCCCCTCATCTTTAGCCAAATTCAGCTGGCGTATAAGGTTGACCGCAGCAAAATTCGTATATAACGCATTTCCGATAAAGTGCATGTTATGCGTGTAGTTATTTTGGACGGTGTTCATCCATGAGATCGCTAGAGTAATGATCCAGGCAGCCCATGGGCCAGGGCCATAGAAACCGCTGATCTGGGGATTGTTGGAAGATGGCAGAGACATTTCGACGGCATGGGCTGGAGCGTCCGTTATGCTGTCCGAAATAAAGCGAGGAACTGGTATCGCTTTCGAATTTTGATAGGCTTCACTATCGTGGCGGTCTCGTTCCTATCCAGAGAGTGATTCGTCGTGAAGTAACGGTACCTAGGTAGCAAGCTCGGTCGAATGCGGTAGGTGGCACCATGTAGAGGCTAACAGACTCCAACATGCGTCGAAATACCAAGATGTATACAGAAGATCGTGCCAAACTTTTACCAAGATTCGCGTGCGCGGTAATGTGGAATACAAGAAAGGGTTTCTTGTGTCCTTCAGCGGAGGTTCAGCCTCGTCGCAAAGCATGTGGCTTTGGCTCAGCCTCACCCGCTAGAATCGTGGGGGCTGTGTAATCTCGACCGTTATCGGAACGCCGTCATCGAAACCTATTACAAGAAAGGAAAGCCTCTTTGAGATTGCGCATGAGTTCAATGTGTCATCTGAATGTTGACATCAAAGTGCGCATGACCTGGAAGGGGTGGAATCGAGCACCGCAAGGGGAGGAGAGTACCACCAATTCTGAGATTTTAGTAGCTACTGCGTAACCATGTCGAATTACCTAGGTATCTTTCAAAACCTATGTAAACCGAACTCTGTCGGCATTCAACAGATTGGAGCCCTGATTCAACTGCTACACCTCGTCTCTTGCAGCCCTAGCTAAGGGGGACGTAGTATCGTTCTCGATCACATCTTCATCTACGTCGCGGGATAAGGTGAAGGCTCTCTCCTTGTCTACAATGAGGCTTGCTACAGAACAGGCTTGTGTCCTACCTTTCAAGCTGCGAACTCACCCAATCCTGAGTTCGTACACCGAATCAGAAATGTACGTAAGGTTCTAAGCTCAGTGGTTCTCGATTTCATGCTGCTGCATGCCTTTCACGATTTTCGATTGACCTTTACTGAGAGATCTGATCATGCAACCCAGGGCGATAACAGTAGATCGTACTTGTATATACTCAAACTACCACGCTGCGGGCAGCCACATTCTGTATACTGCCTGGATACCCTTCTTCACGGCGTGGATCATTCCAGACCCAAATTCGTAGATGAAGAGAAAAAGCGCGACAAGCAAGGAAAAAGCCTGATCCCATTCTCCTATCCCTTGTGGTGCGCATGGAACAAAGTAGCATCGCCCAGCGGGCGGCGTGCCTGTAAAAATAGCTCTTTCATACTCTATTCCGTCAATCAAACGTGTGTATACCACGTACCTTCTGCTTGTGAGAGTAATTCCACTCCGACGTGTATGCTCCATCATCAGCGTCGCCATAGCAACACATATCAGTATGAAAACAACCAATCCCAGCCCGAAACTGCGATAGATAACGAAACGAGGCCACAAAATTTCGCATACAGTGGAAACCACACAGCCACCCAACATGATAGCATAAGGAACAACCACTCTATCAATGCCAGAATCAAACACATACATACCATGCCTAGCAGTACCCAATGCGCTAAAGCATATCATACAAAAGGGAAGTACTGCTCCAAAACCCAAACACAGGCGTCGTAGTGCGCTAGGATGCTTTCCGAGGCTACTATCATGCCTTACAATCCAGAAATAGACCAACAACTGCCCGAATGCTTGGAATATTCCCACATTCAGTACCGCGACTGAAGCGACGATATTCTCCAATCGTACCTGTTCTACTACTGAAAGATCGTCATTGTCTCCTAGGACGCGATTGAATTGGCTCATGAGATCGATCGCAGCCCAGTTCGTGTAAATTGCATACCCGATGAAGTGGAGGTTGTGTGTGTAATCGCCTTGGACAACGGGTATCCACGATGCTACCATTGTGATGACCCACGCAGCCCAAGCACCAGGGCCATAAAAACCGCTGATCTGTGAGAAATCGGGTAGCGCTTGCTCGGGTGGCACCAGCTTCATTTTATCGAAGATGACTGGCATGGTGAAACAGGGTTTGGTTCGAGGACGAGAGAAAAAGATCAGCCCTTGCAGGGCTTAAGTAGAATGCGGTATTGTTTGGATTGCTTATGATGGAATTGGGTTACAACCGATAATGAGAGGTGTGCAGCTCATCAGTTATAAGGCGCCCAATGCATGGAGATTAATGGTATCACAACTGATACTCTGTCTGATGTGGCTTCGTTGTATATGTTGTGTAGTAGGAGGCTTTGCCAAACGTATTTCGGTGAATTTCGATGTGTCGAAAGCAGGGTCGACCAATAAATTGTTCCAGACGGTTGATTCGTTGATTATAGTTCCCAACAGGCGCTGTTTAAATTGTCGCTTCGTCGGACGAGATGAGTTGGAAGAAGCGTCGTAAGATTGGTCGAATATGGATGCGCAACGCAAGGTAATTTCAAAGCCACTGAAGGCGAAACGACTCGAGTCGGAAGGTTAAACAACTGACAGGTGTGCGAAAAGCTGATCGTCTAATGTTCAGCTCGATGGTGACATTGACGTGGGTGGCTGAGCACAAGCCACACCTGCCAGACGTGGAGGCTGTGCAACCTTGGAAATTCTGCAGGTGACAACCCGCGACGACTAAAGCGACAGCTATGATGGTAATTCTCGGACATGAAGCGTAGGCTTATTTGTTCGTCGCTGGCAGCTAGTATTAAAAGGTTTCATTCATCATCTACAACCACTCCAAGGAAGGACAAACCGCAAAACAGCGTATACCTAACTTCAAGCCCTATTGCCATCCGGTGAACCGTCATCACTTTCATTCCCATCCTGTTTCGCCCTACCCCCTCTCCTCTTCATCCTAAACCACCCACCAACGCCTCCCTCCCCCCTCCTCTCCGCCCCCAGCTCACCATCCCTCTCTTCCATTCCCACAACAACCAATTGCTCCCCCTTCCTCTTGACAATCCAGTCAACCCGCATATCCCTCTTCTGCGGCCCTTCCTGCGGCAATCCTCTGAAAAGACCGTCCTGGGGTGGAGAATGGTAGCCTAGGATGAACAAGACGAGGGGTTCGCAGAGGTCTGTGATGAGGCGGATGCGCAAGAGGACTGAAAAGTAGATAAAGATGAAGATATTGATGAGGAGAGTTAGAGCGAGGACTACCAACAGAGCCTGGGTAGTGGTGTTAGCATAGGTGTTCAAAATTATGGGTGGAGGGGAACGTACCTTCTGATAGTCCTTTTCACCACCGGACATGTACTGTGCTACTCTTACAGAAGCATTGAAGTTTTGCATTTGCGGCTGATCGAACTTTCCATCTGTAGTGAAAGGGAAATCTTGCGTCAGATCCAAAACCGTACACGTCGTCATACTAAGTAGCGCCTCCGCGGGACTCGGCAGCGTCTTGTTCAGTTTGGGTTCGGTAAGCTGTAGTTGCGTGAATATACGTGCTGTTGACGCATCACCGTCAAAGACGCCATTGTTCAGACTCAGAGAGTTGAGGAGGTTGAAGCCTAGTTCGCGCCAGCCGACTAGAGCAGCTTTATCGCCGTTGGAACGGAGAGGCTGGATAGAGGCGTTTTCGCTGATGTTTCCGTTTGGGCCGTCACAGACAGCTTCGAGGCTTTGACCGCCGGAGGAGGCGTTGTAGCGTGTAGTGCAGGAAGTCGTGATGCCGGCTTTCATGGAGCAGAGAAAGTAGTCCTCGGTGGTATTGTCGGGGGCTTTGCCGAGAAGGTAAACCTCTGGTCTGTCACCCTCTTCGTATGGAACTTGGGTGTGGTTCGCGATTGTGTTTCCTGCCTTGGGATATTTGAGAAATATTGGTCTTGCCCGAGAATGATCTTCCGTCTCGTCTTTCCAACCAAAAATGTCATCAAGCACCGTTTTGTTGTTTGTGTTAGTTCCCTCTGGAAATCCCAAGATAGGCCACCAGTTCACCGACTTGGAGCCTTCTTCCATAGGGATCGCATTGGGCCAGTTCTTGTATATAATTGGAGCCAGCTCTTCCTCTTTCGCATTGACACATAAGGCATTGATCGCAAAGCTTGCGACTGATGCGTGAACGGAGTATGAGCCGCCATCGTGGAGATCCTAGGATTGTCAGCAGGGTGATGATCTGGAACGCAGGATTTACCTACTTCCGGTTGTAACAAATCATTCTGGGTGTTGCGAGCTGCAGCTGGGATGCCTCGATGAGGCACAGCTATAGTGATATTGTTGACTGCAACTGATTAGCAACGTCAAGGTGAGAGGAGGAATGGCTATGTACTTATTCTCCCCGCCTTCTCGGATTCAGTAGCGACGTCATGATGGTCCAGCCATGCAGTAGTAACAGTAACGTTATTATCTAGCGACGCGCTAATCCGCTTGCGTTGCAGAAGGTCCTCAGACATCCAGGGAGGGTTCGAGGCCGCCGCTGAGTCGTCCCAGGCTGACATGTATTTGACAAAGTTTCGACCACAGAGCGATGACCATTTCATGGCAAGACACGTGCTACCGCCCCATTGATCATCGCCCACGTCAGGCCAGGCGGTCAGGCAAGTCTTATCGGCCTTTAAGGTACTGGAGAAGTCACCATCTACCTGACCAACCATCATCTGCTTTTCCCATGGTGGAAGGCGTAGTTGTGGTTGCACTGTGGGTATATTAGCGGCTTATACTGATAACTCCCAGGTGGCCGACATACCAAGTGCACCAGCTGCCGTGGTATATAGTAAGGAAAGCACGGCAGTGATCAGAGAGAGTACTCCCAGGAAGCTGAAGCCAGCAATCCTAACGCTATGCCATTCACTAAATAGTCTCCCTGGCTGGCTTTGAATACGGTTAGCCAACATGAGCGCGACACCCGAGCCGTTGTCGACTTACAGAATCCAAGACCGCATCTCCACGCTGGCCAAATTAAGGCCCTTTTGCTGAATAGCTCTTCTCGACAGGACCTGCCCTATGAACGCCAAGAAGACCATTACAAACGACAACTCGACGGTCTTGGCGATGAAGGCCGTCAATAGCGCCGCCGAGGAAGGGCTAAAGCGCCCGCGCGCCGATACGACATGACCGTATTTAGGTTGGACTAAGGCGACGATGAAAAACAGGGCTGAACATAGAGTTGAATACAACGACGTCATCAAAAGACTGACTGAATATCCATTTCGTCGTGGCTCGAGTAGGCCCTGCGTGTATAAAAGTGGTAACATGCTCCTCGAACTATCTAACCAAATTAAGCATCTCAACCAAGTACGGTTGGGTGTTGGACTTACTTTTGGATTCAGCAGTAAAGCTTGTCATGCTCCGTCCATCTTGAGACGGTCTTAGAAAGGGGTTCTCGGGCTGTTCATTTCGCGGGCTTGGTTGTGGACTCGTCATGGTGTTGAGTTGATGGTCTTGGGAGCGACCATCAGGTAGACCCGCTATAAAACAAATTAAAGGAAATCGAAGATAAGCGAAGGATGCTACGCCTTAGAAGATGCAGCGCAGGTCGTAAGGGCTGTGCGGTGAGATCAGGCAAGCTGTGATTATTTTAGTGGTTTCAAAGCGGCCGAGCGGCGGTGCTATGAGCCCCACGTCAGCGCCGTTGATCTCATTCTAGCAGATCACACAATCGGACATTCCGGAAAATGAAGAATATAATGTAAATCGCCTAAATGCCATTATTTTTGATCTAACATATGCTTGAACTTTTCGATCTGTCTCAATGTCAGCATTTGTCGCGATTGCATATGTTACGAAATGACGTGAGCTTACCTTGGTACTAAGATACTTCTCTACTTCTTCGCTCTTGATTCCCTTCATGCCGCCTGTTTTCCAGGCGAGCGGAACCATAGCTACGCGCTCTCTTACTACGACTTCTCTATTCGGGCCCTCGACCGCATGGACTTTATCTGGGTTGTTGGTCAAAAGTCTTATGCCTTTGTCTCCATCTAAGCCCAAGTCCATCAGCATAGCCGTAGCTAGACCGTAGCTGCGCGCGTCTGCGGGATGCCTTAACATAATATTTGCTTCGTATGTATCGTTGCCTAGATCTTGCAGGTTGTATGCCTTGAGCTTCTCGCCTAGACCAATTCCGCGGCCCTCTTGGCGAAGGTAGATAATAGCGCCGCCGGAAGGTGAGAGAGTGGGATCGGCCATCAGCCGCGCGGCTTCGTCCAGTTGCTCGCCGCAGTCGCAGCGCGCAGACCATACAGTCTCACCAGTATAGCATTCGGAGTGTATACGGACGAGAGGTAATTCTAGTGAGGAGGTTGGCAGGACGTCTCCATTCTCTGAGGATGATGCGGACGCTGGCGACAACAGCCCATTGCTCTTGTTGGCATGATCCGAGTCAGACTCTGGCTTGCGCTTTGTAGGGACGCCTTCCGCCCTCTTGAGCTGCTCAACTCGCGAGCTGATTCGCCCTGGGTACAAGCGTCCTACATATGCGCCTCTTGTCATACGGTCCAATTCCGTCTCGCCAGGCCGCTCTGCATCTAGTGATCTAGAGCGTATTTGGTTTCCAAAAACAATTGCAAGATGCTCCTTGGTGTCAACGCTGTTCCTGTACACGTGCAACCACATCTCGTGCCCGGTAGTTGTGGGTATCCGCGCGCGTACTTCGCACTCCACTTTGGGCAGCTGCGGCAGTAGATCCGGTCGCGGCGTGTCGGTGCGCACTGAGGTATCGACTGGTATGGAGCGGGGCGGTCGGGGTTGCGAGGGTGTCGCGCCCCCCGGTGTCGCTGGGGGCGTAAAGGCAGGCGATATTATTGAGGGCGGCGGGTTGTGGTGGGCATCATCGTCGTTCGCGACACGCTCCGGTGTCTCTGGCTTTAGCTGTGACGTCTGGAAGTCGAATCCCTCTCGCCCGGCGCTCGAAAGGTGTGGAGAGAAATGTGGTGGGAAAGCTGTCATGATGGAGTGGTAGATTGTACGGGGCAGCAAGCGAAAACGGAGGGTAGAAATTCTAGTAAGGCAGTCGCATACCAAGTGAGATTGAAGGCGTGCAGGCGGGAGTGATGTTACTCTAGAGTCTACTGTGGGGTCGAGTCACTCATGACATATCCGAAGCCGCTGCTGCTCGGATGTCGTTAATTCGGACCCGCCGACATGTAGCCGCGGTTGCGCAAAATCACTAAGCACCAGGGCAGCGCCTCTGTCAGCGATTAGGAATCGGAAAGAAAATCTCCGACATGGCTTCTGTGAAATTGCATCCATTGTGGCCGGACTCTTCAGCCGCCATGCACGACTCCCGCACAAAGACGCACCGAATTATGGTCGGTCTTCGGACAAGTCCCTGCATTATCTTGGACTCGGTCGTAGATTTACACCATGAACATGGCGTCATCCAACGCCTCCATGACACCAACTACATATTACGAGCACGTGCCGCACTACCACTATTCTCCAACATGTCATATCAATCAATCAATCCACTCGACGCTCTCTGCCCCAGACCTCATCCGCATTCTTCTTGCCCTTGGTCTCAGGCACATACCAGGTAATGAAGGCAAAGAAGAAGGCCGATAGTGCAGCAAAGATGAAGTAGACATGACCGTGCAACTTGGCGCTCGCCAACGGAAAGAACTGTGCGACAATGAATGTAGCAATCCAGTTGGCTCCGAGCGCAATACTCTGTGTTGCGTCAACAGCATCCGGGCCTACCAGCTCGCTCGCCAGGATGAAGGGCACTGGGCCAAGACCAACAGCGAAGCCAGATACAAATAGCAGGACAGCGATGGCGGAGAGGACAGAGATCGACTTGATGATGCCGATGGCGAGCAGGAGTGAGCTCGTGCCCATGATGGCAAGGGAGCTAAGCAGGCAGACCTTGCGGCCCAGCTTGTCTGCGAGGGGCGCACAGCTGGCTGTAACGATGATGTTGAGCGCTGAGACGGCAAGATTGAGCAGTGCGGAATTGGACTCGAGCAGACCTGCCAGAAGCGAAACACCGTACATGACAATGCTGTTAATGCCGCTGAACTGCTGGGCCAGCATAACCATGACGACAGCGATGGCAGCCTTTTGGTAGTCAGGATGGCGGAAGACTTGCGCAATGCTGAGCGTCTGCTCTTTGCCTGACTCTTTTGGCCTCGCATCAGCTGACCCATCTTCGTTGCTCAACAGGGTCTGTTCCTCCTCTGGGTAGTTGTTAGCATATGATGTAAACCCAGCAATTGACTTGATCAACTTACCACTGACATTGCCTGAGCCCGAGACACCCCAGTCGTTCATTTCATCTTCAATGTCTGCATGTTCTCCTCTGATCTTGCGCAGCGTCTTCTTCGCGAGCGAGACATTACCCTGCTCTGCAATATACTTTGGGCTCTCGACCGACAACAGCAGTCCCACGCCTTGTACAGCCCCGATGACACCTCCAATGGCCAAGATGAGCCTCCAGTAGGAGTCGTGGCTCAAGAAGTATCCCAACAACTGCGTGATCAGGATGCCCACGTTGCACCCAATCTGTGTGAAAGCACCAAAGAAGCCCTTCTCGCCCGGCGGCGAGATCTCAGAGATGTACAGTGGCACAATGACAACAGACGCGCCTGCACCCACTCCTGACAGCAGTCTTCCAAATGCCATGACACCAATGTTTGGGCTTAGCGCCTCGAAGATGGGGCCCACAGCGAAGAAGACGGTGGATATCTGCATGGCCCTGAGGCGCCCGTATTTGCCTGCCAGCGGCCCTGCCGAGAGCGCTCCCATCAGACCTCCCAATGTGTACAGCGACCCCACAACACCCCATTCGGTTGGGCTCATTTCGATGCATTGCGGGAGGCTGGGGCCAGCAACGGTAGACTTTATCGACTTTCGTTTACAGCGGATGACATCTTCGGGTGCGTTCAGCTCAGACTGGGCGTGTTAGCTATGCGCCGGTAATAGATGACGCTGGGTCCCACCAAGTGAAAGCCGAAGAGAAGCGGGCCGAGAGTCGCAACGGACAGGATGTAGACGAAGTAGCCCGTCAGGCTGCTGAACCACGAACGCGGGTCCATGGTGGGATTCTACGGTGGTAGAGGTGGGAGGTAGTTTGGAGTGTCGCTGGAGCTTGGAGGACGTGTCAGCCGCCTCGTAGAACGTGACATCGGAATGACGATGATGCACCGCACCTACCTATGTGGGCAGCTCAGACAAGAGCGATAAGCTGTTCCGTCTAGGCCCTGAACACGAGGCTTTGTCGCAGAGCTTTGGGTTTCACGGTCGTCACATTGCTAGTGCAAGCTTGGACAAGGGACAGGCGGAATCAAGTGGTTGGCTCCAAGGCTGAGGCTCTGCGGGGAGCCATGCTGGGTCGTCGCTCTATGATACATGCTTGGACCTCTCGTCTTCCACCCGTGAACCTCTAGACTCCGAGCCAGATTCTGTACACATCATTCTGCGCGTCTTTCGGCATCGAAGCTTGCCATTGCGGATCGCGTCCCACACCTGCAAGGGCTCACCGGAGAAATTCCGCTGGCGCGTCGTGGTCGTGGCCATCTGCCGCGTCCGGCGTGGAGACATCAGCTACGCGAGAGGCTGAGGCAGAACATGGCGAAAGCATGAGCCAGCTCGACAACTCCTCCCCGCCGGCCTCGTCGGCTTCTGCTGCGGCATCCACCCAGGCCCCATCGCGCAAGAACAGCCTGGCGACAGCTTCCGACGGTACGCCTCTGCTTTCTTTCCGTGTCCATCAGTCATCGTTTCCTCTATGCTGGCCTTTCTTTTTCCCCCAGCCTCCACTCAAGCCATCGTCGCTTCACTTCCCTGATCTGGCGCCCCTTGGCCAAACGTCGTAGCCTGCGTGATTGTTGTTCCTGCTGTCAGCAATTGCCGCTCGTGTCCGCATCACCCCTTGTTGACGTTGCTGGACCCTTTGCACTTCCGACTGTTCCATCACTTTAGCGTATAGAAGCGAATACTAAACCTGTTCCTGAAGACTCGGCAGATCCCGTTCATGCCATGTTTACTGGATACAACAACAAGAAGCGAGTCACGGAGCGCTACAAGATTGTAGGCTTCATCAGCAGCGGTACCTATGGGCGAGTCTACAAAGCCGAAGGCAAGAATGGCCGCACTGGCGAGTTTGCCATCAAGAAGTAAGTCGGAACAAGTATTGCCACAATGCATGCTAACATGCCCAGATTCAAGCCGGACAAAGAAGGCGAACTTCAATACTCAGGCATCTCGCAATCCGCTATACGAGAGATGGCACTATGCACTGAGCTCGCACATCCCAATGTCGTGCACACTGTAGAGATCATCTTGGAGGACAAGTGTATCTACATAGTCTTTGAGTATGCCGAGCACGACTTGCTACAGATCATCCACCACCATAACCAGCCCCAGCGACAGGCCATACCTGCGCCAACCATCAAGTCTATTCTCTACCAGCTCTTGCAGGGGTTGGTCTATCTGCACCGCAACTGGGTCATGCACCGGGATCTCAAGCCAGCCAACATCATGGTCACTAGTGCTGGCAAAGTCAAGATAGGCGACTTGGGTCTTGCCCGCCTGTTTTACAAGCCGCTGCAATCTCTCTTCTCAGGCGATAAGGTCGTCGTGACGATATGGTATCGCGCACCTGAGCTTCTTCTTGGTAGTCGTCACTACACTCCTGCAGTTGATCTCTGGGCTGTGGGATGTATCTTCGCCGAACTGTTATCATTACGACCTATCTTCAAGGGAGAGGAAGCAAAGATGGACAGCAAGAAAACTGTCCCATTCCAGCGCAATCAGATGCAGAAGATAGTCGAGATCATGGGCATGCCCAGCAAAGACCGATGGCCTCTACTGACGGCTATGCCCGAATATCCTCAGCTGTCGTCTCTCGCCTCAGGCAACGCTGCACGATTTTCCCGACCCCAGGGTGGCGATGGTCTGGAACGATGGTATCACCAGACGCTCAACAATAACCAGTACCCAATAGGCTCCGGGCCAGATACACCTGGACCCGAAGGACTCTCTTTGCTCAAACAGCTCCTCGAGTACGACCCCCAGAAACGACTCACAGCGGAGAAAGCGTTGTTACATCCTTACTTTACCATTCATGGCAAGCCGGCCGACAGCTGTTTCGAGGATTCAAAAATCAAGTATCCCGTCAGAAGGGTCAGCCAGGAGGACAACGATATTCGCACGGGTAGCTTACCAGGTACCAAGAGGAGCGGACTTCCAGACGATTCGATCATTGGACGTCCTGCGAAACGTCTCAAGGAAGGATGAAGATGCTCGACGCGGTGATTTCGTGCTGCTCGATAATGTGTACGGACGATGCGATGCAGTTTCCGGTTTGTACGTACTGCCACAGTCGTTGCGGCAAATCTATCCCCGGTTCTCGGCATGGTGCTACATGGCTGGACCCATGAGTAGTGGCATTGGCAGTGGAAACGGCTTTGTGCGAGTCCTCATCTTACACAAGCGTCCTGGAACCCTATTGACCTTAGTCCTGACGTAGCACGGACACGACGGCAATCTGGCAACATGCTGGCTCTAATCGACCGAATGAGGGGAGGCCGTTTCCGAGGACAACGCAGGGGCAGTGTGTTCGAGTGGGAGGTGCAAATCATTCTGTTGCGTCTGTCTAGCTGGAACCATGCTTTGGAGCCCCTGGAAATGAAGTGTGAAGCAAGTAATCCTTCTTGTCTGCCTTCCAACCCCGCCCTTTTTAGCGTGCTGGCAGTAGAACAGTGGAATAAGAGAAGTGTGTGGCGCCTTTGCACCTGGATCGCGCTACAGCGGTAGCGATAGAACCCACGATTTTAGGTCAGCCTCAATTGGCGTGATATATACAATGAGGGGAAGACAGCCTGTCAAAGGCAGCCACTAAGTACAAGTACGACGTTTCCCGACCCTAAATTGCCCCCAGCACCACCTGGATCGAGCTGAATGCCTAAGATGATGGAATGGTCACGTCCAAGTCATGGTGGTCGAGCAAGGGATGTTCTCTTAGGCATTGATACTACAAGCTTGTCTCCCCAGTCCTTTCTCTACCAATTGAATTGTGCCATCCAGAGAGCATGCGGACTTGCGCTGTGCATAGGCACTTGGCCTTACTGTAGGCACTCTTCACGAACGCCACTTTGCGTGCTTGTGCTTCCTTCAACCTTCACATGTCTATTTTGTGCGTTGCTCTAACGGCATATGGCATTACAGCTAGCGTAGCGGGCTCCACGAGGTGACGACAGAAAGATAGTGGTGTGTGAGCAGTGCGCACGCATCAGGTTCGTGGCCAGTCTTCGGTGATACCTTCAAGTAAGTTCGTAGATGGGTAATGGCAAGAACAGTGAAGAAATTGATGGAGCAGCAGATCTGTGTCGCCACTGGGTGCCTACGAAACGTAATGGGCCTGTCCTACCTGCCTTACCTGCAGTCTACCCCGGCTGACATTACACAAACGGTCGCTAGAGTAGGTCTGCCGCCTCTGTTCATCATTCACTTTGATGGTATTCGGTGCGGGCTGCTCTTGCTCCATTGAGTTACCTGGTAATTGGCCCGCCCTCCGTAACCGTTTGTTTGCGGGGCTCGTACGTGAAGGCAGGCGCGGACTGTCAACACCACGCCATCATCGGCCCAAGTCACGTCCTTGACCATATAAGCCCAGCCGACACCGTTCTACTCCTGCTTCATCACTCGTTGAAATACTTTCGCTCCTTAGATTGCCTCTCATTAATTTGCTCCAAACCTGTGCACAGCGTCACGAATTGACTGCACCTGCTGTCCGAACAACTCATACCTATTGAATCTCGCCCTTGGCCCTACACCCTACAAACCGATATCCAATATCTCAGCCGAAACTTAGCCATGAAGATTTTCGCTTCCCTCCTTGCTCTCATGGCAGCCACAGCTGTCGCCGCTCCCACCAATGAGATCAAGCGCCGTGATCTCGTTGCCGACGACGCTCCTCACCAGGACGATCCGAACTTCATTAGCGCCGTCATGCGGGCTCACTGGTACTGGCGCAGATTGCATTGTGCACAGGACCTTGTTTGGGATACCGAGCTTGCCAACGCCGCGCGTGCTGATATCTCAGAGTGCCCAAAGGACCCCGAACATGTAAGCAGCGGGCATGGCAATGACAGGGCATGGCTAATATTCGTAGAAACGCTCCGGCAGCAATCTCTCGTCCGTGAACCCGCCCCCTGAAGGTTACGATGCTTGGGTTGAGTTCGCTCGCACTGCTACCCACGGCTGGCACGAGGAGGAGACCAAGTACCCCTACGACAACCCACACTTTGATCCTGCATGGGGCCACTTCAGTCAGATGGTCTGGCGTAACAGCACGCGTCTCGGATGCGCCCTTGGTCACTGCCCCAGCGACGTCAACTGGCCGGGACGCTTCTACTGCTGTGAGTTTAAACCACAGGATTGTATGTGTAACAATGCTGACAACCACAGACTACTCGTTCTTTGGCAATAATATTGCGGCTGGGCAGTTTGAGGCTCAAGTTTGGGCGCCTGTGTGCAAAGACCCTGACGTTGCCGAGGTCACAAAGCGTGAAGACGTCAATTTCAACTGGGCTCGCGTTTGAGATGCCTACGCTTGCTTGTCACACAACTCTGCGTACCGCCTGCGTAACGAGACTTACGACAGCCTAACCTTTCTCTCATCACGATGTTTGGCGCTATACCCTATTCACGGATCTTTGTTCACACATACCTTGTCTACTTGGAGATTTGTTGCCGCTTGTCTGGCATGACTTACTACATCACTGGTTCTGGCAACACTGGTGGTGGTGAGACGTGATGACTATTACTAGTGGTCGACTGTTACCAGCTATTGAAATACGTCAGATAATGAATCCGGCGTAGCTTGCTGGTCATTGTTAGACATGTCACGTCCTGGGAATAGACAAATTCTTCATGATTCTTGCTCTCAATATTCAAGCGTTATTCCATGAGTCATGACGAGAAGTGTCCTCGATCTAGGCCGAAGATTTTCCACAAATCCACCGCACGGAACGACGGACAGCAATCGTATTCATCGAATACAGCATAATAGAAAAAGGTTCCAGACAAAGCAATAGATTATGTACTGTGTAATTCCACGATTCAAAAAGAAGCTACAATGCCTTCAGATCCTCAGAAATATCCATGGAACACGGTCATCGGCACAGGAGTGTTTCTAGGTGAATAATTTGAGGACAGGAACGAGAGGAAAGAAAGAGATATAGGGAACGCTGAGGGCCTGTGCTATGAGGGCTGGAAGTAAATGGGGTATCAAAGATGCTATCTGCAGGACGCATCTCATGACCTCAAGAGATAGTAAATATACATCAAAAGGCGAGATAAGAATCTTTGCGAAACCATTCCACAAGCGTCGCATAACCCTGACAAGTAAAATGGACACCCTGGCAAAGAATAGGGCCGAGTGAAGTGGAGTGCTTGTGGACTTATTGAATCACTAAACATAGAAGAAGAAGCAAACACTGGAATGACTCTCTGGAGAACACATCGACACGCAGCTATACAAGCTAAGTGCTTGGTGTTGAGGACCAGTTCAGCCTCATGCACTGCACGGGTCCTCGCGATCGGATCATGCGGCCGGGCATTTCCGCGGATCGCGAAGCAACAATCGGTCCTACAAGAGACGGCAAACCCCCATGATCTCCATCTTACACATAACCATCAGCAAGACCCTTAATTATCCACTCTTCTCATCTCACTTTTTCGTCCCATGTCGTCAAAATTCCATGTTGAGGAACATGGACATCGTCAGCCACCAGTCGGTCATGAGCGGGCGATCCCTGCATAACGGCCATGCGCCAGTGGACTTATTGCATCATTGAACGCCACCATGGCCTCGATCTCGCCTCTGAGCAGCGAAGAGCCGCGACGCGCGACAGGCAAGCCATCTCGGGGCCCCCACTAATCAGGCGTGCTTTTGTCTGCCCTGCGGTCAAAGATATAGCGATCTATGGCGTGCGAGGGGCGCGGAGATGGATCCGCGTGGGCTTAACACGAGCGACAGGCACGAGAGAGTCTAGCCCTTTGGCTCCCTGGCACTGGCCTGCACCTTCCTCGTGGGTCTCGCGCGTGCAAGTACAGTGGTTATCGGGTTTTAAGGTTGCGCCTGCCTCCTGTTTCCGCCGCGTTTGACGGATTGGCTGCTAGACGATCGACAAACACTACCACAGACGATTCAATTGCCATCCAGTACTACAACAAGAGTCGCCTTTATCGCCCAAGATGCTGGAGAAGCAGCAGCAGCAGCATGCGCTGCGGGACGAGGGCAGAGACGCTGTGCCGAGGCTACCTGTCTCCCTGTCGGGTGAGATTAACGCTGCTACACGGTACGCTTCTCTTCCTACCTAACCATGGCCCTGGAGTGAGAGCAGGATGCTAATACCACTCGTCCAGATCTCTCCACACAAATCTCAACCGTCTCATAACCTCGCGCCTTCCGCTTGCGCTCCCGCCGTACACTTCCGACCCCACATTCTACGCAACTGGCCTGCTACACTTTGCGCACATCTTCCTGACTTTTGAGTCACTGTGGGCTGATCTGTTGCGCGACCATGCTCCAAACTCGCATACCGCCTCCCCGCACCCCGCAGTCGATTCCGAGACCGCCTCTCCGCCATTCTCGCCACTGCTCTCGTATCTCCTCGTAAACCCATACGACTCACCTTCGCTCTTCACATCAACCTTGGGTGCGCCGACTGCGCCCTCTCCACAACTTGCGGCCTTTCTGCAAGCGCTGCGACCGCGAGGGTTAATCCGGTCATCACGACTAAAGAGAGATCTCGAGTATCTCCTAGGCGTCCACCCCACGGACCTCGAGGTTCTGCTAGCCAAATATCCCGGAGACAAGGTCGCCGACTTCTGCACGCACATCCGAAAGAGCGTCAACGAGAAGCCTTGGACACTTGTCAGCTATGCCTGGTGTTTCTACATGGCCGTCTTCTCTGGGGGCCGCTGGATACGAAGCGTGCTCTACAAGGCACCACCAGGCTTCTGGCCTGAACAAGATAGTGAGCGCACGACATTAGAAGAACGCGGTTTGTCATTCTGGCATTTCTTCGGTCCCCATGACGGAGAAGATATCAAGGCAGAATTCAAGTCGCAATTACTCGCTGCGGAGACTCTCTTTACACCGGACGAGCGCGTCGATATCATTGAGGAAGCAAAGAATATCTTCCGCCTCTGCGCTACACTGGTAGATGAGCTGGACGAGTCCATCGGCACCGATATGGCGCAGTTTGTTGCGACACCCGCAGTTCATCCCGAGCCCAAGGCTTCGACCGAAAAAGCGATCCTCATCGATACCAACGTCACAGTTGTCCAAAACATGACCAAGTCCAGTGACCTGTTCAAGACATTTCTCAGGAGGCCAGAAGTCACGGGTACCCTTGTCGCTATTGGCTGCCTAGCCGTGGTCACGCTGTTCAAGTTGCAGTGAGACAAGGTGACATGCGCCTGACATAACGACTGATTTTCTTTTTGCTTTCATCACATGCTCATGAGCTTTGCTTTCCATGATTAGCGCTAATGTCTTTAACTGACACGGTGCGGTCTCTGACGGGTAGGAACGAGGCGTCACGACTGCTTCTACTTCTATTTTTTTCTCTTCATAGCATACGGCATTCTTTGGAGTTTAGTTATCATTGGCGGGCCAGGATGAGCCTGTCATCCGGTGGAGTTCTTTCCTACTTGACTTTGTTCGGCGGTTTATTTGAGGTCATCTCAAACGATCAGTGCATGGTAATATGGCGTGCGATACCCCCTGTAGCAGTTCGTAGGATACATGCTTTAGTTTCGTTTCACTGTCAGCTTGAAGACGTCACCTGTAATGAAATACTTGCACATTGTAGTCACATCACGCATAGTGGCTTGCGTTGTTAAGGAGAGACGGTTTGTATTAGGTTTCTTTAGAGAGATTCAAGAAGTACATCGATCATGTTGCCTGTCGCTGACTTTGCGCTCTGCTAGAAGAAAAAGAAAGACAACTTGGCGGTCGTTACATGTTTCTGGATCTTTGGGTATGCCAGAAAGGGAATGACGAAAGAAACAACCTTCTCTTTCAGGTCAGACGGCTGTGCTGTACCGCTAGCTCTTTGGTTTTGGCTGCTTGCAGGATCCGTCGCTCTTTTTACCATGAGCGCATTCGCACTTTCCGTCCTTGCATGTTTCTCCCTTCTCAACTTTGCACTTGGTCTCGCATTTTCCACAGTTCTTGTTGTCCTTCTTAAAGTCGGGTTTATCTCCTTTAGGACACTTACAACCTCCGTCCTTGCATACCTCTCCAGCCGTTTTGTCGCATGTCTTTCCGCATGATCCACAGTTGTAAGGATCCTCCTTGAAGTCCTTCGAGGGCTTGCAGATTCCCTTGCACTCATAGGTCCCATAAGGGCATTCGCATTTCCCGTTCTTACACGTCTTCCCACCCTCGCACTTGTTTCCACATGAAGAGCAGTCCGAATCCGTACCAAGTTTCTTGCATTTCCAATCTTTTTCGCAGAATACGGGCTTTTCGGCAGGGCATTCGCACTTGCCGTTCTTGCATGTCTTCCCACCCTCGCACTTGTTTCCGCAAGTTCCGCAGTTGTAGTTATCCTCCTTGAAGTCCTTCCAGGGCTTGCATTTATCGCCGCAGAACACGGGCTTGTCGGCAGGGCACTTGCACTCCCCATGCTCGCATATCTCTCCTTTCTTGCACATCTTGCCGCACTTGCCGCAATTGTCAACGTCCTTCGTAAAGTCGGCTTTCTTTCCGTCAGGGCATTTGCATCCACCACCCATGCACTTTTCTCCTTTGTCGACGTAGCACTTGTCTCCGCATCCTGAGCAGTCTGTATCCGTGCCAAATTTCTTGCACTCTCCGTTGCAATCTTTTGGTTTTTCATAAGGGCATTGACATTCCTTGTTCTGGCACTTCTTTCCTCCCTTACACTTCTGGCGCCATAGTGTCAGTATACAAAACACTTGTTCTGTGGCACACACTTACTTCTATGCACTTGCCACCGCATGGCTCCTTGGTAAGCGGTGTTTTAGCCGCAGGGCCGCACTCATAGCAAGGTCCCTTCTGCTTGATGGACTGCAAGATGCAATCTACCCCGAAAAGCGGGGTGTTGGCTCCACACCAGCTTGAACAGATCGTAGTTCGTTTTGCTTGTGACTCGGGGATTGCAACGACAGAGCAAGCTGTATCGAAGACGGTCAGTAAGAATTGCTAGACTGATTTTCTGTTGCATCTGGAGCACTGACCGAGAAGGAGTAGAGTGAATACACTGAGTCTAGGCATCTTGAATCAAGTTTGATGAGGATGGAAGTCTGTTATGATGGCACTTCTCTGCGTGCTCAAATCCATAACGCGAGATTCTCTCTTTATTTATGCGTTCGCCATGCGGTTCAGAAAGAGGAGTCGAGATCCAGTATTGTCTTGGAGGTCTTGTCAATAAGCCATCTTCAGCTCCAGAATTGCTGGCCTGCAGTACCACATCGTCATTATGTCGAATCCGTCGGTCATGGCATCCGCATTTCAGTGGGTTGAGTCTGATCCATCTCTTTATGATTGGCAGGCAATTCGACGCCTCCAATATCAGCGAAGAGTTGTCGAGCGCACTAGGTCCGAGGTACAGTTGGAAACGTAATTAGAAACGTCGAGTTCGGGTCGCGGGAAGTGGCCAAGAGCCTTCTATACTAGCCACGTCCATCTGGGTATGAAGGTTGGAATCTCGCGACACTGACGATCGGCGAGAAAGGCGCTTTACATAGCGCTAATGCAATGCAGATCAGGTTCGAAGCAGTTCGTAAGTTTGTAGTAAAGTCTCCGCTACAAGCCGAACCCCGCATCCAAGATATGTGGCTGACATCTTAGTAGCAGCTAGAGCTGAAGCTGAAAAAGAAGACCTATGATATTTGCAAGATGTTCGTATAGCTAGAGCTTACACATAGTCACTATTCTTTCGGTCCCGGATATTGCATCGTGCGGAACCTAAACCCCGCAGTGATCTTGACCACATTAGACTTTCCTTTTGCCGTTCCAGCTACATATCAGGACGGCAACATCTTGGCGTTCACAGATATGACAGGAACAGTCAAGCCAGCGATGTTTCTGCCAACCGCAAGATCGACCAAGCTGTATTGCCAAGCAATGCGAGCAGCGCATAAGCCCTAACCTCTATCATTTTGTCTTGGCTCAGTCGAAATCCACCATGAGCTACCTTAGATCTATGGCTAGCTTGCAGACACGCTTGAGTCCAGCCCAGCCTGCATTCCTTGAGAATAAAGATATGCCTTTCGGTCTGCTGGAGGCCTGAGGCCTGTAGTGTAATCCTCGCCTGGATTCCCACTGGCCTGAATTTTGCATATCGTGATACCAAGTTATCTAGACTCTGAGCCACCTCACGCGTGGTGGAATATATTCCAACGAAAGGATGTGTTTTATTCATTCTATACAACGAGATATAAGGAGATACAGACATGATGGCTGATTTTGACATATTTTCAAGGAAACAAAGCAAAGTACACAGTCATCGTTACAGTTTTTTTTTCATGTTTGATCAGGACAACGTTCGTATGCTTGCCGCCTCTTTTTTTACACGTGTTTTTGTAGCGTTGTGGTTCGACAGAGAAACGAAAAACAAAACAAAGGAAATCTACCCGTCGTGACTAAATGACGGCGAGCTTACAGCTCGGGTGCTGCTTGGTTCGTCTCATACTGATTTTTCGGCCTTAGTGCGGATTCAAACACCTAGGTAATTTTCAATTCTCATAGCGAAAGACCCATCCGTGCCATGGACTTTGCGCAGGTGGCTCCGTAGGTCGGCACCGCGGAAGTAGCCTTGCCCTTTGACGCGATCGCAGCCTGGTTGCGGGCAGGAAAACTGGGATTCGTCATGCTCAGTGCGCATGTGGTTGATCCATTCTTTCGACGATGAGAAGGCATTCTCAGTAGAGGACCAGTGTGCTTCGGCTGGCTTTGACTTTGTGCAATATACTTTTGGGCACCACTTGCGCTCGACCATGATAGGGGCGCAATCTTCACCGATATGGTGGTAGTTCCGAACATGCTGGGTGAGATGGTCTTTGCGTTTGAAGCCATTCTTTCCTCTGTATTTCTTGCAATATTTGCAAGAGAAACGCCTGACGTCCTTTTGATGAGTTCGTTGATGTCTGTCGTATGTATCCGATCGGAAAAATCCCTTCTCGCAGCCCTCTTGCTTGCAGACGAAAGCAGCGTGGCTAAGTTTGGAAGCATGTGACTCTAATTCCCATATAGTCATGAACACTTCCTGACACTGACCGCATGAATTTATGTCACGATGCATAGTCTGCATATGATGTTTGCCATCTTGTGCCACGACATAGCGAAATCCACAGTTATACATGCCACACAGCTTTTGGACATGATGCGGCTGTGACTGGGGTGCTGCAAAGCTAGCAGGCCTAACCTCGACGGCCTGGCCTACCGTAGAAGAAGAACTCAACACATTACCAAGAGCGTTACTATAAGGCCATTTAGTCTCGAATCGCTTATCGCTATTGAATGACCAACCTTTCAATATAGCCAATCTCAGGGACCGAGGTACTTGAGTAGCTAGTTATATCTTGAAGTGCAGGATTGTTCCGGGAGAACTCAAAATCTCCACGAGGGGCTGACATTCGCTGGTTGGGCCAGTTCACATAAAGTTCGGGAGGAATGTAGTTGTTTGGAACGATATGGTCCTGGACCCCTGTATGCCAGTCGAAGGTGTTCGGTGTTGTGATCCAGCTTCGAGGGACATAGTACGCTTGCTCCGTAGACCAACCATCTAACCAAAGTGGGAGCCTGCGGAAAGCACCCTTTTTGTTAGCAGAGTGTAAAAAAAAAACTCACCCGAAGTCCTGGAACTGGAAGTCGTCCATGATTGGCAAGGCAGAAGAAGGCTGCGTGCGTCTAACCGAAAACGTCGAGGCGAAGTAAGCCACAAGTGTCGATGCGTTGGCATTCGTAAAGCAGCGTAGGAAGGCTGAGGTAGTGTTGGTACGGATATTGCAAGATTTTGGTGAGAGAAATGAGCAGGATGCTTCGATAATACATACTTGCAGCCGGCTAAGCCCCTCGCTGCTTTAAGCTGGGAGTGGAAAAGGGCAAGAGGTATCATCTAGTGCATCTTGGCTGAGTGTTCAGTTACGTAGAGCCTGAATAATTGGCTGAGAGGCGCGCAAGGGCCATGGCCCTTTTTTGGTGCGAAGGATGGACGTAGTGGGGGCCAAGAACTGAACGCATACCTACGGGCAAACCACCCGCAGGCTGATGGTTGCGAGACATACGCTGATGGTACAGCCATGGAAGTTCTGCTCTAATGAGCTGATGGATATCAACAGGCGAGCAAGGATATTGGCCATGTTCTTAGGATGTAAGAAGTTAGTGACTTGTTTCGCACAAAGCAAAGTACACGTGCAAAACATTTGCGCAGTGATATGTGGAGAAACCGGCTAATGAGGTGTAATTTAGAACCTGCTATGCTTGTGCTGTAGGCTAACTTGATGGAGCATTCACTGCTAGGAAAACGATCGGCCAGAATATAACGATAAGTATCACAAGAGCTTATGCAGATCGGGATATCTAAGTCGCATGACACATGTACTCATACAACCCATAATCGAATGCGAAACCCATTGAGCACCATGGCAACGCTTTCCTTGTGGTGAAATGGTACTGAAGCAATCTGACCGACCCTAGAAAGCTGAAGGTGACAATAGATCGGACGACTGCGGCCCCCTCAACCGTCTTGGTTCGTTATTCTCTCACTGCATGGTCTGGCGCAAATGGGTCGAAAGGTACCACAATCTGCTTCTTCCCAAACGCCTTCTTCAATCCTTCTTTCATCCTCTCCCACCTAGTCATTCCTTTCCTCTTAGCGTGCTCGAAGGTCATATAACTCTTATTGATTTCCTTTAGCCTCGTCGCCTCTTCCTTTTCAAATTGCTCAGCGCGCTCTCGTAGCCCATTGATAACGTGCTGACGAAGCCGATAGTTGGCAAACGTCGTGTCGTGCTCTGGATGCAAGGCGAGTATCTCTGGGATCTTGGAAATAGCAAGACCAGATTCGTTGATTCGATGATAGAGGAAGGATTCAAGGTCTTCGGGGCACCAGGAGGGCTGCGCTGGGATGCCGACAAAGGTTGCGCGAATAGCGCGGACAATACCAAAGTCGGTTATCTCGCCAGCTTCGTATTGTTTGAGCAGGTTGCAAATGAGCTGACCGCGGTGTAAGAGGCGGATCTCGCGGTGTGTCCACTCGCGCTTGTAGTCTGTCAGGTTTGGAGGGAGGAGCCAATTCTCCTGCGTGATCTTGTAAGCTTCATAGAAGTCGTTGAATCTGCTGCGAGCATTGGGAAAGAAGTATCCTTTCCAAAACTTCTGATCGTAGACTGCGGCTTCGACTAGGATGCGAAGGTAGTGGTATAGCTCATGCTGACCCTCACCGTTCGCCTGACGATATGGAAACGATGAGACACCTCGACTAGCCTGCCGAGGAATGTCGAAGATGGCAGCCGCAGTGGTATTGCGCCGATGAGCGTGTTTGTTTCTCGAGTCTTGAACATAATGTACACCCTGCTCAAACTCTTCTAAAGATACGGCGACAGCAGCAATGGACTTGGCCTGTGCTTTTGTAAGGATGCCTTCTTCACCAAGGCCATTCATAAAGATCTCAAAGTGCTCTGGCTTCAGTATGTGTCTACGGTCCTCGGGGAAGAGCTGTGCGACGATCATCTCGTGATCCTCGCTGTTCATAAGTCGACGCTCGACGAGCTCAGCGTTGTTGACTACGGCATTGTATCGTATGATCCAGTTACGCTCAACAGAGCCTTTGGGCATTTCGCTCGCACGGATACTTATACCGTTGACGTTGAAGGTGGCATCAGGTATATCGCCATCAGCGTGGCGGGCTTGAAGATGAAAGTGGGCATTGATCTGATCCATGATGTCGATGTTGGTAGGACAGCCATCCGCTGCAAAGAAGGTGAGATCTTTTATGGCTTTGCGTCGACGTAGAGCCTCAATTTCCTGGTTTGCGGTTCTTAGGCTGGTTCGACGGTGGGTGGACGGAGAGAGACTACTCGGGAGACGAGCTATATTATGACCATCCCTGACACCGTTCTTCTTTAGAACGATTCCTGAAGGCTTTGGAAGTTCGCTGGTATCCGCCCGTGGCATAATGGCGGCATGGCGCTGCGCCAGCAGCTTTTCTGCTGCTCGCCTATCCGCCAAAGCGGCTTCTAATTCATCGGCGTAGGCATCAGAACTGTTGTGAGTCGACTCGACGACCACTGGCTGGGAAGTTGTTCGAACTATCGGGCGACTGTCGGCGCTCGTGTCCATGTCGTTTGGAAAGCCGGGGTCCGCCTGAGTCTTGATGCCAGGTCCAGCAGGATGGGTTACAGACTTGGTCAGTGGTGTAATAGAGGTGACGCTGACATGCCTTTTGTTGGATATCGTCGTTTCAGAATGCGCGCTTGTAGGTGGTGTGAATGGGCTTGTGGGTGGAGTGCTCGAAGGAACCCTGTTTGAAAGCCTAGTGGTGTTGTTCGCCGTCGAAGGTGGAGGAGGAGTCGAAGTAGCATACTTTGCAATATTAGTATCTGTCATAATGAGAAATGGTTATCAGTACCGACCGTCTTCTGCTTAGGCGACTGGAAACGGTAGAGTCTTTTAGAAGTAGAGCTAGATGTAGCTAGTGCAGGCATAGAAGTCCTGCTTGGGATATAAAGATCAGAGCTTGGTGGGACACTGTTATTACGGCGATGGTAGCCGAAAACCTTCTGGAAGCCAGCCATAAGGCGCGTGGAGTCGTCGCGCTTGTGATGCATCTTGGGGGCGCTGTTACTCCTACTTGTACCGGTGTTGCTATTCATGCCACTGCTGTGGTCGTTTTCAGCCAGATCGTTATCGTGGCTCCGGCGGGATGACTTAGCTGACAGGAAGGTCTTGAAGTTAGCCATGGGCCGGTGTTAGAATTTTCCGGGATGTCGCTGAGATTATCTTAGAGCTAAATGATGAGTTGCCGTTGTTAGTCAAGTGGTAGCTTGTGTGGGCGATGTCGTCAAGCGCAGTGTGGAAACGGGTAAGTTGTAAACAACGCCAAGCATTTGTAACTCGATTCAAGACCTCGAGAAATCGCGGGGCGTTGTGGCGAAAACTGAAGGTGAAAGTGAATTCAAAACGGCCCGAGAATTGCCTCGATAGAGCGTTGTGGCCGGGTCTCAGATACCAACAAGGTAGAGGTGCATCAGCGAGCCGTCTGAGAAGATGACATAGCTCCGTCTACACGCGGATACCCAAGATAGAGGTGATGGTTTGCGTGAGACTTTACCTGCTATTGGTACTCGTTTCACACATACAATGCTCACGACATGTATATATGAGCCGACAATCATCCTCACCTCGGGGCTTCGTGAAGAATGAAGGAAGGGCACAGAGGCAAAGACAGTCATGCAGATGGACACAGTGAGAACTACTGCCTGACATGAAGTTGACTTGGAAGTGAAACACACGGGCGGTTTAAGGATAGGTATGACTTGAAAGATGAAAACAAAAAACTCGCCCAAACTCCCTGCTTGCCGAAGACTGATATGCGTAGACCAGGAAGACGATGACGACCCAATACACTTGCGCAAATCTTACTGCGTCCGTGCTAGAATGGATGTTCCGACAGGACCGTATATCCCGGATAGCTTGTTTATACAAACCTCTTGAGCACCATGAACAGTAGCGCGACCACTACTCCGTAGATACAAGTGTCAATCCAAGCCAGGTCTGGACTGCGTTGGGCAACCTGTTGAGGCGGTGGCGCGGTTGTTGTCCTTGTAGGTCTCACTATGGGCACTGTAGGAGCTGGTCGCGATGGGGCTATAACTGGAGCTGCAGGCGCAGGCTCTGAGGGCGATGCAGACGATGCGGCCTCAGCAGAACTCTCTACTGCCCGCTGCTTACCCTTATCCACCTTCTTATCCTCTCCTTGCTTGCCTAGCTCGTCGCGATAAGCTAGTCTCAGCTCCTCAGGAACTTCCTCGTCCTTCCTCTTGCCTTCCTTCTCCTCGATCTCCTTGACAAGCTCCTCCCTCTCCTGCATAATCTCGGCGTTGCTCTTGGCACAGCCAGCGCATTTCCATGCCCCGCTGTCTTTGGCCATGCGCTCACGTGCGTCTCTGCTGCATTCGATGCCGCCGAGCTGTCCCTTCGCGTCTGTGTCCATGAAGCTTCTTATCGCAACAAGAGCTGTGCGCACACCCCATGCTGGTTGCCATGTCTCTTCGTGATGGCCTGATATGCTTAGGCAGATTTCGCGATTGACTTCGAAGCGTCCAGTGGGCGTGAGGAAGCGGAACGACGGCGGGCGGAGAGGATACGTGGATGGGAGAACTATGCGACCGTGGTAGATGCCGCCGGCATAGGGCGATGGCTCGGGCGGGCCGCGGATGGTAAAGTGCCACTCGAAGAGGTTGGTTTCTAGAGGTTCGGCATGGTAGTCGGAGGAGGGCGACGTAGAGAGTTCTGAAGCTTCCTTTACTGCGACACGTCAGCTACGCATCACCAGGCACCATCTAGGCTCGCATACATATCCGCTTGATAGTCGGGTTCTTGGTGTTGAACTGCCCGCGGGTGGACATGGTCGCGGCGGTTGTAGCTTGAGAGCACGGGGTATGTACAAGATCTCTATATAGTGTGGGTAACGAGCAGGACCATGGGTGTATGTATATCAGCTACCTTGCGGTACACGCGTTGGAGCGCATCCACCGAAATGCAACGTAGACAACCAAGACGCGGCTGCGTCTTTGGTAAGCACCGGCAACTGCTCGTAATCGATAAGTTCGGCCCCACTAATAATTAGCTCATCCAACACATTATAGTCAACCACCTTTTCGGCTCATGCGGGCTTGACATACTACAACATTCCATCAGTCTCAATTCTGGTTTATGCCACCATGTCTTCAACTGAGCCCAACACTGACGATATGTCCGTGTATCATCCTCACGACCTGTTGATCGCGCAGTTCTTTCCTGATGAAGACATATCTTCTATGGGCTACGACTCAACAATGTACTCAGCATTGTACCAAAGTGCACGTATTCTTGAAAAGATGGGTGAAAAGCCTCCTCGGATCCCGTGGCCAATGCCTCCACCTAGGTCACCAGAGTTTTTAGAGGCTGCTGTCGAACAATGGCGAAGCGAGGCGCTACGGGCGATTGACTCGCGCGTAGCCAAGTTCTCATCAGATGCTGTCCCGCGTCATACTGTAGCTACACAAGATCTTCAGGCTCCCGTATCACCTGGTCCTTCTGCTTCAGTGCATCGCCTTCTCCTTATACCTGAACTGCTGGAACTCGTCCTACGACAAGCAACCCCTCAAGCACAGCATACCGCATGGAATGTAAACCGTCTTTGGCGTAGGACGATTGAACACATTCTGGCCTATGAGTACCGATCGTACCATCCCTGCCCCCCAGTTGAATATGGCGATCGCATTGATATACAGACAGGCATCTCGTGGATGCAGCCGCCCGACAACGAGATCGCGCATGTTGAGCAAGAGACTGCAACCGCGTCGCAAACACCTCTGCACGAGCTAAGGCAAGTCTACTACCCAGCTAGAATCGTCCAAGCCAGCTCACTGTCCGGTGCTGCCTATCGGGCGATCCAAGATGCGTACGAACGTCTCCAATGGAAGCCTGCGGAACCCGACGCTGTTGATCAAAGCCGGCGGTGGATAGACCTCAGTCAATTCGTGATGAATCCTCACGTTGTAGAGCTCTTTGGTGACCGCATGCAACTGAAGCTAGGCAGATGCGAGATCGCGTTGAAGGCTGGAACTGGTCAGCCCCGCCTGGTTCAAGGGTCGCTACCCAGCGGGAACTTTGCAAATTTGATTGCTGATATGTTCTTGACGGAGCCTCCTTGCAAGGCACTAGGCATCTACATGACTCAACCGCACTCACACCATTTGCATTTACTTGTTTCTGTATCTAGTGAAGATGGAATCCGTGTGGGACAATTTCTAGACGCTCTTCAGCACCACGCAGGCAAGCTACTCACTGCATGGAGAGTTCAAGTTGAACACCTTCGACGGAAGATTGGGTGGTCACACTGGGCGGATTTCAGCACTACTGAGCAAAAACGTCTTCCGTGGATATACCACGGCTCTCCAAAATTCTTTGTGTTTCTGGAACAGATACGGAAACGCCCTCATACACGAGGGGTTTTTCGAACATTAGCACAACAGGCTTATACAAAGGGAGAATCAACTGTCATTGTACCTAGGAGTGAATGGTTTGATGATTCTGGCAACTGTTAGATTGGATCATGCCCAGCTTTCTGGAATGTTACCTGTTTGAACAACGAACAAGCAGCGTGGTGTTTTGTGCTCGAGGCATCCAAAGCTATTCCTCAATCTCTATCAAGCAATACTTCGAATTTCGCACGCAGCTAGTGAGGCATCATTTTTCATTGCTATCATGTGAACACTATTGAAGCGTTCTACAAAAATGCTTCATCGTGTCAGGGTATTGATGTACGCAACTCCTTCAGCTCGATCGTCGTCCTCCTCGATATAACTCTGATCTTTGCGGAACACAAAGTTCGTCGCATTGCTCGCATAGCTCGGCCATTCGGGTATTTGAGGTACTTTTCGATGTGTCAGTGTATCAATAAGTAGATGTAAAGCAGGCCAACTCACCGCCGTGACCATTGGGATTTAGATCGTAAGCAAACGACGTCCACATTCGCATAACCAGCTTTGATAGCGCAATGTTCTCCGAGCTGCTACCCAAGGGAGTGATCTGCTGCTGTGTATTTCCAAAGACAAATGGAATCTATCATGACTGTTAGCCCTTTGGTGTCTATCCCGCTGACTAAGATGCATACCTCGGAGAAATGATTGACGCCGATCGTATCAGGCGTAGTATTGAATTTCGGTGCATCCCATCGGTACGAATACACACCATCGACGAATTCACTCATGCTTTGTGCAAGCCCTCTTCGCGGAGCGTACATGGTCAAGTCAGTTGCGATACTTTGGTAGCGCTTATACTGAAGACCATACTGCGGCCATGTACGGTTGCCCCATCCATACGGTTCGCCAAGTGCAGGGTCGTTAGGGTAAAGCTCAAGTATTTTCTCGGCGACTGTCTCGTTAATGTTCCAGCGTTTGGAGTGCACCATCTGATTGATGGCATCGGCGTCGCTGTTTACCCCGTTCACGCCAAAGCCTTCGTCGGTGTTCGTGCCGAGGATAAGAGGAATCTTTGCGAACTTGCCCTGCCGCAGTGATTCTGAGCCATATCGAGGTATTAAGCTACCATCTATCACGTGAAACCATTCGAGGCCTTGGTATCCGAAGGGTGCAATCGTCTCGTAGGGTACGTTGCGAAGACACTGGAGCGTATCCTCGGCGCCAGCGCAACCAACTGACTCGGTGAGGTTGTTGTACATATTCTGATACCAGTCTGTGCCGTTGAGTGGCGCACCGACAGCGCCACCGCTTTCCAGAATCGCAGCGCGGAAGAGTCCTTCGTTTTCACCATTGTACGCGGCTATGTGGTCACCGACAGAGTACGCGCCCGCCGATTCGCCCCAGATAGTAACCTTTGTGGGATCACCGCCGAAAGAAGAAATGTGCTTGTTGACCCATTGCATGGCGAGTCGTTGATCACGAAGTCCTAGATTCTGTACACCGGCATCTTTGACCTCTTCGCTGTAAAGGAAACCAAACGCTGCCATGCGATAGTTGATCGAGATGCCGATGACTGGTTTGTTGTTCAGCACAGATTGCTGGACGATATAGCTCATGTTGTACCTGGATACAGTTAGTATTCGATGCTCAGTGTAAGAGCGTCTTTGGCGACCATTTACCGCGGATCGCTAGTAGCACCCTGCTGCCATCCACCTCCGTAGATCCATAGCAATACTGGCAGGCTCGTCTCATTTGTTCTAGGTTTGACGATGTTCAAATGTAGACAATCCTCTCCCAACTTTGTCCAATTTGTCGCAACCAAGATGTCCGTATCCGACCCATAGCCTTTGCAATCAATGCCGTACTGTGTAGCATTGTGGTATGTTGCAGGGGAGTCTTTCACTAGCTCAGCTGGTGCGAAGCGTACTGGCTTTGGAGCAAACTTGACACCCAGGAACAGATCCTGATCGAATTCCGGGAGGTGGCGTCCTTGGTAGATACCAGCTTGCGAATGAACCACAGGGGATGAACCGAGGATACCGGTGGCAAAGCACGCAGTGACCAAACAGGATCTTCGAAGCTTCATGGCGGAAGGATCTAGGGAATTGCACCATGATTGCACATGCTGTGCAATCACTCATATACACCATACGCCATCTGCCATCTCAAACCTCCCTATGAGCCTCCACGGAAGCCTCGTTCCTGAACATCCACCAATGGGGAGCATAGCTACTTCGCCATTTACCTAGCCGGCATTCTTTTACCGACCAGCGCGGCTCTAAGCATGCTTGTGTTCTTGGCAACGCTGAATCGATGCTTGGTCGCCTGGGCATGGAGCATAAAACTGGACTGCCAGCACTTTAAGCCTGTTCGTGCCAGCCTTGCGGCTGCTTCACGGTGAATTGAGAAGCTTGGTAACAGAGTCAAGTAAACGGAAACGTGCCATATTAGCCGGCGATGTGATGCAATTCGGTTGATGCAAATTAATCCGGGGTAGACATTCGCTCCACATTACCCCGCAAGCCTCGCGGTGTGCCGTTGCATAACGCACCGTCCACACGTCATTTATCCGGGATCTTGGAATATACCACGTGCGCTTCTTTTTGTGAAAAGATCGTTGCAAAACCCGAGATACCACCTAGAAGACTTCCAAACCTGTAGTCTATCGAATGATTGATGTCCGTCACACGACTGCATTTATCTCAAGCTGGGTTTCCTCTCAGTGACTAGGACATTCATCTGATCCTGCAGAAAGATACCACCGTAGTTTAATGATCTCCAAGGCTTCTCAGAGTCTGCAAGAGACCAGTCGAAATGCCGCAGAAACTAGCATCTAGTTAGTATCATGTTTCACCGCGGAAAACTATGTGACATACCTCGAAGATAGCTTTCCTAATCTCCAGCCATGCGATGGGCTTACCAAGACACTGGTATTTGCCATAGCCGAAAACCATCTCTGAAGTCCGAATCATAGCGTTCAGACTTTCGCGGTGAATTTCATCATGGTCGTCGAGTAACCAGCGTTCTGGTCTGAAGCAGTCAGCATCTTCGCCGAAGATCTTCTTGTCATGGTGCAAGCCCCATGCGTCGTAGCTGATGTTGGTCCCGCCAGGGAAGAAATATTCTTTGCCTTCAATGACGAAATTGTCCCCTCCAACCGGAACCTTCTTTGGGACAACATCGGTGATGGGTGGGTGCATCCGAAGCCCTTCGCGAACAACAGCCTGCAGATATGGTAAACCCTTCAACGTCTTATCGGAAACAATATCGAAAGTAGTGCTAGCCAGACTTGAGGCGACAGTAGCGTCGATCTCAGCCTGGAGAATCTTATAGACTCTATGATGTGTCATCAGATAGAGCATCGTCGCACGTATAGCAGTCGCTGTGGTGTCCGACCCGGCCAAGATCTGGAGCATTGATTCGGTGAGTAAATCGTCTCGATTCAAACCGTGGCGTATGAACGAAGCAAGCATGTCCGAGCGACCGTTGGTCGGCTTCTCGAGACGTGAGTCGATAAGACCCCGAGCGACAGCCATCATCCTCCCAAAACCAGTTGCATCCTTCTCCGAGGGCCCGAGAATACGTGCAATAGGTGGCCAGTGGAGATAAGGCGTCAAACCAAGGCCAGCAACCACAATCATAATTGACAAACCGTCTCTCCCGGAGCTAATGTAGTTGTCGACATCAGCATCGGCCTTGAGGTCTCCGAAGGCTTTGCCAAAGCCGATCTTGCTGATGACGTCCAGGGTGAAGTACTGGATTTTGCTTCCAAGATCCATGGGCGTGTAACGCGTTGATGTGGAAAGGTACTTTGATCTGATCAGGTCGAGAAGCTGTTGTACATGCTCATCAATGTCTGATTCTAGGGAGAGATTTTCTTTGCCAGAATAACCTGAAGCCATCTGCTGACGCCGCTTGGTGTGCTGAGCCTCATCAATCTGACTGAAGACATGGTCTCTGCCAACCTCTGTGCGCGTCGCAGCGTTGAACCATGTTGATCGAGTGTATGGCGAGCGCACCGCATTCATATGCGCCAGCAGGTCTGGCGAGGATGTGATCAAGTCGTTGGGGCCAACTCGGGCGATGGGGCCTGTTGGCGCTGTCAGCACTTGGGAAGGGGCGGGCGGGCCGCACAAGCGAGCCACGGCGCCTTTTCCGCGCTCCAACTCCTAGCCCTCCTGAGGTTTACTCACCATAGCGTTCGCCCACCTCTCTGTACCAGAAATGTGAACGTCGCCCCAGGAACGCACGGATGTGTATCAGTTCGGACCACCCCGTGGTAGGTGGACCAGCGAAAGCTCGAAGCCGCCGATAGCCCAAATATGCCCTCGCTGCGTAGGCCGCCAGAGCAATCAAACCTAACATCCATCTTGCAGCATAAAGCTGCGCAAACAAAGACATGTTGAACACACAATGTCAGCCTAGAAGAATAAAGAATGAACAGTTGAAGAAGACAGAGAATGGTATTTCTACGAGCGGGGTCGCCTGCTTCTCCATGCATGTCAACACGGAAGCATGTTGCGATGCAGCAAGCGATGCCGTGACTGCAGGCACCCTTGCTGTGTTTGCTACCAAGACAGATGTCAGAACTATTGAGCATCCCAAGACCGATCGCGAACGATTGTTGCGATCTGCATATGCACATAAGCACTATTAGACGCCCGTTGGATAATTGCCAGTAGTCAGTCTTGCTGTCACGCCATGGCACAATGGCATGATAAGAGGGAATACTCGCTGATCGCCCAAGACCGCATCGAATTGAACCTGCAGCTATGCTATTAGACATATTCACTATTGGTCTAGCCGTCGCTTCTGCTTACGCGCTTCCGTACGCTGCTTCCAGGCAGCATTTTTCGTAGCCTCGTCCTAGCTATGACTATATCATCGCTGGCGGTGGCACAGAAGGTCTCACGATAGCTGATCGACTTGCAGAAGCCTTTCCAGACAGTAAGATCTTTGAATCGAGCAAAAGGAATTGATTAGTGACATGCTTCATAGGGACAGTCCTCGTCATTATGGCGAGGTCGAGTATGCACCTGGCGTTTTCGACCCTCCAACAACTGTATGGGGCGGTTCTAGTGCGAAAGCGGGATTCTCCAGTTTCAACCCATTGCCTAACCCTGACATGAACGAAAAGGTGGCGTCGGTGCTTGTAGGAAAGACTGTGGGCGGAAATAGTGCTATCAATGGTATGTACTTTGATCACGGATCTAGACATGACTACGACGCATGGGCCCAAATTGGAGATCCTGAGTTCAGTTGGGGTACGATCAAGTGGGACTGAGATGGCTTGTTTCCTTACTTAGGAAAGGAGGTGCGGATACTGCTCATACATCTGGGATCTGACTAACTGCGATGCAGAGTGTGACCTTCACTGAGCCGACCTCCAAGCGTGGCAGAACAGCATGGTTATACTTGGGATGTGTGCGCTTACGGGGGTACCACACCCATCTATTCAAGGTTTCCACTATTTTTGTGGGGCGAGGATAGCGTTTCCATTATATGATAAAACCTATTATATTATTGAATATCTACGACGATGTTACTAATCGGCGCTCGACTTTCACATCTGCAGATAGCTTTTGCAGCTCCTCACTCAGCTCGTCTGCCGCTGCATTTAGCTTCTCATCATCAAGAGCTTCCAATGCATCCAAAATGAACAGCACGTTTGATGTCCCGTCGCTCAACGCAGTCCTCGAGCATTGTCTCCAGTTCCAACGCCTGCAGGTCTAATCGTAGTCGTACAGAATCAGTATTCGTCTCCTCATATGCAGCTCATACAGTGTCACTTACCACGCCGCCATCGTCACACCATACTGCTTCTCCGGGACTTGGGTGCTCAATGACGATTTCGCCGCCAGATTTGGTGTCAAAGTTCTCATCGCCCTTTGCGCGTATCAGGAACGGGCTTCCTTGGTACTTATCCAGATCCTCGCCTCCCAAAGGAATCTGATGTTTTATTGAGATGGCGTTATATATATCCGTCAGTCGATTAACACGTGGTAGGCCTGCGTCAACGCGACGCAATAGCGCTTCGAGGCTGTTCATAGTCTTCTTGGGCTTTGCGCCGAAGGCCTTGTAGGCTTCTTTCCATTGCGCGACATGAGCAACATCATTGACTGGAGTTTTCGCAAGAGCTGCTTTAGCTGCTGCTTCAGCAGAAGATAGAAAGGCTTCGCTGGTCGCGTCGCAAGGGCCTGGTGGGATGTTGGTAACTACCATCAGCAGGGCGCGGTAGTCTGGTCGAAGCTGGAATATCTCTGGTGTGATGCGCGCATTGGCAAGATAGCTTGAGGGATCCTGGATATTCGCCATGCTCGAGGCGATTGTGGACAAAAAGCGAAGGTCAGCTGTGTGGCGCGCAAAAGACAATAATGAAAATGGGGAAGCTGGTACGATGACGTGCAGTGTGCGTGAAGATGTGTGTCTGAACATTTTTCAACCTGCTTTAATACTTATTCATTTACATACTGTTACAGTAAACGCTCTAAAATTACCATGTTAGGATGAAGACTACTACATTCGACCACAGGGCGTACATATGAAAGTCTCTGTTGACATGTTGACATGGCCGAGTCTAGCCTCTTTCTACGGGCGTCTAGCGCGTTATCGGGCTAGTTCTAGCGGAAACCGAGTCACCATCGTACTTCGTACATCGTCGCTTGCATATTATAGCTTCCCAAAAGTTGCAATCCCCACCACTCAGCATGTCGTTCATGGTCAATCCTTTTTCTCGATCGTCCCAAGCTGGAAACGCGTGGTTCTGCGCCGGTGCAGTGACGTTGTACCCAAATCTTGACGACTCTGCGCGCGTCGGTGAACAGCGCCCTTGCGGCGAAAAAAAGCATGTTCCAGGATGCCGAGTATTCCACGTGCCCCGCGATGACAGCTCCAAAGCAATTGAGGTAGCGATCGATGATTGGAAAGACCCTGAAGTCGGTGGCGATGCGAAAGATCAAGTAATGGTGTTTCAATACAAGGGAAAGTTTTGCGCTATCAACCACGTATGTTACGATACTCGGTGCTGTACGTCTGGCGCACATGTTAATCATAACAATTGCAGGAATGCCCACACTCATCATATCCACTCTCTAATGGCACGCCTTTCGATATTGAAGACTTTGGCGTTGTGCTGAGCTCAGGTATCCAATGTCCCAAGCACGACTGGTCTTTCGATCTGCATACCGGCCGGTCAGATCGCGGAAGCTACAGGCTCCAAGTTTGGGAAGTTCAGAAAAGAGCAGGCAGTGAAGGCGACGAAGTATGGGTCAGAAGAAAGCAAAGAATCGGATGATTTCACGGTATCGCATGCGCTATGCTCTACAGCTTGATACCCGTAACCTCGAAAGTCTGCACCATGTTCTTCTCAAACTTCGACCAGAACTTTGTCCCACTGATCGTAGTGTCGAGATACTGCACGTACCGATCACCGCTACCAATCTGGGTGCTCCACCGCGAAACAGTTGCCCCGGATGAAGGACGTCCCGAGAAGCCCGACAATTCGAAGTTCAGGTACTGCGCCGCGTCCCAGTTCACGGCTACGATAACCAACAATGACTTGCTCGCATCGTAAGCAGCAACGACGTTGTCTCGGCCGCCATCGAGGATCCGCATTCCTGGGCGCATATGTCTTGCAAATTGCGCAAGTACGTAATACTTCTGTGTGGATGAACCCAGCGTTTTCGCATCGTTGTCCGCGTCTATCAATCCCCACCCACCTTGGTCCAAGACCTGCCAGTACTCCCATGCTGTAGGTTTCAATTGGCGGAGATCCTGGAGGAGGTATCTAGCCATGTTCTCGCCAGAGGCCACACCGTCACCGTATTCACTGTTCCAGAGAGACTTTCCAGCCTGGGTAGCTAGCGTATGGACACCAGCGCGATCACCGCTTCCGTACTGGTAACCATGCACGTTGATCCTATCGATTTTGCTAAGTGCACTGTTACCAATTGTCTTCAGGGTGATAGCAGCTTGGTCGTAGTACGACTCATCGGATGCCGCAATCTTCGTCGACAGACCGCGGCTCGCGAGATGTGTATCGAGGAAGCCGACAATCTTGGCCTGGGTGGATACGTCGACGTGGCATCCTTCCTGCGTACCGTCTGCTTTCCACCAGTTGGCGCTTGGCTCATTGAACGGATCTACAGTTTCAAACTCGACCCCCCAGTTGTCCTTGAAATGCTTTGCTACATTCGCCATGTAGATCGCATGCTGCTCCAAGTTCCACGATTGGATGTTTTCGCTACCGTCAGCTGCACCTGAGGGGTTGTGGTTCTTTGTCATCCTAAAAGCAGTCAGTCTACGTCTCACATATCGCTTCTAATTGACAGCTACATACCACCACATCGGCGAGTTCGAGAACAATTCTGTTCTATCCGCTCCACGTGAGATCGCCTTCTGGAGCATGGCTCGTTGATTGACGTCAACGGACCTGGAGAACGAACAGTGGTCAGTAAGGAGACTCAGAGCAAATGAAGAAGGCGAGTATCATACCAGTTCCAGCTCGATGAGGACGAATCATTACTCTTCCAGTCTATCCAGTAGCCCTCCATCTGCCTCGATCTCTTCACGTTCGGCGATACTACCATCTTCTCCCCGTCGACGGCATTCCAGCTACATGCACCCGCATTGTACCGTACAATGTTGAAGCCAAGTCCTGGTAGGGTTTCACCGTTGAACTTGGTTTGCTTCAGCGTGAAGAAAATATCCGCAAGGTCATCTCTGTCGCCGAACTGTTGCGCCCACCATGCCAGCGAAGTTCCCCAGCCTTCCCACGTACCCCAGTTGCTCTTGGGGTCGATTGTAGTTGTAATATCGGCATTGACAGAGTAACTGCTAGCCAGCACCAAGGCCGTTCTGAGGAAGGTTGATGTGCGCATCGTAAACAAGTATCGAGTGAGGCCGCTATCGATCACTACATTCTTTCATCATTTCCACACTCTCCTTAAATACAGCAGTTGATCTCAATGTCAGCTTCTCATTCAGGTATCGCGTCCGCACACACCATCTAGTCACTAAGAATACACTTGGCTCTTGGAGCATGCGGGAAGCGGGGTAGTGTATACACGATGCTATAATACTACCTCGGCGCTTGGTGGCTATTTGGGAATGAGCTCTAGCAAGAACCGGTACACGACAATCCAGTTACAACTTCGGCAACATAGACAAATGAAGCCATTCCAAAGTCCTCCACGAATGAGATGATTGGAAAATCAATTCAAGGTGGCCGCGTGATAGACATCCAAGGAACCGGATTACTTCCGGAGTTACTCCGCGAACGAACTTTCGGTTTGCTGTGGGGCGGAAGATTTCGGCATACAAGTTCTTCCGCATTTAGACACTTTCAAACCTTGCGATGACGGCACTGCCACACATGCCGAAGCCCAATGACTATCATACGATGTGTTTAACGAAATTGAGTGATCCTTCCGCGGATAAGGTTCGGGTGTGGAGGCGGACGCTAGAGGGCTTGTCCCCACTATGCTTGCCACCGATCACGAGCTGTGGAGTGGAGAACATATCGGCTGACGGACTAAGTGACATCCGCGGTGCAATACGTACAAGCTAGGAAGTGAATTCACGATAAACTGGCATAACCAAGTAAATGTATCCTGCCTTAGACATGGCAGTCATCGCGCAAAGAAGAAGATGTCAAGGACTCGTCAGATATTACAGAATCTATTGTACGTGACTGTTCGCACATATACTATGGTACATCTAGAGAAGCTTTGCAGCTCCCACAGTTGAGTTACCACTTTCAGTATTATTGCCAGCAACAATACCATTTTCATCTGCCTGATTTAGCCAAGCAGCCTGGAGTCCCCAGACACCTACACTGGCCGTCACTGTCTCGTTCAAACCCGAAACCCTCAACATCATCGTGTCAAGAGGCTGCGTAGGGAAGAAGACGGAAGTCGCACTGAGTTCGCCACCGTTCAGGAAGATCTCGATAATGCTCCTGTCGACAATGCCAGAGATCCTCCAGGAGCCATCATTCTCGTTGTAAAGACCTGTAGCAGTGAACTTGTCGGTAAAGTAAGGGCTTTGGAAAGCGTCAGTCTTTCCGCGGTCTAGCCACACGTCGCCAGACGAGATAAAGGTGCCACCTGAGATTGACTCGCCCGATACGGAAGACTGGAAGATGAAGCTGATGGACCCGGCAAGGGAAGGACCACCAGTGATACCGGTAACGTTGGCTTCAAAGTAGAGCGCGCCTGACTCAACGGTGGAGTAGTCAACAAAGACAGTACCGTTACCAAGGGAGTCGTTGGAAGCCAACTCCGAATCGACGATAGACATGATGTTTGACGGGTACGAGATCAGCGACAGACCCTGGCGAGGCAGATCCTTTAGGTAGTGGCCTCTTGGCACCGTCATTACACTTCTGAAACCATCACCTACAGCCTCCCCAGCAGTGGGCACAACGTTGGTGTATTGCCAGTTGCTCGCCCAGTTAAGCGTAATCTGGTCTTCCTCGGTAGGAATACCATAGAAGAACTGTCCAGCATAGTTATCCTTTGCGAAATCCGTGAGCCTAGTGCGCGCATCGTCGGCTTCGAAATGCGTGCCGTTGAATGTTCCAACAAAGTACTCTGTGATAGATCCACCGAGCGGTGCGCCCGGATTGATTGAGATAAGCATAACGTATTTGGATTCGTCACTGTCGGTGGAGTTCTCCACGCGCATCTCGACCATGTTCGGGCACTCGTACTGCAGACCAGTGATACCGTAGTGGGAAAAGTTTGACGTAGGCGTCCAGTCGATGAGATTGGGACTGGTAAAAATGCCGACCTCGAAGTCGACGGGGTACGCCACAACCATGACCCAACTCTCGGTGGGCTCATACCAGATCACCTTTGGGTCACGGAATTGGGTGGGGTTGGTGCCACCGGGTACGATGACAGGGTTATTCTCATATTTGGTGAAGGAGTAGCCGTTGTCATACGAGTAGGCAATGTGCTGAGTCTGGTTCTCTGGAACATTGATGGTGTAGATTGCGACCACGCCGTTGGTCTGGTTTGGGAAGAAACCGCTAGTGTTATTCGAATCGATGACAGCTGATCCCGAAAAAACTCCTTCTGTGGGGCCGCCAGGGAAGAGAGCAATAGGCTGGTTGGTCCATGTATAGAGGTCTTCGCTAGTAGCATGACCCCAGTGCTGGTTGCCCGCAACGTTTGCGGTAGGGTTGTACTGATAATACAAGTGGTACACACCATCTTCATCAACATACATGCCATTAGGATCATCTGCAAGAGGAGTTGAATGTCAACAGTAGTCTCATAACTCTCGTGTCTCTGGAAACTTACTCATGAACCCTACGGGTGGGCTGTAGTGAACTTGAGGTCGGAGTGGCTCATCATAGTCGCCCGGCAATGGTGTTCCCGTCGGCACATCGGATTGCGAGTATGTCGATGTGCTCGTAGCCGATGCCGTTGTGTTGGAAGATACCTGTGCATGCCCAAACGTGAGCAGGCCGCCGATGGCTGCGAGGACGGAGAGATGGGAAGGCATGGTGAATTGGTATCCGGTCCGATACGGATCATATAGAGAAATACCACCAGCTTTATGCTTCTCCAAGACTCGTCCAAGACTCCGATGCTTCCCCAAGACTCCGATGCATCTAAGACTAGAGTGTAAAATTTTACATCCTCCGTGACAACGTAGGTAGGCGTGAGCGTGCCCCGCATCTTTTCCCCATTGTCACTCCGCTTATTCCGTAATGCTGGAAATTTCTTATGCGCGTAGTCGGCGGGTGCATGATGGAGTGGAACCGAGACAGAGGAAACGAGCCATACCGGAGCTTCCGAGAACGCGTTTTCCCCGCGGAACTCTGTAGGGCTATACCAACTCCAGCTAGACTCACAGTTGAAGTGAACGTGCGTTCTCGCGTATCCAGGTTGACGTTTAAACGTTAGGTTAGTGAGGACGGGACCGATGTGCAATGATGTCGTTAGACCTGCTAGCGCATACCATAATTCCTCCGAGAAACCTTCCATGCTCCGATCATGTCATGTATATGAGCAGTAAGCAAGGAGTGGCAGAGCGCTAAGGTAGAACCGCACAGAATAGGGCATTGGAGAGCTGATTTCTCATCAACATCCTTGTGTTATTGAATTACTCGTGCATGCAACGGGTCTAAGGTGCGATTGCGAAGTCCCAAACCTGTACTTTCCTTGTTCCGAAAGGACCACCTTGCCTGATAAACAAGCTCAATACATTGAACTTGTCCAACCTTTCCTCATCCACCAATGGCTCGCCTGCAGAGTTTGGGATTTCCGCCAACTTCTTCCAGTCATTGTAGGCGCCTCCTGCTGTCGCAGCCCAGATCTGAACAGTCATCTTAGGCTGGTCTGGTAGGATAGCAATCACATTGTCGCCTGAAGCGGCGATCTTGCCTCTATAAGCGAGGTATGGCGGTGTTGAGAGACCGGACGTCTTGATAGCAGTCTTGGAAAATTTGCCCTCCGGGGTTCGAAGGTAGTGGTAAAACTGCGCCGTACCCGTCGAGTTGTCACGCATGAGAGCATGAAAGCGACCTTTCTGATCGGCGCATTGGGCCTCCTGGTTTATAATCTCGCTGTTTTGTGGGATCGAATATATCTTTATGCCGGGCGTTGTCGGCGTAATGGGCTTTGCGACGGTTTGGCCATTGGTCTGCTTCCAAGTCTTGCCATCGTCTTCCGACATGGCGAAGTAGAAGTCGTGGTTCGTGCTCGCTGTAGGCGTTTCGCGGACGGTCCATGAGACGAAGAGCTTTCCACCTTGGTTACTTATGCCGTTGATGTATGCATTGTTGTCTTGACCTTGCAGGTATTTCCCAACAGCGCTCCATTGTGAAGAGCTTGTAGAGTATCGATGAATGTACGAGTCACCAGCACCGGACTGTCCGATCCGGAACTCCATGAGAAGGTCACCATTGTCGAGACGTTCAAAACGAGGGTATGTGAGTGGTGTCCATGGCCCGGTCGAGCCAGGCAGACTGTGCTGGACAGCTCCAAATGCACTGGCGGTCCACTCTGATGGAATTGTTTTGGCAATGCCTGTGTTACTCGCACGATAGTTAAGTGGCACATCGTGATGGTCGAAGCTCAGGTGGATTCTGCCATCACCGCTGATTCCCATGCTAATGGTATTGTGTTCGTCCAAAGTAGTTTGCACATAATCGGTGAATGCAAAATATTGCCACTCTCCAAGCGCAGGTGAGATCTTGCGCCGCCCTAAGTTGACGTAGTGCTTGCCGTACCCAGAAGCAGTTTTGTAGAAGGCTACATATTGGTAGTCGCCGAAAGTGGTCAAGGCGTGTTGTTGGAAAGCAAGTCCATTGAGACGGACGGAGCCTTCTACGTCATTTGTGATGTTCCAATTCTGCGTTTTCGTGATGGAGAGTGCTGAAGCAATTGAAGATAGCGCGGCTAAGCACGCGAACAACGATGAGGCGACTTTCATGGTTCTGGTCGTGGGTTATTCCACATTCTCGGAAGGCCAACGCGTGCTCCAATATATATGCTGGCTACTTTACGGCGCGAATGTACGACAGAGCTTCGGATGAAGTCATCTCCTAGTGTACGTACGTGAGCCGCGTGACTAGCCCGACTCTTCTCAAAGCTTTTTTCTAATTTGTGTATGCTAGGCTTGATCATCTGAGGAAGGCAATGCATCCGGCATGCATCGACATTGACCTGCATCGGGAAATCGGGGTATTGCTGCGACGGAGGCGGGGAAGCTGGGGTAGTGCCATTATGGTTCTCTGCCGGGCCATGATTGAAGCGATGTGTTCAACACTGGACCGGAAAAATGACAACTCTCCAGAGCGTGCAACGGCGCATGCCTGAAGCCCATGAAGGCCTCGGTAGTCATTGTCGCGCATTTGTGCTTCGCATAGAGGGGGTGCACAAGTACTGGTGAGCGTTAGTGCACAGTTTCGAGAGACGCCGTCGATACGGGAGCCTAAAGGGCCTTGAAAGTCGCGTCACCACGACAATCTGGGCGGTTGAATGTTTTCTACTATCGAAGGGTGCAGACGCCACTGACGTGTGGCACATTTCGTAGCGACTTCTTGCATCGGAACGGTTCCGAGCCTGGATCCCGCGTCTTCTCGCGCGCGTGTCGCGTCGCCTTCCACCCTCCTTCCGATACCGCCCTCACTACCGCCTCAATGCCTACAATAGCCATCGTGGTACACTGCAAGAGCCGCAGAAATGCCGCTCCTTAGCGATAGCGACTCATTACACGCCTATCTCCGTAGTAAAAGTACAGGAAACGACACCAGAAAAGGCAGGAGCAACTGCAGCCAAGGGCCATTTCTACTTGGCAAACTACTCCAACAGGCAAAAGCGTGTCTTGACTGACGTATCGCTACCATGCAAAGATGGGGGCAGAAGAGAGGAATAAAATATGCCAGGTGCGCAAATTGATGTTTGACACTTGGTCGACAGTTTCGAGGTGATATCGGACGAAGATGCGCTCATCTTCGATTGCCCTCTTCGCAGTGTCTGCGCTTGCGCAGACTCAATATGGCGAGAACCATGTCAATGTAAACCTTGACTCGCAGCTTGTGGAGCAGACAGCCTTTCCAGCGCCGGATGTGACACTCCTGAGTCCGGCGTTCTTGCCGAACGCCTCGTTTGATCCGGGCTGGACAGAGGGAACCGAAGGCGCAACCTCCCAATACAAGTTGGGTACGTCAATGATGGATGTGCAGATCTGCTACAGACACGAAACCTAACATAAGCAGAGGAATTCATAAGCGGCCTTGCGACAAAGAACCCTTCATGGATGACCTACGACGTAGCCGACTTCCTGAGCGAGGAGGGCAAGACATTCCCATACGTCTACCTATCAACGTCAGCATCAAATGCATCTACTGGTTACGCCACCTCTGAGAAGTTGAGAGTATGGATTCAAGGCTCAGTTCATGGTAACGAGCCGGCAGGCGATGAGGCTACTTTGGCCCTCCTCGGTGCCATGGACAGCGATCCAGATTGGGCTGCCAGCTTCCTTGAAAAGATGGACATCATCGTGTTACCACGCTACAACCCGGATGGAAACGCTTACTTCCAGCGCACCTTGGCCACAAACTTCGACCCGAACCGCGACCACACGAAGCTTGCGCGCCAGCAGACCCGTGATATAAAAACATGGTTCAGCAGCTTTTCCCCACATATCGCCATTGACATGCACGAGGTAAGATCAGGTTGTACGGGATACATGTAAATCATATGCTGACTCTATTTCTGTAGTATGGTGCCGCAACACGCTACTCTGGCAACTATAGTAATGCTGCAGATGGCATGTACAGCGCAGCCAAGAACCTCAACATCCATCCATCCATCCGCGCGCTCTCCGAGACGGTCTTTGCTCCTGCCATCAATGCGTCTCTCCTCTCCCAAGGTCTACGTGGTGAACCCTACGTCACCGCTGCGCGAACAAACCCACCTCGGCTTGAGGAAGCAGGAACCGATGCGAAGATTGGACGCAACGCAATGGGACTGACACAATGCGTAACGTTTCTCTTCGAAACACGCGGTATCGGTATTGCAAGCCAAGAGTTCAAACGTCGCACCCTCGCAGGATTGCAGATGATTCTTGGTGTGCTGGAGACTGCTCGTGATGAGCCTGATGTCAAGGGAACTATCGAAGGGGCCATTTCAGAGATCATCACTAGCAAGGAGGACATCGTTATTACCGACTACACCACCTTTTCGAACCGCACGTACACCATGGTCGATCGTCGAACAGGTGAGGTAGTCCAACTACCCATTGAGTTCGCCAGCACTACGCCTGCGACTGCCAACATGACCCGCACCCGGCCTGAAGGGTACTTTGTTCCTCGCGCTTGGGCTGACCTCGCCGAGCGTCTCAAGATCTCTGGACTTGAGGTCGAGACCATGCCTGAGGTGTTCCACGGAGAGGTTGAGGCATACAACATCACTTCTTCAAGCCTCGCTTCATCGTACTACGAGGGCGCTATTCTCAACACCGTGACCACGGAGACACTTATTCAAGATGTTCAACTTCCGGCAGGTAGCTTCTTCGTGAGCAGTGCGCAGAAGAATGCAGGACTAGCTTTTGTCGCGCTGGAGCCTGAGAACATCGATTCTTATGTGTCCTTTGGCATTGTGCCTATGGAGGTTGGAGATATATATCCCATTTTCAGGAAGGGTTGAAGACAAGTGCTTTTTTCATCACGTACCAACTTTGGCTCATTAGCATAAGTAGAGTAAGGAATATAGCGTGATCACAGCTGATATGTTAGCCGGCACTGGCTGGGATGAACTCAAAATCGGGAAAGTTGTGGCAAGCTTTGATATGACGATGTTGAGGGGGCGTGAACTCATCTCTAGAGGGCGACAAGTATCGCAGATATGAGTAATTGCTAGGAACATCTCTAGGCCAGGATACTCTCGAGTCCACAAGACACTCTCAAAGAAGCCACTCCCTCCACCACGTAACAGCCCTATCCTTCGCCTTGACCATGGCCTCCCTCTCTCCTGGAACCGTCTCGTCCCCCTTTGTCAAACATCCATGACTGACACCAGGGAAGTGTATCCACTCTACCGGCAAACTCTTCTTGTCCAACACCAACTTCTTAAAAGCATACAGTTTCACCTCATCGGAGAAGATTGCGTCATGCTCAGGCTGTAGGAACATGATCGGCACGTTCAAGCCATCGAAATCCGCCTCGGTGATCATGGAAGGGTGAGCGCAAACCACGCAGTCGACTAACTTCTCGGTCGCAAGACGCAACACGGCCCAACCGCCCCAACAGTAACCCGCCGCTCCGATCTTCTTGTAGCCAGAATCTCGGAGTGCTTGAACGCAGGCGAAGACTTCGGGCTCGCGGACGGAGCGGCTGTTGCGTGCTTTGAAGCCTTCCATGTCTAGTTCAGCCCATCTGCCGGCTTTAATTAAGGAGAAGTCGAGAGACTCGCCACCGAAGAAGTCAGGCATGTAGACTGTAACGTTTGCCTGAGCAAGAACTGTGTTAGCAAGTTGACTTGAAATCATGGATGAGAAGTACGAAGACGAACTTCTTTGGCAAAGTGGTCAGCCAGAAGACGGTTGTTCTTGAATCTCCAGCCCAAGCCATCATGGATGATAAGGACGGCAGCCTCAGAGTTCGATCCGGTGATGTAGGTTGGGTTGTCTGCGAGCTTCGATTCGTGACCGCTCGGGGTACCGGTCCAGTTGAATGATTTGAGACAGCAAGGTTCAAAACCTCTTGGAGATGTCATGGTGTGAGCGCTGTATGCTTTAAACAGAGATTAGCCCAAGAGAATATGAAGTATATGCCAGAGAATGTTGGTCCAGTATTGTAACGGGCAACATCTGTCCCTGTACGGTGTGGGATTTATATCTGGCCCAGATCCGAGCATCATAAAATCCGAGTACCTTATAGCCCGAGTGTCACATAGACCGAGTATGATGGAACCACCAACGTGAACGCCGTAACGGGGTTATCGCTGGCTACGCGTAGGTAAATTCCGATGGTATATACGGATCGGATGGTAGCATGCGATGCCAGTGCCAGCGCTATGATCTGACGCCAACCTGAAAGCGTACAAGAATCGGTTCGCTGGGTGGGGTTTGAGGAGGTTGAACAAGCGAGGCCCGGAGTTAAAGTTGGCTTTGTGCCGACGAATGCTCGAACCAATGATTACTATTCTTTTCGAACAATTGACTCTTCACTGTGGATATACAAGTATTGTTTACAGCAAGAAATTGGACGCCTAAATCATCTGCGTGTCTTGATGCAAGGTCATGTGTCGTAAAAGTGAAAAGATAGGAAACGCCTGTTGAAAGGCTTATGCGTCTAACGATGCAACGCAATATGCCCGCCCACGTAATACAAAGTGAGAGTGATGAACTCCTCACGCAAACGCCAGTCCCATGTAACGCCAATGTGCAAAGTCGTGCAACGGTAGCACATGATGCGGGGAATGAAGTCAACTGTGACTTCGACTCCTCCGGACTTTCTCGCCCAATGTCATCCCTACCGCCTGTTGATAAGGTTCAAGAATTCCTGACGGGTCTTGTCTCGTGACCGCATGCATCCGAGCATGCAGCTTGTAGTTGTTGTTGCGCCCGTCTTCTGAACGCCGCGCATGACCATGCAGAGATGGCTCGATTCGACTACAACTGCGACACCTTGTGGTTGAAGCATCTCAGAGAGGGCGAGAGCGACCTGCTTGGTGAGGCGCTCTTGTACTTGGAGACGGCGAGCAAACATTTCGGCGATACGAGCGAGCTTGGACAGACCGATGACGCGGCGGTTCGGGATGTAGCCGATATGCATCTGTGCAAGAGGTCAGCTGTCATTTTCTGGTACTGCATGAGACGAGAGGATGTCAGAACTCACCTTGCCCATAAAGGGAACCAGATGGTGCTCGCAAAGGGAGAAGATCTCGATGTCCCTCACAATGACGAGCTCGTCATGGTCCTCATGGAAGACAGCACCGTTGACGATGTCTCGCAGGTTCTCTTCGTAGCCCTTTGTGAAGAAGAGCAACGCTTTCGCGTAGCGCTCTGGTGTGTCGAGCAGCCCCTCGCGGTCGGGATCTTCGCCTAGACACTCGAGCATAGTCCTGACAGCGCCGGACAGCTTCTTGAGGTTCGCCGCCTTCTCCTCCTCGGTTGCCTCCTTCCTCTCCCGCGTACCCTTGCTGGGCCAGCTAAGCCCGTCGAAGTCGATGGTGGGGTGCTGCGTGTACGGGCTGTGGGCCCGGCTGGTCGCGAGTGGTGTTTGCGCAACGGCACCCTCGAAAGGGTCCTCGGCGTCTACTTGACCGTTCGCCATGACATGGCGGTTGTCAGTGTGCATGTTCGCGACGGAAGACTTGGTAGGGAAGTAGCTAGTCGGCCCGTCAAAGTTTACTGGCTGGCGGCCCCGGTTGGACGTCTCTATAGCATGAAAGAGATGCTCTCGCTCCTTCTTGTCGCGCGCCTCGGTGGTAAGTCTGAGGGGGGATCCGCCGTTCATCATATGTGAGGGGACCGCGGACTTGGGCTTGGGCGAGTCGGAATCCATGATGGCGGGGAGTCTGGCTGGACTTTTAACTTTTCTGTGGGGAAAGAGTCTGTACTAGGTGGACGAGGATAAAAACTACAGAGTCAGAGAGGGCACAAGGGCCAGGCAAGCATGTTCGGACTGGCGCATGGCTTCCGCAGAAGAATAGTACTGCGGCCCGGGTCTGTATGACTACAATGGAATAACTTTGTCCTAACCGTCGAAATGGGGACTAGCGTTCCGTACTTGCAATGACGCCACACCTTCCTCACGCTCTGACCAGGTCTGCACGTGATAAGCGGGCAGGCGAGCAGCAGGGCAGGAGCGCCAGTTAACACAACTACCACCCGTTCCATACCCAACCCTCCATCATCATCAACACATGCTTCGCTAGGTACGCACAACATCGCCAATACCGCTGGCGCCTCGTTTGATATTCACGACATCTAGCGACGATGCAGAGCATGGGCAAATCGCCATGAAGAGGCCTTTTTAAGGGCCCTTGCTTGGTCCCCGCAGCTTTACCTTATCGTACCACCAGCACGGCACATTCTCTACAGCACCGCCCATCTCTATTCTCGAGCCACGGCGCAATTTATGACGCGTCACGACACCATGGTGCGACATGCATCGAGGGAGGACTAGGCGTCCACTGGCGACGGTGGTGAAGGTGGATTGTCACAATTACCTTGGCCTCTTGCTTGGACATCTTGATAATACGCCTGCGCAGTCGTGTACTAAATACGCACTGTGCCTCACTCTTGACATATACTGCGTCTAAGTCGCGTCTTGGATGGGCTTTGTCTCGCCTGCTTGTCGCTCTCAACCCTCAGTTCCCCCTCCGGGCCAGGGCGACAATTACCATACGCATGTCGCTCACCTGCGTATGCTTCTGGCTTGTGCTGGAACATATACACGTTTGTCGCGTCACTTGTCTTTGACGATTACTTGGACGACAACTTGGACGACAAGGTGAGCCTGGTTCACGTATTGAAGCTTCTCGCGTCTGGCTGCCTGTGTGGAATACTCCCAGACCCAAAGGCTCTAGGCCGCAAGGTTACATCTACGGCGCTTCCAGCACTCGACCTACACCACTTTTCTTCCCTTGCACAAGACGAGGTATTGAGTTCCCGCATCATGTGCATGCTTGCCCGGCTGGTCACAGCGTGCGAATGCTCACGATGAGCGATGATTACGACGACCTCAGTTGAATCACAACAAGATCAGTGTTCAGGTCAGCCAAGATTCATCTCTTGGTGTATTCCGTTATTGTGGTCTGAAATATCGCCCTCCCAGAGTTGCTACGGTCTGCTGCTGAGAAGTGCTTTATCTGTTGCTTCCAAGGGGCAGGGTGGTCTTCGGCAAGGTAGCGGTGGTATTGCTTCGCATGTTTTATGTAGATGTCGTGAAGCCGTATGGCACATCTGGTGGACAGCAACATGATATACAAAGTAGAAGACGTGGGAAGGATGTGCTGAAACAGATGAAATCGGGGAGCAGGCTGGCATCTTGGGCGTCATGGAGGGGCTTCCATGCACTGAATGAGGGCGACCTTGATCACGGGGCTTGGCGCTGTCGATAGCGGCTGGCGAAAGACCGACGAGCGAGAAGGCACTGCGGCGTCTGCGGCCACGACAGCAACATCGAGGAAAGCGCATCACCGGCAGCACATCTGGGAGTGTATTTCAGTCGCAGCCGCATCTTTTGTTGTTTTCCAGTTCTATTACTACTTTGTCGTAAGGCTGAGAGCAAGGTGCTTGAGTTTCTTGTTGCTCGGTTAGGCCGTGGCACTTTGACCCGCGGACCTCTTGATGCTGCAACCTTGCGCTTTCTGATGACCTTCCTGCCTCTATGGCTGCCCTGCGACGGGCTCAGGATATAGACCAGTGGAGACCAGAGGACTCGTCTATTCGGGATAGAGAGCGATCCAGGGAACGGTCACGGGAGAGGAACATCGAAGCCCGAACATCGTCACCAGTGCCACGAGCTGCCAGAGACTCCTCCAGACATCGCGCACCAGACACGCACATCCGATCATCGGCCAGGCACGTGCGAGGACGTTCTCGCGAGAGAAGTTTGAGCAGAGAGCGCGCGCGTCGCCGCAGTCGCAGCACCTCTGGGGACCGCTATCGAGCTTCGAAGAGGGAAGCCAGCGCAGACAGGGTTTCCCACTCACATCGACACCACCACCATCGCGACACGACTCCATCCTCAAAACGCCACCACCCGCGTTCTCCATCTCCGAGAGGCTCCGCGAAACGCGTAAAAAGACAAAGGAGTCGTAGCTCTATACGCTCCACGTCCAGATCACGACGTGCGTACTCGCCGGGTCGACCTCTCAGCAGGGCATACTCTCCACGACCTGCACGCTCCGATCGCGACCGACCGCCTCGAAGGCCCACGCCCGATACATACTTCCCGACGGCTTCGAATCGTCGCCGCTCTCCCTCCGTCGACAGTCATTATAGGCCAGTGGCGCATCGTTCACGGAAGAAATCAGTTTCACTGGAGAGGAGATCTAGGCGTGAAATATCGCCTCGGCGAACGTCACCGGGAAGGACTGATCGTAGACCTATTTCGCCGTTCAACGACCGCAGGGAACGATCATACAAGTCTTACAACAACCGCGACAGGGCAAGAAGTCGTAGTCGAGCATCCAGACGTGCTCGATCTCCCTCTCGCCCGCCTCGTAGACGATCTCCAGATTCAGTTCGCAGAGACTCGCCGCCCCCGCGTAGGAGTCGCTCGCCTCGCTCATCCCTTCGACGTCGTCCATCCCGATCGCCCTCATTTACATCAAGACCTCGCCAACGTTTGGACCAAGGAGCAGATTCTGGCAAACCTGCCCTCGCAGATAGGATCACCTCACGTCGAGGCTCACCAGCACCTGGATCAGGGTACAACTCTGACGCATCCAAGAGCCGGGAAGACCAAGGCAACATGAGGGGAGCATATCATTACCAAGGGCGTGGTGGGTTTCAGCAATCTCCACCGTATGCTGCCCAGAACCAATATTCTCCTCAAAACCAGTCCCCTTATCATGGTGGTCGAGGCGGTTGGAACAACCAGCCATATCCTAATCAAGGGTTAGTTCTAGTCCCGTTGGCCTTTAGTCATTCCCATGCTGACATCATCAGGTCTCCCACGCAAGGCTATACTCCAAACCAGTCCCCTTACCATCAAAACCAATCGCCCGGTTACTATCCAAATCAGCCGTATCCACAACCTGGCTTTCAAAACAGCCCTCACCGCGGAGGTCATGGCAGTTACCGCGGCAACAACTTCAATGGTCCCGACCGACGCATGTCAGGCCCTGGCACAAATCCTCCGTTTGGCGGGCCTGGTGGACGAGGGCGTGGTACTGCGCCTACACAATTTTCAAACCTGTCATGGACGCCAGCATCCGGCACTCGAGGCGGCCGCCCCGCCACTGAAGCACCACGCCCACAGCCCGCTGTCGCGTCCCAAGCTCCTGCTGATTCTGCATCTGTCGACGCCGACGATAATCCATTTCGCCCATCTAAAGACTTGCGCGTAGAAGACGAAGGCCCTAAAGAGGAAAAAAGACCGGTGAAACCTCCAATGGCGCCAAAGTCAGGGTTTGGGTTTTCGTTAAAGACAAAGAACCCAGTACCACCAGCGAGTAAAGCAAAGCCTGGGTTGGAAGAGTCCGAGAGACCAGAACCAGTTCCTAAAGAATCTCCTCTTGCTCCCAAGGCAAAGGTGGTAGCCCCAGCGCGCGAAGCTTCCCCCCGCCGCCCGGAACCAAGAAGCGACCGAGATCGAGACTTCAGGGATAGAGGTTACGACAGCGGTCGCGAGCGGGACAACAGGGAACGAGACCGGCGATATGACAATTATTACGACCGGAAACCGGCTTACCGAGATGTACGGGATCCTCGCGACAGAGACGCTCGAGATGTACGGGATCCTCGAGAACCTCCATACTATCGTGGCAAAGAGCGGGATTTCCGAGAGCCACGAGACAGAGACTTGCGTGACCCGAGAGACATAAGAGATCTACGTGATGTTCGTGAACGGGATCCCCGAGACCTGCGCAGTCCTCGAGATCCCCGAGATATCAGAGATCGCAGAGAGCCATACCCACCACGACGACCTGACGATAGACGGTTTGACCCTCGCCCCGACCCGCGCTCCGATCCGAGACCTGCTCGAAGGACACCACCACCTCAAGTACCCAAGACAAGGATTGTTACAAGAAAACGCATGAAGCCCCGACCTACTCTGGTTCCTGAACATGCAGCTTCGGAGTCAGTGTATTACAGGAAGCCAGGTAACGAATCGGTAGTTGGATCCGGTACATACGGAAAGGTGTTCAAGGGTGTCCATGTTTATACAAAGGACATGGTTGCCCTCAAGAAGATCCGAATGGAGGGTGAACGCGATGGCGTAAGTACACCCAACAAGCGATGATACGACAATGCTAACAACTATCAGTTTCCGGTTACCGCGATTCGCGAGGTCAAGTTGCTGCAATCTCTCAACCACGCCAACATCGTCAATCTACGAGAGGTCATGGTTGAGAAGAACGACTGTTACATGGTTTTCGAGTACCTATCGCACGATCTCACTGGTCTTTTGAATCACCCGACCTTCAAGCTTGAACAATCACACAGGAAAGATCTGGCAAAACAGCTCTTCGAGGGGCTAGACTACCTCCACCGTCGCGGCGTTTTACATCGAGACATCAAGGCTGCGAACATCCTAGTGTCAAACACCGGGCAGTTGAAATTGGCAGATTTCGGTCTCGCACGATTCTACGCGAAAAGCAGCAAGCTTGACTATACGAACCGAGTCATCACCATCTGGTACCGATCACCGGAGCTGCTGCTGGGAGAAACTCAGTATGGGCCGGCTGTTGACATTTGGTCAGCCGCTTGCGTACTGGTGGAGATCTTCACACGACACGCTATCTTCCCAGGAGATGGTGGCGAGATCAACCAGTTGGACAAGATCTACAACATACTGGGCACGCCCACCGTGCAGGACTGGCCTGGCATCGTTGATATGCAGTGGTTTGAACTACTGCGCCCAACTGAACGGAAGCAGTCAACTTTCGAGGAGAAGTACAAAGATCGTGTTAGCCCTATGGCCTTCGAGCTCCTCCAAGCCATGTTCCTTTTCGATCCCAACGCGCGACCCACGGCCGCCGACGTACTCGAGCACCCTTTCTTCACAAGCGAGGCGCCGCCGCCGAAACGCGCTGATGCGCTGAAGGAGCTGGAGGGTGACTGGCACGAGTTCGAGAGCAAAGCCCTCCGGAAGGAGAAGGAGAAGCAAGACAAAGAGGCGCGGCGTGTCGCGCGGGAAGAGAAGGATACAGCGAGGAAAGACGAGGGTAAAAGACGCGCTGACGCAAATGCCGGGGAAGAAAGGGAGGCTAAGCGAGCGAAAAGCGGTGATGCAACGGCGTAGAGTGCCGGGATATTCCACCCGAAGCCGCGATAGCGAAGCTGATTAGATAGCGTAATGTTTGTATGGCTAGAGGTATGTTCAATCTTCGCGCGACTTGCAGACGGAATTCGATGTATGTATGTCCGTCACACTTCTTGAATAGATATAAGATACCTTTTCTCCACTTTGACATTAAATGGCTCTTCCATCGTTCTCTGAACCGGTTGTTAGTAGCAAAGTCTGCTGAATGGAGAGATGGTACGGTCAAAGGTGTCTAGCCGACTTTAAGACCTTACTTAGTTACCGTGTGGAGATCATGGAACTTTCTCTCGGCCGCTCCTTAAGTCCGACAAGCATCTTACCAAAGAGAGACGGAATCATTATGCACCTGCTCTCCCATTTCTGCTGTCCTCGGATCTTCTTGACCCTCAATCTCGTAACGGCCAAAGGGTGACCCTGGCGTAAGTAGTGCATCTGCGTACCTGAACCAGCAGATCGTAGACGGGCCTGTGTGCGTAAGAGACGCTTTAAATTATCGCCATAGCTGACCCGACTCAACACAGAAAGTGAAGCATCGCTACAATCCTAGCCCGGATCTGATGTGTCTAGAGCTTGGGTTGATGTGATGAAGAAGAGTCGTACGAAAGTTGTCATGCTGGAGAAGGCGCTAGTCTGGTGCTGCCCCACGCGGAGATGCCGAGAGACGAACAACCGCATTGTCAGACTTGATATCTGTCAATCAGAAGCTCTATCGACGTGCCGGGAGCGTTCGCCGTAAGAAGTGGGGATAGCTTAGCGTGCATCTCAGCTGCGGTGGCTCAACATTCGGCTGAATACGGCATAGCACGGAAACTCCTTTCCCGTATTCGACTTGTCCTAGTGGACCCCTGCGTGGGAAGTGCCAAACTACGGGTAGGACTTGAAGGTTTTTGCTTGTGTCCGCGCGTTGTTATGATCCCTTCGAGACTGCTAAAGAGGTTCTCCCGTCACACACAATCTCCGCTCTCTTTTGTCTGTGGCTGGCTGGATTGCGCCACTTTTGTTTCCATTACCTTTTTAGGCGTGTAGAGCGCTCGATCGGGAAATAACAACAACGATGGTCTCGTGGCGGCCGGAAACGAGATTGGAATGGGCTTTTTTTGGCACTACTGCGGTGCAAGCCCTTACGAATATTACTATACAGATGTTCGTATCACCCCGCAAAGCCTAGTATTGGAACGATCGCTTAAACGTCTCTAGGGTTATACTCGTCGTCTATCTTAACTGGGTCAACTCAGTGGTATACCAAGTACCACTTTCCTATGTCACGCCCTTGACACTCGCTGTCAATTCTTTGGGATGTCTCTTCCAACTCATATTAACGCTGGATGCATATCGGATCAAGAATCACATCCAGGTCAGTAATATCACCTCACGGACTGCACGTGAAACACGTACTGACTTCGTGCATCGGTCTTTAGATCTTCGCGCAATGTGTTGCCAACATATGCTTGTCAATATCGACTGTTCTTCAATACGGCGAAATCCGACACGCAGCTGACAGGATCCTTCTTAATCACGATATGTATGGCACACCCTTTGCAGATCATGATTGGCCTTTCTGGAAGAAGGTCTCGATCGGCTTGATGGTTTGTCTAGTTGTCACATGCGTTTGCAGTGCCATCATGTGCGGATTAGCCAGGGGACTATACCGTGAGTTTTCCTGGGCTTTGTACCAACACGTCAGTCCTGACAGGAAGATACAAACAAAATACATGATTTATCAGGTGAGCATTCTCGCTACCATCGTTTTCTGACTGTACTCACGCAAAGTAGATCTACCTTGTCCTTCTCAAGATCACACCTTACTTCGTCTTCGCATTCATATTCATTTACGACTTCATCGACGTCCATTACAAAGAGCCCGAGTTCTCGTTGACTCTCTCAATCCTTCCGGCTACTCTTATACACGTGGCTATCGCAGTCTATTTTGTAAGGCATGAGCGCTGGATTGGGATGGGGTTTGCTTTGGTGCGTCCTTCGATTCTTATAGACTGACACTCGCTAACACTTCATGTCGCAGCTCCTTCATGCCGCAACAATTGCATATCTGATTAGCAGACTGCTCGTTCTTTACGGGCATACGCTACTTTCTAAAACTTTGATGAAGGATGAGATGGTATTCTACTCTTGCGTTGCGCTGGGCTTCTCGACTCTTGCGTTCATTGTAGGAATTGTTTGCTTGTTCAACTTCAAGAAAGGACTGAGACCGATTCTATTAGGCCAGGTGCAGCGCAAACCGCGAGCGCATGAGCTAGAAGACGATTACTATGTTCAACGTCTAAATTACAACGTGGTGCCGTTGGCTGATCGCGATTCGCAGAGGTGGGCTTTGGACTGAGGAGTAACGTCTCTCATGCCAATGAAAACAGGATGCTTTTCTTATGTAGATTTAATGACGGGGATCATAACCAGCCGGTTCAGGCTACATAAACATTGTAATTTACTAGCGCTGCCTAAGCCTTTTCTTGCACTCCAATCTCAACTTTCGGCACGCTCGAGCGCTCTCGACAACCATTGGCCGACTGCAACATATCAGCATATGAAGTTTCTTTTCGAGTAGCGGGTACGCGTTCAACGTTAGGTCGAGCTTTTGCATTGTGATGGGCCCGATGCCCTCGGTGAGCCCACCGTCGTGTAGAGAGATGTGTTCTGGCTCGAAACAGTGTTTAATCACATGATAAAAAAATCCTTCAGTATGAAAGGGAGCTGCACCGACCGTTGAGGGTTGAAGACGAGAACTTTCAGCCAGGTAGATGCTTGGCGAATCGGTCAAGCCTGTGTCGTTACAGGTGTATATGACAACGACGGGTTTGCCAAAAGCCTAGTCTGGCAGTGTCCTGTTCACAAGCCTACCCGTTCAAAACAACCTCGTATTTCTTTCTTCCTTCGCTACAGTTACCTTTTGCACACTGTAAGCCCCTATCGCTCGGTACTGGGCGATTCTTCGCTAATACCCACGTCCATGTGTCTGCTAATGAAGACCCAGAGGGATGCATGTCTGCGCGATGTCCGCCACCCTGTGTTTGCACACCAGCTACAGGGGTATTGCTCAGCAGGCTCATTGCTACAAAACACGACAACATACCAGTCAGCCTGAGTTGCATTCACATATATGCCAATCGTTTGCTTTGCAGCGGTCTCCAGGGCGCGCGCATGCTGATACGGATGTGAACTGAATCGATAAAATGATCGTTTGTGCTAGGAAGGCTAGGCATATGAGTAACGACTTCATGGCTTTGTTCGAGACTTTAGGGTGGGCAAACTTGGCTCATAGATATAATGAGTAAACTGTCTCACTACGTGTGTGTAACCGTTGTCTTTAGTCGTCGTGCAACTTGGCCATTCGTTTGCCTTTTGCGGGTAAAACCTCTCACCGTAACGCAACATCCCCTGTACTCTCTGTGGTTATTGGGCAATGAGCTTTTTTGTAACTTCACATGATTCTAGATATAGTCTCGCAGGAATCAATCAGTAGCACAAGATAGGCTTGAATCCTATCAGAAGATCCCGTGGAGAACACTATATCAAGAATGTTCAACAGGTCACGTTAGGTACGGCCTACCAGGAGCAGACACGATGTGATTGAAATACATCGGGTCTGATGCGGGCGAAAACATCCATGAGCGGACAAGGAAAGAGCATGTGTAGTAGTTGCCGCGCGATATGTGGAATCGAGTAGCCGCATCACTCCGGAAAGAACGTGACTTCGTAGGTTAGTCTGGTGGTATGAAGCAACATCCAAAAGGCTACATGTTGACTTCTACGTTCATTAGTAAAATGATTGAGTAGCGAAGCTTCCGGACCCACGTACCTTGTACCCACGTTCATTGCCCAATCCGGATACTTGATGAGCGTATGTGCAACGGAAGGAACGATGAAATTCCGCAAGCGTGCATCACAAACAGCCATGCGCACAGCAAAGCGAAACGAAATTGACCCTGGGGATTTGTTGCTTTCTCTCCCGAAGAACGACGGAAGTTTAGCAATGCGAACTCCTGTACTTCATTGCTTCTTCTCCGCCAATAGTGGGGGTTATGACTACATAGGTAGCGTCGACCACCTGTACCAGTAACCCTACCTAGATGATCGCTGCGGAAACTCGACGCGACGTTTCCCAACCGCCGGCTCTTCTATCTTCGCTTATTGTGAATATCATGCTACAGATATCTTTCGGATGTGGGTCACTCTCCAATGGCAGTCGTCATCTCATCGACCAGCCGTCCCCGACGTGATCGATTGCATTACCACGGTCCGATCCAGCGCTTCAAGAAGCATGATTGGCTTACAGCTTCTCCACTGCGTGGAAGGGCACACGCTCGATTAGGACTATCGAAAGCTCAGACGTCATGTAGCGGCCAAAAGAAGCAAGCGACGTCTAGCGATGGAGCGAGGGTGCTATAGCGCGGCCCGTCCCCCACATTTGATCTGCAATCTGCAGCATCGAGATACTCAGCCCTTGTGATCTACCCGCACCTGGTATCATCCAGTCGAGAATGACCCACCAAGCGAGGAGTGCTAAGCGACGGTCGCTGACCTTGCACTACCGAGGATCGCCATTGCATAGGTATGGCGACGCCCGGTCTGATTTGTCTTAGACGGTGTTTGATCAAGCTGAACTCCTCCAACCATTATGGTTTACTCCACCTCCCAAGTCGCCGACACCCTACATAACCGGTCCCACTTATCCCATGCATGGCTTAAGCTGCTGTATGTGCCTTTCCGGTAACAGTGAAGCGCAGCGAGCGGCAGCTGGGATGATTTCCCCAATTCGCCAGACGCTTTAAGAATACTGCGTCATATCCACCAATCTGTCCTTAAGCGTCAAGCCACAAGCACTTCGTCTAATCGCGCAACAGACGATGCCAATGGACGCGTAGATATGCCGCTTGGATGCACTATCGTAGCATGTGGGCGGGGTACTTATTGACGGCATTGACAGCATAAGTACCACTTTCCACTCATGCCCATCCTTTAGAAATTTGCATCTCAGTACTCTTTTCATTACAACAATACTTTTCATAATCAAAAAATGGCCGACACATTTGCAGCCAATTCCGATATCACACCAGAAAAGCTTACTATCATGAAGCTCAAGGCTAGTGGAATCCGAGATGTCTTCTCTGAGCCTTCCTCACCTACAGGCAACCGATCCTTCTCATTCGGAAACCATGCCAATGGTGCAAGTCACAGCTCATCCCTGACACGCCGTTCCACTCGGCAGACAAGCTCATCTTCACGCCGAGCAAGCAGCTTCCTCCAGTCACATCGGAGTAAGATGTCTACCGAGCTCACATCGCAAGCCGAGGGCAAGTTCTTCGCTTTGATGGATCTCATGTCTACTGCATCCCGAGAGGCTTCTTCACTAAAGGAGTCATGGTCTCGTATCATGGCTGAGCGGGACAGTCTCGTCCGCGAGAGAGATGAGCTTCTCATCACGGTTGAGGAAGTGACTGAGGAGATTCAGCGCAAGGAAGCTGAGCACTCGCACCACGGCCACGAGCACGGCGAGAGGAAGAGACAGGTGGAAAAGCTCATCCTTGAGCTCACTGCTGCACTTACCCAAGTGACCGACCACAAGAAGAAGCTCGCTGATCGGGACCGTGACCTTGAGAGCACCCGTCATGAGCTACATGAGCTTCAGAGCTCTGTTACTCTCACCCATGGTGAACACGAAAGGACCAGGTCTGAGCTAGAAGCTGCCTACTCCAGGTTGAAGATCTGTGAAGGCGAGCGTGACTCCGCTCGATTCGACTCCGAAAAGCATCACAGTGAGCTTAGGATGCTTCTCCGTGAGCACACTGAGCTCAAGAGCAAGTACAGCGAGACTACCTCCAAGTTCGAATCTACTCGCAAAGAGGTACTTACCCTTACGGATCGCATCAAGATGTTTGAGCTTGAGAGGGACGAGCATCTCCATGAGAAGGATCGTCTTCACGAGGAGCTGAAGCGGGCAAAGTCTAGAGTTGACGAGACAACTCGCGAGTACACTGAACTGACGGAGCGACACGATCGTGTACAACGCGAGCTCCACAAGCTTAAAGAGGTCGTCCGCGTTATCGAAACGGAGCGAGATGATCATGCCCTTACCATTGATGGCCTCCGCCGTGAGGTCAAGGCCAAAATCCTTGGCTGGGAAGAGTCAGATGCCCGAGCCAACGAGTTTTCACTCAAATATGAACACATCAAGCGTGAAGTCGTTTCAGTCAAGGAGAAGTTGAGAGACCTCGAGCTCGAACGCACTGAGCTTCGGGATGCCATCGACCGCTCCCGTGAAGACCATCGCCTTATCGTTATCGAGCGGGACCAACTGAAGGAAGACCTTCATGACCAGCAGCGCAAGGTTGAGGACGGTCACCGCCGTATTAACACCTTGGAGGAATCCCTCCGTCGCGCCGAGTTGACTATCACCGAGATCAAATCCGAGATTCACACGCTTACTGAACGCAACAAGGTCCTCTACCGTGAGGGCGAGGACTCACGCGGCAAACATGGCCACCTCACCGGCGAGATCAACAGTCTTCAGGAAAAGCTAGTCATCTTCCAAACCGAGATCACCAACCTCAAGTACGCTCGCGACCGCGCTCATTCTGACCTCAACGCGTGGAAGCACAAGTACGAGGAGATCACCGAGACAATCTCCACCTACGACGACTCTTCGGCCGAATTCGAGTTTGAGATCACTTCTCTTCGCACTCTGCTCAATGAAGCTCGCGAACAAAAGGAACGTGCCATCTCGGCTCGTCATGCCGCCGACCGTGAGCGCGACGAGTACATGGCCAAGTACGAAGAGAAGTGCCGCGAAATGGAGCGCTTCGAAGAGTCTGCCAGCAGCGTGTACCATGCAAGCAGCGGAGGAGCTCGTGGTGGCGCAAAGTCGATGACCTCCAGGGTAGTCTCGAGTGGAACCACGATTCACAACCATGGTGCATCAGGTGGACACAGCCATGGCCATGGTCATGAGCACACTGAGGGGAATTCTATCTTCTCCCACTAGCTGCTGTGAAGTCGAGCGACTGGGGTTCTGTTGCTGGACGGGCTGGCACATGAGGGGCGAGGAGATTAGGAAACGGAGGAGCATTTTTGAGACGAGCAGGCCGGGTACGGCGGAGACAGTGAAGAGCGGATGACTGTCGATCGTTAGCGGTAGCTAATAAAAGTTCGTCCCGGGGACACGGTAGTAATGATATTCACATATGATTCTTACCTTTTGAGTTGCCTCCAAGATCATGTGGCCTGCTCAGTCTATTAGCAACCACTTAAATGACTGGAAACAGACGCGACTTTCTTTTCGTAACTCGGGTATTCGTATATAAGACGAACAACCAAATGGCATCCACATTTTGAATGTTAACCCCATGTACAGGGACCGAAGTCTGTTACTGAGCTAATCACTTCCACCGACTGGATATGATAGCACCTGAAGAATGGCCGCTATGCGAAAGCTACTTGCTACTGCGATGATGATGATGCCGCTTCTGTATGCGAACATGAAGAGAGGCAGATGTGTACTTCCAGACCGGAAGTAGGCTGCTTAGCTGAAAATAACAGCTGCAGGAGGCGCAGGAGTACCACTGATAAGGCCGTACTCCTCGGCGCCATGGAAGAAATCCATACCGTCCTCAGAAAGATTCTCAGGAGCCACCACTTCTGTATCCACCTCAGCATGTACGTTGACAGCCCCATCCTGCTCCATCTCGACAACCTCTTGTACGTTCATCTCGATCTGGGGCATCGGCTCGGCGTTCTCGCTCTGGGCATCGTCTTCGGGAACGACGTGGATTCCGTTGGTCTGTTCGGGTACCTCGTCATTGTTCACGCCCTCTGGCAGTTCTTCGGCGCCCTCCTGATCCTGCTGTGCGACAACAGCTTGGTCATGCTCGTCGTCTTGAACACCGTCTTGTTGGCCATCCATGCCGGCACCACCATCATCACTGTAGTCTTGATACTGCTCCCGGTCTTGTTCTGAAGACACCAAGACGTCTTGGGCATGCTCCACGACTTCCTCCACGACCAAGCCATCTTCGTCTTGTTCCTCTATCTCTTCTAGCTGCTCTTCTTCGACAGGCGACGCGTCGGCTTCGATCAGGTCCTGAAGATATTGATCTACCTGCGCCACGTATTGATCTGGGATCTGGCGCAAAGTGTGGCCGCGCATCTTGCGAGGAGCAAGAGGCTTAGCGGGCTTGGTAGGTTTCTCAACTGCAGCTGGCTTCGGAACAGGGGCGACATGCTTGGGCGGTCGTCCTCTTCGGGCGGTTGGCTTCGGGGCTGGCTTTGTGACGGGCTCTGATCTGACAGTCTTGGCTGAAGGTAGGCGGGTGCGCAGCTTGGAGCGCATGCGCGGATCAAGACGACGGGCAACGTTAGGCTCAGCCTTGGCCTTTGCGCGAGGAGACGACCGCTTGCCGATTCGAGAGGGACCAGCGACCCGGTCGAGATGGAGGGCTGCAGTGCGCGCTGGTCGACCACGCTTGGGAGTAGCTGGCGGCGCGTTTGCGGTCACATCTGCTTTGCGAGGACGGCCTCCACGATTCTTGATAGGTGCTTCTTCTTGTACTGGTGCCTCTTCCCGTGCGGGTACAGCCTCTTTCTTGGGCCTTCCTCTGCCCTTCTTGACTACAGGTGCTTCGATAAGAGGCTCAGGCTCGGGCGCAGGCGCAGGCGCAGGCGCAATGTTAGACTGGCGACCGCGTTTCTTGGGCTTCGGCGCGTCTTCGACAACGGGCTCTTCGGCCTTCGCTTTCGCGGGACGTCCACGTTTCTTTGGTGGCTCAACAGCGGCTTCGACTGCATCGGCTCTAGACGCGCGACTCCGCTTGAGAGGTGGTGCAACGGGCGCTTCCTCAGCTGCCGCTGCCTTGCGACCGGGCACTTTACGTGTCTTTGGCGGCATTGTGTATTTGCGGTCGTTGTTCGCGCGCCTCACAGTGAGCAATTGAGTATTGTCGCGTGTAATAGAAGCGCGGTAAGTGAGGTTACCGAAAAACACGACTTGTTGGCTGTAGGTGGGACGCGTGTGGTGGAGTCTCACTCACTAGCGCAGTCGCGGTGCACGTGGTTGGGGGTGACCGGCAATAGGGTTTATGGGAATTGCCATTCATGTCAAATCTTCTCCAACCAAAGTATTAGGTATCTAAGTGTGCCTGCACATCGTTTGTCTGTGGCTATCCAATTGCACTGAGCGCCCATTCTCTGGTGCCTATTTGCGCTTGCTGCTGCGACCTTGTCCCGCCACAAACGTCGACAGTGGGGGCATAAGTACACTGCGAAGACACTAGACTTGTGTCATCATCTCAGTCGTCATGTCAGAATCACAGTTGGACTCAGCAAACGTGTTTGCAAGTATTACAATATATTTACAGACTAAATTTGACCCCCAGCTCCAAGACTACGCGCTGAGCCCAGAGAAGGTCTATAGTGGTCGGAGAAGAGAACTTTCTAGATGCAGACAGTACAAAGACAAATGGTCGAAATATTTACACATGACCAAAACATTCAAGATATAACCCAGACGGGGAAAAGACAACATTTGAAGAATGAAATAAGATAACGATACTACCCACGGTACCACTCTACCGCGCAATCTACTCCGCCTTCTTGCTAGCCTTGGTCCTCAACTTCATCAGAACGTACACCAGCGCGTAACTCGAGAGAGCGAAGATGACACAGATGGCCGCATTTCTCCATCCGTAGTAGTAGTCGTTGAGGTTCACCGTGTACAGGTAGTCGCTTCCCTTGGTGTATTGGCAGACTCTGCAGTCCGAAGTAGCGTCAGGGTTGACCAGGTTTGTGCGGCTTCCTGGGCCTGCCATCCACGCTTGCAGGTAGTCACTGCATGTTTGACCAGATGGGGGATCGAACATGGCGAACTCTGACTCGGAGCAATTGACATCCCATTCCCAATCGGCGAAGACGAGCAGCGCGCCCATCAGGTAGTTGAATGGGTTGAGGTAATAGCTGGAACAGTGTTAGTAGGGTTGCTCGTTAGGTTCATGGTAATCTGGGGGTACTTACATCCAGTAGCGCCAGAATTCTTGGATTTGCGCATATGGCACAAGGACACCACAGAATGAGACGAGCACTCCGATGATGAGCGGGTTGACAAGCGAGGCAAAGACAGCGTTGGGTGCGTAGGCTGCAACGAACTGACCGATACCGGTGTAGATGAACTGGTAGACCAGCATAACGAAGAACACCGCCCCTGCCTTGTTGGAATCGGTGGGAAGGCCAGCAGTGTAGTAGAAGCAGAGGTAGTAGAGGATGGCGCAGATGATGAGGTACGGAATCTCAGAGACGACAAGACCCGTGACGAAAGCGATCCAGGAGTACATCTTCGACTTCTTCTCGCGTGTTTCGTAGATGTCGCGACGGTCGATAAAGAGAGGTTGCAGTTGAGCAATGACACCTGGTGCGACGAAGATGTAGTTGAAAAGAGCAAAGAGGACAAGCTGCTGGTCGGCTACAGTGTCGCCAATCTTCCAGAAACTGAAACCGATGAACAGCGCGGTACCAATGTGGAGGGCAAACTTGTTGTTAACGTAGTCGATGTTGCGGTACATGCTGACGTTCGCCCTGTGCGTAACAATCTTGGTCTGAGTCCAGAGATCCGTGGCGAACTCATGGCCGTCATCCGTGGTTCCGGGCTCTTTGCCAGCAGCGTCAGTGATGATGTGGTCGAGGTCCTGGTGCATGCGAGCCGCTTCAGGTGAGTCAAGCCAGACTTGATGCCAGTCTTTTCCGTGCGTGCCAGTTACCACGTCAATCATGTGTTCTGCAGGGTTGGCGTTGGGAGGGCAGGGAGCGTCGTATCGACCGAAGTATTCCTTGATAGTCGCTGCGTTGTCACCAATGTCACCGAAGTAGACAGTCTTGCCACCCTTTGCGAGAAGCAGAAGAGTATCGAACTGAGCAAACAGAAGGGCGGAAGGTTGATGAATGGTGACCAAGACGGCTTGACCAACGTCGGCGAGCTTGCGGAGGAAACGAACAGTGTTGAAAGCGGCTTGACCGTCCAATCCAGCTAGCAAAAGTTAATGGTGTACTGAGAGGGTGATTACGTGAACTTACAAGTAGGCTCATCGAGGAAGATCAAGATGGAAGGCTTCGAAACAAGTTCAACACCAATGGTAACGCGCTTACGCTGCTCGACTGACAAACCTGCCCCAATGCGACCAATCAAAGTATGTTCCAAGTCGTGTAGTTCAAGCAAATCGATGATAGTGTCGACATAGGCAAGTTTCTCCTCACGGGGAGTGTCACGGCTTTGACGAAGAAGGGCAGAAAACTCAAGCGCTTCTCGGACAGTCGCAAAAGGCTCGTGAACATCGAGTTGCTCGCAGTAACCGGCGGAACGTTGGAATGAGACAGGGAGTGGTCGGCCATCTACCAAGATCTCTCCATGAATGGTACCGTCAGTCTTGCGTTGGGCAAGGACATCAAGAAGAGTGGTCTTTCCAGCACCAGATGACCCCATCAAGGCTCCTAACATACCGGGCTTGACGTAACCATGAACATTGTCCAAGAGTGTGCGATCGCCAGATGGGGTCTTGACAACATACGAAAGGTTGCGCCAGGTGAAGACGGAAGTGTTGCGCATAAGGTTGGCACTCAAGTCTTGGGTTTCAGTAGCTTTCTCGTTGCTGCTGTCTGTCCTGGGCGCTTTCTCGTTTCCTTGAGCTTCTACATCACCGGGCGTGATAGAGCGGGGGACCTTCTTCTTGTTCTCACGAGGGATCAGGAGAGATCCTCCAGAACCGGCTGCGTCGTCCCATCGAAGTGTAAAGAAAATCGTGAGGCCAACGAAGAGGAACCACCAGGCAAACAGGATTCCAACATTTCGCCAGATGTGCCCCTTCGAGTAAGAGAGGCTTCTGAGGTAATCATCACCACTGACCGAGGTAGCACCAGGCCTAGCGCCAGCGACACCTGCGCAGGCTTGGTTGACACCGTTCTGGTACTGAGGGAGGAAGTTTGGAATTAGGTTGGCATTGACGCAGGGAATGTCTTGTCCAGAGAACTCGTTCGCCATGAGAGACTCAAATCCATAGGAGAGCGGGTCAATCCAGTAAATCCAGACGAACCATGGGTGCATGTTGGGTTTCGGAATCTGGTAGCCGATGTATAGAATAAGAGCTGTTATCGAGAAACCAGAGACCTTGGAAGCAGCGTCGAAGTTGGGGAAGGCGGCGCCAACCATGCGGAAGAACGCAGTCATGACAAAGGTGACAACATATACGACGAACCTGCGAAATTATGTCAGTACATAGCATCGATGCAGCAAGATCACTCATCACTTACCAAGCGGTAAAGAAAGCAGCAGCTGTAGCCTTCAGAGCCACCATCCAGTACAGTACAATCATGAACATGGTTACCTGGAAGAGTAGAATCGGCACATCAGCTGCGATCTGCGCGATACAGAAAGCTGCAGGGTTGTAAAAGGCAAAATTCTTGTGTTTTGCAAGGATGGGGCGACCGAAGAAGGAGTCCGTAACTTCCGACATGGCCAACAGCGCGTTGAACAGCAGAGCCAAGAAGAGAGCTCCTCCCTTGACAAACAATCCGGACGAGTTTGCGGGAGCGTTGTAAAAGAGAGAACCGGCAATCTACAAAGTAAAAATCAATAAGAGTCGAGCGCGGAGAGATAGGCAGAAACTTACAAGTGCTTGGAAGAGCGTTGAACCTTGCTTGATGATGAACGTCGCTTTGTCACCCCAGAGGATTTGATACTGTCGAGCCACGCAAGCCTTCACCTGGTCGTAAAATGACACAGTCATAGGTGATGATGCTGGGAGGTGCTTGGACTTGTCTATCGCCATGGCTTCGATAAACAGCTTGGTATTGGTCTTTGCCGCTTCACTCGTGGGATAGGACAGTTCCTGCTCCATGGCAGCCTTGATGGAAGACCGTTGATAAGCTTGCTCCAGCTCGATGTTGTTGCGTGGGAAGCCTTCGAATCCGGGGCGGATCTGTCGTTCAGAAGGCACCGTGACACCGGTCAAGAAGTCGGCCACGTTGGCACCCTCACTGCATACAAAGCCTTGCTCCTCCATGAAAGGGCGGGCTTGTTCGCGAGTGCCGTAGAAAACTTGCTTGCCTTCGTCCAGCACAAGGACTTTGTCGAAAAGGTCGTAGATGCCGTTACCTGCCTGGTACAAGGTAACGATCGTAGCGATGCCCATCGCATCTGTTAGACACCTGAGAGCACGAGTGTACTCCAGGGCTGTGCTGGCATCTAGACCACGTGTGGAGTTGTCCCAGCAGGCCACGCTAGCACGGTTGGCCAGAGTCTCGATGATAGAGACTCGTTTGCGCTCTCCACCAGAGACACCGCGAACGAAGGCATCACCAACCTTGGTATCTTCGGTGTGAGAAATGCCCATGGAGTCCATCAAGAACGACTTGAACTTCTGGCGATACTCCTCGGGGTTCGCAGAATCCTTCGGTAAAGTGCGTGGGATGTTGAGTTTTGTAGCAAAGTCCATAGTCTTGCCTACTGTGAGGGTAGGGAAGAAGAGCTCCTCCTCTGTGTTGATGACAATGTTGCCACGGTATTTCAGAGCCTCTTTGTCGTCCATGGAACCGAAGTGTACATCGCCATCGATTTGTGCGTAGCCTTTTCGCTTGTTGGCAAGCATCTTCAGTAGAGTGGTACATCCAGAACCAGGCCTTCCTAGGACCAACAGCATCTCGCCAGGCTGCACGCTACCAAAGCTGTTGTCGAGGATTGTCTTCAATTCGGGCTTCTGTCGTGACTCCCTGATCTGTTGCGGGATATTGAATTGACTGAGCACGTTCTCTTGCAAACGTGCGTCTGAAGGAACCACCTTGACGGATAGTCCACTCCATGTAACTCCTAGTCTCCGTCCCTCAGTAGGATCGTTTTGTTGAATATTCTTTACATCGTTTGCAAGCCTCCACTCTTCCACCTTCGTCTTGGCGGAATCGCTGTCTGTGATGTCTTCTTCCCGCTCTCGCTCGATGTCATCGTCGTGTCGTGATTTGCCGGAGAATGTACGGGATATCGTTCGCATGATCTCCTCGCCAGCGCCGGCGGGTATGTTATAGGCACTGCTCCTCCTTCGCTCCATCTTGGTCTCTATTCCACGGTTGGGCCAGAACTATACTCAGTATGTGGATCGACAATTAGGTATTAAAGAATTTATTTTGGAGTTTGAAGGTGACTGGTCTGGACAAACACTACTAGAATCAATATCGGGGTCGTTTTCATATAAAGGAGCCTATGGGAAACTGTTGTGGATACCGATCGTCCAGAAGAGTCTAGGGGGACTCGGGCGTTCACATCAGCGGTTCCGACTTTGCTGACGTCGCCAGGCGGAATTGTGTGTAGTCACTGCTTCAACCGTTGATACCGGACGAAGCATGGACTTACTCCAGACAAGGAAGCCACGGGGACCGACCATAGCGGTACACCTGCATACGGCCAAATTTTCGCTGATATGATTGGCCCATGTATTCACCCCAGCAGCAAGAGCAAATTCGGATCTGTCTAGACTGCTCTGATGCTAGATTCAGGGTGAGCCACAGATAGCGTCCCTGTCTCCCGTTACTGGGCGCAGGTTACAGCGGGGCGGAATTGAAATTGCTGCTGATAGAGTTTCTTAGCAAACAGCTTGAGGGTCAACTCGGGCTCGGCCGAGCGCGCGAAGCACCGAACAGCGACCCAAGACTTTGAAAACGATCAAAACCAGATCCCAGCGTGTCGGAGAGGCTCTCCACGTGGTTTCATCTAGTCGTAAAGATAGCCTTGTAACAATCGGAATGTGGAGGTTCTATGCCAGTTGTAGGCACATTCTTTAACGCTCGCTGTTCGCACTTTCAGACGCCGACTTGTTGTGCGAACTCCGTACCCACATCCTATAGATTGCCCCTCTGCCTCGTTACAGATACGAACCACTTCAGCGCGACATGTTTACTTTCGTACATCCTACTGTACCTTGTTTGTACAACAACGCGGACGAAAGGTTGTACCGATTGGCAAGGCCCGATTACAGCGTACGACCAAGTACCGAATGAAGCGTCATAAAAGGTCGAAGCACGAAATAATTCGCACGTTCGCGCGACAAAGACCGAACGCCGATGACGACAGTCAGCCAAAGCTTACGTGTAGAGGTATTCTGATGTTGATGGATAACGCTGCGGAAAGGTCGCGCAGATCGTACAAATGGAACCCGCGGCCTCCGTGAATCTGAGCAGTGGTACGCCAAGGTTCCCTAGCGCTGAATTAGAAACACCAAATTCGGGAGTGCACGTTTCGATTCATGCGCTCTAGATTCGCAGCCATAACTGTTGTGACTCAAAGCATTGCTGCAAGGTTCAGTACATGCACAACAAAAGTCCTATAGACCGGTCAGCAACTACAGGTCTCTCCAATGTGCGTGAGGACGTCATCACTCGACCAGCGGATCGGATGCCGGATGCCAATGAATCTCCCGTCCCGTCCCGCCCTACACTTCGTTGCTGGAGCACATTCGGGAATTTCGATTACTCTTCAACGGCGATAATCCCACCGCACGTGACGAGCTTACTGAACGCTTCAGGGTAATATCCAGGGTACCCGTCCCTACGTCCCTAATCTTATTTGATCATGAGAGGGCCTTCATGCAATGTAGAATATGCTTACCATGGTATTGGGATTATCAGAAGCAAAATCGGATTTCTAGCTCAATCTCTTGTATTATAAGCAGCCTGTGCATTTCTCCGTATGCAGAACCCTCAAAGGGTCATGGGGTTTCTACCTATAAGAGAATGGCAATGTCCTCGACGCGCACTCACAAGTGGGGCATTGTCGATTCATCCGCCTTCTCCATGTAGCCTACTGGTGTACAAGCAAAGCTTCAAGCAGGTCGTGATGTAGTACATGAGTGAGCGGTAGGCCCTACTACAGTGGAAGTGATCAAGATGCCACTAATCTTTTCATGGTAAAGCCAGATGCGATATGCTTCTAAGCGAGCAAATTTGATCGACTTCCCATAAGAACGCACTCCTAGCGAAACAGACTATACCCAGCTCAACGAATTTTCAAATCGACGCCAAAGATATGATGGTACAGATTCTTACTTTTTTCATCGAATCACGTGAATCAACATCTCACCTCGACTCTTCAGCATCGGTGGTTTAGTGGTAAAATTAGCCGTTGCCATCCTTCACAGGACAGTTTCGGCTAGCCCCGGGTTCGATTCCCGGCCGATGCAACGAGCAGCATTAGCTATTCTTTTTGTGATTTTGGAGGTCTGTTGTGGTGGTGGCGGTGGTGAGCTGGCATAGTTGTGGGGAAAGGGGCCAGACAGCCTGGTACATTCCTGGCGGTTGCAACACCCGACATTCTTTTTTTGCTGCTATTGATCAGTCCCACATGTCTGATCTCCTTGCTGCGCCCTCGACGAGATGGAATATCTCAGGCGAGTTACGATCGTAAGCCATCAGTCAGTGCTCACTAGTGTGGCTCATGCAATCCATGGCCCGATTAATACGGGGACTCATGCACTGCACTATTGTTGAGTAACGAACTGTTTACTCATCTCGTACGCGTTTCGTCCTTTGGCCTTTTCGGTTTGTTCTATCGTCAAGGCGGACAGCAGCGTCGATCTTTTCCGATTGTCCCGGGAAATGCGCGACCAGATCTACGCCTATGCGCTCCATCAGGGAAACGGTCTTTATTTTCACCGCAAAGGTGACTACAAAGCACACTTCAGTACAAGTTGGTATCAACCGCACGAAATCAATCAGCTCAAGTACACGTGTTGGCAGCTTCGCTCGGAGACTCTCGGACTGGACTGACAGCTTAACGGCTTCATCTTCCTGTCTCATGGAGACCGATGTGGCCGATTCGTCGACAAATCATTAACAGCACAGCTCGTAGGCACCTTGAATATGTGCTATGAAGCGTGGAGACAGCGACTCCGATTCATCACTTTGTTGGCGAGAGATAGCCATCTGGCGAAAGGGTGTTCGAACAACCCAAGCTACTTCAGTGATCTACATCTCGTCGCACGCATCTATGAGGACTACCCTCGTATGGCGGTGCGATGGCATGCCGATCTCGGTCAGCAGCCGCGCGTCAATTCTACAACTGGTGTAAACGATTTCCATACATACGTGCTTCTACTAACCAGAGTTCTCCGCCCGAAGCCACCCATCACCTTCGAGAGGCATATGAAAAAATCTCGGCCGAGTACAGGGCGGGCCACCTTGTGGCTATATGACTGGTTCTGGTGCCCGACAAGGAATGGTCACCTGGGGTGCCAGTGGATATACCTGGTCAGCTGTGAGAACATTATACACGCGCAGAACTTCCGGATTCTCCACTTCAGGGAAAAGGTCGACGCAGAAGAGTTCCGACTGACCATGACGAGAGATCACGGTGGAGATAAGTCCGCTCACAATGACAACACGGACGCTTCTTGTTGAGGAACGTCTCGCCTTTGCAACAGTGTGGACGAGAAGTGGAGTTTGAAGGATACATGAATGCAAACATGATTTTCTTAATATCGGATTTCTCAGCCCTCAACTCGTTCGTCGATCTTCATGTCGTTCCGTAAGTGACTGGTGTTGAACATCAATACAAACAGTTTTGTTCAATGGGCCGATACTAAAAATTCGGTATGCCATCCGGACACTATCCTTCAGCCTTGAACCATCTCCCAACTCTCTCCTGTACTTACCAACAAGTTTAAGACATCGTTAACGGTAGCCTCCGTCCAGTAATCCATTCGCAAGATGTTGACACTCCATGCGGGCCGCTCAGCCAGCATTCTGTCCATCATCACAGCATCAAACCAGAAATCAGCTGTCTTCTTCTCTCTGTTCCAGACCCAGGTAGTGATTACTACGCTCTTCTGACGTAATTTTACAAACACGTCGTCTTGGTAGCCTTGGTCGCCCGCCATCAGAGCCTTTCGAAGCGTGAAGTCCGGTATACGTGTGGCCACATCCACTGCCGCTAATCGAGCATCGAGTTGAGTGAAGAGAATAGTAAGAGCAGGTATGCTTGGCTGATGATTCTTCTCCAGATGTGTGACTTCGGTGAAGCGTATAGTGTAGCGCTTGATACTTGAAAGCTTGTGTATAGAGAGCGGTGCAGCGATGCCAAAGGGTAGCTCGTACATCCACATCGCTGTAAGAGCGCTGAACTCCGGAATGAAAGGCGCAATGTCGATGTGCATACGGGAATGCTTTCGATTGCTCTCCTCAACTGTCAAGGGCGAGGTGCGCGGGAATCTTGCTGTTGTGCGTACCTTGTTGCTCAAGATGGATGATATGATCTCGGACAGCCAATGTGCTGGATACCCAAGTTCATGCAATCTGACGATAAGACGAAAGAAGATGGTGAGATTGAGTGGCGCGTATATGTAGCTGTCCATCTCAGATACAGAAGCAGGGAGTGCAATCTTGAGAAGCATAGCGTACAGCCAATGCTCGACTTCTGAACGTAAACTGAGATCACCTTGAGTGCGCTGATACGCGTGATAAAGATGCATTGGGTCATTGCTTCCCTCAACAGTTCGAAGGAGGATACCGTCGATCTTGTTGAGTGAGATAGTCTTCGCACCTAAGAAGTTCGCAAGATCACGATCCGTGTGGACCGTAGTATACTCACTATTAAACGCTTCTACCGAACGGAATGCAGTGTGGTTACGGCAATTGTTTGCCAAAGCGAAAGAAGATGGCTTATCCTTCAGCAGTGGTAGGACGTGAATGTAAGTAAAAAGGGACCCACCCACATAGTCTGGAATATTACTAAGATGTATACGATCGTAGCGCTGAGGAAAGTGATTGGGTCGATCTTTGACATCCTGCTTCGTGATTCTTCCGAGTGCCACTGTTACGTCACCTGTCATCATTTCGACATGTAGACGACCGGCTAGACCACGCACTGCCTGCGCGGTATGAACAAAGAACGGTGCCAGGTAGTCGTATAGATTTTGAGGGTTTTCTGGGTCGTTACCAATCCTTATGCATGCGTATGGCATGCTAGCGAGCCGGAACGGATTATGAACCGCGAAGACATCTTGTTGTATTTCGTTCAAGTTGGTCATATCTGCAAGCGTTACGTTAGGCTTCCAGTTCTGTTCGATGTAGTGCTTCAGTTTCATTGCACCCTGGCCACGCATGAGCATCTTGAGAAGCTTTCTGAGGGCGCGCGGTATCTCGTCATCAGGTGGTGATAGCAAACCGGAAACGATCCAATACTGGAGCTCTTCGTGGCATCCTTCTGAAGCCATACCCGCAACGTCGGTCTTCTGAACCGTTTCCTTCCAACGCTGTATGGTAGCCTTCGCTTGGGAGACGAGGTTATGGACGGGAAAAGCATCCGCCGCTGCTTTCTGCCATTGTTGAAGAGCGGTAATAATGGACTCGCGCCCATATTCGTACACAAACAGAAAGCCTGGCAGTGTTGCATCTCCAGCCAAAACTTGCAGGGCACGGCTGATAGTCAGTTGTAGGCATTCGTAGTTCTGGGCGGGCATGACGTAGCCGACATACAGGAAGAATAGTGTAACCAAGGCGACAGGAGGCTTGTTGACTTGGTCCGGCGCTGTGTTACCCACAGCATCTGCGATTTCTTCGAGTAGAAGTAAAACAAGGAGATGACGAGCTAATGCGCAGCCATTGATGTCGTTCACCGTGAAATGGTAATTGCACCTCTTCATCTCAGCCCACTGGTTCAGCACCCGCCCTTTGTTGACGCTCTCACTCTCGAAAGTCCAGATCATCCGGATCGTCTGAAAAAGATGTCTAGCATCGCCAATGCCTCCGAAGAAGTAAGTGATGGTCTCGGAAGCCGACGTATTCGATATGAGAAGATGATCAAATAGCGTCATAGCGTCATCGTTGCCCACGTTGAAGTAATCAGGAGCGATCGCGATAGCGGGCTTGTAGTGCGGTAGATTTCTGACGCCTAATCCGAATATTTTTGCGGCCTCAGACTCTCGACCTAGCGTAACACATCGTTCTATCTCGGCCTTCGAAGTCGACTCGCCCAACCTCTCCAGGAGCTCGTTCGCTTGGTCGTACTGCTTGAGATGGACATGCGCCTTGGATGCACGCAGAATTGCCTTTGACATTGCGCTATTATTGGCTACTGGTATCAGGGAGAGTGCTTGGCGTACGTCCTCGATCACTTTGGTGTAGTTGCCGAGCTCGTAGTGGACGGCAGAGATGTTCAGCAAGGGGCGATAATCATTCGGGTTTAGAGCAGCGGCTTTCTGGTAAGATGCGATTGCTCAAGAACCATCAGCGTCATTCGTGGAGGGCTGAGAGGGACCATCTACCTTTCGTGAACTGTCGCTTCTTAAACTGATTGTTGCCAAGTTCCCTAGCATCCATTTCTCCGTTGGCGTTGTTGCTCGACATCCTTTATGGCTGTCAGAGAGAATGTGTGAAGATCTCAGTTCTTTTGCGCATTCGAAAACACTAAACTTGTGGTTATACATGCGTTTGCTCTCGGTCGCAACGTGTACGCTAGTGTGTACACTTTCTAGGAAACGCGTGAGTCTTCCAGCTTTGGGGTGTATCACCTGTGTAGTCGGAGATACAGTGACAATTGGTTTCCATTCACCACGCTGTCCATGGTGCGAACAATGGCGATATGTGCCTATCCCTCTAGCTCACCTGCACTCTCACCTGCATCATCGAACCCTTTTCCCCTAAGGATTCAACTGCGCCCTCTACGCCATCAGCTATAGCCACACAGACGTGACCACAAAGAACACAGCACTATCTTACCGTCCACCCGTCGCACGGGGACCCACCTCTTACTTGCCACAGAAAAGTACAGCTGCGTTCAGCATGTCCCGATACTTTCCTACACCGACCAGGGCTAAGCCTCGTATCAACCCACTTATTAAGCTCTTCGTATGGCGATGCTCCAATGACGGATGTAAATATGTCAATGACACATTGGCAAGTGAAAGGGGCTACGTCCGAATGATCTCGACTGGCGAAGAACTTCCGGAGCCCATGTGGTACGGAGAAAAATGCGAAATGTGCCGCCAGAAAGCAGGGTAAGTTACGATTGTGCAGAATGTATACAAAATGTATGCTAACTTTGTATTTTCACCTCTGAAGTAAAGAGTGCTTGCTTCTGCAAGTCAAGCTTCTAACACCCTCTCAGCCTGTGAGTGAAGCGAAGGGCAACGACAAAGCTGTGGTAGACGAAGATGTTGAGAATGAGGGTTGATACGGAACAAAATCTACTTGTAAGCTCGAGTTCTGGATCTCCCCCGCATTGACGGAGGAATGCTGGACATGTGGGCAGTCCATTTGCTAGAAACACGCGTCGCTTCAAAGCTAACGGTCCATGCCTATATATGAGGTTTGATAGCACCAAGATTCCTCAAATCACTTCTGGTTCTTTTACATGTCATGGCTGATGGGATATGTGGAATGAAAAGGGCTGCTGGGTAAAGATCATCATATACATCACTGAGAACGCGTCAAGACGGGACGTGCTAGACCGGATCCGCTGTAGCGCGTCCTGTTCAGCCCGGGCTGAGCTTTCACTGATGCTGTGCAAATAAGAATTATCCTCGCCCTATGCTTCGCGGCGATCATGTGAAGCTGGATTAGCCAGTTCTTCCAGACCCAAACTATTGCGAAAACGTGCAGTAGGCACGGATTCTTGTCGTCTTTACTTCCAAGGTTGGAGTAAAAGCAGCCAACGAAGCTCTTCGGCCAGTAACGACTTCACATCCTGCCATACTCAGTACAACAATTGCCCTCCACACAATGCTCGTCATAGTCGCCCTCCAATCCATCGCAGTGGGCCTTACTCACATCGAAAGAGCTGAAGAGCTGAGTCCCACTCCTATAGGCTTCTATGGACGTGTATTGCGGAAGCCTAGGGCATGATTAGCACTCCTGCGCAACCTTTCAGCTGATCAGGCCCATTACCTGGTGATTCGGGAACACGAGCATGTCTGCAACGACGACATTGTCCCGTCTACTGCATGCAAATACTATGAGTTCAGCAACATCATCTGGAGTGAGTGGATCGCAACCGCTAGATGTCTGTCAGCAAGCCTGTCCGGAACCTAAGGCAAGTTGCAAAGACCGTACGCATAGACCTTATCTGCTTTCTCTTTGTCAAAGCGATGCCGGATGTCGTTGAACTCCTGTGTACACCATGTTAGCGTGAGTAGTCATAAAATCGCGACACTTACTGTCAAGACTTGTCCAGGATCTACTGTAATGATTCGGATACGTGTGCTGATCGACTCTTTCCTTAACGCATCAGTGAAGGCCCGGATCGCTGCCTTACTAGCGCAGTATATCTGCATGATTCTCAGTTCACAACCATTACGAGTTCAAAGCGGATTATCTGTCAGAAATGCCACGCACCGATCCACCAACATAAGCCTCTCGCCCAGCAATACTTCCTAACATCACAATATCGCCCTTGCCGCCGTCTGGCCGCCTCTTGAATATCTTCATCACTGCTTGCGTCATGTTGATCACACCTTGCACATTCGTTGCCCAAACATCCTGAATCACGTGTGTCGGTATGTCGGGTGCTTGTTCGACACCTGACATGAAGCCTCTTTTCGTGGTCGTCAACGAATGAAGTGGACTTGTTGATGGAATACACACGCATTATTGACCAGCACATCCACGTCGCGGAACTCGTCTGGTAGCCCTTGCTCTCCAAACATCGCCTCGATCTCTTCCGGTCTTGAGACATCAAGTTCCATCACGAAAACTTTCACGCCATCGCCAACTTCATTCTCTATTTCGGCGGCGAGTTCATGGAGTCGGCCCACCCTTCGCGCTGTAACAATAAGCTTCAGATTATTTGGTGATGAACGAGCGAGTTCGAGCGCAGTACTGCGACCGATTCCGGAAGAGGCCCCGGTAATCAACACGGTTTTACCAGAAAGATTGTTTGCAATCGAGTTGTGTGAGCGCATGCTTCCGTTCAAGTCCACAGAGCTCTTTGCGTGCTCGGATCGTAAGATGTGTGTGGTAAGAACGGGAGCGGGGATATGGCCGTTGATACCCCGGTTCCGCGAGGCAAGCTAACGAGCCGACGTTCGCGACGTTGAGTGGACATTGCATCGTCATCGCTCAGCCGTTACAATTACACCCTTGCGAATACTCGTTATGTCACACGCGATTACTTCGAACCAGCACCGCGGCGCCATTTCACCGTATTGGGTCCTTAGGCGTTCAAGGGTGCGGTGCCAATGAAGGATTGGGCCAAGATGCAACGCCGAAACGCGTTCCATTCTCACTCGGGTTGACATTGAGCGATCGACTTCTCTACAGAGCTACAAACACGGCTTCCACGCACACCTGCACGAGGTGCAGATAGAAACTCGCGTTGATGTTGACGATCTTGTCTTGATGGAAGAGCCCGCTCCACATGCAACAGTTCCTTCGGCAAGGTGGCGCGAATGTTCAGATGTTCGACAGGTACGCGGAGAATAGCGCAGGTTCACCGCACACCGGCATTTGCAAGCGAACACGACAATCATGTACAGAAATGGCTGCTCGAAACGCGGTCTCTCGGCAGAAGCTGGGATGGGCCGCTCCTTAACATGAAGCTAACACCGATGCATCTGGATGGGTGTTGAAAAGTTGCAAGCGAGGTACCAGATGACTGGGCCGCCCGTGTTGGCGCCAAGATTGCGCGCCTCAACCGGAGCCGTAACCTTTTCCTGACTGCCGCATCTCATGGCTCACGCCACTTGAGTCAACATTTGACCGTCTCAGCGAGATATTATCCGCATCCCACGACTGTTCGCCGCGTTATGCATCCTCAAGCAAATCAAGCAAGAGCAAGGATGAGAGATTCATGGTTTAGGTGATTGAAGCCTCCGTGATGACTATCTTTTCCCCTAAAGCATATCATTGACAGGTATTGAACCAGATCTGGGTCCGTGAAGAACAAGCTGCCTGATCATGAGACTCCCATCAGTTCTCCTACCATCAGTCCGATCCCTGTCATATGGAATCCTTCCCCCAGTTTTCATCGTCCTTTCTTTTTCCGAATCAAGAGTACGAAGCATTGAGCATGCGATGCCATGCGTACTCCTGTACCACAGACTGTTCAGAGAATGAACGCTTCATATAGCACAATTTACCTCGTGAACGCTGTCTAGCGCATCAACCTATCCACCGTCTTCTGCATCGAACTACGAAGATGTCTGACCCTAATGCAACGCTCATCGAGTGTCGCGTTGAATACGCCCTTGGAAGTGTCATCATAGCTGCAAGATTCTTCACGAGATGGAAGACACTGGGATGGCGAGGCTTTTACTGGGATGACTTCTTTGCATTTTGGTCGTGGGTATTCTTCACTCTCATTTACGTTATGGTGGAGTATCTCAGTAAGTCGAACATGGCAGTGAGTTCGAGATTTGGTCGTTTGACTGACAACACCCAGGCATAATGGGTGCACCTATAGCCATGACCCAAGAGCAGCGTGAAGCACTCCCGCCGGCGATGCGAAAGTCGATGCGAGAGGGTGCAAAGGGCATGTTTGCCTCGTTCTACTTCTTGATCTTCTTGGTTTGGAGTCTAAAAGGCTCGCTCATCATTCTCTTCCTCCGTTTGACGTAAGCGCAGTCCATGATGCTCCACAAGATCAATACTGACTTCCGCGCACAGGAGAAGTACTAGGCTCTACTATTATGTTCAAGCCGTAGGCGCTATCTCGATTGCTGCATGTATAGCTGCCATCATCACCCAAACCACACACTGTCTGCCTTTGAAGAGAAATTGGCAAATTCTTCCTGACCCAGGCAAAGAGTGCTCAGCTGGCATTGTGATTAACATTGTCATTGCTGTCGGAAACGTCTTGTGGGTATCTTCTCACAATCCAGCGATACATAACTAACGCATGATACAGAGTGGATGCTTTGTTGCTCGTTGTTCCGTTATGGATGCTGAAAGATGCAAAGATCAGTCTATGGCGGTAAGCTTAATTCCTATCCAAGAGAAGTCAAAGCTGATACATTTTCACAGCAAAATTCGAGTCATCTTTCTCCTGTCTCTCGGTCTCTTCGTCATGGGAATGGCTATTGCACGCTGCATTTTGTCCATCGGCACCTCCGTCCAAGTGGCTCTCTCTTCAGTGTGGGCACAACGCGAAGCCGTAAGTCTATCATTTACACACAAGCCATAATTTCGGTATCTGATCGTGTGCAACAGATCGTGTCCATATTCGCAGTGAATGCACCCGTCATCAACAGCCTCTTTCGTGCAGAAACATGGGCAACAAGACACTCTTCGAGCGGCTACGTATCCAAAGACTCCCACCGGTCGCGGACAAACACCAGTACGTTGGGAAAGAAGAAAAAGACCGGCTTCGAGATATACAAGATGACGGATATCGAGACCAAGATGACGGACTTTGAGACAAGCAGCAAAGAGAGCACGTCGGAACTATTCAAAGATCCAATGCTATCTCCAGTACCTTCGCAGTGGAGATGTTCAGCGCGAGGAGCAAGTCAAGATGGTAACCCCGGACGTATGGCTTGAAGGGATGCGGGAAGATACCCATAGCCCCTGAAGCTGTCGTAACGTCCCGCTGATTGGCGCTGTTATCCGGCATTTGAGTTCCTTCCGCGGAGGAGAGGGACTGCTTGAGACGTCCGCCTAGCATTTTGTTACATACAGTCTATCTTTCATATCGCATATCACCGCAGATGTAATTCACTACTCTTTTTGCCCAAAATATAGTCCTTGTAAATTGGGGGTCGCTAGACAGCAACAATAACTCAAAGCATACACTTGAGCCGCTCATCTTACGACCTGCACGATAAGGCCACCCCAGCAATAACAGTCTTCTCAGCCGAGTCATGGACACATGTCAACGTACACTAAGGATCAACTCCCTGATCAACCCCACATCTGCCAAGACCTCATTGCCGTTCGCGGTAGGCGATAAACCGTAGGATGACCAGGGTCTGTAAGAGGCGGAACTAGAGAGTCGTGAATTTGCGAACATGTAGTCAACAGTACAGAAGCACGAATCATGCCAGGAACTGATAAGTATCCCACACTATCCGGCTCATCGCTCTCTACCAAATCAAGACTCATTAAAACTTTTCAACATGTCATCTTTTCAAGACACAATCAGAAACCTAGACTCCTTACAGCCCTCACAGTTCTCCACAGACGCAGAGCGCTACGAAGCTAAAGAAGCAGCGCGCCGCCTTTTGAACCGTCTCGAAACGCCATTTGAGCAAGGCTGGAGGCTGTCTTTCGAGACGCCAGTGCTCATCGCCAGTATCCAGACCATCCTTGACCTCGGCATCTGGAAGCAATGGACAGAGGCGAATAAGAAGAACCCTGGTGCACCAGTGCATCTGGATCAGCTGCTAGAATGGGCCAACGCGAAGGCCGAGTCAAATCTGTTGCGTGAGTATAGATGCCATTAGAAGTAAGGATTATAGTGCTGATATTGTGGTTCGTAGGAAGGTTTTTGAGACACATCGCTGCGCTATATGTACTAGAAGAGACAGATGTTGATACCTGGAAGCCTACACCGTACTCGCTCTCTCTTGGCGATACGGTATCGCATACCGACCAAATCACACAATGCGGGTACGTGAAGCCATCCTCGATCAGATTCCACAGTGATTCATTAACGCAACTCTCAGTACCGATCATACCGTTCCCACAGGCGTCAACCTCCCGTATTTCCTCAAGAAGTACAATTATGTCGAACCAGTCGACCTGGCCAAACTCGACAACTACCGCGATATGACAGGCGGAAAAGACTTCTTTGCTACTTGCGCCGCAGACCCGGTGGGCAAGGGAAGTAGCTTCATGGGTCTGATGACCGCGCTACGGAACCATAAGATGAGCTGGACAGATGTGTACGATACGAACCGCATCGTCGATGGTGCTGATGTCCAGACTGAAAAACCTTTGTTTGTGGACATCGGCGGCGCGCACGGTCTCGATACTTCGCGTCTTCTCGACAAGCATCCAAACCTGCCTGCCAACGTTCTGGTCCTGCAAGATACTCCCGAAGTAGTCGCAATGCCCATTGAAGACTTGGATAAGAGGATAGTGAAACAAGCCTACGACTTCTTCACGCCTCAACCTCAAAAGCACGCACGCGCTTACTTCTTCCATGCCGTGCCCCACGACTGGCCTGACGCGGACTGCGTTCGCATGTTCTCGCAAGTGGCCGCTGTGTTCAAGCGCGGATACTCCAAGCTCCTGATCTACGAGGTTGTGCTGCCGAAGAAGGGAGCCACGAACTTGATGACGACGTTGGATTTGCAGCTCATGAACTGCACAAGTGGAATGGAGAGGACAGAGGAGCATTGGGCGAGATTGTTGAAGGGAGCCGGATTTAGTATTGTAGATATAAGTCGGCATCCAAGGGCCGTGGAGAGCGTTATCGAGGCGGATTTGATCTAAGTGGTACGTTGGGCGTATTGATCGTCCTGTATGTTCACGTTTCGAGTCACAATGGAGCATGCTCAGAAAGTCACTTCGAATAAGCTAATGCTATCTCTCCCTGAGAAAGGAATTTGATGTCCGCTCTACCCTTCAATCCAATCTCGCGCCATAACTTAATGACCTTGCCCATGCACCTCAACATCCTCGCTTCTTTCTCTCCGCTTCCTGTTGACGAGCCAAACACAAGGGTGTTCAGCAATAAAGGCAAATACATTGTTTCGCACGAAACCATATGGCAGGTTTGCAGCAATCCAGCACCAATTCCAGAAACGTCGAATCTACCATGCTGAACATCGTAGGCCAGGTGTCTTGTCTCGGAAGTGAGGGCGTACGCATAGATCATGTTGCGGATTTCACCTGGGAGACAAAGTAGGGGCGATGCTGCGATCGCAGCCTGATGGGCTGCTAGTGTGGTATGAGAGGATAGAGGACCGAGGATTTTGTTGTGGGTCTTTCGTGGCCGTTTGTAGGATCTGAAAGTTTTCGAAGACTTTCTGAAGAGAAACTTTGTGGTTCTTGAAGGTTCAAAGCCTTCTGCCTGGCCAGGTTTTGTAGACATCTGTGGCTCTTTGGACAGGATTGAAGCATGCAGGGTCTGCAACGTCGGATTGTAGCACGAGTTATGCATGATACAGGAGGTAATAGTGTGTAAATGGCTGCGCTTTTGATGATGGCTGATGCATCCAGTGGTATGTGTGAGGCTTGAGATTAGAAAGAACTGGTGGAGGCTTCAGGCGTTGGTACCAAAATATATATTTTGGCCCACTATAGAGTTGTAATCATCAAAAGACACGACCATATTTGCTACCGTTGCGAATTGCACAATAGCTCCATGGTTGACTGTTCGCTACCAGGAAGTGAGGGCACGTCTACCTTTGCCTCAGCTATTTTCTCGGCCTACTATCATCAGCTGAGACCCTATTCTAGCGCTTGACTGCAATGCTTACAGTATGATTGGTCTTGACATGCTTCGCACATACCTTGCGCCCAAGTAAGTGAGCGCTCCAGCCGTGGGGCCTTCCAGACTACGTCCACTCTCCCCTCGAATTGAGTGCGCGTGTCTCGAATCATCGATGCATAGTCGACATATATGAGTTCTTCATAGAGCAACACCACTCTTTTGGCCTGGGAATGTGGTTTCTTCGAACTCGATCTTGGTGATGTGCTGTCCGGGCACAACGATCAGTCCAACATAACGACTATTCCAAGCTACGGATGTAGATGGATTTCCCGACTCTTCCACCGCCTTGCGAATCGTCTCGGCTGATGGCGCACGGTACTCATGTGCCAGCGCAAGAATGATGTTACGGCCCTATACCGTGTCAACACAGTGCAAGCTCGTACACACGTCATAGCCCACCTTATCCGTGCATTTCATCTGGCCTCCAAAGACGCGTCCATCGCTGGCATGTATGCGTAGACTCTTGCCGACGAACTGATTCAGCCAGAAAGTTGCTTGCTCGTTGTCCATGTTGGGGTTCTTCTTTGCTCTGGGGAAGAGCCAGCTGTAGCGGTTGGTCCTCCTTGGGGCTAACATTTGGCTTCTTGGAAAAGAGGGGACCGCGATGTGGCTGTGTAACCTGGAGGCTGGAGTCGTGGCTTGAGAGGCCCGTCGGGGAGGGGGCGGCCGATGTGGCTTGGCGCGTTTGACGCGTTTGCGCCAAATTTCTGGACTTTGCGGAGCCCATGCGACGTAGAGAGTGGCCATACATCCCACCATGTCTTCGATACGGCGGAGCTGCCAATCAGCCTTGCTCAGGTCACACAATGTCTGTCTGTACGCCAATAGTCCAAGGCGCGCATTCTCTCGCACGTCGGTGAGCTCCAGAGGTCCGTACCACACCTGCATCGCCCTCCCACTGCTTACCATACTTACACGGACATAAGGCGCTCTCCCAAACTTCCTCCCACCCTCTAAGCCCGAGCTATCAGAACTCCTCTCCAAGTTCAACGCCAAGATTCTTCTTCCCTCTCACTTGACCAAAGAACAACAGAAGCTTGTCTACTCGGAAGAATCCCGCGCAAAACTCGAAGCCGAACCCGTAGAGATCACCCTGGGAGATGTCACGCTTCCTCTCGAACACCTCGACCGGAACAGAATGCCAAACCGGTTCAAGACTTTCAGGACGATAGTAGCCGAGAGCGAGACTAAGGAGGACTGGGAAAATGTCGTCAGATGCTTGGAGGGATTCGAAGAGGCGGGCATCAAGGTCCAAATCGCGTGGCAGGAGCTAGCCGTAAGAAGATTAAATCTAGCCGACATGCATCATCTTATCCTCAAGATGTTGCAAAGATCAAAGGCGACAGGCGTGAAGCTGAGCAACTTGGGTGTGCTGCGACAAGTATTGAGGAGTGTGCACGACAAAGCTGCCTTGTCGGACTGGGCAGAGGAAGAGACAGCCAAGATGTACAAGCAAGCGAAGCAAATTGTCGAGCTCATGGATAATGAGGAGCACCACAAAGTCCAGAAGCGCAAGCATCAGTCTCGTCAAGGTGACTGGAGGGGCAGGCCTTCTGTTGTTGCACTGCCGACCGAACTGGCTGCTGTGCTCGCCGAGCGACATGGCGGAGACAAGGAACAAGTCAAGAAGCTATCGAACCGTTTGGTAAATGCGCTCAAGCAAAGTGATTACACAGTATGTCTCCAAAAAAGCTTCTCCAATAAACACAAGGAATACTGACAAGCCTTCCTAGGCCTGGCTCGACATGACGTCCTTACGGTCCGGTACTAAAGCCGATTCATTCAGAAACGTTACCACGCAGTTGTCATTCATAAAACAACACAGCCACGATCTCCTTGAAGCAATGATTGTGTGGAATGCACTGAAGACATCTCGCAAAGTACTGGGTGCTGAAATGCCCATGGCCGAAGAGGCACAGAAGTTCGAAACTAAAGCAGAGCAAGTCCTGACGGAGGGCATGCAGTCGTTGGAAGATATGTCCAAGGACAAGACGGGCAAGTTGCTGAAACCAGCGTTTGTGAAATACGCCAAGGATGTCTTTGAGAAATCCAGATAAGAGGCGGGCACCAAGAAGTTAGATGTAGAAAGATAAGAATACGCCAGGACTGGCTGTCATGTAAGTCCGTGTACTGTATCATAGCGCTGAAACGAATAAGGAAACGTTCCTTTGCTGGTGACCACAACACTTTGAGCATGGTCATTTTCGGTTGTATCGTCTTACATCAATCAAGTAAACGCAGTCTCACCATCGCAGCGTATCAGATCATGGAAAGCTTACATGGCTTCTCTAGCGCCGGCACCGACTCCCTTGCTTTATTTGGCCCCATGAGACTGCGCGTAATCTAGTCTGACGCTGGGCACTTTTTGAGGACACGAATGACATTACTAAATCTCATCAGAACATGCATTGTAGACCTTGGCTCGAATCACGAGCAAGCGTGGGAAACATCAACTTCGTTCTATATGGAATAGCTCCTCACTCGGTCATCGTGTGTCTGATTCTTGATTTTGGTATTCAACTTTCATTCCATATGGAAGGAAAGATGGTGCCCTCCAAGTATGCACGCTGGGTAACTACGTGTGCGTTCACCAATAGCATTAGCACCTTTGTGTGTAGTTCCATGATCGTTACGGCGTTCGGCGTCATATCGTTGGGATGACCGTGTATTTGAAGCAACCGGCTTCAATCAACGCGAGTGACGAGCTGCATTTATAGACGCGGTTCCAATGTCTCAAGCGTAAGCGGTTGCGCGGGTGTCGTTTCGTGGGATGAGTACCGACTCCAGCACTGCTTTCACCTGACTTGTCACCTGCACCTACCTTTCACGACGCCTAGCTGCGTATACTATTGTCTCACAGTTCCCGAATTTGCTTGTGCTTGATCACATGGGCACTTCTCTATATCTACTTTGCTGCGTTGCAGATGAACGTCACAACGCTCAACCACACCCGCAACGAAATCGCAATCACAACTATCTAGTAGACTCCAAAAATGAGCGTAGCAGCAAATTCATCTCCATCTCCGGCAACTGGGCGCATAACCAGCTCAGCTCAAATCCTCCCCAATTGGGACACTCGCCCCATTCTACGCTTCGATTTCCCCACCGCCCAAGCCCAAGAAGCCTTCCACCGCGCCTTCTTACAAGTCCGCTCCGAAAAGGATAAAGCTACCTTCATGGCACGTTTCTTTGACAACTACGACGGCCAAGTGTCGATCCCACGACGCGTTGTCATGGACACGAGTCGTGATGAGCAAGTGGCAAAGGAGGTACAGCGAAGTTTAGGGGTAGTAATGGATACCGACAGGGATCTGGAGGTTGCCAGAAGACTTCAGCAGCAGATGGATGGAGACGACATTGGCGGAAATCGAATGAACGCGCAATTATACAATGGACAAATGGCAAGCCTTAGGCAGCGTCGACTTGTTTTCGAAAGGAGACGTCAGGGTTACGGCGGGACGGGTGGTTTAGGCTACAACGGCGGTGTGGGTCGGATGGTAGACCGGTTTAGAGACATGTCAGTTCACCAGCGTGTTGCACATCCTGGCTATCCTCCACAACAACCACGCCAACCGAATTACTACAATAACAGCTATGGTGAGCCGTGGGCATACGGTCCAGGTGACGGAGGATACGGGAATGGAAGCTATGACGCTGGATACGATCCTAGGTATCGAAACTGGGGTCAGTGGCGTAGAGGCTACTAAGTCTGTTAAGCACCAATGTTGGTCAACTATGGAGACTCTTGGTGTTCGAAACAATATCACATATCTAGAAACGAGCTGATGATATAAACTGTACACGCCAAAACCAAACCCCATAGTAGACCTATTCGAACATGATAGGGCTGTTCAGAGATGCGCCAGGTCCCTCTCTCCACTGGCGTAGCCTCCTGTGTCTCCTGCTCGACGAATCTTGTCATCCGAGTCCTGTATTGTGATGGCTTCCATACGTTTCCGCGTTGCCAGCCGCGCCATAGCGCCCTTTGGCTTGTTTATTTCGATGTTTGGCGACGACGGGCTTTTAGGCGAGCAGGTAAGGGATGGAGGACTCTGTGACGTAGGGCTCTGTGACGAGGGACTCTGCGGCGGGGGAGTCTGAGGCGGAAGTCTTGGTGTACCGGCAACTCGTATCTTCATCCTAGCTGGTCGCCATTCCCATGGCAGAGGACATCTCTGCACCAATTCCGCAGAATATTTAGCCGGGCAAGATGTAGATCGTGGCCTGACAGATGCCGTAGGTGGGAGTTTGTATGGAGGATTCCATGTGGGCGAAGTAGTGGGGTTTGAACGAGAGGTAGTGACCCGAGAAAAAGCAGCCATAACGGAGGCAGTACAAATAGCAAAAGGCAGTAGTGATTCAAGAAATTTGGCGATGTGAGGGTTATTGTGAGACAATAATGCACTAGCGATATGTGAGGCGTGTTCTGGCGGAACCACCAGGGTTTTGTTTAGGTTGGCGAGCATTGCGACTACTTTATTGTGATAGTATGGCGCTTTCCAGCGTAGATGCTTAGATGGCGGAAGGAGTGACTTAAGGCAATCGACCGTTGTTGGTGCTCGACATTAACACTTGGAATGCAGGGACGACCGGCCCATGATGTACCGTACAGCCATACCTCGACACAATAAATACACGATGGTGAATATCTCCAAGGTCCAGTGTCAATGACGCGCCGTCTCTCGTATCGTTGCGGTCACGTTTTGATGGGTTGTTTAATAGATCATTTCGTCAAGATTCGTATTCGTACAATGGTATCACTCTTCAAATCCCAGCCACTCGCCGACATCTTCGCCTTCGTCACTATCGACCATCTCTTCATCCGTTGTCTTGTCTTCGATGGCTTTGACCCCAAAGTCAAGCTGTGCTGACTTCTCTTTCTCCTCTGACGGCTGTGCCAAAAGATATTCAATGTGATAGATGTTCTCGTCCGCCAATCTGGCGAGCTCAGCTTGTATCGTACGAACAGCTTTCTCAACACTTCTTAATTCAGCCTCGAGGCCGCCCTTGTTGTCCTTCATCCATCGACCATGCTTGCTGAGGAGCGATTCGATCCACAGCAAATTGAACTCTAGATGCGGAGACTCATCGGCCTGAAGAGCGACAAATCGTAATAGGCGACCTAGATACACTGAAGGCAGGTCTTTGACTACCAAAGCTACGCTGCCTACGGGTGTGGCTTCGTATACGCGGCGAACCAAATTGCGCTCGTTGAGGCGGAACGCCATGACCAGTGCTTTGAGATAGTCCTTTTGTGCAAGAGTTTCGAGAGTTGTAGCTGGGGTAACGGTGATGTCTAGGTCGAATGGATCGAACTGGAATGTGTTGTCGAGTGAGTAGATTAGTAAACCTTCTGTTGATGCGGCACAGAACGCTCGTCCGGTGGGTGAAAATGCGACAGCAGGTACCCGTACTTCGGGTCGTGTTCTCCGTGCGCCAATGCCTTTTTGCGCTCCAGGCAAGGTTGTGTCTCGACGATCTTCCAGGTCTGACGCCTCGCCTTGATCGTCAATAAGACCTTGTGGCCCAGCATCTGTGAGCAGCTTGCTGTTAAGAAACTCTTGCGTGCCATCGAGAGATAGGTTCACGGATACAGTGAACTTCTTGAGCAACACACCCGACTGAACATCGTACAAGCAAATGTACTTGCTGTTCCCACCAGCCAGTACGCATGTCCCGTCTGCGCTGTATTTGACCGACGTAAAAGCTTTGGTGCCTGCGACGTTGGCCGCCGTTCTTCGATCTGACATCTTACGACCACCAGAAACATCTCGCCGCGCGTCGACGCCGTTTTCTTGTGCAGCATCGGAGACATTCCAGAACGTAAGCTGCCCGTCAAGTGTTGTCACGGCTATTTGCTTTGAGTCGGGGCGGAAAGCGACAGATAGAATGTCGGCCATGAGTTGCAGCGGCTCACTTGTTTGCGTGCGAGCAAAGATGTTCCAGACGCGGACGGTCCTGTCCCAACTTCCGCTCACCAACGTGCCTGCATCAGGGGAGAATGACAAGGATGATACAGGGCCCTCGTGGCCAGACAGCCTATCAAGCAGCTGGCCGGTCTGGACAGACCAGATGTGAATGTCGAAAGAATCGATAGAACCTGCGCATACGACCTCACCACTCGGGTCAACGGCCAATGATGAAAACGAAAGTCTCGAAGGTGCCGTGAATGTGCGGAAGTTGCGATACCGGTGGAGATCCCACGCCCTGACAGAACCATCGAGACTGGCTGTGAACAGGACATTTCCCTTCTTTGCAAATTCGCAGGCCGTTACACCGCCCATGTGTTCGGTAAATGTGACGACACAGAAACCAGAACTGACTTCCCACACCTTGATCTTTCCGTCGTCAGCCGCCGTTATTATGCGCTGGCCGTCTGGCGAGTATGCGATCGTGTTCATTGAGTCGAAGTGCCCCTGCTGCTTCAGAATGTACGATTCCGACTGCCACTCCCAGACCAGCAGCTGCCCGAGCTTCGATGCGCCAAAGGCGAGCCATTCTCCGGTCTTGTTGATTGCGACATAGTCAATATCGTTTTGAGAAATGCTGAGGCTGGAGATCTGAGCAAACTCTGGCAGCTCGTGAATGAAAAAGGCACCGTGAGAGAAGCCTGTAACGAGTAGTTTCGACTCGGGATGGAAGCTGGCGCATGTGACATGTGCGTTGTTCTGGTGGAAGAAGTGGCGCTCCGCGATGCCCCACTGTAGATTCTCGTCGTCGTTCTCATCGGCGTCGGCTGGCGCATCGTACCGTAGCATGTATTTCCATACAAACAGTGCACCGTCCTTGCTGACTGTGTAAATGGTCTCTTGATCCTTGGAGAACCAGGCGCCGACTACTTCCTGCCTGTGTCCACCCAGCGTGGTCTGCGCATGCCCTTCTTCTTGATCTACACTCCAGATGCGTGCTGTCATGTCCTTGGACGCGCTAAGGAAAAACCTCGAGTCGCTCGACCACTCTATGCTCTGCACATTGTTGTAGTGTCCTGTGTATATCCGGTGTCGCACAAACGGCGCAAACTCTAGATCGCCCTCTGCGACGTCTGGAGTAGACGGGGTGTGCCATACTTCGATCTGCCGTCCTATGCCTACTGCAAAATGCCGACCCGAGGGAGAGAAAGCGATCGAGGTGACTTCACCGCGGAGAGAAAAGTGGTAGAGAACGATGCGACGAGGGACGTTGGTGAGGACTGCGCGACCGTCTTGGTCGACTGAGAGGAGGAGATTTCCGCGAGGGTTGAGGGCAAGGCGTGCGATGTTCTTCCGGTGCGCAAATGGAAGTGTGTGTGATTTGGAGCTGGGCGGAATCAGCGCGCGTACATTATTGTGCAAGTCGCGGGTTGAGACTCACTTTACAAGGTCGAAGACAGTGACCCGGTTACCGACCGGTGATAGTAGACATGTGCCATCTGGAGTGAAGAGAAGGTTGCCTCTGCTGTAGACGGTGCCCAGCAGGTTGGAGAACTACAAAAGTCAGTCGCGGACATGTGCAGGGCAGCATTGGACTTGCCTGAAAGTCAGTCTTCATCTTCAATATGTCTTGGCTGCAGTCTCGTCATGTCGTGGCGGGCGTGGTCGCATCTTGAACTTTTTCGAAGCTCGGATCATGCTTAGACGCGCTAGTTGGGTAGGCTGCATTAGTCGCGGTACCCCGTTCAGGGTCAGTGCTTGCCGAATGGGCGACTCTGAGAAAGGGGACCCAAATTGTCTACACCACCACGTCTCCTCACCAGACCCTGTACCACACGCCTTTCAGTATCCTCACTGCTGGATTGCTTCTCATCCGCAACCTTTACGTATGTCTGCACGCTGCCTGCCATCTCCTACGAGACTTGCCATAGCTAACATTGCTCCCCAGACCCCATACACACCAGCGGTCAACCACACATCAACGCCATGGCCGAGTCCGCGTCCCCCATTGGCATTGCCAACGTACGTGTCCCCTCTGCCACAGCTACGCCTTGAACTCGTATATTAACATGCATCGCAGCTGCCAAACCAGAGGTACCATCCACAGAGCGGACACGCAAGCATCGGGTCCTAACATAGCACAGGCACAAGATTGTTGCAAAGCGCGGTGCTGCCTTCACCATAATGGTACGAACATCGTCCTCACCAGAATTCACCATCAGTCTAACTTTTGCAGGTTGCTGGCGAGTCAGGTCTCGGAAAGACTACCTTCATCAACACCCTCTTCTCCACCACCATCAAGAACTATGCCGACCACAAGCGACGACACCACAAGCAGATGGACAAGACTGTCGAGATTGAGATCACCAAGGCCGAGCTCGAGGAGAAGTTCTTCAAGGGTAGGCAGAGCACCATTGGACTGCCCGTCTCCTTCAACTAACACCCCCCAGTCCGCCTTACTGTTATCGACACCCCTGGTTTCGGTGACTACGTCAACAACCGCGACTCGTGGCAACCCATCATCGAGTTCCTTGACGACCAGCACGAGTCGTACATGCTGCAAGAGCAACAACCGCGCCGCTCTGATAAGATCGATCTCCGTGTTCACGCCTGCTTGTACTTCATCCGCCCCACCGGCCACACCTTGAAGCCCCTTGACATTGAGGTCATGAAGAAGCTATGCACACGCGTTAACCTGATCCCGGTTGTAGCCAAGGCCGACACATTGAGCCCAACAGACCTGGCCAGGTTCAAGGCGAGGGTAAGATGCTCCGCCTGGATAGCATGAGCAGATACTGACCGCTATTAGGTGCGCCAAGTGATCGATGCTCAGGGCATCAAGATCTACACTCCCCCACTCGAGGACGACGACGCTGCCGCCATGCAGCACGCACGCGGCCTCATCGACGCCATGCCTTTCTCCGTTATCGGTTCTGAGAAGGACGTTCAGACCAACGACGGCCGTACCGTCAAGGGCCGCCAATACGCTTGGGGTGTTGCCGAAGTCGAGAACGAGGAGCACTGCGACTTCAAGAAGCTCCGCGCCATCCTCATCCGAACCCACATGCTTGACCTCATTCACACTACCGAGGAGAACCACTACGAGGCCTACCGTGCCGGCCAGATGGAGACAAGGAAGTTTGGCGAGGCGCGCCCAAGGAAGCTGGACAACCCCAAGTTCAAGGAGGAGGAAGAGGCGCTCCGCAAGCGTTTCACCGAACAGGTCAAGGTTGAGGAGCAGCGCTTCAGGCAGTGGGAGCAGAAGCTCATTGCTGAGCGCGATCGCCTCAACAAGGACCTTGAGGCTAGTCACGCAGAGATCAAGCGTCTTGAGGGCGAGGTGGACAACCTCCAGGGCAGCATCAACCGCTCTCACGGTCGTCGCTAGACGCAACCTTCGGCGTTGGTGGTGTTGCACGAACAGAGATGGTGCAGTGATTCAGCATGGTCGCACTAATTCTCCACATTCTTCCTTCAAGATTCCCCTTCTGTTTCCGTATCTTCGGTTCTCATATGTCTGTAATGTCGCGCCGCTATGGGGACACTGTAGGCGACGCGTATCTGGGCTTGGGCTAAACAGCATGTCACAGCTTATAGTTCTATAACTTGGTATTAATCTATTATGAAGACCGCTGGTCACTACATCTTGCTCATGGGTATATGTGATGTTTGAGTAGCTAAACTTGAAGTCCACCAAATACCCTGTCCAATTCCTCGCCTTCTTTGGCCTTGGTCTCCGCTTGTGGATCTAGATCCATGAGATTCTGCACCGGCGCTCTGTCTTCCTTCTTCGCTCCTCCATCACTCTCCTCTGGCTTCAGTATATGTACACCACTATCTAACCAACCCGGCGCAACTCTCCTCTTCTCGGCGAGATCCTCTTTCTGCCTCCGTTCTTCCCACTGCGCCAATGTCTTCCTCGCGTCGGCCTCTAGCTTGGACAGATGTTCTTGTAGTGCGACACATGATGTGAGAATCTGGTCTGGGTGCGCTGACGTGCCGGATGAAGACATGACGTATGCGGGCTTCGACGCGTTGGAGCCGTCTTGTTGCTGTTGGGAGAGGATCGAGGGAGGAAGCGTCGAAGGTAGGGTTACGTAGGAGTATGGCAAGGGGACCGAGGTAGGAAGGGAGAGGAAGGGGGAAAGTGTCAAGGGAACTTGGGCGAGAAGTGGATGTGGGTCTACGGAGTTGACAATGTTAGTATGGGGGTTTCTGAGACGTTGTGGTAGAGGGTATGTGGGAAGATGCTATGCGATGCGCCGTGCCGGCCAGACTTCACGAGACGATTGTCAAGGTCTCGTAGCCTCACTCGACAGTTTTAGCAGCCACAAACTAGGTTTGAAATCGCGTGTCTGCGCGCTTGTTCTGGCTACACACGTGTATCGTATCGCAGCGGATGTGCATCGTCGTGGGAAGGTCTGGAGAACGACTCACGTTCGTCATGCATATCCAATAGGACTGTACGCGTGTCTGGAATCTGGCCAAAATTTGCCGAAGTAGCAGCACTCAATTGTATAGGGCGTATATTTGGCTATTGCAAGTACGATGGGTCGTGAATTTGCGGGGTATGCTGATGTCGTCGGGGTTTGGGGTGTATGGATGTGGAGCTGCGATTGTTGGTGGGGAAGCTGGGCGGAGCTGCCGATGCAGGTACCAGACTTGGAAACAACGATCACGCATGATGCACGTGAGATCCTTCTCGGACGCTTGTGGGGTGCATACACGAATGCTTCATTTGGGTAGTGGTCTACTTCTAGGGTTGATGCAGATGTCATTCTTGAGTCTTGGACGGGTACAAATTATTATCATGTGCATTTACATCTCATCTATTCATCGAAATTACAACAGCGTCCTGAACTATCGGTTCATGCGTAGAGCAAGACATCATATAACTAATGGTCTCACCGTTTTACCTAATCTTCGCAGAGCAGGTGAACGGTCTCGGTCCTGGAATGGTATAGCTTGTTGGTTTCGGCCAGTAGAGCTGAAACTTGATGCCTGGATCTGTCGCTTTGTATGCACCTGGGAAGCTGACTGTAACTGGACTGGCAGTACCACCTCCTGTGACGTTGATCTGAGCACATTCCATGTAGAGTTGAGCACCCGGGTAGTTGCTCGCAGCATGGAGAGCGATGAGTTCGGCGCGGAGGAGGTACCTGATAAGGACTGTGTCAGCCAGAACTTCATGACATTGTACAGCAGAACAAGCCGAAAGAGAAAGGTGCAACTTACTGTCCGCTCGGAATGCAAGACGGAAGCACAAAGTCTACTAGACCCTTGTTGTTGTAAAGCCTCGTAACTGCCCATTCGCCATTGGCATCCATTCCATCTTCGTAGATCTTGAACCACTTCAGTCCCGTCACTGTGGTAGACAAAGCATCATCGACTTTGGCGAGATAGATCATAATGGGGCCCAGATGACCGGGGTCGATGGGATCTGACTTATCCGTCTCAGGTTTCGAATCAAGCGTGTGGTGCCACTCGGCAGTGAGCTTGTCTCCGGCTTTGACCTAGCATGTTGTAAGCCGAAGCCATGTGGCGTAGCTTGCTTATTGCGAAACCGACATACATTGATAATGTCTTTGGGAAGAGGCGTTCTGTAGGGGTTTATGCTGTATGTGGATCAATATAGCGCTTGACCTTGCGCTTTGTTATGATTTACCCGCCATTACATATGACATCGTTGGACGTTACGTCTTGGATTGGTCTGAAAACCGAATGAGTTACAATGCAGAAGATGATTGTGGGTTGCAATACCCGTCATAGGTCTGTGTGTCGTGCTGTTAGGACGCGATTAGTAGGAAAGTTGGTATGAGCATGCTCACCGGCACACGGATTCCTTTGGTATGTCCTTGCCCCACGCCGTTGACGTGCAATTGAGTGAAGATCGTATGCGCCGATGTGCTAGCTGACAAGAAACAAGTGACCACAGAGACCTTCATAGTGTAAATGTTTGCTCAAAATCACAATGCTGTTCACAACGACGACGGCGAATCTTCCTATATGGTACCATGGTGTACTGTTTTCTGAGTTGTCCAAATGGAACACGGAGCCATTGTCCAAAGTCGGTTGGGGACTCGGCTTCGGCACGTGTGCGACTGGCAATGGAGGCGTGTGACCAGCAGTCCTTTATTTCTCAATATACTTTGCCCGCTGTAATGCAGTTCTGGAAAAGTGTGCATAGGACACGTGCTTTATGGATTTTCAATGCATAGAATCCTCGGCAGTTACCAAATAGGTAATGGGCGCCAACGTAGTCACGGATCGGTTGTGTAACTTGAGCCGGCGGTTGGATGGAAGAACCGCAGTGTTAATTACAGGAGGAAGGATACGACCGAGGTATGCCGCGACATCATGGCAGATAGTCTTGGGATCTATGAAGCGAAAGAAGAAAAGGCTAATATAATAGATTGTGTGTTACTGGTCTGGTCGAGTGTTTCAATTAATGAAACGTGCGCATCTTGTCGCTCTGCGAAGGAGGCTTGGAAGCCGTCCTTCATTTTGGGGCAGCCTCACGGAACATGCACGAAGAAGCCGGTACCGAGAAGGCTGTGGCGGTTGCACGAGGTCAGAGGCACTGACTTGTTAATATTCCCGAAGACTCTGGTGGTGCAGACGTTGTATTCGAAGAGGCTGATGCAAGGCGGAAGCGCGAAAGTGATGGTTTGTCACATCCGCCACTAGACGCTTGTGGGGAAAGCTGGACCCCGAACGGGTAAGGGGCGCATGGCTAACGGCGAGCAAGTCGCAATCCCGGCTTCTATCAATCTACATCAATCAATCCACCCATGCCGCCTGTAGTTTGTACATATTAACGACTAACCTTGAATCTCGGCCAGATCACCTTAGTTTCGAAACAACCAATGACGATGCTGCCCACGGTAATCACGCCCTCAGTTAGGCTCACCCTGGCCAGCGCGCGTCTCCCGTACCTGGTTGAAGGCGTAGTTCTGCCGCCTCCAGAAGGCAGTTCCCCAGGTAGTGGCTTGGCTATTGGTCTCAACCCCATACGCGACGGCTTTCGCGAGGCAGTCTAGGATAAAGTCGAGATGTATATAACGCGTCCGCACCCTGGCATAGCTATAGAAGGCACAGCTTTCACTTGCCCTTGTCAAGCTCTCTCATCTTCGACGTGCTGGTAACAAGTCTCCAAGATGAAGACTACTTCTTTCGTTCGAGCGGCTTCGCTGCTATCCTCTCTTTTCGCTCCTGTCGCCATTGCGCAGGAGAAGTTCACCCACGAAGGCACTGGGATTGAGTTCTGGCGCCAGGTAGTCAGTGACTCCCAGACAGCAGGTGGTTTTGAGTGGGGCTGGGTCTTGCCCGGAGAGCCCACAGGCGCCAATGACGAATACATCGGTTACATCAAGGGTTCACTTGAAGCGAACAGGCAGGGATGGTCTGGTGTCAGTCACGCTGGCGGCATGCCCAACTCTCTTCTGCTCGTTGCATGGCCGGAGACCGATGCCGTCAAGACCAAGTTTGTCTGGGCAGGTGGTTATGTTGCTCCTGACGACTACACTGGCAATGCGACTTTGAGCCAGATCTTTCACTCGGTCACCGACACACACTTCGAAATTGTGTACCGATGCGAGCACTGCTGGGTCTGGAACCAAGGCGGTGCTGAAGGCTCTCAACTTCCTACCACCGAAGTCAATGTCATTGGTTGGGCCCAGCACGACAAGATCTACGACGGCACATGGGTCTTCCACAACAAGGGACAGTCTCAATTTGGTGCTCCCACAGCGGATGCAAGGAACGCGAAATACTCTGACTATGTCAAACTGGTAGGTGGCCAGCCTTCTGGTGCACCCACGCCCACCCTGTCGGGCCAGCCATCAGCCACTCCCACTCCCACTCCAACTGCACCAGTCAAGTGCGCCGGATCTCCTGCTCCTTCAGGCTCATTCGATTACATCGTCATCGGTGGTGGTGCTGGAGGTATCCCCGTAGCGGACAAGCTCTCTGAGTCTGGCAAGAGCGTCCTCATGCTTGAGAAGGGACCGCCATCTCTCGCTCGCTTTGGCGGAAAGATGGGCCCTGATTGGGCTACTAGCAACAACCTGACCCGTTTTGACATTCCCGGTCTCTGCAACCAGATCTGGGTTGACTCCGCAGGTGTTGCTTGCACTGACATCGACCAAATGGCTGGTTGTGTTCTTGGTGGAGGTGCTGCTGTCAACGCTGCGCTTTGGTGGAAGCCGGTCGACATCGATTTCGACTACCAATTCCCCGCCGGCTGGAAGTCAGCTGATGTGAAGGGCGCGATCGACCGTGTGTTCAAGCGCATCCCTGGTACCGACACTCCTTCCGTCGACGGCAAGCGTTACAAGCAGGAAGGTTTTGATGTCCTGTCTGGTGCGCTTGGTGCAGATGGCTGGAAGAGCGTCGTTGCAAACAACCAACAGAACCAGAAGAACCGCACATACTCTCACTCTCCGTTTATGTACGACAACGGTCAGAGGCAGGGACCTCTCGGTACCTACATGGTCTCTGCCCTGGCGAGGAAAAACTTTAAGCTCTGGACAAACACCATGGCTCGACGAATCGTTCGCACTGGCGGAGCAGCTACCGGTGTTGAGCTGGAGAGCGGTGTCGGTGGTACTGGTTACTGCGGTACCGTGAACCTCAACCCTGGAGGTCGTGTCATTGTTTCTGGTGGAGCTTTCGGATCCTCAAAGGTTCTCTTCCGCAGTGGCATTGGACCAAAGGATCAGTTGAACGTTGTGAAGAACAGCGCCCTCGATGGCTCGACGATGATCGGAGAGTCTGACTGGATCAACCTCCCCGTCGGCCAAAACCTGAACGATCACGTCAACACTGACCTTGTCATCAAGCACCCCAACATCTCTTTCTACGACTTTTACAAGGCGTGGGATGCCCCTATCGAAGCTGACAAGGACCTGTATCTTGGCAAGCGCTCTGGTATTCTTGCTCAGTCTGCTCCCAACATCGGCCCTCTTGCTTGGGAAGTCATCACTGGAAGTGACGGTATTGACCGATCGATCCAGTGGACTGCTCGCGTTGAAGGCCCTGGCGCCAACGACACTCACCACCTAACCATCAGCCAGTACCTCGGTCATGGCTCTACTTCGCGTGGTACGCTTTCGATCAACGGTGCTCTCAACGTCTATGTCAGCAAAGCACCCTACCTCCAGAACGAAGCCGACACCGGTGTGGTTGTTGCAGGTATCAAGAGCATGATGAAGGCCATCAAAAAGAACCCGGCAATCGAGTTTCAAGTACCTCCTGAGAACATGACGGTTGAGGCATACGTTGCCAGCCTTCCCAAAACCCCAGCTGCCCGTCGCGCCAACCACTGGATTGGTACCGCGAAGATCGGAACCGATAGCGGTCTTACTGGTGGAACCTCTGTCGTAGACTTGAACACTCAGGTGTACGGAACCCAGAACATCCACGTAGTTGATGCTTCTCTATTCCCTGGGTAAGCTTTATTCAAACGTTTTCGATCATGTTCGAACTAACATGACACAGTCACATCTTCACCAACCCTACATCCTATATCGTTGTGCTCGCGGAACATGCCGCTGCTAAGATTCTTGCACTTGGTGCAAGCAGTGGAGGTGGTAAGCCTTCGTCGTCCATGCAGTCATCTGCAGCCTCCGCTAAGCCCACCACCTCGAAGGCGCCAACTAAGTCGTCAACTGTATCCGTAAAGCCGTCATCGACGGCTAAGCCAACTACTATCAAGACATCTACAGCACCAGCGCCTACTCCCACCAAGGTGGCTAACGCCTGGGAACAGTAAGTACTTGGAACATTATCGTCTACAAAACGTTTACTGACATCTCATCAGGTGTGGCGGTAAGGGCTACACAGGTCCAACAGCTTGTGTGAGTGGATACAAGTGCGCGTTCAACAACGACTACTTCTCTCAGTGCATTCCCAACTAAGGGACGCGAAAGTATTTCCTAGCCTCGTTTTGGGACACATTGCATCTGGGGCATCTTCTTTGTACATACTTTAGCTTCAGTGTATACCACTCGCTCTTCCTGCATTTTCCCCTACTGAATACCTGCTCTGTGAACCGGCCTATCAACACGTGTAGCACCTATAGTGACCGATGTGGCATAGCGCACGTGTTATCGTGCCCCACTTCAGTTGATCTTTCGCTATCGCCGTTCCATCTCAACTCAACACCTTTCTGCACACTTTGATCTTTCCGCTGTCGTTGAAAATATTTGTGTAGCTTGGTCTGTAAATATCTTGTGAAAACTTGTACATGCGCAATGTCGTCGAACTGCCCAGCCACCTCTGCCAAGCGCGATGACGCGTCGACAAACGTGACGGAATTGATCCATGGACGACTTCAAAGTAGCCCCAAAGAAGACTGGGATCGATTATTGAGGTGCTGGGGCTATGAGGATTGCGGCGATTGTCACCGGAGTGAAGGTCACTGTGGTTGGTGTGCGATTGTACGTACGCATTTTGTTTATCTTCCGTTCAGCCACGAAGTCATAGCAGACTGTGAGCAGATTCGATCTCATTTATGACCTCCCATAATACCTTCGTATTCTATGGTCCCTTCTGTAGAGGATTTTACGTATCTGGAATGTTGCAAGACAATACTGAACTCTGGCAACAGTCGTCAACATGCCTTCCGCTGCCCACAGATTCCCTGTCAAAAGCGTTCCCTCTCCTCACACCCATCCGCTACGACTCGATATGTGCTCTGCGCTCCGAGCGTTTCGAGCTCCGCACTTCTGGATTAGGCTGTCAAGTATCCACAATTACATTCTTGACGTCCATAGTGACGATCTTCTCTACGCTACTTGGTGTCTTAGTGCTATCCGGTCTCGTAAAATGTATCAAGTTGGCTGGGCTAGGTATTAAAGGAAGCAGAGGCGGTTATGTGATATTTGAGGACGGTAGCGAGGATATCTGGGTGAGAAAGAGTGGGGGATGGGGGATGTGGTGGCGGCGAGTGAGCGGCAAACCGAAAGAGTTCGAGATTGAGGAGGTAGATGAAGGCACCAGAAAGAGGGGGTTCTTCTGGTGGAACACAAGGGATGCTGAGAGGAGGCCGCTGCTCCAGTGATCATACAATACATTATCTTGTCAGGTGCAAGCTGTCTTGGTCGGCATTAGCCGTCCAGTAAGCTTTTTCCAGCTTTCCGATACTCCGCATGGACAACTAACATTTCTCTCACTTCACCTACGCGTTTACTTCGCTGGATACGTCATAACACTGATCTATATGAAACCTTGATCCTCCCGGTTCTCACCTCTTATCTTTAGGTAGACCGACTTTACCTGCTCGCACGAGAATATGCGTCCAAGCTCTGAGGCATCGAGGACATATAAACCATCCAACCGGGGATTCAGCCTTATCTCTCTCAACACCGTACTCCTCCACAAATCCATCGGTTACCCTATTTTCAAACAAAATCTGCCCTGCATTCAACAACAACAACAACCCATCCACAACAGTTCAAACTAGCAATGATGCCTCGATTCCACCAACGCGGACGTCCAGATTCGGTCGCTCCATGGGCGTCGAGCTCGTATGGCGAGATTTACGGTGAAGATCATTTTAGTGAAGCTGCACTTACGCCACCGAGCTCCGATGAGCACCCATTGCCCTCCAAGATCGGTCGTCGCACTGTCGGCCAGATCGTTGAAGCGATCAACCTGTGTATGACATCCTTAAAAGCATTCACCCACGATGACCCAGCCTATTTTCAACTCAATGAGCTCCTCGGTCTCCTCAACAATGAGCATATGGAATCTGTACACAAGGGCGACCATGAATCTGCCCGGACTCACGGCCTCGTGGGTGACTTTCTTCAAGAGTGGTTTGATCACGACCAACAAGACCACGATGAACACCATGACGGATCTCCAGAAGCCAGCGACAACACTCGCAGGATCATGAGGTCTTGCGCGCCCACTGGAATCATTCGTGGATCTTTCGTCAGTGTTGCCTCGGAACTGGGCAATATCCGCTCCCCAGCTAAGAAACTTAACCAGGACGTAGGAGACATGTACGGTCAATACTCGGAGTCCCATGTGCCTCGCCTTCGTTACTCCGAGACTCAGTCTTCACCCTACACAGATGACGTTGTCCCTCTTCTGGTGGGAGACCACATCGCCCCCTCTACTGAACAGGATCGCGGTCAGGGCGCAGAGGGATTTGAGAAGAAGTGGAGCACTCTGAAAACCAATACTGCAGACACGAAGTCAAATACTGCAAATACAGTCCGCTCCCCTCTCTGGATGGAGGAACAGGACTCTCACGGGCATTTGTTCAATGCTCACGCTGTGGACGAGGCGAAAGATCGAGAGGTAGAACAGCGAGTTTCTCCTAAGCTCAAGAGCTTCGACGAGGCCCACCGCCAGCTGCGTGATCAGGACATGCTACCGCCCTACAAGTATGTCGCCGCTGCATCACCAGCTGATGACGCAACCGATAACAAGAAGCCGGCTGTTACTAAACTGCGTCGTATCCAAGAACGCCTCGGTATGGTTCATGACAATCTCAGCAAATCCGAACCTAAGATCATCCCCGTTATCGCTAAGTTAGGCCACCCTATGAAAGCATTCGACGTCAAGACGGCCACTGGCTTTGCATCTCCCCACAATCCCACCGCGCCGGATGATTCTATGGTCGATGGGTTTCTCGAGGTCGCCAACAACAGCTTCACCCGCGAAGAAGCATTTGAGATTCTCCGCATGTGTGGCGCGAATTTGGTTGCGGCTGTCTCCGTGTACCGTAACACCATGGGTCCTGAACATCTTCGACAGATGCTGAGGGCTTGGCTCGCCCCGCTTGAGAACGCCGAATTCAGAACAGCGGCTCGGTTCTATAGGAAGAAGGTCGATAATCAAGGCCAGCCATGGGGTATCTCGTTGGAGAAAGATGTTGGCATTGAGGGAGATGAAGGCCAGCCTACTCCGTCACTTATGAACGTGAGGGAGGCATTTGCGTTCCTTGGTCTGGAATCCTACAACTCGGTTGACTTTGACCTCTTACAGGAGATGTTCGAATATTATCTTTCCTGGGTGGAAGGCTCAGAAGCACGACAGCAGCTTCAACAGGCTTACAACACCGTTTTCCAGCACCAAAACGACAACGATTGCTGGAAGCTGTGTCCTATTCCGTGGACTAAGGCGATGGACGAAGAGCTCATGAAATGGAAGAATGAAGACGCAAAGATTGATTGGTCTGCCATTGCAAACGCACTGGGCCTGACAGTTCCACAGTGTAGGGTCCGCTTCAACGCCCTTGAGCCAGCGAAATCAAGTTCCAGCAAACCAAAGGAGCGCAAGGTCAAAGAACAACATCAGAAAGAAACAATCAAGGCAACTTCCGCCCGCACAACCACACTCAAGCTTGGAGGATGGGGTCCTTCCTCCGGTAGAAACGGGAGCCCAGCTGACTGTCATTACTGTCAAAAGTGTGATATGGAGTATTACGATGATCTCGGCCACGAATGTGAGGCTGATCGAGCTGCATTTGATGGTGACCAGCCTTCATGGGGATCCGTTGCTACACCCACCGATACTCGAGAACCCAAACCCCCTGTTCCTGCTGCCTATACCGTTACATACTGGGCCAGCATCGAATCGGGTGATGAGGAGGTTCACATTCCTGTCAACAGCAGCAACGTCTCTGGTCTCGAAAAGGCCATCGTTGAGGGCAGCGCTGGGATGAAGAAGGTGTGGAAGTGGATCCAGGAGAAGGGTCTCAGTGATAAGGTCGGCCTCCAAGACGCCTTCGATTTGGCCAAAGACATGCACGGCAAAGACGAAGACGAGGAGCTGGTTATCGGAGAGCCTATGCCTGCTGAAGATACCTCATGTGCTTGCAGTGGTAGCTCAGGAGATATCTTCCGAGACTTGTGCAGAGAGTGGGGCATTCCAGAACGTATTCCTCTTTCGCATGATCGCTAAAGGGTCTCCTCCCCCCGCTCGGTTCACGAATCCAAGTGGCAATTTGACAGTCCTCAGCCTGGTTTCATCTAGAGCATTATACTACCAGGCTCTAGTTCCATCACATCATGAAAAGTTTGCTTGCGGTTTGCTTTCTGTTCTTGACTTCTCCTTCATTTCGAGGGCGCATATATGGATGAGCCCACGGTAAAAGACCATGGAGGTGCCACATGATAAAGACTGTGCGATCTACAGGTTTTGCTCTAGCATGAATAGCATGATTAAGTACTCTGGTTAGTGGAATCAACATGTATAATTATTTGTAAACATATCTGTCGGCATTCAGTGATGCATCATGTCCCGGTATCTTTACGCCTAGGTGAGCACCGGACCACTCACACAGAGCTCGCGATGTTTCCAGAAAGTTGCCTGAGATGTATTGTAAGTTACCGCCGGGTGCAGAGACTGTATGCACTGAGTTGTTCATGATGCCCACTAGCCCCACACTCTATCCGCATATTAAAGCCTATGCAGGTTCGTCCGCGACGAACGCATGCTGTGATTGGTATTGCATACTATTTACAACGGCAGTTCAATCTTTCGAAAAGACTCTAAGTTCATAAAGTTTAAAGGGATGACATTAACAACACCCCTCACACAACCATTTCTACACTCTTGCTTCACTGCCAGAGACATCTCACACCATGCGCTCTTCAATCCTTCTCAGCGCATCATTGCTATTCCCTCTTGCCATGAGTGCATGTGAACGCGAATTTCTCGCTGCCTTCACATCACTTTATCTGAACGCACAGACTGTCGGCAATTCATCCCTCCTCACCAACTACATGCTACAAAACTATACCTACTCCGAAAATTTTACTCCCGCCAATCTCTCAGCCCCAACATCCATTTTAAATAAACCGCTTAACAGCACCGATTCGCGCGTCTTTCTAGACCCGTATCTTTGCAGCGCCTTCACCGAGATCATCGTACCGGAGCCAAGCCATCCATATGTCCTTGG